CAACGGGGACGGCTCGCTCTGTGACGGGTGCATTTCGTGGCCGAGAACAAATGATAAATTTACAATTCAGACCTTTGTCCTTGACCATTTGTTCACCCAAAAAGTCGGCAAGACGTCGTGCAGTCGTGATACTGGTAGACTTCTGACTGCCGTACTCCTCTAGAGTCTTGGACATGCTTCGATTTTCAGAAATCAGCTCCATCAGCTCTTCGTCTGCGAGTGTAGATCCTTTATTATGCAATACATCCAGCCATTGGTTTGCAACCTTGGCCACGGCGGTGTAACATTGCGTCAGATCTTCACCCTCCAGGAAAAACTTGAAGATTTGCTGCTGGAAGATCTTGATCAGCTTAAGCTCACCACGGCGCTTCACTTCGAATCCCTTCAATTCTGCCAGACTGCCATCGTCGTTGAACACGGCATATCGCTTCTTCAAATTTTTATCTTCCTCTTTTGATGTGGGCAGGATCATTGCCTTGTACGGGCCGTCGACTTCGAAGAAGATGGAGTTGTCGCTATGAGTTTCGTACTTGAAAGTTTTGGGGTCCACCAAAGTCTGATACTGGTGGTTGGTGAACTTGTCGTGCACAAGGTGGTTAAGCATGACGCAAGGATAAGATATGTTCATTTTCTTGCCATTCTTCAGTTTGAAGGAAAAGTTCTCCGGGAAGGTGGCGGGAAGCATACACCAAATACCATCGGTGTCCAGTTCAAGGGGTCGGCCGAGGCGCTCAACAAGCTGACGAGCAAGTTGAATAATGGTAGCTCCTGTCAAGCAAGTAACACCTGCCATTTCCATGGAGTACCAACGAGACCCCTTTCTCATAACGTATCCGTAGAAGGAGTTCAAAATGACCTTGTGTGCAAGCTGCAGGGAGTCATACAAGATAATCATCTTTTTCGCATCGTCAATCTCATTGCCGGGGGCACCAGACGACTTTAGCGCGTCCGTCTTTCCTTTCCAGACTTTTGCCTTGCCCTTGTAGTCGTATCGACGATCTCGGAAATCACGGACAGTGTTGATATAGAAGGGGTTCTCTCGCTGACAAATGATTGCCTCTCGAATAATAGTCGTGGAGTCGTGGATTTTGTGGTATACCTTCTGAGAGTAGAGCTGGAGACGTTTCCTCACCAGGGTTGCCTGTTCATCCGTACTCAAGTCTTGGAATGTCCTCGGCGGAGCATTTGGTGTTTTACCGGGAAATTTTTCATTCTCAAGGGCATGTCGAATCATGTTATACTCGTCTCTTTTCGCAGGTATGTACTCTCCTCTCCAAGCCCAAGGCAGTCGTCGATCGCATGTTTTGCCTGGCCGATTAAAGTCGCAGGCCGCGCAATCTGATTCCGAAATCATCGAATCCGGCTGCAATCTGTTTGTCGTCATAATGTTTGGGTACATGGAGGCGACATCCAAATGATAAATGAGCGGCCTTTCGGTACGATTAGGAGTCTCTTTCAACTGCATTAGTTTGCTCATAATCTGTTGTTTGACTTCATCATAGTTGGTAACATCAGATAGAGATTTTTTCTCTTCGACAGTAATGACGAATTTGAGCGCATTGTCCAGATCTCGTAAGAGCTCGTCCACTGCACCTGGATCAACCGCGAAATTAACAGGGATATCAGACCGAAAGACTCCAGCCTCGATACTCTCGACGTGGCCACCGACATAGGTCTCCGAGTCGAGTAAATGACCGTCCCAGAAGGATTCTTTCGGAGTGACATGCTTGTTTGGCAGCACAATCTCCTGCTGGTATGCTTGCACCATCAGAAGCATTTCACAGAGTGTACCGGTTCCTTTTCTGAGGACGTCGTCTCCTCCCAATGGCAGAATTGTGCAGAGAGAGAAGATGAAGGGGTGTACATATTTCATGTACAAATAATAAGTTGCGACGGCATCGGAAACCGAGTACTCGGCCAAGGTCTGTGGTCGCTCCGCTGCATATGGTGTCATCAATTCTGGGTCGAGTTCGTCGGGGTCGTATCCCAGCTTGGCGACTGTGACAGCTTTTAAGCCTCGAGATCCCTGCGGCAGGTAAGAGTCTCGGTTGACCCAGTGAAAGCAGTCCATATGAACACTATAGTTGCACTTGAACTGGTCTTCGCTGTCTCTCTTCCAACCAATCTCCTGGTACATGTCGATACCGTTTACACTCGCTCTCGCCTCAACGAATGGCCAATCGAAAAAGTCACCGTTGTAAGTCGCAATGACAGTAGGACGCGCTTCCTTGATGTGAAGAAAGAACCTCTCAATAACGGACTTCTCATCCGGTTCGTTGAAAATCATGAACGGACCAGGGTACTCGGGCTTTGGTGTATAGTCGAAGTCACCAATGTCTTCGGAAATGATTTCTCGATTTGTGATCAAAAAGCCTTGGCCGTCAATCATGTATGATATCATCATAATCTGATCGGTCGCGGCATCGGGAAACTTCAAAGGGAGTTTTGATGTTTCGATATCGTATGCCATAACTACCGGATCAGCCGGCAAAGACCTGTCTTCGTTCAATGTGATTTTTGTGACGCCATGCTTTGCTTCAACAAAATACCACTTTCCGACTCTTATATCTAAACATTCGGTTAGCCAAGGCAAAGCGTTGCCACAAACAAGGATATATACCTAAGTCTATCATTACTCTAACATGGTATGGAACATCGTATTCGCGTATATCGACGATAAAGTCGCTCGCTTCAGAAATAGAATTGTTCATGTTTCGATCGTCATCTCGTAAATCATTATCAAAAAGGTCGAAGTCGCCATTCGTCCTGCAGTTATACGTGTTAGAATCCGCCAACCACCCAAAAGCACCTCTCCATAGCGGGCTATGATACTCACGTAGCAACCTCGGCATAGGCATCCATGGCATTCATGTTTTTCCTATTCTTCTCTGCAATCGGCATGATGTCTCTTTTCGCTGCCATCAGATCGCTGACATTGGCAAACCGAATCTCAATGAATGTCCGTCGGTAGCCCATCAAGTGATTCGGCATGCTGAGATCTTCCTTCTCTACCCTCCTGACCGATTTGACAACGCCACCGCCCGGTACTCTCTTCAACCACTCTTCAACTTCAGACTCGCGGCCCTTTTTAACGGCAATTACGATATAAGGATCATATTCAACCGTAGCCTTGAAGGTGCTTCCATCCAGTTCAATGAAGTAGCAGTCTAACGTTGCTCGACCGCCTGGTATCCTCTCGTCTTCGACAGAGGTTGGTTGCACGTTTACCAGCCATCCTTCCTTCTTCTTCCCGCTTTCGTACCGGGCAAATCCCATCTTGTCGTCAATGCTCTGGGACAAACGAGTACGCTCCCACTTTTCGTCAGCAGAGGTGCCTTCGGCCCTTGAGGACGCTGCGAAAGTCCGGGTTTTTGCGCCATGATATGCAATTTTCCCTCCTCTTTTGTAGCCCTTTGCTGGGCGGCGAAGAGATGTGTTTGGCATTTCGGAAGACGATTTCTTAGACGGGACCACTGCCGAGATGGCAATATGAGAACTCGAACTTAATCGGTTGATAGTTCCGTCATGGGTTATGGCGTCCTGCAATAGCTGCTATGGTATTGAGGTTCGCTTTGAGCAGCTATTTGTCGTCTTGGTTGATGGTGCAGGGCAAAATGCACAGCAGCTGTCTGGGCTGGCAAACAAGGTCAAGCAGAGCCCTGACCAAGCAACAATTAGCCTGCAAGGATGTTTCGTGAAGATGTGTGTCAGGGAGACGCGCCGCTACGCGTGCTACGCGAATGGACCTGGCTAGTAAACGCCACATCTTTAATTGATTTTAGCCACAGAGCCGATTCGCACAGCCACAGCCCACTACGAGCAGCAATTCTAGGATAAATCGTTCGAGCGTCATAACTGCCGCCGGTGAATAAATAGCTGCGCCAGTGCCGTCCATGCCACCAATTCGACAAGCAAGGTAGCCAGAAATGGCCCCGACCAACGACGATGAACGGCCCAATGCGAACGAAAAGGTCCTGCATGTGTGGTCCAAGCCGATAGCAGAGGGCGACCAGGTTCCCGGCCTTCAAGGGTCGGACAAGAACCCGGACGGGACTCCGAGAGGTTCCAAGTCTGCCTTTGCAGAGGCAGTCTCAATGATCAAAAAGGAGGATTTTACGAACGTAGCAAACACACCCTGCGCACGACAGGGATTGCTGACGGGAATTGGCGCAGGCGCTGGCTTGGGCGGCTTGAAATTTGTGATTCAAGGTATCCTTCACAGCTAGTACCTGTTTATACTGCATGTCAAGTGTCAATTCCAGTAGCTAACGTTTAGCCTTGCGATAGGCAATGCCGCCAAATCTGCCAACTGGGCGGTTGGCTTCTTCCTTTTGGGCAGCATAGCCTCGTACGAATACTGCCAGTATCAACGGCGTGCCGAAAAGATCCAGATGAAGAGGCATATCGAGGTGGTCACGCAGAATAGAAAGGAGCAAGCAAGGAAGCTAGCTGAAGAGAGGCGTGAGCAGCTGAGGATAGAGGAAGAGCAGAAGGCCCGAAATAAGGCTTGGTATAAATTTTGGTGAAAGCCAGGGCAGATGAGCTGCCGTGTACCATTATGTGTATGAATAAAGACTCTATTTGGATGCTACGGCAATCTTCATTTCGATTCAATGTACGAGAGAAGAGTATAGACCGTATATATTGAAGCACTCTAAGCGCCAATGGAAGTATTGGCTAGACTGTGATTATTATCCTCTAACCACAGGCAAGCAACGCAGTGAAGTCTTGGGAAAACGAAGAAAACAGCGGAGAAGAGTAAAAAGTAATAGAAAGAAATCAAGTCAACGCCAGGCGGTTCACTCTGTAGATGCCGCCTATCATCCCATATCCTTGCTCCATCCCCAAGATCGTTGCCGAATCATTTCGCTCGTGTCATAAAGATATTGCACCCAAACGCCGCCATTAGTCGGGGATCATTTTGATATCTTTGCCCGTGCCCGTACCCGTACCCAGTATACTTCCCAAATTCGCCAATAATCAATGGTAGATGTTCATAATCATGCCGTCATAGTAACGTTTCTGCTCTCTGCGTCCATGAATCTGACCTTCCTTGAAGGCGGCGACTTGTGATCTCGCCTAGCTGAGGCGGCCAGCTCTCCTCGGCGTCTTTGACTTCTCCGGTTTCTTGCTTCGTTCTCTTCGCGCTTCCTGTATTCTGCCATTTGCTGTCGTCGTTTCATGACCCGTGCATGCGCAAGTGCTGGAGTGGGCTTGAACCCGACGCCGTTGATACCGGTGCCATCGTCATCTTTGTCATTGGGGTCGTAAATTGTAATTTCATCCTCATGCCAGGTTAGCGACGCACGCAAAGGATCTACGACTTCCGCCTCGTCATCGGCGTCTGACAGTCCTTCCTGAGGATGTCCTTTTTTAAATCGGAGAGGCGGGGTGCCAGCTCTCTTCTTCCTTGACTGGGACTCGGACAGGCGGTTGATGGAAGGATATGCTTTCTGCAGGAGGCCTTCAGACGAGGGTGGCGGCACTTCGAGCTGTGGCATGGCGCGATCGGTCATGTCAAGCACTGCGGTAGTTTCCATCTCCGGTCCCGGCAGCAGCTGGGATTCTGGCTGCGGCTGCACCAGCGCATCATCTTGATCTGGTTTATGGCGTTTCCTCGTAGACGCATCGGATTCTACGTCCATCTCATCAGCAGCCTCAATTACCGCGCCGCCGTTTCCAAGCGCAAGGCCGCGGAACCTGTGTACAACGGTCGACGAGCGAGGGCTGTTGCCGCCATCTTCTGGAGTGCCGGTCGTGGAGAGATCAAAAGTAAACTTCAGCGGCGAAACAGAGACGTCTGCTCCCCTTTTCCGCTTGGGCGTGACGTTTACGAGGTCTGCCATGGTTCTAGGGTTCTCAACTTGGTGGTGTGAGGTGCAGCGGCAAGGGTGACAAGGAGCAGGTGGAGAGTGCTGAAGAACAGCGTTAAGGCCCGTCAGCGGCGATCGTGAACTGGGGGCCTGAAAGCGGTCAAGCAACTTGTGCTGCCGGAAGGCAGATTCCGAAAGCAAGGACGAGGCCTGCAAGTGTTTGGGTGAAGGGCTGGATCAACGACATGAGCGACATCAATTGTCGTCTGCCAGCTGATTGGGCTGCGCTGGCCAATCTGCAGCACCAGCGTCACAAGACCTGCGACGCCGCGAATTCAATACAGCGCCACGTGGGAAGCGAGAGAGATCTGATGGCGCTCTGCAACAGGGCAAAAGCGGGCTGTGGGGGAAGCAGAAGCCCGCTGTAAGGTACAGCCTCAGCCGACGGCTTTAAAGCCCGAGAGTATAAAAGGGCAGGAAAAGTTTCATGGCTTAAGAGGGCAGCAATAATAGGCGGTTGTTGATAAGGTTGGGTTGCCCAAATCCTAATTTTAGCAAAAAGTTGTTCGATACGAGTTCAATGACTTAGAGGCCCCCCAGTCGAGAGAGCTACGGCGTGTTTGCCTGTATTCTGCTGGTGTCAGGAGCCTGAGCCCACATTCACCGTCTACCTCATGTGAATGCAAAAAGCTGGACTTGACGCGCCATCAAAAGAGACAGAAAATTTGATATTGAATGAAACAAGCACATCAAGAAGTGAGAGTGAATGCCAACAATATTGTGAAATCATCTGGACTGGAAACGGTATCCTGCATGCATCCAGATTGTCTCTACATGGTACAACCGCATGTTTGAGCTGCAAGTTTCCATCAGTTTACTTACTGCCTTAGAACTTGGTCACGTAAAGAAACGTGAAAGTTGTTTTAAGAAAAGAAAAGGCACCTAGTGCTAGATGGCCACTACTAGCTTCATAGTCAACAAAATCAGATGATTCATATCGCCAAGTAATGATAAAGCAACAAACGCATTCCGGCTATATTGCTTTTCTAGGCGTCGGATCAGGGCTCCAGCTTGGAGATTCTCCACTGCCAAGAGCTCCGAATTCTAACAGCTGTCTCCAACGAACCCCCAATTACCCCGCCATTGCCCCGCCGTCATCGATGCTTCTCACTGTGGCTGTGGAGTGTCGCATATCCGCTCAAACGGCTCTCGAGACGGATAAACAGGCTGAATGCGATCCTACCTCCAGAGAAATGGGGAATCCGAAACCACAATATATCCGAGATAATCGCCATTAGTACCCATAATCTCTCCATAGTCGGCGTCGTCGCATTCTTATTTTATTCCTAGGTTGGCATTTCCGTGAAATATAAACATCGTCGGGCTGGCCCTTCAGATTTACAGCACACTCCAATCCAATCCTTCACAAAACACGTTACCATGTCTGACGCTGCGTTCAAATTCCTGCCCCTCGGGGCCATTATCCAATCTTTCAAGGTCAAGGACACAAATATTGTGCTTGGATTCCCTGAGCAGGAGCAGTACGTCAAGTACAACTCAGCGTACTTCGGAGAGACAATCGGCCGCATTGCCAACCGCATCAAGGACGCCAAGATCAACAGCCTCAACGGCCAGGCGTACCCGCTTGCAGCCAACGATGACCTCAACAGCTTGCACGGCGGCAACGAGGGCTGGGGCAAGCGCATTTGGAAGGGCCCGACGGCTGTGGGAATCAAAGAAATCCCCGGCGTGGAAGGCTTGAGGGGTGGCGAAAGCGTCGAGTTCACTCTCCGCAGCGAAGATGGCGACGAAGGCTACCCCGGCGCCGTCGAGGCCAAGGTCATCTACACTACTGGCAATCAGGTGGTTGATGGAAAGGAGGTCATCGTTCTGGGTATCGAGTACGAGGCGACACTGGTTGAGGGCGCCGATGAGACCATCATCAACCTGACCAACCACTCCTACTTCAACCTCACTGGCGATGAAAACATTGAGGGCACCACCGTCACTCTTTCGACCAACAACCACCTCCCTGCTAAGGACGACTCTATCCCGCTCGGCGGCCCTGTTCCCTTCCCGGGTATTGATACCACCCAGCCCTTCGTCCTTGGTGCCACCGGACCAGCATTCGATCGCTGCTTTACAACCACCTCCAACCCATCCTCCGTCCCGATCGATACCCGAACACAGCCTCTTGCTCTCAACCTCGCTGCGTCCCACCCCAAGTCCGGCATCCACTTGGAAGTCCTGAGCACAGAGCCATCTTATCAATTTTACACAGGTGAATTAACCAATGTCCCTGCCGTGGAGGGTCTGCCAGCGAGAGGCGCACGAAGTGCTTTCTGCTGTGAGCCCGGCCGTTGGATCAACGCAATCAACGTCCCCGAATGGAGGGACATGGTCATCCTGAAGAAGGGCGAGACTTATGGTGCGAGAATTGTGTACAAGGCTTGGTCAGAGTAGAAGAAAAAAAAAAAAAAACGCCAGCGGCTAGCGTTTAGTAATGATGAGACTTTTTTGACTTGTTCCGAAGCTCCATTGCTCGTCCACGCGTCTCAACAAGGATATCTGCATGAATTAAAGAAGATAGGGAGATATACATTACATGATATCACGTTGGCTCGTTCCGTGATATCCCCAGTGGTCGTAAACTCAACGCCATGCCGCATTATCCGCACATTTCAGAACCCGCTTACTGAGTAAATCAAACAATAGAACTGACCAGCAGTCGCCTAATCAGAATCGCTCTCGTCTCCCAGAAATGCCAGATCCGCGTGAGCTTTCCGTCGTCTCGCAGCAAACGAAGTAGGTTCATCGTTGTCATCATCCTCGTTCTCTTCTTCACTTTCCAATTTGGCTTCCTGAGTAGCAGTTTTGGCCTTGCTTCTGCTGGCCCTTCCGCCGGAGCTGGTACCCCAGAGACGGTCCATCTCTTGGGCAGCCTCGACATCTGCCTGCAGCTCTCGCATTTCTTTGATCTCACGAGCCTTGGCCTCTGAGAAACGCCCATCCATGCCAATGTCTGCCAGCATTTTCTTTAGATGGCGAATTTTAGCCCCAGCATTGTCTCCATGCTGTTTGAGTTCTATATGCCACAACTTCCGAATACCGCATTTGGCGAGTTGAGATTGTAGTTTCTTGATTTCTGCATCCTTAGGATCATCTGGAGTGGCGTCCTTTTTAGCTGCTGATTTGGAAGCTTTTGGCTTTGGTGGAGCTTCCTTCTTCTCGCCTCTCTTGCGTTTTGTAGGCGGTGGTTCGTCAATTACATCAGAATACTCATCTTCCTCGTTCACCTCTGGTTGGGGCTCGTCCTTGGCATCTGGCTTCGCCTCCTCTGCTCCTGAATCGGGTTGAGCTTTTACTGATGGTTTGATCTCGCCGCCGGGGGTTTCTTGCTTTTTAGCAGGAGCAGAATTTCCTTTGCTGGAAGCATCGTGTTTCAATTCGTCTTCGGATTCCTCTTTCTTGCTTCGTTTCCGATTTCTAGCAGGTGATGGGCTTTCTTCTAGCTTGGTACCTTGATCATCAGAATCATCTGCTTCAGCCTTGCGACGTGATACAAGCTTCTTAGATTTAATACTGGATTCCTTCTTGGGAGCTTCATCAACGTCCGACTCTTCTTTCTTCTTGGCGGGTCCTGATGTTTTCTTTCGTCGCTTAGGCTGCGGGGATTCGATTTCAGACGACTGCCGTTTGATGCCAACTTTTGAATCTGATTCGTATTTTGGCTCGGAAGCATCTTCTTCGAGCAATTTGTCCTTGAAGAAGAGTATTATTAGCGGGATAGGTCGAAAAAGAAGCACAACGGCGACTTGTTTGGAAATTGGTAATACTCACAACTTGCTCCTTGATAATTGTCTTGCTTTTCTGCTTCCACGCCTCGCTGGTGAAAAAGCTATCATCTAGCCCGAGCTTTTCTTCAACATGCCGGCGCACTTTGTTGACGGAAGTACCGTCAGGCTCTGCGCTATACACCTCGCGAGTGCCCTTAATAAGTGCTTCCTTGAGCTGAGCGGCTGAAGGGGCCATGGCAGTTGGGAAATAATTCAGACGAATTGGTTCCGTGTCTTCTGATATTGCAGCGGCAACAGCAGCACGTGATGCATGCAGGATTAGATGAAGCTGCACTTTGCCGTTGTTGAACTTTGAGAAGCGCGTCTGCGACGCGATCGGGCTGTGATTGGAGAGATTCAATTGAAGCTGAAGCTACAAGCTGCAGTCGATATGGGGTCTTTGCGCTGGGCAAACAAGGTTCAATCCGCCAATGAGACTAGGCCGGATGTGTCACTGTGACCAATGATGTGGCAAGCTCGACTTTTTTATGGAACTCCAGCCTGAGGTTTGCAATGCGCTCTTGGTGGCGGCTGTAAGAAAATGGAATATTTTAAGCTCCAGTGAATAAGCAATTGGGATCGAATTTTGAACTCAACATCTACTATTCACATATCAATATCAATATCAATACCCAATCTAGTGGTATCGAGGTTATCGTCACGAACTGATCATACGCCCCATCTATAACCCTCTAAGAGATTGATCCTGGTTCAAGCCAAAGCAAAATGTCGGCATCGCTTGCCCCGGAGTGTAACGAGGTAAAGGAGTAAGTGTACTCACGACGTCCAATGGACCCTTTACATTACGCTTATACAGGAACAAAGGCGCTACGACACATGCTTTTTGAAATGGTATAGTGAAAGTGAGAGACGTCTTTTATGGTGATGTCTAAAGCTGGTTCCTGAACTTACACATACACAGAGTATCTCCGTGGTGCCGAAAAGGACAACAAAGAGTGTGCTGGCCTGTTCAACGAATATCAAAAATGTCTAAGCGTACGAAACTGGCCAGGGACGAGGAAAACGACACTACGATATCGTGCTGACACTTGGATTTAGGTTGCACTAAAGAACCGAGGCATAGATAAGCTTCTCGACGAGGCCCGGGAGGACAACAAGGAAAACGATGTAAGGTTAACAGCACCAAGGAGTAAGTCCACGAATCAGGCATGAGAAAGACGTTGTGGTTTTATTAATTGTCGGCCAGAGTAACAATGTTTGGCTCGATTCGTTTGCGGGGGAGAAGGGCATGTCCACAGATGCGCTGGCATGCGGAGAGGCTTAGACTTGTAACCTCGTATTTGCAGCTCAGATCCGTACATATAAATATCGCAACGTCGTTTTCTGGCGGCGTGTAAATCGAGAGCCTACGTATATCCTGGACGCAAACATGCATATCCGGGCCGCAGCATCGTGAGATACACGCAAGCAGAGGGGATGGCCGTCAATTGCAAGCCACGTGATTCGCTGCCAGGCGCGAACGCACCTCGAGAGCCTCCACTCTTGGCGGGCGGTTGGCTTTTTAGTGGAGGAGCTGCTCGCCTTGCACTTTTGGCTACGTGCCATCAGTCAGGGATAGCTCGCCAACCCTCTCGACTCGAATCCTCGCCTCAGCATATAGCATATAATCCAGCTTGCGGCTCGGCCTTCTGCTGGGCTTGTCCACCCTCCAGAGCCGTGTGTTGCTACTGCCGAGCTTAATTCTGCCAATCGCCGACGCCGACAAGACGCGCGCTCCTCCAACCATCGCCGCATCCGCAACCGCAGCCGCAGCCGCAGCATCCCACCTTGAATTCGAGGCGACAAATCACATCGATCCTCCTGCTCCTTTGGCCAGCGGCATGTCCTACAGACCGCAGTAGCGCTCTATGCACCCCTTCTCGACCGTGACCCTCGGCATCTTCGTCGCTGGCTACATCACCGCGCGTTGGGACCTCGTTACTCGCCTCTATGAACTGGCAATATTTGCCGCGGAATACGGAGTTGTTGTAAGTCGCAATGCCTGTACCTTTGCGCCACCACCACGCTTGAGCCTGTCTGGGCATGTCTGACGTCCGTCTTTTATTTTCTCTGCTTCTAGTTGCGCGCAGCCCGCGGCATTGTAGTCTTGACTGCCTTCTTCCTCGCCATCTTTGTGCCAGTAGCCCTAGTCGCAAGGAGGGAAACAAGACTTGTATGTTGCTATACCCCCCCTCCAGGACTGAGCTGCGAAGAAGCACCATCCAGGCTAATGCAACGTAACTACAGCACCCACGAGAACCCGGAGCTGGAATATCTGCGCGAGAGCAGCTCAGGCGACGAGGCTCCTTCTGAGTGCTGTGCCTCGTCTTTGTCGATAACCATCCTTTGTCATGGTAGAGCATGATGGGTTGATGAGAGTGTTTTGGCCGACAGACATTCGCAAATCTGATCGCACTGGTGTTGTTGTCGGATGGAGGAACTCGACACTTGATGTTTTTGTCGTCACCATTCTCGAAGATGTTGATGTTAGCTCTTTCATTGCTCCCCCCTTCTTGATGTTAGCTCATCGCTAATGGGTCGATCTGGCTTCTAGGCGCATAATGTCGAGTTCCATCTCAGGTCCGGTACGTTCTTCCGGAGTGGCCCCCACTCTCCGAGCCGGATTTACGACCTCTGTGGGCACTCGTCGATGCATGTCCTAGGTGTTTCCAATGCGGCAAGTCAAAGCGCCGTTGACCCTTCATGGGTATGCGCCAAGACAAGCACTAACAGCCGTTACCCTCGGATTTCCTGCGCCAAGGCCTCCAGTATCCAGCTCATCCTATATGATAGGCCTCACCCAAAGGGTATGCAGTACATATCCCTCAATCCAATTGCGTTGGCTTTGGGGGACAAAGGATCGCTCCCCGAGGATGTTACGAGCAGTGAAGATGACAGCGAAGAGGCCAAACAAGAAAGGGCAATCAAGGAAAATCGGCGCAAACTGGTCGAGAAGCTCAAGCAGCACAGCATCGTCAGGCGAGTTGCCTCCGCTAGAGATAAGGCGCTGCCAAAAATCGTTAATCAAGTCAACTGGTCCTGGGAGCTGGAGCAAGCGTTGCAGCAGAACGTGGGACGGCTTGGCCCAAGACCGAAGCGAGGTCTTAGTGTTTCGGAGAGGGTAGTGGAGTCGGCCACGACAATGCGGAACTATGTGCTCGTGCAGTTGTGGACTCTGTTTTCAGTATACCTCTTCCCGATTGTGCAGAAGGCTTTCATCCTGGTACTGCTCTTCCATAGGATGGTGGCGGAAATCCTACTCATCATCCTGGAGTTTCGAGCCAAACCGGGATATGCCGCTCTCAAGGATATCTCGGCAACCGCCCAGCAGATTGAAATTCGACTCCAGCAATTCTGCTACTGGCCCATGCAATATGTCACCCTCCGCCAGCGGAAGGCCAATTGGGCAAGTGTCACTACCAGCCATCCAGACTACATCCGTTTCTACAACAGCCTGTGGCTTGTTGCCAACGATGTAATTATCGGCATGGCTGTAGGCTCGTACATCATTGAGCACAAGGACTGGGTTGCGGATCAAATTCGAGATCTCCTGCGCACATACACGGTGGAGGCTCTTCAACGCGGCATATCGTGGCTTATGGGATGGCCTGCAGGCCTGAAGCTGAATGGTGAACTGGCTGCCTTCCTTGGAGATCTGTTTCTCTGGGTCATTGACTATTGGTCAAGTAAGTTACAATATGCTTCCCCCGGTGGAATTTCTACAAGCTGACACAGTCTCGCATCACAGGTTGCATTGAGACGCTAAGCCCCATGCTGCCACACATTATTTGGTTCATTGGGTTTTCATCTTTTGCAGGGGCAAGCATGCCAATCGCGATGTTCTCAGACTTGTTGTCGGTCCTCACTATGCACATCTACTCCTTTTATCTTGCGTCTGCAAGGATATACCACTGGCAGCTCACCATTTTGCGGTCTCTGTTCCATCTGTTTCGAGGGAAAAAGCACAACGTTCTCCGCAATCGTATCGATTCGTGCGATTACGACCTCGACCAGCTGCTGGTGGGAACAATTTTATTTACCCTTTTGTTCTTTCTTCTGCCCACCGTGATGGTCTTCTATCTCAATTTTGCAATTGCTAGGATGATCATTATATCACTCAAGGCAGGCTTTGATACGTTGCTGTCATGTTTGAATCATTTCCCACTGTTTGCCTTAATGCTGAGGTTGAAGGATCCAAGTAGATTACCTGGTGAGTACAAGATGGTGCATGCTTTTCACAGGAAATAAACTAACTTTGATCAGGCGGCATTCATTTTGAACTTCGAGATACCCATGACTCTAAAATCCCCGACACTAATGATAAACTTTTTAATGAACCCCCTACTTCTATTATCTATCTCAAGGTGAGAGCTCTCCTATCTTGAGACTTGCTGGGAAGTTGGACCCAACTAAATATGTGCAGAACATCCCCCTTCCCTTTCACGACATGTTCCACCAATATTTTCAAATGGCTCACCGCATACGCAAACACTACTTATCACCACGTGTGTTGTTGTGTTTGGTAACTGGACAGTTTGTCCCCCCGATTAACAGGAAAAATCTGTATAGTTTACAGTACAGCATGTTGCCGGCGAGGAGGGCGACTGTGTGGGAGATGTGGCGGGCAGTGAATATGGAAATTGACATTCCCCAGAAGAAGCCGTTTCAGTTACCAAACATTCCCGGTTTGCAAAATGGGGGTAAACGGCCAACAGGATTTGGTAGGACTAGGTCACGGGATTAGAAAAAATTAATAAAGAAATATGGTTTTTTGAGAGTTGACCTCCAAGAGTATGTGTCTCCGATAACGTTGCGCCTCAAAGGGGGCTTACTTAGTGTTTCGCCGGCATTTCAATTTTAACCCTTAGGTACGTTTTCTTAAGGAGGCGCAGCCTAATGACAAATACTATTCCACGGCAGCAATAAGGATGTTGAGTATCAATGGAAGTAATGTTCTGATAAGGACTATGGATGTCCGATGGCGTGAACACAAAGGAGTGATGGGCCAAGGGCTTGCCGATTCGACTCCATATTTGCATTGAGGCCATCTTGGAGTATATTGGTCCCAGCAAAGTCGCGTTTTTCCCAACCACCGAAACACCCACAGATACTTTGGCAATTATACTTCAACTGGCTGAATCATATATGAAGGTTTGGGGCAGGTCAAATGGGCTGAGCAGATTGGTGGCAGAATCCAAAGAAACCGAGTGACGCGGTATGGAATAAAAAGGTTACAAATAGCCTTCGGGCAATAGGTACAAAACCGCCCTCTACCTCTTCCTACAATCTATAGCATCGCCCTCAGTCCGCTGCAACTTCCTAAGCATCGAAGGGTCCTTCGCAGGAGATTGTTTATACACCAACACCCTTACATCTCGATTCAAAATGTCGTCCGAGCCGGTTTCAGAGTTGTCAGAACTCGCCGAGATCTCAGCCATGCTGCTACGGCTGTTAGACTCCGAAAATGACCTGCCTGATCCTCGTCCCTCAACACTGGCAGATATCCAGAGGGACCCGACGCCAGAAGAAACAAGGCCACAAGAATCAGGAAAGCAAACGATCCCAAAGATTGTGTTGACGACTCCAACTGGACAGGAGATGGCCATTTCACCCCCAAAGAAGACGGTTCACTGGCCAACCCGTCCAGCGAGCTTGATCCCTAACAAACGTCGCGTACGGGATACTGCCAATATCAATCGTAATGGAAAGAAAAAGCCCACGTGAGTCCACTTTAGACGTCCCAGTTATCCTCTTAGACTTACATGGACCCCTCAGAGCGTCTCAGCCAAGCTTGACCGAGAGGACCACAGGTCAGCATCGCTCCCGAGTCCGGGGGTGATAAACCGAATCAGGCAAAAAGCTCGAGCTGTGAATAGAAGAAAGGAGGTCGGATTCAGGATAGCGACGGGGGCGATGAAGAGGACCTTTAAAGCGATCCGCGCGATGCCAGTGACAAGATCACGCTCTGCAAATGGTACAAACCCACATACCACCATTTAGTAGGTACTAACCTATAGACAGCACTTTCCGTTTCGGCCTAATCCAGATGATTGAATTTCCTCTAGATTACGGTACTACTTGCTTCAGCTTGATGCTTGATACGACGTCTCTTGGAAAAACGAATACCTCAGGCATACACATTCACCAAGCAGAAAGCACGTGTGTTCAAGCTTCACTCTTACAATTAGCAACTCTTTCCTTCACAAACCGCGTATCTCTTTGAACTGTCTCCCTAATGGTTCCTAAGCAGGATATCCACGAAACTTCTATTTAATAATCCTCAGAATGCCTTCTCTCTGTGGCCGCTCCGGCACATCTATTCCAGGTTAGACTCTCGCAAAACAAACAAACTCGGGGACGACAACACTGACATTATTCTGCAAGCTACTATTGTTTACTAGATGACGTGTCTCTCTCCATCTCTCTCATTGAACATTTGAACTCGGTATGATACCTTAAAACAACATGTTGGACTCATGCCTAACAAAGCGTCAGCATCTTGGATCTCAAGCTGTGCAGAAACGACAACATACAAATTCTTCTGCGGCAACTTTGTATCGTCGATCATTGGCAGCCTCTCTCTCTTCCCCTTAGCGGTCGACACCCGCCATCTCAGTGTCTTCGTCCGCACTCTGGGATGCCGAAGTCCCCGCGTTGGTGTTTGCCGTCTGGTGCTGGACGGCTCCCACAGCCGTTTGGTAGTGGGCAAACGACTCTGGACCGGGACGCGACATGTGAAGACTCTGAATTCCATGCTGGCTGGAGGGCATAGAATAGAACTGATTGTTGTTCCAGAGCTGCTGCTGCTGCGCTCCAAAGTCGGCAGTCCTAAAGGTGGTGGTACTGAGCTGTGCGGGAGCGTTTACAAATCCAACGCCTTGGCCCGTAGAAGTTAAGGGTGCAACTCCTAGGAACATCGACGGCTGCGATTCGAAAGGGGCGGGATGGCCGTGGGGGCCACTGATGGGCCTCGCCATGAGACCATTGGCTGCCTGAATTGAACTGATGTTCAAAGGGTTCTGGTACAGCTCCTGTCTTGGCAGGCGTTGCTGAATCTGAAATCCTCGATCATCCTGCAGAACGTTCATCAGAGAGTACGCGGGAGGGACAGCAGGTGTATTTCCAGCGAAAACGCCGATCCGAGAAGCTCGAGGGGTCTCCTGTTCATCTCCATCGTGGCGAGATGGATTGGCAGGAGTTCCGGCGCGAGGAGTACTGTTTCCAGGGGCGGCTCTCTGCCTGGCCCGAGCCGCGGCTTCGGCAGCGGGAGTACCTGGGGCGCACCCAGTCACGTCGTATCCTTTTCGAGGCATCTTTCTCGTTGTTGGTTAATGATGCAGAAAGAAATGCCTAGGAAATATCAGTTACAGTTAGAGGCAAGGAGTAACAAGAACTAGGAACAGCTGCCATTCCGGGGACAAAGTTGGCATGGGATGCGGCTCACTGAATTTATGTTATGGATATAATGGTACTGTTACGGAATGGTGGATGAGATGGTGAACCGGATGCGTTTGATGAAGTGAAATGATAACGAGTTAATAATATGATGCCACGCTCCCGAAAGTTGTGCCAGGGGGATATGCGCGGTTCCATTACGCGGATAGAAAGAATCACTTATTGATCAGTTTGCAAAGGTCGTTAGCCGGCCAACCGAGCCGTAACTGAGAAGAAAGTCATTTTGTTTATTATATTTCGTTGGGACGGAACGGGTGTCTGCCCGTTGGATGCAGGGAAAGCTCAACGGGGAGAAGCGATGTCGGGACTGAAACAAGAGGTGAGAGAATCCCATCTGCCTACCAGTATCGTGAAGTCCAGCAGGAAAACTCTCACCTGTTCTAAATTGAGCAAGAGAGAGTTTAGGTATAATTTCTGGGAACAAATGAAGCATCTTGGCCGTTTGATATACATTTCTCTAAATACTACCTGAATAGAAAGCAATTAGCCACCCTTCATTACCACGCGAGAACCAAATAAAACTTCGTCTGGAAGACATATGCCGAACTCTTATTAATCAAGGTACGCTTTGACTAGAAAAATATATATATACCGACACCTTCAGATTATGAAGACGGTGTGTTGATTCACTCTTCGGCATCAGCCATCTCGACATCCTCGTCCTTTGACTTCTTCTTTTTCTTCTTCTTCTTTTCTTGCTCCTCGCCGTCTTCCTTTACTTTTTTCTCTTTCTTCTCCTTTTTCTCTGTCTTTTCCTTCTTGTCCTTTTTCTCCTTCTTCTCCTTCTTTTCCTTCTTCTCCTTCTTCTCTTCCTTTTCGTCACCATCTTCGCCTTTGGCTTCCTCATCCTTGGCATCCTCATTTTCGTCCGATTTTTCGTGTTTCTGCTCAAAATCCTCGTCGTCCTTGGCGGCCTCCTTTTCGCCATTGGCCTTTACGTCCCCCTTGTTCTTGGGCGCAGCAGCAAGTGGCGCCTTGATCTCATCCAGCTCCTTCATCCAGCTCTTCCAGTCAAACCGCCGTGTTTTCCACATGTCTCCCTTCCACGTCCGCCAAACGCTCCTTCCCATCCATGACTCTCTCAGCTGGGATTCGTGCGCTCCGAGGGCGGTCATGATCTTGTCTTTCATGTGCTGGGGTATGCTCCAGTCCTTGCCCTTGCTGGGGATTTCGGCAATGGCGTTGATGAGGTTGTGGCCATACTGGGATGTTGCCAGGTCGGGTATGTGTGGCATCAGAGTGTTGATGAGACCCTTTTGGAAAGTAGAATTGGTAGATGGTGTGGCGATGGCAGTAGTGAGGACGGTGACGGTTGGTAGTGACGTGTTGGCGAGGCGGAGGACAAGGTCGGATGGCAGAGCAAGGATGGATTCTTGAACACCCTTTGCTGGGCCGGAGATTGAGAGCAAGGTGGTGAGCAGATTGGCGCCGTGGGATTGGACGGCATATTCGTTCTTGGTTAGCTGCTGCACGTCCTTCTTCTTTTTCTTCTCTTCCTCTTCGTTGGCTGAGAAGGAGCACAAGGTCATGACTAGATCAGCTGGTTGACTGCCGCATCCCTCTTTCAAGCCTTTCATCAGCTTTTTGGTTTCGTCGTTGATGTTTCTGGCCGCGCATCGTTCGAAAAGGGTCGCCAAGACGTTATATCTTGCCTTGGAGACTAGCTGGGGAACAGTTGGCGCAATTTGATCGACAGCCTTTGCGAGGTCATCCTTGCCCAGTCGTTGAAGCACCTTGATAGCAGGATAGCACGAGATGTCGTTGCGAACATAGCCTTGTATCCTGGGCAGGAATATGTTTTGGTTAAGCGCCTTGAAAATCTTTCCTGGCGCATGCATGACGAGCGTTTCGATGAGTCGCGAGCCAATCTGGTCGTATACCATGCCGTTGATGAACTCGGAAGCCGCAGAAGCACCATCAGACAGTGATTTGGGAGCGCCGGGAAGAAGTAGCTGGAGAAGAGAAGGAGAAGCATCGTCGGCTTTCCCCTCTTCGCCCTTGGGTTCACCCTTATTGAGTGTCAGATCAAGCTCTAGGATGAGCTGCAGGATTGGGTTGCCAATGGGGTGTTTAGCCAGGACCTGGATTCCTGTGGCATCCATTCCTGCTACCGAGTCTCGCATGATCTTGTTGGCTGCCATGGTAAAAGATGCCGGCACCGCTCGCTTGCCGTGGTTTTGCGCATCTGCCGCTGTAGATCCAACAACGGTGATCTTCTCTTTCCTCTTGCTCTTCAGCAGCGTACGTGATGATTGTTCTTCCAGGGGCATTCCAGATAGTACTAGTAACAAGACTCGCAGCGTATGTGAAGCGAATCGGTCGGTGATGAGGTAACCTAAGCTACCCTCAAGCTCGTCCAGTGTAGCCAAGAACAAGTGCTCCATGGAAGCCTCAGGCTGCTGCTCTTCGACATCTGCACCCTTGGTGTCCATCACAAACCCGGTAAAGCCAGCAAGCTCCTGCGTGACAACACCTGCAGATCGTAGGAAGAGAGCCTCGCAGCAGTGGCTGGCAAAGCGGTGCTGTACCAGCGACAAGAAGTGGCCTCCAAAGGCTTCAAACAGCTGCTTCTTCTGGGCCGTGGAGGCAAGCTGTATCAACCGCTCCATCAGCCGAGAGCAAGACTGGCTGCTGGCGACCTTGAGCTCCTTGCCTTTTGCTTCACGGTAGACACTCTGCAAGAAGATGTCTCGCTCCTCCGGGGTTGGGAATTGGTTCAGTTCCAGCATCTCATCAGCCCGTCGGAAGTATTCTTGCTCGTCATCGGCCAGCATGCCGAAGAATTCCCTCTCGCCGGCACCGCCTTGGTGCTGTGGGAATTCTTCGTCGCCATATCCATAGTCGTTGGCGTTGCCCTCGTCATCTCGACGCTGGCGCTTCGTGTCGGCATCGAAATTTGCTTCCGTGTCGTCGTATCGCTTCCGCTTGCGCTCGTCGCGGTCGCCTCCTCGTTTTGTTCGTGGCTTCGGCATTGTGTAGAGGGCAATCCAGTGGACAATATGTTTGGTTTGAAGAGCTGCAATGAGCTTTGGAACTTTTTTTTTTTCTTGGGTGAAGATTATCACCGATAAGATCTTATCGTGGCTAGCGCAGTTGACAGGGGTCTGGGAGACTCAAAGTGGGGGAAATGGGGTGCATGAATCGAAAAATTGTTCAACCAACGAACCATTTCTATGTAAAGAAAAGCTTCAAAGAAATGGCTTTGCTATTAACGAGAAAAAACTCCAACGGTTTCTTGCATATTATTACTAAGATTTTAGAAAATAAAATGCCTGTGTAAATGTATATCGAAATATCTATGGTTCCGTCCAATATATCATCGAATATGAGCGTAAATGTAATGTTAGATGTAAACATGCCACTGGACCTGAGCATCTATATACTGGATGCCATATATGATTGGTTGATGCTTTGATGCTTTCTTCACAGAGGAATTCCCCGGCCCAACTCGTCCATGGCCTTCACGAGGCCATCCACTGTCCCCTCCAGAGTTTGCACATTGACCACGACGCGCAAGAAACTACCGTGGTCACCAGGAGCGTAATCAATCATGAATCCTCTTCCAACAAGCGCATGAGCGATCTGCTTAGTTCTGGAGGTGTTCACCTTGCTATCAGAAGGCAGCTGGCCTCCTGGAGCAGAGTAGAAGCAGACTTGCAGACAGGGAGTAGGATAAGATGAAACCATGGAAAAGTTTCCAGTTTCTTGTAGCAGCTTGAATAGGTAGCTGGCCATATCGAAAGCGTGGTCGATCTGACGCTCGAATCCGTTTGCGCCGTAATATAACCAGGCCAAGGCAACCTTGAGTGTGTCTCCTCGCCGGCCGCATTGCAGAGTCAAGTCAGCCAAGTCCCAGATTTCGCCATCGTCGCTGCCGTGGAAGAGGTATCCCGCAGAGGTGCTGTTTGCTTGTTGGAAGATACGCATATCCGGGCCCAGCAGCAGGGAACAAGTGACCGGGGCATTGAGCATCTTATGCGGATTCACAGTCAACGAGTTGGCCAGATGCGAGCCTTTCATCTTCCACCTCTGAGCCTTTGAGAAGATGACGCTGCCGCCCCAACTAGCGTCGATGTGCATCCACAAGCCAAACTCTTTGCAAATCTTGGAAATGTCTTCAAACGGGTCAAATGAGCCCTTGACAGTAGTGCCGGCCGTTGCGTTAACATAGAGCGGTGTCTTCCCCTGCTGCTTGGCAAGCAAAACTAATTCTCGGAGAGCTTCCGGCTTCATCCTGCCCTCGTCGTCCACAGGAACCGCCCATACGGCAGACGAGCCCATGCCGGTTGTCATTGCGGCCTTCTCCACGGAATAGTGGCCATGTGCACTCGTGAAGATGACGAAATCATGCTTGCCGTTTCCTTCCGTCTTGCTCTCAGGGTATAGCGTATTGCGAGCTACGATAAGAGATGTGAGGTTGGATCCACTACCTCCAGGACATGAGACACCACCGGCATATTGCCCATCAAAGCTGAATAGGTTGGCAAATGCTCTGGTGGTCGTCTTTTCAATGATGGTCAATGCCGGTGAGACGTGGTATACATGTAGCTTGAGAAATGTTAGGGTATTTAAATATGAGTCGGGAGGGGGTTCTTACGTTGGTGTTTAAAACAGATAGTAAGAGATCAGCTACAACTCCCACCTACACAGATGTCTGTCAACCTCGAATTCATAAAGCCATTTTGTATAGGGGCAATGCACTTACTGGTGTATTACTTGAGTATAGCTTGTCCATAAAGCCTTGGTCCCAAGTATTGACGCTGTATTTGAGTAACCTCTCAACGCCCTGCAAAAGGCCTTCTTTGCCCTGTCCCTCCTCTGGGAGAAGAAACTTCAACCTGGCGACGAGGTCTGAAGGCTTTTTTGAGTCGATCAAGACATTGTGAGGCTCTCCATTAGCATTCAACCCCAAATTCCCTGTAGCCTTGTGAGCCGCGGCATCATCGGCAGCTTTGATGAAGGGAATGATGAGCTGCTGAACAGATTCTAAGAGCTATAAGAAAGAATTAGTCCACATGTAAACGAGAGGATCAAATGGCTTAGAACATGAACGTACATCGGCAGTCTCCGCAGCCCTGTTAAGCTGGAGTTGAGGTCCGCCATTGCTAACGAAATCGTTGCTAGTGGCAGTCATGGTGGGTGATATACGGAGCCAAAGGGGGAAAATTGATGTTGAGAAAAGTCCAAGAGTGAAGACACTAAAATAACAAAAGAGCCACCGTCTTTATTTACTCGGATTAAATCGCTCAGCCTCGTTTGAGAAGAGGCCACGAAGGATACAAAATCTTGGCAGGGAAACCCCGTCTGTCACCGGTTATAGGGCTTACGAGTACGAGGTAATCCAAGGCTCCGTAGCTCGGTCAAATGTATTTACAAAGAGAGGATTGCGGTTATTCCAAATCCTTCTATCAGCACTAGGGTGAAAATTGAGCAAAATAGTCAACCGAGTCTTTACCGCATAGACAGCCAAAGCACGCCTTCAAAAACAAGCAAAAAATGGGCGTCCGAAGAAGTTTTAGCCCCTCGGCAGAATCGCTATACCAATTGCGCCATTGAGCGGCCGTCTGTCGTTTTTCCTTTCGGCCTGTCGGGAATTTTTGCTGCCTTTGTGGCTGCTTGGATGTATTGATACCCTTGGTAATTGGCGGTTAAAGACGCCGCTAACACCAGCTAGCCACACTATTGAAGCGATGTTCCGAATCCATCTCAATTGCCGTGGTAGTGGATCGTGTGTGGGTGCTGCCAGATGACTTCACTGATGGCAGCCTTGCCCTGGAGACTCTGAAATTGCACTGATACGAGGCTTTGGTGCTTGGACAGTATCAATAAAAATGTGAGTAAGACACTGAATAATGTAAAAGGCAATAAGCGGGATGAGTAATGATGAGATTGCCTGTTTGTAGATATGACAATGTCTCAGCTCCAGCCTCTCACAATATCAGTGACACAACAGGAAAGATGAGGCGACCGGTGATATCGCAGCCCGGTTCTCAAAAGAGGAAGGCATCTAATAAATTGTCAGCGTAACGGCTCACGTGTATTGAAGATCAGGCTGCATCACGCTAGTAAGAGAAGTCATGCATGAGAGAATTCAGGTGCAATTATGGTTCGTAATGAACCGGCATTGTGACCAGCAGTGACGCAAATGCATATATGACGATCAATGGCTGTAAACTGGTTCACTATGACTGCCGAAGTCTCATTTATCTAGGGATGCCTGACTACATCAATTGATAACCTTGAAAGTCTTGCGGGTTCCACTCCAGTGGCTTGATGCCGAGGCATCTCTTTTAGCTAACAATTCCAGTATGAGTATGAAGAGGTACTTTGTCCATTCTCCGAGGCGAAATGAAACTGCCGAATCGAATCGGAACTGCCCGCATCGCTCTTTTAATTAACCATCGCCAGTATCCCAGCAGATGCTGATACACGACATTACATGCTGTGGACCGTGGGGGTATGTATACATGTAATCCCCACGTTTTATTCCCCGTAACTGAATGGTTCTTCACACGCAACTTGGTTTTGATCTTGTGCATCCATTCGCTCACAGAGTACATATATACATCAGAAATTGATCAACAAATTAATATTGGTTTCTTCAGCTTCTCTCTTTGCTTGGCGGAAATGCATATTTTTTGCACCAATAGCAGTGATATTTACTTCCATGCAACCTGTAGTAGCCTATCTTCGATCTCAGGAGCCTTGCCTGTCTCCGTGAATCGAACCGACAGTGCACGCGGCTCAGCATGATCCAAGTGTCCAGCAGCCATGTCCAGGTAATTTAACATGCCAAATCTCCATCCCAGCTCTCTATCCAATCTACCCAAGCTGGGATAGCAATTGGATGCTTAACGGTGGCACGTCATGACAATGTCACAGCAACCAGTCCGCATCATCGGAGCGGGAATCGGAGGATTGACCCTCGGCCGCTGCCTCCTCAAGTACGGGATTCCAGCTGTGATCTATGACAGATTGCCTTCAGCTGCTCTTCACAATTACGGCGTCACGCTTCATGCTTCGTCTTATATACCTCTCGTGGATATCCTAGGCCTGGACGAGTTTACCTTCAGACGTCGCCTAGCCGTGGATGGATCGCTAGGCGGAAGCGGCAACATTAATCCAAAGTCTCTTATTTATCCCGGAAAAGTGAGCTCGACATCATTTCGTGCTCATCGCGGCAAGCTCGAGGCATTGCTTCGCGAAGGGCTTGACGTCCAATGGGGGCACTCTCTAGAAGAGGTGAAAGACACGCCTTCAGGGATGATCCTTTGCCTGCAAAACGGCCACAAGGTAGAGAGCGCATGCATTATTGGAGCTGATGGACCGCACTCCAACACTCGAAAGTCCCTCTCCCCTGATACGCCATCCCATGTCCTCCCCTATGTTGCCTTCAACGGCAAGCGACAGGTGGAGCGTGTTCTCTTCGACAGGGTTTACACCCCAGCATTTCAAGGAACAAGCATCATAGAGAGGAAACATGGAGACGTGGTTCTAAATATAGCCATTAATGGAGAGCAGGGAGATGCCGTGAGCATGAACTGGATCTTCTCGCGTCCAGCAAGAGGATCCAACGATACACTTTACAAGCCCAATCGACCAGTATCGGGAGCGACGGATATCCCAGAAGAGTTTTTCAAGGAGATAGCTACTCTCCATGGACTAAGCCAGCCATTCAGAGAGATCTTTGATGCGGAGAAAATGAGGACGGATCGGGTTTTGCATTGGCTTATGCGTACGGTGCTGGTCAAGCGTCGAGAGCTCCGTGCACTTGCGGACAGGGGCGTCTTCTTCATGGGCGATTCCGTCCACGCAGAGCCGATTCTGGGGGGGCAAGGTGCAAACAGTGCTATTATAGACGGCATCGAGCTTGCAAAATGCATCTCGGCATGCGGCTCGGGCGGCATTGCATCTTGGTACGAATCTCGATATCCAGCGTGGGAGAATGGTAGTAGCGAAAGTGAAGAGGCGATTGCCATGATGCATGGTGTATGATACGATTAGAATATTACGCCCTGACAATAGTTTAAAGCTGCTTGAAGATAGCAAATTATATTTTCCTCACAACCTATTTTACGTTCTTTCAAATTACGCATCCAGTGTTCTAATGATCATGAAAATCTACTTGTCACTGTAAATCGCATTTGGAAGTCATTGGTCTGCTCATCAATCATACAGGGTAGGCTTGGTAGATCAGCATTAAGTCATGCATGTGATAACAACTCCATCTATTACTCGTACCTACCCACCTCTACATTTACATCCTACACCCATGTCATCCATCTCTTTCCCCTCATTCTCTCCGAGTGTCATCTAGGCATGTAATAGGTTAGTGGTGGCAAAAACCCTATCGTTGCATTACCTCGAGATTCTGATACGGTCAAGGGCGATGTGCTTTGACTACGGCATCTGCTCGATGATGCAGAGGCTCATGATTTGCAGCCCCTGAAGCTCCACACGGGCTGACATGTTCAAGTATGTGCTAGTGCTGCAGTCTGTGCTGTGCTCCGTATGGCCAGAAAGTCGACGTCGTGGGCTTCTTGTATGCAGCAGGGAGTTCGGTATCACAACCACAATCGCCGAGCACCACACAGCCACCAGGTGTCGCCCACTGGAAGAAGGGGACAGCCTGCGAAGATGAAACCAGGCAATGCAGGTGATGATAACATCAACAATCAATGCAACCTACCTGAATCTCCCCCTCTTCTCTTGTCCCGGCCTGCACCTGCATGGTGGAAATGACGCCTGAACTCCCCCATCACCAGCATCATATGCCCATATCCCATCCACCCACGGAGCTTTTCATCACCCCTACAGGCCCGTTAAGGTTCACTGGACAATTGGCGGGGACGTGCCCCGAGTGTCTCTCGCCTAGCAGGTCTGAACCCTGTCCTATCGGCGACGAGCGAAATTGCCGGGAATGCAGAGAGCCAGCAAGCCGCAGTGCGGTCGATGCCAACATCAGAACCCCTGGCCTGCGTCCCTCTCCGCCCACCGCGGGCGCTCAAGTCGCATTTGATCCTTTTTTTCCCTCTTCTCTCTCTGCCGTGGCGTGCTCTATTCCCGCAAGTCCTAAGTACTCGCAGTAGCGTGTCCTTGTGAGCACCATTTGGACCCAAGACCCAAAACCTTAAACCTCACCACTCCATACTGCATCACCACCATCTCGACATACAGTATTTTGCCGCCCCCCTGATTGCCGTCTGCATGATGCATGCTCTGTACCTGCACCCGTAAATCTTCAGCTCGCGCATTGCGCCCTGGCAAACGTCCAATATCCAAACCTGCCACGAGCATCCCCTGATCCCTGGCATCGCTTGCCCCGGGCCCCTGGACGGACCTTGCCCTCTCTCGGCCGTGCAAAATTTCGCCTCCACAGGCGCCAACACCCGGCAACGCCCATAGCGCTCTCGCGAAACCCCTGCCCTTTTCCGCCTTCGACAAATTGCCCTGCTTACCACTAGACCAGGCCCTTGTCGGCCGCTTTTTATTTCCTCTCTCTCCCAATTATCTGCCGGCCAAGTGGGTTGCGAGGGTGTCCAGCCCGCGATAGCTGCCAGCTGGGTGGTTGGTTCGTCCAAATTTATTGCTCGATCCAGAACGCGGTCTCGGGCTTGTCGCGTACGAGTACACCCATCTTCTCGTGTTGGCGCAAACTATCTTTTTTTTCCTCAACTAATCTTTTTGCTTCTTTTTGTTTCTTCATACTGCAGCGAGCGAGCGAGCGAGCGAGTTCTGAGTAGAGTAAGCGGACAATTGTGACGCTGCTTTGCATTGCATATTCCCGGTCTTGCATCTCTAGCCAACATCACATCTCGTCTGCCCACACCAACGACACCCTGTCCTCTGACAGCATATTGCCCTTTTGTTCTTTTCTCTTTGCGCTTGCGTAGATCAGATCGTATCACGAGCCGTTCCAAATCGGAGAATCGGCGCACTTCGCATTAGGTAGTCTGCCTATATCAGATCCCACCAAACCAACTCCTCCTCTCCTCTCTTCTCCTTGGCGCAAAGTAAGCGCACAAACTCCCTTCGCCATGGCAGCACAGACGCAAACCCCCGTGCCCATCTCCATCACCATCTGCGGCGACGGAGGCTGCGGCAAATCCTCAATCACCCTGCGGCTCGTCCGCTCCGCCTGGACCTCCGATTACGACCCTACAATCGAGGACAACTACAGCGTCACCCGTGTTATCGACGGCGTCACCTACCATCTCTGCCTCACTGACACCGCCGGCCAGGAGGAGTACCGCGGCATGTGGGCGTCGTCCAACCTCGGCGCCGACGCCTTCCTCATGGTCTACGACATCACCTCGCGCGACTCGCTCGACGCCCTGCAGCACTTTGACGAGCTCATCGACATGGAGGCTGAGGTCCGCCTCGACAACGCCGAGCGAGCCCGCGCCGCCGGCATCAGCCCGGCCTATACCGGCTCCGGCGCCGGCTCCCGCACCGTCCCGCCCGTCAAGATTGTCGCCGGCAACAAGTGCGACCTGCAGGAGAGCAGGACTGTGCCAGCCGCCACAGGTCTCGAGTGGGCGCGCAAGCACGGCTCCGGCTTCATGGAGACGAGCGCCCGCCTCGAGGTCAACATCGAGGAGACGTTTGCCCTCATTGTCAAGCGCGTCGTCGAGCGCCGCCGCCTCGCTGAGGAGGGCGTCATGGACAACACCGAGATGAGCGCGCGGGGCATGACGAAGCCGCTGACCCCCCTGCCCGCTGGCACCGAAGAGGACGAGAAGCGCGGGCCAGGTGTTCGGGGACCTATTCTCAGCGGAGACAAGGTCGGCCGTGGACAAGGCGGCTTCTGGAAGAAGCTGCGTTGCTGGTGATGACGAAAGATGATGATGTCGCATGGCCCAAACGAGAAGGGGAAAGGGGGGTGGGCAAGAGAAGAGAAAAGAAACCAATGCCTTTCGTTTTCCGTTTTAATATCTTTTTTTCCTTTTTCAGTGTCTTGATTCCCGCTATTTTTGCTTACACACAACTGGGCATATTCTCCTTTGTTTTTCTTTGTCGTTGTTCACAGATACCATGGATATGTATGGCGGGCGTCAGGGAGAAATATGATATGGAACCAAAAGCATCGCGCGTGGAGATTTGGTGGACAAGAGTCTGTATTTTTGCTATTGAAAGCGTCATGTATAAAAGTGTCATGTATATTGCAGCATACTGCCTCCTCGTAGGCTTAATTACTCGAAGCAAAACCCAAGGTGGTCCCGCCTTGTAGACTTGCACCTCTGAAATATAATAATCAGTCTTGAATCTTTTGGTTTGTGGAAATGTACCTGGGTGATTCAACTTGCGTAGGTTTGGGCCTGGGTATAAGGATATCATAGTCTTTTTTATTGAAAAAGAACACAAGATTTATGGAGAAGTTAAAAAAAAAAAAAGAATCTGAGCTGAGAAAATCATCTCCTCCACTCTTGCACGTCATTCGTCTATAAGCGTCGCAAGGTTCGTTGTATGTCATCCATTACCGTCCCAAATAGTCCCAAATATTACCTATACCAATGAATCAAATGTTTGTCCTCTCTGTCTATAAACGCCCAGCCGAGCTACATCACAATAGACGGGGCCCTTCATTACTGCTTGCTCTCGACCCAATCCCTCCACTTCTTGAACTCTGGATAGTTGAGGCTGATTTTCTTGCCCTGGTAGCGTGTTACTTTGATGTCCAAGTCTTGCCATTTGGAACGGCTGCCCATCCAGCCTGCTTTGCGGATCAAGCTAAAGAGCGTCTCGTCTTTGGTCCATCCTTGCTCTAGTGCTACGTCGGGCAGATACGTTGCGCCATAGCGTCGGCCGCGATCCAAAAAGGAGATGCGAATGCCGTGAGTTCCAATCTCCCAGTCGTGCATATCGTCTGCCTCTTCAAAGTCTGTGAGCAGCGTCACAGCGGCCTGGAGTGTGGGAAGCTCGCGCTTGGAAATCGGGTGGAAGCGTGTGTCTTGCAGAGCGGAGATGAGGGCGTATTCATGAATGCCCTCGGACAGTGGCTGAGACTCAAAGGTGCCGATGCAGCCGCGGAGAGAGACGTCGTCATCTTCTGGGTCGACAGTATTCCAAGTGACAAAGAGGGGAGCGGCTGTTGGCGCGATATCGGGTAGGGAGGATGTGGACGTTGCGGGAGTAGAGGCTCCTGCTGCCGATAGCGATGTTGAAGACGACGACGATGACGATGACGAGGCGCCGTCGGCAGCAAGACGCCGGAGAGCGGGATTTAAGGGAGTCTCAGAGGGGCCGGACACGGAAGCGGAGCTGGCCTTGTATGCGGCCCACGAGGACTGGATCTGTTCAAGGGAGAGGGGCTTGCGGTTGCTGAGGTCGGCGTCCAGAGCCTCGAAACATACGACACAATGCTCGACGGTTGCCATACTGGGCTGCAGCGGAGACACGGGCACGGAAGAAGCACGGGAGGAGAAAGTCACGAAAGGCCAGAGACGGCGAGGATCAGAAGAAGCCACTTGGTTGACCAGCGGCGCTCGGAACCACAAAAGCAAGGGCAAAGGCAGAAGCAAGAGGAAAAGGAAAAGGAAAAGCAAGAACCCACCGCAAGGCAAGGCGGGGAAGCAGAAGCACATGCAAACGGGGGAGCGAGTTCGTGATTCAGGACTTCGGAAACCGGCTGGCGGTGCTGAGCAGCACCCCCACCTGGGACGACTTGGAATACCCCGCGATGCCTGGCTGAGGGTGGCTGAACAGGATTCCAAAGGATGGGTTTCGGAAGAAGGAGTCGAAGGATTTGCTGTCAAAGTCCGAGTGCCCTTGCATGACGAGATATTCCGAGCACTAGCCACGGCAGCGGATTGAGGCGCAGGGAGTTGGATTGCATTGGATTGGATTGGCGTGGCGCATGCGCTCTGTTGACGTTTGGCATCAATGCGGCGCTGCACTGCACTGCACTAAACCAACTGCGGGGAGAAAGATGCTCCGTTGGTTTCTGTTTCTGTTTCGACTTGCGTTTCAACCGGATCCGTGGTCAGGAGAAGATTATGGTACTCATACTGTTTGTTGCTTGGGTACTAATCTTGGAACTGGTACGTTCCTGTGGGAAATAATGCGATTTATTATTAGAGGATCTTCTGTTAACCGACTTATTCAATCTCTGATTTGGACCAGGCAGTGATGCATCTGTTTCTCCACAGCCGTCAGTAATAAACATTCCAAAAGCTTGTTTTTGTAGGTAGTTAGGTACCTCATGTTAGCGAAACTTCCAACGTAGGATTATGCTGCTACATGTATTCTTTCATTATTATTTTTTGTTTTCTTTCAATCGTTTGTTATCTTCTCCCTCTCTTCTTTCAAAGCCAATGTATCCCTCTCTAGCATTACCCGCCGTTGACTGTCGTGTTAATCAGCCATTTTGATCCGCGCACGCTGCAACTTACAACAAACTCCCACCATCCATCCCCAACTTCATTTCCCACATCCATTGCCTTACACCCCAATGCAACCCCCGTCAATCCTCGTTCTTATCCTTCTTCTTTCCCAATCCATCCTTTTTTGTAACCGGAATTTCCACTACGCGCTGGCTCAAATCGCCCTCTTTTCTTATTCTGGCCCTGGCCCGCCCCGGATGAGGGATCCTGAAGCACGCCTGCGTTTCAGGTCCGCTGCCCCCTTTCTCCGTCAAGGCTCCGATCGAAACAAATTCGTCCGCAAATTTATGCCTTCAATGCCCTGTTCATGTTCTCGTCGCGTACCAATCTCAAGGGCGGCTCCCCACGTTGCCGCTGCTCCAGGCGCCAATGGTAGTTTGCCCGCCTTGTCTAGATTGAACGGAGTCCAAGTGTCGTTGCGTTTTTAGATGCTGTTGTTTCGGGCCTCACGTTGCCCGTGTTTGAGATGCTTCCGACTTGCCGATAGCAAGGAGCGTAGTGCGTTTGACATGTTTCGTAGCAAGAGCGCGACCTCGTACAAATAACGTCCGTCTTCCCTCTTTCGTGACTGTCTCTTTTCCCTCTCCATTCCTTTCAAGCATCCTTCACTCACTCCTCGTGTGACTTTCTTTCGGTTCTATCTTCTTGACTCTTGTCGCCGGTCGACTTTCAATCGCTTCTTTCTTCTTCTTGATCCTTTCTCTTTTTTTTGACAAAAAGCATATTTCCATCATTCAAAATGCAGTTCTCTATCATGACCGTTTTTGCTCTGGCCGCTGTTGCCATTGCCGTTCCCACAGGTATGTCAGCGTCGACACCCAACGATACAAAACCTATCCTCTGTCTGGGCATATAATCCGGGTTCTAATTTCTACTGTATATAGGCATTGCTAAGCGTCAGGTTGTTGGCAACGCTATCCCTGCCAACGTCCCTGCCATGACAGACGCCTCTGGCAACGTGATTCCCTTCAGCGCCAAGGATGTCTATGTTGCTCCCGGCAACTAAATGACCCGGACATCACACAACAACATCAAACGGAAACATTTTAGGGACGGGATACAGTTACGGTGCATTGGTAATATGCGGATATCGCTTTGTTAAGGAACAGGAAGGGGAATGTGCAAGGAGAGCCAACGAATGTACACTTGGGGGGAGTGAATAGTTATTCGCAGGGTGTGAACAATATTTCAATACAATGGCACACCTCGCACGGGGCGTGTCGTTGTTTTTCTTCATATAATTGGGCGTCTATTTCGTAAATCCCGTGACATATTTCGTAGACGAGTAATGGTACCGTCCAGACGTCGATTACAGTGTTAAACGCGAACGATCAAGGGGGAGGCAGTAAGCACCAGAGCCGCAACACCGTTGCCAGTATCCACATTTCGCATTTTAAGAATAGTATCTAGTGATTACTATCGTCGATCCAACGGAAATAAAAGCAACTCCAATAGAAGCCGGTTCCGTGGGAATGTGCTGTGGCTGAGCACACCTTGATCGGAAAACGAAAGCGGACGACCTTAGTGGGAGACCGCAGCGAATGTTCGGTGTGCATTATAGAGCAATTTAGTGTGTATGGAGTATTATAGTACCTACATGTACACAGGAACAAGACTTGGTGATGCCTGAAATCCGCTGACGTCGCAAATACTCGCGACTTAGACACCGTAAACTCCGTATTATATGTGCATTTGTATTCTTGTATACCGGAAAGATTTAACGGATATGAAGATGACCGGATGTTAAATGTCACCACCTTGTGCCTCTTGTGATGAAGGGAAAGGCCGTCTGACAGTGGCCCCCTGAGCGGTTTCATTCTCAAGTAATACCTATATGAAATACCTGTATAGACAAAATAACCCTCACGTGGCACTGCTGTTGGCATGTTGGTTTTGGCATCACAAATACATCCTTTCTTGCCCTTTGTAAATACAATGCGTACGAGTACAAGCATACGTACGTGTGAGAAAGTAGAGGCCTAATTGTGAGCCCTTCCACCACTCCACTGGATTCCTGTCGCCAATCAAGACTCAATCATGAGCTGAACGACTCCACTCTGGGTGCCCAAAATAGCCCTTGCGAGGGGGTCAGCCAGGGTGCCGGAGCCAAGCAGTGGGTGCGATCTGGAAATTTTGGCTTCTTAAAAGCTGACATACATGGGATGGATCCAACAAAGACATATTCGACTGTTGAGACCGAATACGGAAGATCACTTCTGCCCTTGGTCGCCCAGCAACTTCCATCAGGCAAAAATAGAATCTCACGCTTCTCTCTCCATAGCGAGCTCCGTTGAGGAGAGGACGAGACAGAATGGGTGCGCTTACGCCTAGCTACTAATGGCGTGATGCCCTCCAGAGTCCGTGAGGAATATTACACTGTACGGTACTAGCTGGACACGTCCAAGCGAGCCGTTTGTGCGGTCTGCCCATCTGCGTGAAAATCGGTTCGGGCTCATGCAGCTCCTCGCTTTGTTGGCGAGAGCCATTGAAGCTTAGGCCGCGTTATTTGACTTGTCGTGGCACAGGAAAATCCCTAGTGTCTCCAATAAAGAGAAGCAAGCTCAGCTGCTGTTCAGCCGCAAAAGGCCCTGGCCCCCCGCGCGTTTAGGTGCCCACATAATAGGCTGCCTAGTTCCATGACAACTCCTAAAGTCCTCCCCTGGGCTTGTGAGACGGCGGTGGCTCAGTCACCATCTTGTCTGATGGACGGATGAGGCGCCGTGGGCGGCTCGGCTAGCCACGTCTAGCGTCTTCAAACAAGCGGTCTCTGATGTTGTGGGTGGGGATTTGCGCCTTGTATGGCTTAAATGAGTGGGAAGCCGGGGGCTGGGCCGCAGGGCAGACTTGATGAGGCTTAAGATGATTAAATAAATAATCGATCAATAAATAAACCCGTGGTAGTCCGCCTATCGCAAGATGCTTGAGGGAGGGGACCCAAAGCTGCTGACCTGCGAGCCTAAACAGCCCTACCATACCTGAGCAAGCCATCCAACACTTGAAAGATATGCTTTGATAGATAGCAGCTGGCCTCGACACTTCTTCTGCTTTCCTGCATTCCCAACCATAGGTGGAAACGTCCAAATAGAGGAGCTATAAGCTGCACGTCAATCATGGCCAGCCACAGAGCGCAAGCACAGTTCCAGCGTGCAAAATGGCGCCTGCTGCTTCTTGCCCCAGCCTGGTCGGTGCAGCTGACATTGGCGTTCGGATTGCTGGGACTTTTCTCATGGAGACTTGGCGATACTGTCCATCATTTCGAAGCCCGGGACAAGGCTGGTAAAGCTCCAGTCATCGAATATGTGTAAGTACTAACACCCTGGGACCCAAACAACTTAAACATGGATATTGATGATTCGAAGCTGGGAAGCCACCAATATCGCATTGTCATCCGTCGTGGCGATTTGCACCATCTTCGAGATTGCCAGATACTTTGCTGAGTCGCTGACGCCATGGACAATGCTGTTCACCCACGTCGTAAAACTGGCATGCGCATCTGCCATTCTCGCTCTCGACGTGGTCATATATGTGCAACGAAGCGACTCTCACTATTCTCTGATTGGCCTTGGAATGGATGCCGTGCTAATGTAGGTGACTTTGTGTAGCAGTAGGGCCTTGGATTTGCAAAAACTGACAGGTCCATAGGTTCGTTGCCATTTTGCTTGCCATCTATGCCATCCTGGCGTATCGTCGGCTATCCAAATATGACGACTACGCTCATCCTGTCAACGTCAAACCGTACGGCTTCAACGATGGACTGGATAGCGACACCGCATACTCCTCGTTTTCGAGCCGGACAGGATTGCGAAACTCGACTGATAAACGGGGATCACTTGGATCAGAGCGCCTCAGCATTGGCTCTCTCGGGAGAGATCTCTCGAGCCCAACCCTCGCCCCACCGGTGGAACAAAGACCAAGACGCTATAGCCACGAAAGAGACACGCAGTTTGAGGAATACATGGTTCGCAAGACCTCGGGCGGCTATAAATTCGACCCTACCTCGTCCAGCCCTCCTAGCGACTCACTACTGGGAGACTCATTGACCGCGATTGGCGCAGTTCATTCCCGCTCAAGAGGGTCGAGTATATCGCAGACGATGAGCTACACCAGCGACCACGTCTTAGTTTCGGTGCCAGAAGAGGAGGGCGAGATGGTTGAAGTACAAAAGCATGAGATTTTGCCGGGACACGATTCACCCAAGTGAAGGCAACAGCAGGAGACGCTGTGGAATGTCCAGATAACAGAACTGGGCGAGAAACAAGCTCAGCACGCACGTGGAGGAGGCTAGTTGGCCGTAAATGAAGGATACGATACCCGGGTCAGGGAGGGAATTTTGGCCCCTCGGATATGGTGGTGTACTGCACATGGTCTGGCGTTCTGATATGGGTGGAACTTGCGGAGAAATTGATGCTATGAATTTAGAGAGCCGAACTGGATATAAGGATATAGAGTTACAAGGGAAAGCGAACCAGCCTCGTCCAGGTATTTGGCGAGAGCTTGAGTTCCGCAGCCCGACGATGGATATGCATCGGAATTATGAAGCAAAATTTCGTTTAAATACAGCTGAACCTGCCTACTGAAAATTGGGGATCCCGTTTGCTCGCACATGTAACAAGGAAGCGGCATTCTAAGCTAAAGAGCCCACTTGAGATCGTTCAAGATGCACCATAATCATTGGGCTGGGACTCGGGTCACGTGAATCCAGGCCATGACTTCAAAAGCACAGTACAAGTACATGCATCCGCGATTCCTTATTGGCGACGGTTGAATCTGATGATTGATCTCGACGAGGTCCAATTTCCGTGTCCGACTCAATCCTCGGCGTTTCCCGCCTGTTTCCCAGAGCTTCGCAGCTGCTCCAGCACCAAGTCGCCGCCACAAGTTCCCACTTGAACGGCTAAACCACCATCCCACCTTCGCCCAGACCGCCTAGGTAGTTCCTCGAAACGCGCCCAACCAATTCATGTCGAGCGTCGAGTGCGGCTTCTAGCCCATTGTCTAGAGCTGCGCAAGGCTGACGCGTGGCCAGAGGCGCACCCCAAACACCGTCACCATGAGTCGAACACTGCCCGCCCGGCAGGCCGAGGAGCTGTAGGTATATGGCCACTGTTTACAAGGGTGGCGGAGGGGCACAGGACGACTTTGGAGAGAGGCTGGAGACGGAAGACATCAGACGCCAGAGCGGCCTTTGCTAACCGTGACGCTGCTGTGTAGGCACAAGTCGATTATAGCGTATCTCGCGGCGAACAACCTCGCGAATACCGCCACGGTGCTCAGGGAGGAGCTCGACCTCGGGGAAGACGTGTTCGATGCGACCATGACCAAGAAATATGAGACTCTGCTAGAGAAGAAATGGACGAGTATTGTCCGGCTACAGAAAAAGGCATGTCCGTTCACCTTGGCTGCCCAGCGCTTACCCGGCGGCTGTCTAACAGGCGTTGCGACCCCAGATTATGGACCTTGAGACTCGAAACGCGGAGCTTCAGTCAGAGGTTGACAACGCGACGCCCTCGTCGCTCTCACAGAAAAACAAGGACCCCGCCTCCTGGCTTCCGAAAGCACCCTCACGACATACCCTCGAATCGCATCGGGCGTCCGTCACCTGCGTTGCCTTCCACCCGAGATTTACGTCGTTAGCCTCAGGCTCCGAGGACTGCACCATCAAGGTCTGGGACTGGGAGCTCGGTGATCTGGAGCAGACAATCAAGGGACACACAAGGCCGGTTTTGGACCTCGACTACGGCGGCCCCAAGACAGGTATCCTGCTGGCTTCGTGCAGCTCCGACACGACGATTAAGCTGTGGGATCCGGCAGACGGGTACAAGAATATACGTACACTCTCGGGCCACGAACACAGCGTCAGCGCAGTACGCTTCATTCCTTCTGGCGGCACTGGATTTTTCTCCTCAGGCAACATGCTCGTCAGTGGGTGCGGTGACAAGACGCTGAAGATCTGGGACGCCAACACGGGGTACTGCGTCAAGACGCTAAACGGGCATGCGGGCTGGGTGAGAGACGTTTGCCCATCCCTCGACGGAAACTATCTTTTGTCTACAGGAGGCGACCACACTGGCAGACTGTGGGAGCTCACAGTCGCAAACCCCGAGACAAAAGTCACTCTGATAGGCCATGAGCACGTCGTCGGCTGCTGTGCCTTTGCACCCCCTGCCGCGTACGAGCACCTGGCTGCTCTAGCAGGGCTAAAGAAACCTCCGCCAGCAACCAGCACGTCAGAGTTCATGGCGACTGGATCACGGGACAAGACGATCAAACTATGGGATGCCAGAGGTAACTGTATCAAGACCCTTATCGGTCACGACAACTGGGTTTCAGGTGTTATGTTTCATCCTGGAGGCAAGTATCTGCTTTCCGTAGCAGACGACAAGTCGTTGCGATGCTGGGATCTCAGCCAAGACGGAAAGTGCGTAAGAACATTGTCCAGTGCCCACGAGCACTTTATCACCTCCCTGAGGTGGGCTCCAGCAAAGCCCAAAGATACCCCTACAGGCAACGGCACGGCGAATAACGATAGCGAGAATACACCTAGGAGGGCGGCGGCCGCTGCATTAGATATATCAGATGCGCAGATCCGCTGTGTTATTGCGACGGGCAGTGTCGACATGACGGTCAAGATATGGGCAAATTAAGGAGGGCACGGAGGCAGGGGGAGCTATATAGGGGGAAAAGCTGAAGGGTGGAAAAACCTGTCCAAAGTAGCATGCCCATCGTGTCATTAAAGTGACAGGCCCAAACCCACGACTACAACGAGCACATACGCACACAAACGAAGATGGCGGAAGGGAGCGGATGCTGAATACCGTTCCAACGGTGTTATATAATTGATGAGTTGGCTAGCTGAGCGTGGGACTTGGGTTTTTGGTGGACTAGAAGGGGAGAGTTGTTGGGCGAGAGAGCACAAGAGCGCGGGAGCCAAAGAAATTTACCACAAAGTTCATTGCAAGCCATTTCGAATATGCCGTATAATTGTACCCTTTTAGTTTTTTTGTTCTACGACCTCTCTCTTCTGTTATTACCAGATACTTGTATTTATACCCCCTGACTAGCCTTTTGTGTGATTCCTCAAAGGCCGTCAAGGGTCTACGACTCAGCCGCATAGCGTCGATGTTCATAACAACGTCAATTTACTAGTCTTAGTTACAACGATATCTATTCAACATTGTATAATTGGTCATAATGTCCTACGGCTCGGCGTAACCCATTCCGTATGCATTTCATGATATTGCTCACAATTTTGCAATCCATTTCTGAATAGTCTTCTGAATCTGGTCGCTGTTCTTTTCCATGAAAAACATGTGGCCGTTACCGTGGATTCCCGCCTTTGCAAGTTCAAGGTGGGTGGTTTTAGAACAGCCCGCCTGCTTGAGGTAGCTCACTGTGCAGTAATCATAAGGCGCGTGATAGGATGACTCAGAAGTGACAAGCAGAATAGGCTTGCTAGCCAGATTCGAGAGCTGTCGTGGCGCTGGCGTAGAGGCCTGGAGCACACAATCGGTATGGTTCTGATCAGGAGCAGGATAGATCTGCTGCACGAGATCCACAGCGGGAATGGTGACAGGGGGGTTGTAGGTGAGCTTGATGTCAGCCAGTCCCCAGGCACGAGCGGCAGCGGTGCTGAAGATGGCTTCTCGGAAAGGAGGGCCAGTGGGCTCCAGCAGGATCAGAGCCTTGGTAAGCTTAGGGCGAGCATCAGCAATGACAATGGGCATTATGCCGCCCTGGCTGTGGCCAACGAGAATCACGGGCTTGCCAATCTTGTCCAGCAACGCCGCACCAGCATTCTGAACCGTGGTTTGCTGGTAGACGGCGTTGCTAATGAACTGGACGTTGGAGCTATAGAAAGTGTCAAAGATGGGATCGCCCATGGTGCCATTGCCTGGCCACTGCGTGTGCAGGGCAGCCTGTGGCCACAGATTGTAGTCCTGGACGGCGGTGAAACGCTGCTGGATTATTTCAGCCGAGTAAGTGGACGGCAGGGCCGCCATGTAGGCGGGCTGCCAAGGAGAACGCGCTCGAAGCGTCTGATCAACGATGTAGATTTCATATCCTTGGTCGAGGAACTGGGATGCCCAGCCGCGACTGCCATCCGGCTTGTTCAGAAAATTCTAGATGCAGATGAGCCATGAATTAGCGAGATTCTCTGTCTGTTGTGCAGGGATTGGTTGGTTGGTTAGTTGGTTGATTGTTGGGGCTAGCAGTATATCGCATATACTATGTGTTCAGGGCATTTCGCTTCAGCTCGGAGTAGTAGAACAGCAGCAACTAGTGCCAGTGCTGCAATACGAATGGAAGATACAAGGTGATGATTATATATACGGAGATGTAAGCAGCTTACCGTGCCTGTCTGGGCCTGGCCGTGGATGAAGACAATGGGCGTTGCTCGGCTGACTCCCTTGGCCGGCTGAAGCCTCTCGACATACATCTGCTCGCGAAAGATGTGGCCACCCGCTCCATCGTCTACATAGCCACCACCAGTGTAGAAAAAGGTACGGATCGCAGCCACCTCGGACGAAGCTGCTGACACGCTGCCGGAACTGGCAGCAGCATCGTCAGCATAAGCACGGCCCAGAACAGAAGCCAAGAGGGTGGTAGTCGTGATGAGCCGCATGGTGATGTCTCAGGAGCTCCAATTGGGGACCAGCCTGTTGGTGTCGGTGTGGGCAGGATCGGGTTGCTTGTAGTACTCGTACACGACCGGATCAGTAATTCCTGCAGCACAAAGCAGTACCAGCAACTTTGAAACGCCTTGGTGCTCCTGTTTCTGTCTCGAGGGTTGCAATTGAGCGGGATTTCCACGTGGAAACGCGCGAGTGTGGCGGCCTAGAAACCTGGAAGGAGACGGTGGCGGACGCCGTGCGGAAGAAGGAGGGAAGCAAGCGAGCGAGCCCGTCTAGCCAAGGTGTACCTACCTATAGCCAGGTCAACAGGAGCGAGCGGGAAGGAGAGCTGAAGCTGGACCTGGACCTGGACCTGGACCCTCGACGTGGCCATGGCTCGCTCGCTCATTCCTTGGCCGGGGCTTTCCTTTCCAGTTCCAGCATGGCGGCCTCGAGGCTGAGCAGGTTCTTCCCTGGGACCTGCTTTGGCTTCCATCCCAAAGCGGCGATGTCGACGGAGCTGTTGGTGGAAGATTCGGCTCCATGCCCCCACAAAGCGTGCGACGTCTGGCGGCAGTCTCATCCCGAGTACTATGTATGTACCATATATGCGCTCCGCCGTACGGAGTACCGAGTATGGAATCCAAATGGATGCTTCTCAACGGCCATGGAAGTATTTGCGATATCCTGCAGTGACAGCTGCCAACCTCCCAGTCTAGACGTTGGACTATACCAAGGTGGTAACCTCCCGCATTGTTAGCCGACATTGATAGTTTCAGCGCCAATGATGGATGGCTTACCCATGAAACAGCCACAGCGGCCTTCTCCAAAGCAAGCCAAGTGCCGGGATGAGGATCCAGGGTCAAGAAATCACGACACCGACTTTACAAGCCGCGGAAATCTCAAGGCGATACGAGAACAGTAGTTCGCGCAGCTCGTCTTTACTAATAGCGTGTCAACTAGTCTTTAGTCTAAGTCTATCTTATACTATTTCGTACGTGCCAGACTCTATTATACCGCCCTAAGTATATACGGAGTTGTCACTGCCACCATTGGGCGAATACATACCATACAGAATATACTCGTAGTGCTTGGACTTGCGCTCCTCTCCTTGCTACGAAATTAGAATCGCTCTGTCATCAATGCATTGCGCAAAGATCCTGGAAGTCAACACCTGCAGGATCTCCTTGATTCCCGAAATACAAGCACCCTGCCCACCAAATCTTCCAGGCGCCTAGTTTTATCCCTGACGCCCAGATATGACAAGAGACATGGGTCGGGCTCATTTTGAGAAGCCCGGTCGTGATACTAAAGTGTTAGTGTTGGTGCTAGCTCTCCCCTAAGCGGCATTTCCACATGAATGCTACTCTGTTTTTACTGTCACGGCACATGAGTCCATTTACGCCCAGCTGGTTGTATATTCGAAACATTTCATGCTGACTAACAACAATGACTTGCATTAATTTTACCGACTCGATCCTGCATATGCCAAATCGTTGAAGAAATATGACCACATGCCTCGTCAAGTCGGGGAAGAAAACATGGCTTTGGCTGCGCTTCATACCACACTGTATCGACCCATTAAAGACGGCTGCGGCCCGTAGTAGCCCTGGTTAAGCTCTCTCAATACTTAAGGTCTTACTGGCTAGTTGAGGTTATTTTTCTTAGGGTCCGGATCTCGCGGGGAAGCTGATGCCAGTCTTCCGCGGCCACTTATACGGAGGAATTATCTCCACGCTCCGTATTCGTCGCCCCCCAGAGCAAGGACTTTCGCTCAGCTACCAAGTACTATGCCCCCTCAATTACAATTACGTGATGCCTGTAGTTATGGCCCATCCCCTATGTGGCCATAACTGTCTGATTACTATCTCGCTTCAGACGCACAAGATCCTTGCAAGACTGCAAGCTCAGCTGCCGATGCTAGTATGGAAGGGTATCATGCTGGTGAAAAAGGTAATTTCTGTTCTTATGCTTGAGGAGTCCTTATTGATCGCCAAACACTCCACTCTTTTAATCCGCCTCAGCCCACTGCTGGCTGACGATCAACTAATGGACGTGTGCTCAACTTTACTCGCACAGCTGGCTTGGCTCACCTGAATCATCACAGCAGTTGCATTTTTTTCACAATTCCTCTCCCTAAAACGCATCACCTTGATCGCAGGTCGACGATATAGGATGCTTGCAACGACACCAAGGTAGCCATGGATCCCACACTTCTTATCCATTGGCTGTTCAGCTGCCTGGCTCTCCTCATCATGGGGATTAGGCTTTGGGGAAGGAAATATGTTCGACAGGCTTTCAATCTAGGCGACTATCTTACCATGGCCGCTTGCGGGTGTGCTCTGATTAGACTTGGAATGATTCACGTCGTCCTGACTTGGGGAACGAATAACATGACTGCTGCCATGCGCCAGGATCATCATTTTACCCCCAATGAGATCTACCAGAGGGAGATCGGCAGCAAGCTTTCCATCGCTAATCGCGTATTCTACAACTCCTAGTCAGTATTCCCCATGTCTGTTCTATATACCAGATCTAGCGAGTGATACAAAGAGATTAACAATGGTTGTCGAATCCAGCCTGTGGTTACAGAAGCTCGTGCTATTGGACCTCTGTCGACGACTCATTCGCGATTTGCCGTTTGAAAAGTGGCTTCTTCGGTCCTATCTTTTCATCTTTTTCGTTACCTATACGATTGTCCAGGTCTTTACTTTTAGCGAGTGCAAGCCCTTTCACCTCTACTGGCAGGTTCTTCCTGACCCAGGTATGGATAAAACCTATTGTCCACTGTTGGGCTTCCATACTTAGTCTGACTCTCGATATAGGCCCGTGTGCGCAAGCTCAGATGCAACTTATTGTGCTTGGCGTCCTCAACATTGTGACCGACTTCATGCTGCTCGTTATGCCGATCCCAATCATCTTCAAGCTCAAAGCACCCATGGCTCGAAAAGCCCAACTGCTAGGGCTCTTTACCCTTGGTATATTCATCATAGCTATTACTGTCATCCGACTGCCAATCAATTCCTCGCACCCATATAGCCAAGTCAACCGTACGACCTGGGCAAGTACCGAGCTCCTGACGGCTGCGATTGTCGTCAATGCACCGACACTCTATTCATTCTGGAATAAGAGGCAGCGGGATAAATCGACGCCTCGACCAGCGCAAGGCGAGAGTGACAAAGCTGATGATCGAATTGTCATGGAGACCATAGGCGGCAGTACTAATTCTAATAGTGGAGGTCCAAAGCGCAAACCGACCGGAGGCATTCAACAGACAAAGGAGGTGATTGTGTCTGAATATAGAAAGAGCGGCGACTATATAAAACTGGCCGACGAGCGAGATCATACGTCGCAACATTCAAGCTAGAAAAAAAGGGGGGAATTAATTTGGGTTAGAGCATAATGATTTCAAACACGATTTATCTGCATTTTCTCTACATTGCGAACATCGCCCTTCACATTATTGCACACTCATCACCACGTTGTGCATACCAAGGTACATGTATCTTGAATGCTCGTCAAATTCTAGACAAAAACAAAAACTTTCATCGAAACATGGCGCTCACGCTCATCATGAAGCATATCTTACTCTTGCCAGTAGGGCGGGACAGATGGAGGCCGGGACACTCTCCTGAGTCAAGGCTTTCCTCAACCACGTCTAATATCTCCTGCTTCTCGTCTTGCCGCCTTTCCAGCGCAATTTCCCAACCCACTCTGCAAACTTCCTCACCTCTTCCTCCTCCAACAAAAGCTCTACCGTGTAGTAATGCCTCGCCAGATCTTCATGGTTCTTGAACCGGTGCACAAACCTATGACACGCGCCACACAGCCACGCCACGTTTTGCAGATCCTCCTTACGGTGCCATCCGCGCTTGACGGCCTTATCGTGCACAAATCGAGGAATGAGGTGGTGATATGACAGAGGGATCCAAGACCGCTCACAAAGCTCGCAGGCATCCGTGCGAGTGGACGGCGTGGCTGGCGGCGGCTCAATGAGAGGGGTAAGGTATCCTGTCAGGATGGGGAGCAGGAAAGCTTCGGGTGTGGGCGGGAGATGCGAAGGTTGAGTCGGGTCCGGAGCGATGAGGTTGTATGTGATGAGAGTCTCGCAGATAGAGGACGGCAAGTCGAGCTTCGACAGGCTATCCGGCGTCAGTGGCAATGAGTACTGCGCCTGCAGTTCCTCAGACTCCCTCCACGAGCGGTAGTCCAGCTCCTGTAGATCCTGTGGAAGATTCTGAAAGATGCCGTCGGCCAGGTAATCGATAAAGTCGGCGAGCTCTTCGGCGTCCCGGTCCGGATCGGGAGCCGGGGCCGGGATTGGAGATGTTCGCCCCGCCTTGGCTCGCCTCCTGCGCTTCGGCTCCGGCGCGGGGACAGGCTGGAGAATCGTGGCGGAGAGACAGTCGCGGAAGAGCGGGTAGTTGAGGCTTTCGTCGTCAGACATGGTCACCTTGATCAGTGACTTCTCCGTCGTCGGATCAGTCGGCAAAGTCGGGTATTGCAAAAGTGCTGGCGGTTGACAAGATACTGACGTGATTGGATGGCCACCAGATTGGGGAATTGTCTGTTGCCGGTTTAGGACCGCGGATAATTGTTCTACAGATGATGCGCTACAATCGTGGGGTAGAGAGATTATATAACATAAGAAAGGCAGGGTCTCGTAACCAGTGGCATACGCGATAGAATCTCACCGAATCCTGTCGCGATTCATATTCTGTGTATCTTGTTGTGCTCGCCAATTGCATCCCCTTGTCCAAATCGCTGCAGCTTGCATACTAGATCCGTTGCCGCCTGACTCATCGGCATTCATCTAGTCGCATATTACCCCGGACAGCTGAAGCCATGGCTCCAACCATCATTGCATTTGACCTCTATGGGACCATACTTTCCACCGATTCCATTGTCAAGGCATTGGCTGGCTTGTTTGGAGATGAAAAAGCCAAGACAATTGCGACGCAAGCGCGGCGGTATCAATTGGAGTATACATGGCGGATCAACAGCATGGGTGAGTCTTACTCCGAGACATTCGTTGCAGAGAGGCACGAGAACACATTTTGTTAATAGAATAATGATGATGCTTTTTCAAGGCATGTATCAATCGTTTAGTGAGTTGACTCGATGGTCATTCCGGCATGCTACTGCTGAGGTTGGCGAGAAGCTGTCACCGGAGCAAGAGGAGATGATCATGAATGCCTATAACGGCCTAGACGCGTTCCCAGAGGTGGAAGCAGCGCTCAATCTCATCTCAAAGACCCCTGGGGTCGAGGCATACGTCTTTTCCAATGGCACTGAGTCGATGATCGCATCGTCGCTGAGTACTTCGCCGTCACTGGCCAGGTCTAGTTCCGTCTTGCCGGCGTCGCGGATTGTCAGCGTAGATCCCCTGAAAGTGTTTAAGCCCGATCGACAGACGTACGAGCACTTTGCAAAAGTAGCGAATCTGGAATCTCAGCCGGGAAAGCTGTGGCTGGTTTCTTCTAATCCTTTTGATGCTCTTGGTGCGAGGGCGGCGGGCTGGAGGAGTGCTTGGGTCAACCGGAGTGCAACCTTGGGCTGGATTGATGGTTTAGGTGGTGCAGTTGGTCTGAATCCGACAGTGATTGTCAAGGGCGTGGATGAAGCCGTGGCGAAGATTATTGAGGCTGATGTCCAAGGTGAATAGTTGAGTTGATGTTGATATTAATAGTAAGAATACTAGGCAACATACTCATATTTGAGCCTTTCCCTTTTGTTCTGATATCTGTTAGCATCGCGGCTTTCTCTAGTATTTCCTACTATCGCCGTATTCATTCAGTGCATAAGCACTGCTATTTATTTTAAAATGCGAGATCTTAGATATGGTGTTGAAGCTTGACAAGTTCATCGGTGTATCCTAAGGCTCCACAGGGCTTGCAGCGGCTTACAGCGACATCCCCTGCAGTTGCTCTGCTATCGATACGCGACGCATTTTCAACAACCTCCCTCGCGCACCTTGCTAGCTACAACCAGTATCAATCCCCAATCGAACCAATAATCTCTCCATTATTCGTACTCTGAATCACTGCGAATCACCAATCTAATATCAATCCCATTGCACCCACAGCCATGGCCTCCAAGGAGGAACACGGCTCTTCTCGTCGACACCGAGACAGGAACGATGATTGTGAGGCTCCTCCGAGACATGCACAGAGCTGTAGATTCTAACATTAACAACAAGCATCCCGTCGCCACCGAGACGAGAGCCGAGAAAGACGCAGGGACCGCGATCGAAGGCGTTCCCGAACACCAGAAGACAGCTCCCGCCGGAATCGTAGCCGTGACAGGGACCGAGAGAACAGACGGCACCGACATCGCGACCGTAGTGGCGACCGTGATCGAAGACGCAGACGTTCACCGGAAGAGGCTGATAGCCGTCGGCGCCCGCGCAATCATCGGTCTGGAGATGAAGATGCGGAGCGTGACAGTCGCGCGCTGGCTCGGCGGCGAGAGAGCCCTGTGAGGAGGTCGGGACCATTGCCATCTCAGGAGGCTTCATTTGCGGTCACCACACAGGAAGGCGGAGACCCCGAAAAGCCGAAAGAGAAGCCTAATATAGGAAACACAGGCCGGCTAGCTGCAATGTCCAACTCAGTTGCCCAGGCGGACGGCTCATCAATCGTACTCAAGTATCACGAGCCGGCAGAGGCGCGAAAGCCGCCCCCACGCGACCAGTGGAAGCTCTTCGTGTTCAAGGGCAGTGACATAATTGATACCATCGAGCTCAGCGCAAGGAGTTGCTGGTTAGTAGGGAGGGAAATGGCCGTTGTTGACCTCGCCGCAGAGCATCCAAGCATCAGCAAGCAGCACGCCGTCATACAGTTCCGCTACACCGAAAAAAGAAACGAGTTTGGCGACAAGATTGGCAAAGTGAAGCCATACCTGATCGATCTAGAGAGCGCTAATGGGACTATTCTAAATGATGAGAAAGTGCCTGATAGTAGGTATCTCGAACTCAGAGACAAGGACATGATTATGTTTGGACATAGCACACGGGAATATGTCATCATGCTGGCTCCAAAGGACTAGGGAACACCTCTGGGCTGGAATACTAGAAGACGATTTAGCACTGCCGCGTATGGTAATCGCATACATACGACAAAGAGGAACCGGCCGAGGTAGGCGTTGTCGGGCGCCTGCTTCGGAAATCTCTGCAGATGAGTACCTTGTCCATGTGCGACGGGTGATCAGTGCTACTAGAGAGAGCTTCCGCTGGAGTCATAAAAGCGGTCAGGAAGACTGCGCCGGCGTTAGCGGCCTCAGAAATGACATATGGCGGTTTATGCTTGCATATGGTCATTTTGGATGATAAGAGGGTGTCAAGTCAGACAGGATCCGGACACCAAGGGAAGCCATCCCTCGGCACAAACCATCAAGGATCCATCTATGGCTCTATCTTGTTCTCAAATACTGCCTGTAGCTGGAAGAGTAGAATTCCGCTGTTGCATCGTCGTGGCTCAGCTCTTGTTTTACGACATGAACTGCCGGATCAGATATATCGCACAAATGAGCAAACTTTCCGTCCCCCTTTCTTCTCCGTCTCTAAGCCTGGCCGATATCAGGCTGTGAATCTCGCACCTGACTTTAGCGTGATACACATCTTTCAAAGCTTCTACTATGCTTCCACGAGTATCAGCTGCCCGCGTGCAACGACTTCCCGAATCGGGCAGTTTGCAGTACTACCATCTATGAGAGTGTAATTGAACGCATATGTCATTTGAGGCTGTGGTCGGCTCTACCATTTTCAAGGCATTAGCCTCTATTTACAGACGTGTGACAGGAATGGCATCTTATAAAGAGACGTTGCAGTGTTAGCTTCCAGAAGCAAGAGTCTGAAGCACTGAAAGCAACTTGCACTTTTCACAGTTCTTGGGAATTCTTGACTAATTTTACTTGGATATTGCTATTGGGTATCATGGTACGCACTTATTTCTCGTTTCTTGCATGATTTGATTGACACTAATGGATCAACATTGTTTAGGGATCGATAAACAAGGCCATTGCTCGATACGAGACCACGGCTGTATATACCCATCCAGATGCTCTTGTTGATATCGTGCTTGTACACGGCTTGAATGGCCACCCTGGAAAGACATGGACAGCTAAGAACGGAAGGTTTTGGCCCACTGATCTGCTGCCCAAGTCACTGAGGGAAGCGAAAGCAAACGTTCTTGTGTATGGCTACAATGCAGACGTCTATACTGGAGGGAACGACAATAGTGCCAGCGATAACTTCATTCATCAACACGCCCAGACGTTGGTAACGAGTCTTACGTTGTATCGAAAGAGTGAGGGAACATTCAACAATGCCATCATCTGGGTTTGCCACAGCCTGGGTGGAATTCTCGTGAAGCGGGCTTTACTCTACTCTAACGACTTGCGGGCGGCACACCACGAAGATTACCGCTCCATATTTGTGTCCACTTACGGCATCATGTTCTTGGGAACGCCTCACACGGGATCTGATGCAGCATCATGGGCTATCGTGTTGCAGGCCATGTCGGACGCTGTAATACCTAGAAAGCTCTTCGAGTCCGAATCTGTGCTGCTTCGGACGCTGAAGAAGGATAACGAAACCTTGGAGAATATTAATAACCACTTTCTAGACATTTATCAGCGGTTTCAAATTCACATGGTTCACGAGAATCATAAAACTGACATTAAAGGGACCAAGTGAGCAGTTTAATCCTTTCTTTCCTGACAACTTCTCTGTTTGCTTGGTTGCAACTGCTAACTGGGAGCCAGAATCATGGTTGTTGACCCTGGTTCGGCCAGTCCCCAGTTACCAGGCGTTATTTACTACGGCGTCGAGGCTACGCACACCCAGCTTTGCAAATTCGAGAACGCCAACTCTCCTGGCTTTCGTGCTCTGTCCACGGATCTCCGGCAGTGGGTTCTCGTAGCACCGGATGTTATCGCCGTGAGGTGGGATATGGAGGAACAGGAAAAGGCCGCCCGCATGAAGTACGAGGTGCAAGAGCGCATGTCAGGATGGGTGAGACTCGTACGTTAAAGATGCATGTTAAACATAACTAACCACTTTCTTGTTTTTATTCGCTCTTTGTAGATGACACCACCGGCGTATTCAACTCGAACGCCATCTCCTGCTCGCAAATTGGCAATTGGCCCTGTTCTACCTTCATTGCATAGAGAGGCGTCACCAGCAGGGAGAGTGTCGCCGGCGTTGATCGAGGCGGGGTATAGATCCGGTGTTGTGGATATGGATGTGATGAATAGAATGGCAGATATTCGGGAGGCTGCTTATAGACAAAGGCACTGATTAGACATGGGAACAGATGGCACTCGAATCATTCTTGTCATTCTTCTCTAAATTTTCTTTTCTTTTCTTTTCTTTTTTTGGTTTTAGCCGCTGTGGTTTTTACCGAAGATAGAGGGTGTAGTAATAAACTCTTCGTCAAGTACTAAACTGTATATTTCTTTATAGATGTGAAATGATCAGTTTTAAAGCTCACCATGAATAAATAAAAAGAAATATCATTTTCTATATCTGGCGTCTTCTCTTTTAAAGAACCTGCACCTAACGCCACTAATAGAAATAATATCTAGCAGGATGCATGACTGCTTCTTGGCTTCCAAGACATACAGATTCGCCTGATACCATGACGGCAGAGGAGCAGAGCAGGGAAGAGTGGATGCTGACGGCGTGACCTCGGCCTAACAGCTATGTTTGCCGATAAGAAAAGAGCCTCATGAGTAGGCATATTGGCCGAGATGCTACTCTCTACCAGCAATCCGTATTCGTGATGTATATAGACATCTCTCAGATTCAGCTGAGAAAGATGCACGGTCCTTGCCTACTCTCTCCTAGAGTGATGATCTATATCCAAGATTGGTAGACCAATTGGAAACTTTTGCCAAGTCCGTGTGAAACATGGCTTTCTAAGATGGTCCTGCAATAGAACGAGGGAATACGCCTTACATAAGGCGTTTCTGTTCGAAGTACGCACGGCTCCTAAATGCCGTCTTGTTGCTCTCATTATCTGCTAGACTAGTAGAAGTTTGGGTCCGTCGGATTCATCGAGATGACTGCTGGTATGGTCGCCTTCGCCGAATGTACCCGGCCAGTCGATGTTGAAACATTAGGTAGCGACGTCAGTTCCACAATATGGAGAGGAGAGAGGTAGAAAGTCTCACCGTAGCTCTCCACATGGGGGACTTTTGCACACACAGAGACGTCCAAGATCGTGCATTACATTTCACTCAAGAGAGTGCCTTCCGACATGTGGTGTCTGTAGGATTTCAGTAGCATCCAATATGCCTCTCCATAAAGCCTAGCACTTTTTTTGGTTGTCGATATGTGCGGATTCCCTCTCGCGTCCCAGAGGAAGGAACCATTCACACCAGCATATGACCTCTCCTCCTTCCTCTTCTACGCTCTCACCGAGTTTGTACATGAAGGTATTAGAGACTTTTGAACAGCTCCAATCACACCTTGAATGAGGACCATCGACTAGCCCTCCTTGTACCCAGTACGAACCTAAGCAAACAGACAGAACCCGCGATATGAGCAGTACCACCCACCTCGGTCTCCCACCAAACCCAGTCCCTGCTCTTTTCTTGTCAGGCAGAGAACAGTAAAGGGGTTAACGCCAACCTTGTATAGTATGTACCCGTAAGTGGTAAACAAGTGATTGCCAAGGCACCCAAAAAGTGACGATGGACATAAACCCAGCAGTATTGTAGATCTTGTTCCCATTTGATACACAGGATCAACCTGGCGACGGCATAAACGGCGGTACGTACAGAAGTACTATAGTACTTGGATTGAACAGGGGAGAAGGAAAATTTCTCAAAGTCTCTGAGAGATTCGCGGCGATCTGTGCCGGTATCTTTTGAGCCGCCGCTGATCTTTTCATATGAACGCCCACATTGTCTCACAAGTGCCAGTAGTATAGCAACGACCTAAATGGGCCGTGAAAAGAAATAACTTTAACAACTTGCTGATCTGGGGATATGAATCTGGGGGTGGAAATCGCAGTGCCCACCGAAGAGAGAGTGACTTGTAACGGCTTTCATCTTGTAAACATGGAGGGCAGTGGGTAAGAAGAGCTGAAAATTTGCTGCAAAGTGTATACTCGGCCCACTGAATGCCACCGATCTCAATTCCATCATGTCAGATCTCCAGTGCCTAGCGTGTCTGCCGTATCTTGCGCCGAGAGATACATGTACCTAGTAGATACATGTACAGTACATGTACAGTGGTAGACGCGGCATTATCAGGGATAAGAGATCCTGCAATATGACGCAGCGATCGTTGAAGAAGCTACCTGAAATCATTAGGGGACCAGCTGCAATGTCCAGGCAGGGAGAATTGCATGTGCTTCTGCCTTAGCCTACACACTGCTGGCCTATCGGGCTACACAATTGACAACACTCGTACCACTCTCTTCGTATGCTGGTGTGTGTATCCACTCTTGTCAACGATTCAGATCCATTCAGTTATGGGACCCGAGCTGGAATCAGCTGTATTCACCAATCCGAATTGGACAAGTTCAGCGGTCAGCCCCATTTCATGACAACTTTGGAAATGGATATTCCAGGGCCGGGGTCCGTGACATCTGGCGGGAAAATGACGTCAGGAGAGACCCATCTCCAGTGTAAAGATCCTTGAACTGACCGTTTGTTATCTGTACATAAGAGAGTACAGCTAATGCGATGGCGGACAATAGAATGGAGACACGCCAGCAGATAATGTACTGTACTTGTTCATGGCTTTGTATGGAGCACTGTGTGTAACCCTTGGTCAAAGTAGATTTGTTACTCAAGATCTGTAAGATGCTGGATCGATCTGCATATAAGCTTGGTAGTATTGCAATACCTATTGTTTGCAACAAATGCTAAATAAAGAGAAAATTAAGGCAGATAAAGATAACGATACAAAGCATCTTTCGTATCTCTTCCATATGGCCTAGACATGTCCAGCTGCCAGGGGCTGGCACTATGCACCTCCCCTGAAAGCCCGTGGCTTCGGCGCCCGTCTCCGGCTTGGCTGGACCGAAGCGGCACGGCAGCCACTGGCGCAGTTCTTGCGGTGGTAACTGCACTCGGTTAGCGCAACTGCCGCCTTTCTGTTCTTGCTGTATTATTACTGCAATGCTCTTGCCTTGTTGCTGTGTCTCCTTGCACGCGCAGAGGTGTTGGGCAGAGCTTTCAGCTGCCGATCCCTGCGATAATAATCAGTGGGAAGGTTCGGCTGCTACATAGGTACGTCGGTGGTGGGCCCTATACATGTATATACCTGCAATGTGCCTACCTAGGTACTATGTACATTCTGATGTTGAAGCTGGTACTGCCGATCACTTCAACTCAGCGGTGAATATGCTGTGGATTGTTGCCATGGGCTGTATACAGTACATGTATCTTGGCATTTCACCTGCCAGTCCATATGTAACTTGCGCCGTACCTATACTCCTCTTTCACCTTTTGGAGCCTGGCTTATTCTTTCAGCATTACGGCCTGCAGTCATTCGGGGAATCTTTGGTTCCGATCTTGACAGGGCACTAAAGCCAAAAAAATGAAGAAGGCAAAATTAAATGTTATCCCTCGTAAATCTCTCCCAGTATCACACCGGATCTATCATGCTGGGGCCAAAGACATGAGTTTCTTCTTCTGGGGAAAGCATCCACTTGTGATACGAAAGAATCGTTGAACTCGCCTCACTTCGGGGTTCAAATACCGAAAAAACTGATACTGCTCTACTGCTCTATTGAAACACAAGCCAAGGTCAAGCTCCACTCGGTGTGGATGAGAGACGGATCAGTTTGATCCATCTCACTGGCTATTTTGGTGTACTTGTGGTTGTAAGTAGAAAAAACCCCGTGGGCAACGCAGACAAGGCGCGGTTTGATAGGTAACAAGTGGAAACTAGGAACATCGAAAGTCATTTCCATGCAAGCGATAGAACGCGGGAATCTCTCAACAGGGATTCTCGTGCCTGTAGATGGATCAGCCTGCCACCTGCGATCCATCACGACCCATATAACTATCCATTGCAGCCTCCACAACCGTCGTCATAACACTTCGGAACTCGTCCATTTCACGAGGCTATCATATCCTTAGATACACAGCTGCTGGAGACGCGATGATAAAACACTGGATACCTTGATAAAATGCCGCAGTTGTGTTATCGCGTCCTCTCCACCTTTCCACTCATGCTACATGTCTCCAGATAATCTTGGCGCCGCTCAGCTTCGTTCCCAAAAAGCCGATTCACAAATGGCGCTCTTCAGGGGATGTTTAACTCCACAACCGTCTTGAAATGACGGAGGCGGTGTTGGCATCGACAGGAGATGGAGATGTATTGCATGTACTTCCTGGGTTGCCAAGCCACCGATGGGCTCACGGAATGCTCGTTGACCCGTAACAAGCGAGTCTTCATCTTTGAGTAATAGTGAGCTGAAGAGATGTACATGCAGAAGTCGGACCAAAAGGAGCAGGATGATTCTCAGCTTTCCAAGTATTTAAGCAGCTGGTAAACCCCCACAAATCCATCTCCATGCTCCATTCTAAACATCAATCATTCCACAGGCTTATACGAGTGGCCTCTGTGTTAGATTATACATATATATCAATCATTCTCCCATCAGAGAGTTACCTTGCATTCATTCTAAACGTATAAGTCACATCATACCATACTGTCACACTTTTACATCCTTATTCACAATGGCTCCCTCTGCAATCACCCCCGAGACTTCCCCTGAGCGCCGCTCCAGCCTCAAGAAAGTTATCGTCCAGAACCGGTCTCACAGCAGCTCTGTGTCGTCAGTTGCTTCCATCACCCTCAATGATGGCAACAGCATTCCTCAGGTTGCTCTTGGTGTATACAAGGCCCCCAACGGCCAGGAGACTGAGGATGCCATCACGGCTGCTCTCGATGCTGGATACCGCCACATTGACTCTGCCGCCCGGTATGCCAATGAGGAAGCTTGCGGTCGGGCAATCCGCCGCTGGATGAAGAAGACTGGCACACCTCGTGAAGAGATCTTTGTCTGTTCCAAGCTCTGGGACTCTGATCATGGCTACGAAGCCACTTTCAACGCGCTTTGTTCATCTCTCGACAAGATGGGCCTCGACTATTTGGACCTGTATCTTATCCACTCTCCCGCTCAAGATGAAGAAAAGCGCCTAGAGAGCTGGCGCGCTCTGGAGACAGCTCAACGACTGGGCAAGGTCAAGTCCATTGGCGTTTCCAACTTTGGAGCCGCCCATATTGAGAACCTTCTCGAGAATGCTCGTGTAGTCCCTGCCGTCAACCAGGTTGAGGTCCACCCTTTCTGCCAACGCGAAGCTCTTGTCGAGCTCTGCAGCAAGCATGGCATTATGATTGAAGCTTACTCTCCGCTGGCTCGGGGGAACAAGCTTGAAGATCCCACTATAAATGCAATTGCCAAGAAATACGGCAAGACTCCTGCCCAAATCCTCTTGAACTGGAATGCTTCTCGCGGAAACGTTGTGCTGCCCAAGAGTTTGACTCCCTCTCGTATTCAGAGCAACCTCGAGAGCTTTGACTTTGAGCTATCTGAGGAAGATATCGAAACCATCAACTCTCTCGGAGCCGAGAACTACGTCACTGGCAGCATGCATAAGTCCAGCGACTGAATGAGTTATGACCCCCTAACATTCATTGTACATCAAGAGGGTTTTTGACCTCTATTTTTTTTTCTAAACTGGATTTGAATCTACGACATGATACCTCATCCTCAAAAATGCTTTTCGATGAGTGCGAGATGCATATCATCATGTTTACAAGGTGTGAATAGATGGATAAATGTTCATAGAGGGCTAGATCTGGCGCCACGACGGCTCAGAAGGGAAATTCGCTCTTTGCTTTTGGTTACTCCTATTTAGCGTTTGCGGTCCAACGGGGACAAATACATGTGCTTATTCTTACTATCATAACCTATTTCGTCCAGATTTTCACCGTGCGTAAGCTCTGTAGCTCCGGAACTTTCACATGCCATGTTTCTACACTGTGAGCGAACAAGGTGGCGTCTTTCTACGCCCAATTTTCCTTCTAGCGTTCCAAAGCCAGGGGTAAAGAGGGTCTAGGATGGACAGTGACATTGGCAAACAGCAGGTACCAACGCTTCCGGTCGCTGACAAAGTCGAGATGATTGGCTTCCTTGTTTGCTTGTCATCTTTGTTGTTGATCCAGGTAGACCAAGTCCACAATTGACTGAGACAATTTCTTTTGCAACATGTCTCAGATTTGGGAACACCGTAGGAATACAGTGGCGGATAAATGATTGGATGACTGTAAGACAGTAGTCGCAATATGGCATATGACTGCTTGCGATTCCTCCAGACGAGATGAATGACGGGCAACTCACGTAGTTTTCATATAATTTATGTATAAACTGCTTATATATATATATAGCAGAAAGCGAAATAGGCGTCACGAAATTAGATACAACTACCCATAATGAGCCACCCTAGAAAGGTAACTGTGGCTGGTTTAACGTACACTATGTGCTTTGTATCGAACGAGCATCACAATTACCCAGAACTGCAACCAACAAAAGCCAAAACAGGATGTTTTAGACCTTGCCCTATCGCCAAATGTCACTTTGCACACTCTCCCCCTCATTCTTTAGGCAGCCAGAAATGGGGGTTTTGCATATACTACCTACAGCCATGGCTCCCGTAGTTGCATTACGCCATTCATGCAGGAGGCCCTTTGCGACACACTAACCAAATGACCGGATATGTATTGATTTAAATTAGTAGACTTCTTCTATAATACACTTAGGAGCGAATTAGCCGTCTCGTCTAAACAAACTCTTTCGGAGACTATGTATAAGCATGTCTAATTTAATACATATAAACGCCATGAACTACACTGATTGTCCGTTAAGAAGACAAGAAAGCCGCAGAGAGCTGGTAGTGGCAAGTGAAGGTTACGTGATTTACCTCTGCTGCCAGTACCCCGTTCTGAAGACACAAGGACATCTAGACACAAATCACACTTCTATGGCTTTAACGACTGAACCTAGTAAGAATGTTGACGAGTTCAGCTTATAGAGATCCTACTCCTGATTCACTTGATAAGTTGTCTAGAGAGCTGTCGAACCCTGATAATTACACAACCAGTTGGATCTATGCTATCACAACAGAATACGCTGCTACCCGAACTGTCTTCGACGAAAAGCGCGAAAGGCCAGAGATAGTCTCTACGAACAATAATAACGAGTATCTATTTGGCAAAGTTGAGAAACACAACGTTGTCATCGCCATCTCGCCTGATGGAGATCCCCGTAGGACAAACGGCGACTACAATATATCTCAATGTCACCTAGTACATAATCATTGTTCTCATTGGTGGACATATTTTCTGGCCCACCATGTTCATGCTCTTCGTTAAGAAACGCTTGGGCGGCAAAATATTCCGTAGATATGGTGTAGATGTAGTTGATGTTATGTACTATGTGGACAATGGAGCAGAATCGCAATGAGGCTGATTTGGATATGGCTGTGCAATTAGATTGACTAATCTGCTTGGTCGAAATTGTTGTCCGCATATTCAGTGGGCACAGCCTGCCCAGAAAGCAATAGACGGCTTGGCATCTCTCAAGGAGTAAAATACTTAGATGTCGTAGAAGGATATGCGAGCCCCACGTAAGGAGAGAAATAGGAATGTATCAAGTAGATATCATGACAGATTGGGTGTCCTATCAGAAGTCTGACGCAGCACAGCTGCAGCCGCAAACTGCCACGTCAACTAGCCTTTATTGCCTTTCCGCAGCCGAGTGCATCCTCCAGGCAGCAAAGCCATAAATGCAAGGTGACGTGGCAATTTGCGGCTGCAGTTTCACTCAATGCTAGGCTTTCTAGACGTTTATATTCCGTCGTACTATGATGAGGACATCTGCAACTTGACAACTCGGCTGGAGAGCTTGAGGCCTCAAGCAGCTCACGGTGATTAATCGAACACCAATAATTTAGACGGTTTCGATTTTGCTTACTGGCCGGCATATATTTACCCTATTAGGCGCATCGTATCTAGAAACAGAACCGATCAATCAACTTTAAAGACATGCAAGCTTTTTATGCATGCTGCTTCCGTTTCCACACGGGGCCATTAAATAACTGCTTGCGGAGATTTTATCTGCTCGCACCGTTCGGCCGGTTTATTACATGCATGACTAAACGCTGATGGAGAGGTTTGAATGCCTCGCCGATCAGCTGTCAACTTATCCCCGGCCCCTGTCATAAACGGATAATGGATGCCGCACGAGGTGTGCTGGTCAGGCAGAATTTCGCCAAGCAATGTGGGATACGTGGCTAAGCATTGGCCTATAGTTATTACTGATCATTTACGATGATGTTCTTTCTTATCCATATTCCATTAGCAATCTCCACAGCAGCAAACTTGCTTCGAAGCCTCGCGCAACTACCTTAATATTAGTGCCGATAACAGTGTAAAGGAGAAGCCCGACAAGGCTATACTCTTAACTAAAACCTAATACCCTACTATGGTATTTGTACCAAGCCACATAGAAGTTTCAGCGGCCAAGTTGTGATCTGCTACCCTAACCTCTCTTATCTACAATTTGGTATGTATATGCCAGATTGTCAAATTACTCCATGGCGGCCACTCAAACAACCTACCGCGTCCAGGGCATTCCTGCTAATGCCTCATTTGATGACGTTAAAACAATAATTTCCAAGGCTTTTGATAAAGATGGAGTCAAAGCTAATCCTACTATTCATTCACTTGCATCGGATCCCTACAGTCCAGTCAATAACGGTACCAAAGTAGCTACGGTCACTTTTGCGCAGACACCGGGAAACCTTAAGAATCGTGGCGAAGTGACGGCAATTGTGCCATGGGGTTACGAGAGTCACCGAATCTTTGTGGATTCTTCATTTCAGGGCTTTACATCTCTAAATGATGCGGAAGATGACTCTGGTGATACAATAGAGTGAGCTTTATCGGCGACGTAAATGCGTATATGCTTACGGATATAGTATTATTGCTGTCAGCGGACTAAGCAGTCATCCTTTCGGTTCTTGGAAGGAAAGAGGAGGCACATTCATGTGGCTGAGAGATGAGGTTGCAAAAACAGCTAAAAGGGCTCGTGTTCTACTTTATGGATATGATACAACGCTTGTTAATAGCGAATCATTCCAAGACATCGGCGACATTGCTACGAGACTGAGCTCCGACGTCAATGCGATACGGGGTGCGCGATCCGTGAGTATAAGTTGCCTAAAAGGCAGATCAAAAGCTTACTCTTTCCCAGGCCCAAGAGGCGTTCGTGCCAACCCCGATTGTTTTCATCGCTCATAGTCTTGGGGGATTAGTTGTCAAGGAGGTTAGCTTTTTCTTCTTCTTAAATATTCGGAGTCTAATTTGCGTGACGACGCAGGCTATATATAAGATGTCTGAGCAGTATCCCGATGATTTTCTGAGCATTTACGGTTTATTATTTTTTGGAGTTCCAAATGGCGGCATTAAGACCGAGTACTGGATGCCGATTGTGGATAGAATGCCAAACAGGGGCCTCATAACCAGCCTCGAGCCTGATGCCTACTATTTGAGAAATTTACAGGTAAATTTCAATCGGGTATTTTGTTTTCCCGATGCAAGGGTAGTATCGGTCTATGAGACAATGAAGAGTCCAACTACCAAGGTTAGCAGAAAAGGTCAAGTTTTCGTGTAGCATGACTGACGCGTTTGAATAGGAGGAGTCGACTGGAGAATGGAAATTGACTGGACCTTCAGATATTCTCGTGACCCGCAATTCAGCAATAGGATATTACTCTGATCGTGTACAGCATACCCAAACCCCTTTTAACCAAAATCACTCTGGCCTGCCAAAGTTTAGAAGCAAATATGATGCAAATTATAAAGCCATTGAGCCATTCTTTACCGAATGCTACAACGACGCCTTTGAAGTAATACAGAAGCGATTCATTGCTGAAGGTTTGAGTCATCATTTACATTCGCATTCGATGGACGAGGGTCTTTGCTAACCAGCTACCTCAGCTATCCGGCCAGAATATAATGCAAATTCGACGGGGGGGCACCGTTTAATATGTCAATATTGTCAAAAGAGATTCAGGTCACAGGTCAAGCTTCTACAACATTTGAAAGGAAACGGAAATGATGCCTGTTATTTGAAAGCGGTTCAATATGCCGTTATAAACGGTCGGCTGAGCATAGCATCCATGCTGCTCGCCGAGGACAGAAGAATTGGGGCGAAAGACGAAAGCACTGGTACTGCACTCCTTCACTCGGCAGCACTGAATGGACAAGTGAGCATGGTCCAGCTGCTTCTTGACCACGGAGCCGACATTGAAGTGAAGAAGAAGAACGGAGCAACACCACTTAGTGAGGCAGCTTGGGAGGGACAAATGGGTGTAGCTCAATTACTTCTTGCCCAAGGAGCTAATATTGAGGCAAAGAGTATTCATGGAGTAACACCACTTAGCTATGCTTCACAAAATGGAAAGGTGGATATGGCACGGCTGCTTCTTGACCGAGGAGCTAATATTGAGGCAAAGAGTCATGATGGATCGACACCACTCAGCTATGCTTCACTAATTGGAAAAGTGGATATCGTTCGGCTGCTTCTTGACCGAGGAGCCAATATTGAAACAAAGAAGAAGAATGGAGCAACACCACTTAGTGAGGCAGCTTGGGAAGAACGAGTGGATGTGGTCAAGTTACTTCTTGCCCGAGGAGCTAATATTGAGGCAAAGAGTGTTGTTGGATCGACACCACTCAGCTATGCTTCGCAAAATGGAAAAGTAAATATGGCTCGGCTGCTTCTTGACCGAGGAGCGAATATTGAAGCAAAAAAGGTAAATGGGGTAACACCACTTTTTGAGGCAGCTGGGGGAGGTTATGTGGATGTGGTTAAGTTGCTTCTTGACCGAGGGGCTAATATTGGGGCAAAGAGTATTAATAGATCAACACCACTCAGCTATGCTTTACACAGTGGACAAGTGGACGTAGCTCAGCTGCTTCGTAACCGAGGAGCCAGGGGTTAAACATGAAGTAACAATTTTAATTGAGTACTGTATATTCTCCCGCATAGATACCTTCCACTAGAAGTTAGGGTGTATGTATTCGGGTTCAGTGGGTTCCTCTCTCACCACCACTTGGCGGCTCGCTTAAAGGTTCACTCGGTTCGATCGCTGGACTGGTACTGGGGCTATAGATGCCTATTAAATCTAGAGTTCTATAATTTAGGGAATTATCGCCTTTAAGCCACTCGAGGTTCTCCATTATGGCCGTGGCATATGGCTTACCGGTAAGCTGCCGATTAGCTTGAGGCTATTTCTACGACTGGTAGATTCTAGCAGTGTCTTAACTACTAGAGAGGCCAGGAGGCCCTTTCCAAGATATCCTAACACAGTTCTCCCCAAACACCTTCATTAATATACGTCTCATGAAGGATGTCGCTTATATAGTAGTAAATCTGGTCTCCCAATGCCAGATGTGGAGGATATGCTGTCGGATGTGGCTGGCTGGAATGCTACGAGGCATCATCGCTGGGATAAGTGATAGATTTATATACGATATCAGGCTATATTCATATTTTAGGATTTTTTTCCCCTCCCGTTGATGTCTGTCATTTTTGCAATTTACAACAGTACCTCTGAAGTACAAACTGACAGGGATGTCAAGCCACAATCCGACTGAAAATGGGTCCTTCTTATCGTCATCTAACTAACCCGCGACACCCATTTCGTCTTCTACTGTATATACATAGATATGCTTAGATATTAATATACTTAACTCAAGGGCCTAGCTACACTCGCAAATTCTTGCACACTCGCCCAACATTCCTCGTATGCGACGACTAGCGACTGGGGGAGGAAAACTATCTCGCCACGTGCCAGATCTCTCTTCTCCCTCCCCACGCCTGTCCCATAACCCACGATGGACTAAACTGGGGGCTCGGGGGAGAAGGAGATGAGAGGCCCATAAAAGCGGTTTTCGTCGTTGTCTGGATATTTTTTGTGTTCTGGTTGGGGATAGTAGATGTTTCTACATCTAACTAGAAGGGCCTTTTAACGTCATTTCCATAAGATGTGTTTTAAGCAACATTAACATCAACTATATGTATAAGTAGAACATTGCTCTTAACAGAGAACTAGGGTGTCATTTGCTATTCTACCTCGAATTAATAAAAACTTGTAGTTGAATAGGTCATTTAAAATATCCAGGCCAAGCATCAACGACCATTCGACATCTTAATCAGCTTGACACAAGAAACGTCACGGCCAACATCGCACACATAAGGAACACAAAAAGTAAAAATTATCAGCCGCTGTTTATTCATTATTGTTGATCCAAGTTTTCTATATTCAATGTACCCAAGAGCCCTCAACGCCGTAACCGTGCATCAACATTCTCGCTGAAATTACATCCCGCATGCCCAACATTGCGACACCACCAACCTTTCCCAAAGAATAAAAGATGAAAAATCGCGCCATCACTCTATTTGTGAAACATGCTTTAAAGCGTCTTCTGCTGGGCGTCCGGCTTCCAGCTAAGCACCATCTCATTGAATCTCTCCAGCTGGGCAGGATCAGTAGCCCAAGTAGTCAGCAGTCTTACGACTGCGAACTCGCCATACTTCTCCCATACATAGAATGAGAATTCCTGCTGAAGAGCTTGGACAAGGGTCAGAGGTAGCACGGCAAAAACCTGGTTCGTCTCCGTCTTGGCGTTGAGCTCATACCCAGCTCCGGTAATAGAGCGTGAGAGCTTCTCAGCCGCCAAGTTGGCTCGTCGAGCGAGATTAAAGTACAGAGAGTCATCCTCACGGAAGAGCTCTGCGAATTGCACACCCATGATACGACCCTTGGCGAGCAGAGAGCCACGCTGCTTGACAAAGAACTCAAAGTCCTCGGCAAGCTTGGTGTCCTTGACCACGACGGCCTCACCCAGCAGAGCGCCGTTTTTGGTGCCGCCGATCCAGAAGATGTCGGTAAGCTCGAGCATATCTCGCAGGGTCATGTCATTGATACTGGACGTGAGGGCAGCGCCGATACGAGCACCGTCGGCAAAGAGCAGGAGACCATTGGCCTCACAGATGCGCTTCAGAGCGGTCAGCTCAGCCTTGGTGTAGATGGTGCCGATCTCAGTGGCGTTGGAGATGTAGACGAGCCGGGGCTTTGCCATGTGAGGGAAGTGCCAGTTGTCGTCGAGGGCCTTGGTGAGGGTTTCCGGGGTCATCTTGCCGTTGACGGGAGCGACATTGATGATCTTGTGTCCGCTAGCCTCGACGGCTCCCGTCTCTCGCGTCACAATATGGCCAGAGCTGCAGGCAATGACGGCCTCGTGGGGTCGAAGACAGGCGGCGATGGAGATTGCGTTGGCCGAAGTGCCGCTGGGCACAAAGAAGATGCCAACATCGTCACGGCCGAGGTGGCGGCGGATCAGATCGCGAGCCGTCTCGCTGTAAGTGTCGCGGCCATAGCCAACCTCCTGGGTGTTGTTGCTCAGCAGCAAGGCATTGAGGACGTCGGGATGGGCTCCCTCGCTGTAGTCGTCGGTGAAACTGTACTTTGCCTTTGTCGATGCGGGACCGGAGGCAGGCATTGTGATTGAGGTACTGGAGTTGAGAGAAGCAAGATATGTTTGCGGGATGAAGGATCCAAGATGGCAAATCTAAGTCAACAAAGAATGGCGTGTATATATTCAAAAAGTCTTTATAATCAAGTAAACAAGCTAGCTTATGATGAAGGAGGAAAGAAGAGGCGGAGAGCAACTTCCATCTGTCTTACAAAGAAAAAGGAAGGAGCACGAACCAACCGCAAGGTAAGAGATACTTGTACAGACACAGACATCGGGCAACTGGGGCATCTACGGAGCTCCTCCCCTGCCAATTAGCTAATGATAACAGCCGGATGTCATGATTAAAAATATGCTCCCCTGGCAATGCAAGGAAACCACTGCAAAATTAATCCATTACGAAACCCCGACTCGCCGCCCCGGAAAAAAAAAAAAGGGTTCCAGTCTTTCCTTCTCCATTACTACTCGTGCTAAGTTGTTCATGGTTCTGGACGCAAAGCTAAAGAGAGTCTCCGCCGGAGCCGGCGCCACTAGTGGCTTACCCGGCACATGCCGACGCAGGCCGGCCGCCAGAAGATATCCCGACTATCGGACGCGGGATCCCGGGATTGCGTTTGGCGAGACGGAATTCCTTGTGCTCCTGTGTTTTGTTTCTGTGGTTGTGAAGCAGATGGTACAGAGACTACGATGTAATACCATTGCTATACAGTTGCTCAACTGAAGCACAAAACGACGACACGGAGAAATAGGGAGGACGAGGAGGCGTCGGAGTGCCCTATCGCCCCTCACATCACCTCACCAAACCCAAGAAATGGGCAGAGATAAGATGGGGGATGTCCATAGGGGAGTAGGGACCAAAAAAAAAAAAAAAAAAAAAAAAGAACCACTAGAACGCGGCCAGTATCGTCGCTTCAACGGCCCCACGTTGGCAAGCAAAGTCCCTAATCGGCGAACAACGAAGCTAACAGGAGCCGTTGCTATCTAAAGTCCCCTTCTCGGCCCCGTATTGAGCCGGACAAGACTCGGCGATTTGGGTTCTACAGGTACAGGTACGAATATACTTCGTATCAACCACGACACACAGGCACGGACATACACGGAACGGCACATAGCAAAGCTTCTCCCATCATGACTAGAGGTTGTTAAGATAACTACGACCGTAGTAGACTGCAACTAGCATCTCGAAAGCGTATAGTTTCGTGCTTCCCCATATGCAATGACACGCATCAGCAAGGAGGGGGTTTCATTAGATGCAAGCCACCACCGCAACCCCAACAACATACAGTACAGTACATAGCACGCTCGTAAAACACCACAGACAAAAAAAGGGCCAAAAACTCAATTGCCGTGAAAGTATATTAAGAAAACGAAACAAGGAGGGGAACGACAAACATCTACCGGACTTTGGCTTCGACGCTTGGCATTCCGTCAGGCATCATCTAGACCACGATGCAAGTTCTCCGCCTTTTTTTTTTCTGCTGATCATGGGATTTGCAATATGCAACTGGACATGTAGTCTACCGGGCCCCGATATCGACGTGAAAAAAGATCCTGCTCTCGTCAATGCACGTCGCAGCTTTGGTGCTTTTTAAACCTTCCCCAACGCTTTGCTTTATGCGCTTCCATGAGATGGGTAAATAGATAAGGTGCATTAGCCGGTATTCGACGGCTTTAGATGTGGTTCAACGGCGCGTGTCATTAAGCGATTACGCCATCTCCTCTTCATTACGAAAACGAGCGTGACGGGAAACCCGTATGAGTGATGTTGTATCCATGAATAAGCTTCTACAGCGCAGAACAATGAGTTCGTCATTCTGATTCAGAATCCCATTCATCAATAGCAAAAAAAAAAAAAAAATATCAAAGAAGGTGTCGCTTGCTCAACAAAATCCAGCCATATTCAAGCCCGTGTAAAATCGTTCCAAGCCACCATCACCGTTAACCTCCTTCATCCCTCTCTCAGTCCCTTCGGCTCCCCAATCACAGCTCACCGGGCTCTTCAACCTCCTCAACAACCAAGTCTACCTTGACCTTGTGCATCCCCAAGTCCTCCTCGCTCACAGCGCCGGGAACAGCGGCCCGAGAAATGCCCGCCGCATCATCCACAATGAGCCTCGCCACATTCATCCCCATCAAGGCGCTCGTCTCCATTGTCGAGATGAAGCTCTCAATACCAGATGTGTAGTAGAGCCCACTGCCTAGGATCGGGTCCTGGAAGGTCACCCGCGGGAGCTCAATTGGGTAGGAGTAAAACCAGTGCGGGTAATACCACGAGATCGGGTCCACACCGCTGTTCTGGCTGGATCCGCCCCCGTTCTCCTCCGTCGTAGCCGTAAACGTGTCAGGCACTTGGACGCCAAGGAGATCCGACAAAAACTGCGGGGTCACGGGCTTGGGCGAAAAGATCTTATACACAAACTCGGTCTTGTTCGTCTTTGGGTTGACTGCCATCCTGAGTGTGCTGACTGAGTAGAAGCCAGTCTTGCCAACGCCTTCGGCTCCCTCTTTCGGCTCCTCACCCTCGGCGAGAGTCGTGTAGACGTTGCTTGGAGCCTTGGTTCCTGGTGGCAGCCCAAAGAAATCGGGGTGCAGTTTGAAGGGAGAGGCAAAGAGCGTGACATGGAGCTTGGTGTAAGGGATTTCTTCAATGTGATGCTTGATGACGCCCTCGCCAGCTTCAATGTTGCTGAATTGCCAAGGAGATGCAATGATTACATCGTCGAATGCTGTCTCAACAACTTCTGGTTCGCCGGCAGCTGATCTAGTTGAAATCTCATACTTAGGAGCTGAGGATGAAGTCTTGTCTTTGGCGAACCCAATGGAAGAGACGGCGGTATTGTGGAGGACGGCAGCACCGCTGGTCTTGACCATATGATCAAAGATGCGCCAGTTGCCACCATCCACAGACATGGCACCATCTGTAGCAAAGGAGACCTGAGACGTTTGTTCATTAGTACACTGGGCCGAATTCATGAATCGCATTCTGGTGAGGGCTTACCATGGTCTCCAGTCCATGAAGATACGCCAGGTTGGAGGCATAATTGACCCTCGTGGCCGCCTGAATAATGTGTCTCGAAAACGTTTCATCAATCTAACACAGAATTTGTCAGCTTAAAACATGGCTCAACTCGAGGGAAAATACGTTGAGAGACTCTACCACTGCCTACCTTATTCTGGGCCAGAAACTGCTCCCCCGTCACAGCTGTAATCTTCACCAACCCCAGCTCGTACGCCCTGGCCGTCAGCGACCGAAACGGGAAATACGGCTGCTCATACAGCTTCAGGAACTTGCCCACCACCTCCTTGACCAGATTGACAGCTCGGTACGGGCTCATGCCGTATCGCCACCAGAGCTTGCCGGCATCCCACCACCAGGACGTGCCATCCGTGGTCTCGTAGACGAAGCTGTCGCCGTCCCAGATGGCCGTGACGTCGTCCTGGCTGCTGGCCACGCGGTAGTTGGAGCCGATGGACAGGTTGAAGTTCTTGGTGCCGTTGTAGAGGATGTGGTTGACGGCCACGAAGATGGACGCGCCTAGCTCAATCTGCTGCAGCGGGTCATCAAATGCGCTGACGGTCAGCGTCCGGCCGCCAATCCGGCCCGTCTTCTCAAAGATTGTGATGTTGACTTTGACGTCTGCTTCATCTGCATACTGTCGCAAATGGTAGGCAGCTGAAGAACCGGCAGCTCCAGCTCCTGTGGCATTTGGTTAGCCCAAGGCTCTCTGTTGTGCCGCCTCGTCCCACATTCCCCGTCTCTTATATCGAGTCCGGGGGAAACTCCACTCCTTCGATCTGGGGGACTCAATGTGCAAAGAAACCAAATCGCAGTCAGTTCCAACTCACCGATGATTGCAATGTTTCTAACTCGGTTTGATTTCACCTCTTCCTGAGACGCCACCGCCTCCCCGCCAAGCGCGAGCCAGGCCACCGCGGCTGAGCCCAATTGCAGCCGCATCTTGATCAGACAACAAGGCGAAGTCCGTGTCAATAGAATGAGCAGTTCAGGGCAGGGTAGGGCAATTCAAGAGTAGAAAAGAAAACAGATTAGACTTTCCCAGCCTTCCGAGCGGTGAGCTAGCAGTATTATATAAATCAGGCTGCCCCTCTCGATGATTCATAACCTCAGCCTGATGCGATGGAAGATGCAGGTGTGTGGTCTGATTGCGTATGCCGGACTTATTAGGTACTCCTTACCCTTGGGAATCTCCAGCCACAGAAGTAATAACAGCCACACCATCCATGTAAGCCGCTATCGATGATGTGATGTGACGGCCCAACACGTGCATCGCACCGTCTCACCAACTGCCCAGTGCTTGCATTTGTTTGTATGTTATACGGAGCACATTGTTGCTTTTGTACAATAGCTGCACACGGGCGGACGATTGTCCAGTAATTCGGGGCATTGTCTATGAACAGAGAGTGGATGGTTCAGGGGCCAGCACGCTGAGAATTAGCGGCTAGTCCAGCCGCAGCGCCACTCTAATATATCCAAATCCAAATCCAGACTCAAAACTTCTAAGTTATGATGAGATATTTCAAGGTTTGGCCGTAACTCTCCCAAAAATAGAAAATGGTATGCACAAAATAATTCTCCGCTGGAACCCATCATCAGTACACTTCATGATTTAGATAAACATAAACATACAGGATATCTAACATCTAAATACATATTGGCTTTGCTAAGGGGATATTGAAAAAGCATCTGTACAGTCTTTCTGTATCGCATATACAAAAAACAAAACCACCGCGCTCCTGGGGATCGTACTTTTTCGTTGAGAACATCCAACCATTCAACAACGCCTGCCATTCCATGGCTGTCAAGGAAAAGCATAAGAAATAAATAAAAACGGGGAATAAACTCAGTTTGCACCCAGCGACTCTCTTGCCGCCCTTCTCTGCTATCACAAACTGGTACTGCTTTAACTGGTGCTATTAGTGCTGGTAAATCGCTGGTTGGCAGGATTTTTGTGGTCTGCCCTGTTAAAGGGAGATGTTACTCCTCTCAGACGCGGTTTCAAATCAGCCGCTTTTTTTGGAGCTGCTGCTGTAATCGCTCTCGACGCCTCCTGCAGTGGCCGCAGAACTGCCTCCGGCGCGGAGAACAGCCTCAGCGCTAGCGCTTTTGCTTCTTCCACGAATGGTTCCTGGAACGGCCTCGGTGCTACCCCGTGATCCAGGTGGGACCCGACCAAGTCCCTGCTGTGAAATGTCGTCCAGGCTACTGTCTCGCCCCTCATTTCTCGACATCTCAATGTCGTCGTCTGGCTCTTCGCCATCTTCGTCGCCGCTGCTCAGGTCTACACCGTCAGGGTAATCATCCGACTGATGCGGGTTTGCTCGTCGGCTCATAAACTCTTCTGAGGAATTGAATTCATCATCTCCATCGGACCCGAATCCGTCCTCGGACCATGAATCTGCACTGAAAGGTGGGAAAAATATGACTGGTGGAGGAAGCGGTACTGGTTCCAAGCGCCTGATGCGGCCTGAAAGGTACTCAATCTTGATTTTCGACGAATCATCCGCTCCCGGTCGTCGATGGACAGGCGGGCGGGGCGACGAAGTCGACATTGTGGCTATCCGATTGATGATGTTGTCTGTGGTCTCTTCGGACAAGTTATGCTGATCCACACTCCTCTGACCGAGATGTGCATCGAGTTTCGATCGCCTAGTCGTAACCACCACCATGAAGTGATCTTCTGGTAGCACACCACCTAGACCGCATGGCTCAAGGGGACGAACCTCAAGAATCTGTTGCGTATCGCTCCAGGGAAAATCCATACTGATGTCACTGGATTCATCCCCCGAATCGGTCACAAGCTCGGGCACGCTAACCCCGTCGTTGACACCCAGCTTGGGTATGGAGCCCAAGTCAAGGTTAGCGTCACTCAATGGCCGCCTGGTCATTGAAGATCCTGATCCCGATCTGAAGGGTATCGGGCGGGCAAACTGCACTTGGGGGTCCAGTCGTTCCCTTCCGCTGGATAGCATGTACGTCGTTGGCGATATATCACCCGGGTCTCCCGATAAGTCGGTACAAAACGGAGCACCACTATAGTAGATGATGGCACCGTCACGACGGCGTTTACGACGATTAGATGCACCAGAACCACTCTGACCCCACCGCGAATCTGCATTACTTTCCTCAATAGGACCGAAAGACGATAGCGTGTCATCTTCCATCGACGATTGCTCGTTGGGCGACTGCTGATGAAGAAACAGAGGTTTATAATGAAAGCTCTCGGATGATGCCGAAACTTGTGGCCCAAATTTGGACAAGTTATTACCCGAGCTCCCAGAGTCTCCGGTTGAGCGACCCGTCTTCTGTCTCTTATGGTGGTCTGCTTTCGTGTTTTCCGTGTCGTCTGTTTCAGGGCTCCGTTGCGAATGGTCGCCTGAGCTATCACTACTGAATTTGGTGCCATCTGTACCGCCGCGCCACCTTATTTTTCGACCATCTGGTGATAGCTGAAACTTTGCGCTCAGGTCAACGACGGCATTGCGTACAAAGTCCGGAGTAACATTCATTATGTGCAGTTGCGCCATATTGCAGAGGAGATTCAAATACACCCAGCCTTCCTCGTCAGGGTGAACATCGTCGCTTGGCCGTTCTGGAGGGTCGGCTATTAGCTCTGGAGGGACAAGACCTAAATGCCTTATGTACTCCATATTTTCGGACGGGATTTGGACGCGATCAGGGTCGAGATCTCTGGGCCTCGTTGGTCGCTGTTCGGGAGGCGGCGGCATAGGCGGCGACGGATTCGTCCCTGATCCGTTCCCGTTGCCACTGCTGTTGCCGTTGCCCCCTGACTCAGTTTGATCCCCGTTAGAGTTAGACGTTGAACCCATGTCTTGTGATCTACTCTTCTTCCCCGTATGTCCGGATTGATGTTCTTGGGGAAGAATTCGAGCTTCGCGCATGGGCTCCGGTGCAGGATTCAGGTTAGCACCGGGATTGGCATTAGGACTTGGCTTTGGTTGTTGCACCAGTGAAGACCGCTGGGGAGAAGGATTGCCCAATGTCGCCTTTGCTGGTGGCACGATGGATACGACAGGTGGTTGGGTAGGCTGGCTGCGATGAGCGTGTTTGCCTCCAATTTTCCCCGTGAATATTTGCTCAAGACGCCGGACCACTAGCTTCTTCTTCTCTTTTTCTGTCAGGGAGACAAATCGGGGATACAGCCCCTCAGGGATCTCGCGCAAGTAGTTCTCTACTTTCTGTTCGTTTGTCTTGAACCGTGAACCCCCCTGAGGTCTATTCAACGATGTCCCAGATGAGCCAGCGCCAATCGACATGGATGCGTAGGCAGAGTCAACTGGTCGTGTATGCGATCCAGACGACGATGAGGCATGTTTTGACTGTGACTTGGAGCCTGAACCAGCATACATCCGATCACGCGTGGCATGCCTCGACGACTTTTTGTTACGCTGTGACGAAGAGGTATCGGGTGAGTCTCCCAAACTCGCTGTGAATTCTCGGAGCGTAGCCTCTAGCTCACGCTTTTTCCTCTTCGGCAACCCATGTATCTTGATTTCAAAGAGTTTGTCCTTTCGAAGCATATCAGGACCGCGCTGCCTATAGCGCTTCAGCTCATCCTTCAACTTTTGTATCTCTACCGTGAGATCATCAATGACGCTTCGGTAGTCATCAGCGCTGCTGCTACGAGGGTTGGACTGAATTCGAGGCGCGGCCGGTTGATAGGGCTTGTCTTCGTTGGATGAGTCGGACTCTTTTTGGAAGAACGGCGGATCAACTGTGTTGGGCGTGAGTACTCTGATACATTAGCTCACCAACCTACGGCTTGGGTACTCACCATCCATGGCATTGCTGTCGAAAGTGGCTGTTGGATTTTGATTGGACTGGTTGAACCATTTCTTGGCATCGCTCTGGCCAGTTTCGTGGCTCTCCCCTGATGAAGCTCGATGAGGCGATGATGAATCTTGGTCGCCTTGATTTGGCGGAACCGAGCCGCGGCTCGCTTTCAAGGAGGCATCGCGAGCGAGTTGATGGTATCTCAGCGTGATTGAGGTTTCCGGCGAAGTTCGTCGGGGGAGAGGGTGGCCTGTCGATGAAAGGGGTGGTTCGTGAGGTCTGTCCTCTGTCGACTGCATTGTAATTCAGCTGAAAAGCATCTAGATGTTGGCAACTATTTTGATCAATCTAATAATGAGTCATTCTCTAGTTGCCAGGCGGAATATCTTCTCCAGCCCGAATTGGGCGGTTACAGAGAATAATATCCAAGGGTCCAAGCAATGTGACGGCTTGTGACGTAGGTAGGCGGCACACCTCGTCAATCGCCTATACTCTGTAGACGCATTGTTAACAGGTCAATCCTTGCATAACTGTGTGTCTGTGACGGGAAATTGGCTAATGGGATGGGCAAAGGCCAGTTTAATGAGCACAGGAGTGGCGTGTCATTTGCCGTGGCACCTTGGGCGATCGATCGATCGAACTGGATAAGCAAAGAGGGCCGCAACAACCTCGGACAACTCACCCTCAGAAAAGACCGAGCTCGTAAACAGCTCTGGGCAGCAGTTTCAGATGAGATCGATTATTCGGGGAGGGGAATGAAAATGAAATGATTAAAAATGAAGGAATTATAAAGAAAATGCCGGCTTGATCCAAGATTTCCGTATACGTCTTGATCTGTGCAGCGAAGGGGAAAAGAGCTCGAGTTCGCAGCAGGTGGCGAGGGTGTGATTTAAAATCACCACAAGTCGTAGATTTCACTGCCGTTGTCTTCTTGTTTGCCGGAAATCGTGTACACCAGCTGTTGAATAGAATTTTGGGGGGGGGGGGGGGGGGGGGGTTTGTCTTTTTTTTTCCTCGGTTAGATCAAATCCAGCCCCTCGCGACTGTTTGCGTCTTCAATCGGGGTCAAACGACAGGGCCGAGAGGTGGGTTCGGAACCAGCTCCGTCTCCTCAATGGCACTGAGTCGCGTCTCGTCAAGTATGAATGGTGGACTGTTAGAAAGGGATTTCCGTGGCTATCGCGTCCACAGCTTTTGACCTAGTGATGCCCGTTGCCAGAGTTTGTACGATCCACGAAAGGGCCAAGGAAGCGCTCGAATGTAACAAGGTCAAGAGGTCGCGGTGCTGAGGGGAAAGAAGCTGACGGGGAATAACAAGGACGATGATGGCCAGTGGGGTTGAAGGAAGCTCGTCCTCGAGAACGGCACCCTGGGATATTGATGGGGCTAGGTGAGGTACAAGTATGATTTGGGGTTGATCGCCGTGGTGAGGCTGGTCTGAATTCGTCGTAGAAGGTAAAGGAAAAAAAAGGAGGGGCGTGTGCGTGGTAGCTGGGTAGGGGAGGGAAATTTTTGACCAAAATTTTTGGAGGGCTTGACGATGTATGCAGATACATATGAGGGACGCGCGATGGCCCCGAATGCCAGCCTTATGCCGGATGGTCTGTTGGCGCCTCACGGGTAGTGGAAGAAAATGATGCACTTTACAGAATAGGCAAAGTTGAAATGGAGAGGAGTTTTTCTGTCAATGGTGAGTCTATCGCCAAAATGTTGCGTGGCAAACCTGTGCTTTCGCCGCAGCCACTCTTGTGGGCAAACCCCAGGCTGATGGCGCCGTGAGGCTTCGATTGGCAGGTGAGGAAGCAAGGTGCTGCGATCGGGGCAATCGCAGAAGCATCAACGCAAACTATGGAAATCAGGGTCTTGTTTGGGAGCTAGTGAGGCCGTGTCTCACTCCGGAGGGGTGTTGTTAGCGAGAAGCTCCCATCAGATGCTCGTCCAGGTATGTACGAGGTCGAAGCACACGGTGCGGAAGTGTGGGCAAATCGGACAGTAGCAGGTGGACGGCATGTGGTTTGTGTATCCACAAGCCTCTCTTGTCACTCTGGCGAAGGGAGGGCTCAGCCGAGGGCATCTGAGAGTTGTCATTAATCCCTAGCATGAGGCCTTGCAGGAGATAAGTACAGCACTTAGTAGTCAGTCCTGCTGCCGCTGCTGTATAGTTTGACACACCTGTCAGTCAGCTTATTATCTGCACAAGCACTCGCTTCTGCCCTACCGGTTGAAGCCATCATCAGATATGTACTGTCCCCCAGATACTGGGCGGAGCAGCAATGTGCTACAGCCCCGTCTGGCAACGCTTTGACGGGCCACTTTGGATCCAAGCAGCGCTAATACGAGCGTGGCGGCGGGCTTGTCATCGGTGCCAGGGAGAGAGATCAAGCATTGACAAGCGCCAGAGCCGTCAACTTGGTGCCCAGTACGGAGTACAGTGTAGTATTTGCAGTTTGCTCGGTTCCAGAACAGCGGGCTCCCGTCCAGCGTCAAGCTCATGTACACTATTTGCGTCAGCAAAGTCAGGTCAAGAGATGCTCTGGGGCTGGACGAGTACCTTACTCGTAGTTGCCAAGACTCTCCTCGCTTCGACCGCGCTGGCCTTGTGCCCGCATGATCCCTGCTCGGCAGCGTGCGAAGTTCCTTGGCCGCCATCTCCACCTGAGGGCCTAGCCAACCATTTGCTTGCGGGGACGCAGGTCGCAAGGTTTGGAGGGTGTAGATCTTGGTTTTTGGCTGGCATCGACCAAACAGAAGGCCGGGGTCAGCCCGCGGAACTAACTTGATCCGAGACGCTGGCTGTGCCTGTACGACTTCTCTGCTCCCAGCTCTCCGTTGTGTTGATTCACACACACCAACCTTTGATTTCGAGGCCACCTCCCGATGTGCGTTAAAGCACCTCCGTATACCTGTCATGTGGTCCAGAGCACCCAGGATGCCGAAGCCGTCGTCAGCCTGAGCATGGGATCCAATGAGATGCGCATCCCTCTTCCGCCATTGGCATCCTTGAGTCAAGCAATCAGCATCTCGATCAGGGGCCAGCCCTTGGGGCTACAAAGTGGCGCAATTATGACGTCCCTCAGACAACTAGGTAGTCCAGAACGGCTTGCATGCAAGGATTGTCGATGGGTCTAGACGGGCCCGTCTCGCAACGGCGAGGTGTGAGAGGCGAGCGGGCTGGTGTGCCTGGTGTGTTTGTGTGTGTGTGTGGCCCTCTATGCTAGAAACAATCTAGTACAGTACGAGCACTTTGGCTTCCTTCGCCTTGGCTCCAGTACCGCTGTGATGGAATTATACCTTTGCGGCTGCATGGTATGAGAATTAATAGCTTCCATCGGCGAGTCATGCGTCTTACTTTTCTCACGATGACCAGCTTCCACACGGTCTACACGAGTAGTAGCTACTCCGATTACTTCGTACTCGTACGCATTCAAAGGTACGAATGTCCTGAATAGAGACGATAGAGACGCACATCCTTTGCACGGAGACGCTCAGCCGACGATTTGCCATTGACGCTAGGATGCATGCTGAGCTTCCCCGCAATGGCATGGATCGGCCTCGTTCCTCACACTTCCAAAACTCCACCGATTCCCTGTCTACAGCCAGTTTCCTCCAACTTTATGGACACAATGACGTCTGCGCATTCGCCTCTTGCTGTCGACCCTCTAGCCGGTTCCATGGCCGGATGTGCACTGGCGAACTGGCTAGTCACGTGGTAAAATCGCCGAGAGCCGGTCCCACTTAATACAGATTGGCCTTTCTAGGCGCCGGCTCGGAAGACACTGCTTGGTGCGGGACTGCGTTTCCAACGGTCGTGATGCCTTCGAAGGGGCACAATATGAACAATAGAGCGATATCACAAAAAAAGAGAGAGCCGACGTCCTCTTATTTTCTTCATTTTTTAATGGCAAACAAACACCTCCGTCTTCGAGATCCAAAGTTGTTTATTGATACAGGCAGCTTCTACAAGCATTTGCATCAGTTAATGTTTCTTCCATCCCCCCTTTGTTATCAATCAAATGCTGATTCTATCTTGATTCCACCGTTATTATACATCTCGTAGTATCAAACGTTGAGGACCTATCACTAATACTCTTCTTACTCCCAACCGTTTTATACGCCGCCCAACAACGATTCACACGCGGTATCACGGCCTCAGTACGCCTTGTCACGGCCTTTTTTTTTTCTCAATGCACACCCCAGGCCGAAGCCACCTCGATCTCGACGAGCTGCACCACTAGCTCAGATCGGGGGACCGCTTTGGAGCCAACAACCAAATCTGGAACTTGCCTATGTGCATCCTCCGTCTTACAATATCGCGGGCGTGCAAATAGAAAACAACCGTCACCTTTTTCGCAGGGCCCTATACTCGGCTACTTCTTCGCTAATAGGAGATTGCCGATTCGTCGGATCTCATCTTAATGGTCTGCTAGGAAGCTTGCAATAACAGGGCTGACGGGAGGAGGCGACTTCTCCTTGTTGTTGCCGCTGCCAAGTTGCCACTAGCTCTGGGCTGTAGAAGTCTGCACGACCCTGCTTGCTGATCGATCTGCAGGGTTTTACAATGGCCTATCCTAGTCCAAATGCAGAACTTAGCATCGATACTTGTGCCTTGAAAAGCTTAAGTAGACTCCAATAATGACTACAGAGTACAAACAGCGTCATTCTGCCAATGGGCATCTTCACAAGAGACAAAGCAACTCTGCCCCATGTTGACCATCCTAGCATAAGGACTACAAGATATATACAGTAGCATACCAATGCAAGAGAAGAGAGATCAACGAAACAAGCTGTCCTTTTCCAAAGAGAGATCAATGTAACAAACAGTCCTTTTTCCAATTTGGTAAATTTTTTTTCCCACTCAGGCCAGTGGGGAAGCTATTCCCATCTCGCCATTCACTCCCAAAAGTTCTATTCTTTAACAGCCGAAGCCCAGCTGCAGGGTCCCCCAAATAGCGCCGTGATATCACACCACGCCCACCGGAGCTAATGCTCCTGACTAGGGAGGTGAAGCCCTCTCCAATGCCAGAAGCAGTATCGCACATACCACTTGGTTGGATTAGGTTGACTTATCCAGGAACAGAGAGGCCATCACCTTGCCACAGTAATATCCATACAACCATAGAAAGGTGAGCGTGTGGTGCTGATGTAAAGCAACCCCTGTAACCTTACCCACCATACGCAGATCTTGATCGTAATGTACTGTAGTGATATCCATGTTTTCTTATTTCTGTTTCTATCTTAACTATGCAACTTTCATACCTTGCCTGTCTTTAATCTATTTATACCTTGCTCCCTTAATCATGCCCACGTAGTCTCTGTAGTCTCTGTATCTGTATTGTTTTTCCTCTTATCCGCTCGTTTTGGTATAGCAGCCCCTTTACTCAGCACTCCTCTTAAGGTCCTTCGCAAGAAGGGACTCTCCAGTCATCTCCTCAGGCTGAGGCAATCCCATGGCAGCCAAAATGGTAGGGGCAACATCACCAAGGACACCGCCCTGCTTCTTGAGGCTCCATCCTTCGGGAGCATTGGCCATGATGAACGGCACCTTGTTGGTGGTGTGGCTGGTCTTGGGCTTTCCATCGGGGAATTTCATCTCCTCGGCATTGCCGTGATCGGCAGTGATGAACAGGATGTAACCCTCCTTCTTGCAGGCGTCCAGGATCTTTCCAATAGCCTTGTCGGTGGCGGCACAGCCAACAATGGCAGCCTCGTAGACACCAGTGTGGCCCACCATGTCAGGAGGAGCAAAGTTGTTCATGACAAAGGGGAATTTCTGCTCCGCCAGACGCTTGACAACCTGGTCGGCCACTCCGTCCGCAGACATCTCGGGGGCCTGATCGTAGGTCGCAACCGACTTGTTGGAAGGAACAAGGTCCTGGTCCTGGTCACGAGTCTCGAGAGGGAAGACCTTTTCAACACCGCCGTTGAAGAAGAAGGTAACGTGGGCGTATTTTTCAGTCTCAGCGACGTGAACCTGCTCCACGTTTTGCTTTCCAAGCCACTCGGCCAGGACGTTGTCCATCTTCTGGGGCTCAAAGGCGACATCGAAGGGGTAGTCAGTCTTGTATCGGGTCATGGTAACAAGCTTGCTGATCTTAGGGTAAGGGAAGTCGGGCAAAACAGATCGGTCGACATCACCAAGCACCTGGGTGATTTGTCGAGCGCGATCAGATCGGTAGTTGAAGAAGAAGACGGTGTCGTCATCTAGTTCATAGAGTGTTAGCTCTGAATCTCCAACTGGTCGAATGATAATTCTCAGTAAACCTACCCTTAATACGGCCCTCATCACCACCAACAATGATGGGAGTGAAGAACTCATCTCGGTTCTCCTTGCCTTCGAGCTCATATCGAGCCTTGACAGTAGCAACGGGGTCCTCAGTAGCCTCGCCCTCGCCCAGAACAAGGCCCTTGAGAGCAACCTCGACACGCTCCCATCGCTTATCACGGTCCATGGCATAGTATCGGCCGACAACGGTGGCAATCTGGCCCAGGCCGAGCTCCTTGATGAAGTCGACCAGCTCTTGCATGTAACCGCCACCAGACTTGGGGTCGGTATCACGGCCGTCGCCGAAGAAGTGGATGAAGACCTTGGGGACCTTGTACTTCTTGGCAGCCTTGAGGATGGCATACAGATGCGTCTGCTTGGAGTGCTGTACGGGTGTCAATAAATTTCAAGACGGGGCCTCTTCTCCAAAGATGCTACCTACCACACCACCGTGAGAAACCAGGCCGCAGAGGTGCAGACGGCCATTGCCGCTTGCTGCACTCTCAAGCGTCTTCTTGAGGGTCTCGTTGTCGCTGAACTCATCCTTCTTGATGGACTGGTCGATGCGGACGACGTCCTGCCAGACAACACGTCCAGCGCCGATGTTCAAGTGGCCGACCTCGGAGTTGCCCATCAAGCCCTCAGGCAGTCCCACCGCCAGCGATGAGGCATCGAGCTCGGTGAATCCAGTCTCGCTCTTGGAAAGCTCGTCCATAACGGGCGTCTCGGCGGCCGCAATGGCATCGCCATCCTTGGGGCTTTCGTCGGAGGGGATGCCCCAGCCATCAATGACGACTGTAAGAGCGCAACAGCAGTAGAATTAGCCACCCAAGCTCAAGATACACCAGGACAAAGCAGCAGGCAAGGACATAGTCCGGCCGCTTGGGCGAAGAGCCAATGTCGACCGTGGCCGGCGCCGATTTGACGCGGCGCAGGTCGGGACGCGGAATTGGTTGAGGGGCGGGAGAGGCATGGCGGGGCAATGGCTGAGGCTGAGGATGAGGAGAAGGAGAGGCAGACGTACTGAGGCAGGCCTTTTGCTCTGTCTTGGACATGGTGAGAGGCTCAATGGCAGATTTGGCGCGGCAAAGAGAGTGTAAGGAGGAAGAGGACGGTAGGTGCGTGATTTGATGGGGAGATGAAGCTTTTTTCCCACTGCAAAACAAGAAACATACCACCTGGACTAAGGATTGGATGGTGGGGTTGATGGCGATAGGCTGCCGATGTCATCCATTATCTCTCGATACGTTGGACGAGCGCAGGCGGTGTTACTGTAGCGGATTAGCGGATTAGCGCAGCGGCTGCGCTAAAGAGCCCTCCGTGCATCGGGCCGTTTTTCGCCCTGGCCACTAAGCTTGCGTCCAATCTCTGCCAAACTCCCCTCAATAACCCCGTCAACGCCTTGCTCGACAAAATTCCCCGTGAACCAATCAATCAGGGCATGCCATGCGCAGCTGCGATCCGTAGTCGTGCTATTATCCATCGCTATTGATCATACGCTTTGAACCTTATCGGTCGACTTGGCGCCTTTCCCATACCCTCCCTGCCCGTATTCTGTTACCTCAATCACTTGACATCCTGAATCCAACACGTTACCATGGCTTCAGAGCTCCCAGCACTCGCCCTACCTTCCACGCTGTCCCCGGACGATCTCGACTCGCTATCCGAGCTGTCCATTGTCCTTGCAAAGGTCCGCGCTGGACTCCAATCCTCCACTGGCCTCACGACAGGAGCTACTCCTGGCGGGCCAAGCAGCAGCGGCCAGCAGCTCTCTTTTAAGGACGTTCCCGGTGCTACTGACAAGCTCAAGCACAAGTTGCAGCACGCCAGGGCACAGGTTCGGGCGTTGCCAGACATGGATCGCTCCATCGAAGAACAAAGGGCCGAAATCAAGGAACTCGAGACGCGAATTGAGATGCAGCGCGCTTTGTTAGAAAAGCTTCGCGAGAGTGGCGTGCAGTTTAGCAAAGATGCATACGCCAGCGGGGACAAGATGGAACTATGAAGAAAGAAGAGACTTGCGCAGGCACTCGAATTTCTCTCGAGCCCAAATCAACGTTAACCATATATCTCGATATTTTCCCCCGAGAGGCTACCTATTAGCTATTTTTAACTACCTATGCGATGCTCGATAATGCAACAGCCCGCGTCTACTTCCCCAATCAGTCAGCTTATTTTGGCGGAATTCCAACCTTGGTCAGTATTTCTTCGACACTGACGCCTGGCTGGCCCGGCACAATCTTCGTCCACACCTCATCGTCAAGCCTCTGAGCTTCAGATAGAGTGGTCCAGTTCGGACTCTGAGTTGTTTTCAACCATTTGAAATCATCAACCTGATCCCACTGATTCTCTGTCGATTTATCGGCCTCGGTCAGCTGTACACACAAACACAGTTAGCATCTTCCGGTATTATACAAAAACAAAACCGCAAAATGGGATTGGCGCATACATAACACGAAGGAAGAGGGGCAAAGCGCATGCCCGAGCAGTCTTCGATAATAGGGTGGCTAGCGCAGTGCAAATAAATATTGACGTTTTTGCAGTCATGAATTCGGACCTGCCGCGCTATAACGACCAGAGTGCTATTGGACACATCGTTGATGTGTATGGGTCCATTCACCCTGCCGGCCACAATAAGACACCTGTCGATATTCTTGAGAATAAGACCAGGGAATGGCGCTCCTTGGGCTGTGGGTATTGAAAGGTCAATAACACAATCCTTCAGATCCCGCAGCCAGCCTGCTGCAGTGGCTCGCGAGGCCGAAGATGGAAGGATAATGTGAAGGCCGGTCTGGTCAGAGATGCCAATGCTCTGAGCTGCAGAGAAGCTGGGTTTTCGGATAGATGAGGGATCTGACTTGGCTAACTCTTCGTTGTAATCTTTGCCCTTGGAGGGCAGATCGCCCACGGTATCCTGGGCCTCCTCTGCTATGCTTCTCGCTGCTCCCGGTGCACTCTTTGGGCTGTGTGGGCGTCGGGATAAGCTGCCCGGGTTCAATCGCGGGTCATTTTCTGGTGCTCCCATGTCAACATGGTCGGTTCCGGTGCGCCTAAACTGGAAGCGTGACTTTGGTGCTACTTTGGCAAGCGTCTCGTTGAGCTTATCTTGGAGGCCTTTGATTGCCTGTAACATGATTCGCGATCAGTCTGGCTTCTCTCAACACAGAGTTATGGAGGGTGACAGACATCTGAGTACTGGCGTCGGTCGTATGCGGGGGTGAATTCGGCGGCATCGGCAACTTCATTCTGCAGCTTGCTGATGCCAGCCAGGATGTGATCTGTAGCCTCTTGTCGCTCGCCTCCAATCGAAGATAGATGATTCAATTGACCAATCTGATCCTGAAGAACTGCGAAATTAGGAAAATAGAGCAGTTAGCAATCATGCTGTGATGAATGGGTGCCATATAAGCCCGAAGTAAGCCAGAAGCAGCAGCCCACCTTCAACGCTGTCACGAAAGTGACGATAGAACTTTTCCTTGGGATCCGTGGTGGAAGCCATCGTGATATGCAATGCTGTAACGCAACTAGACGATGGGTAGAGAATGGAGCCTTGGGAGTAAAAAAGGAATTGGAAAAGTGTCTGGAAAAGCGTCTGGGTATTTATGCGTTGATGCTGCCTGGGCAAGCTGTCCGCGTTTAGCTTCAGCCTCCAAGGCAGCTTCTTTGTGCCTCTTACACCAGCCCTGTCAGGTGGTCTTTCCCTGCAACGCAACACGCGATCGAACGAGGCAAGTCAATTTGCACGGAGCTGCACGACTCTGGATGCACACAGGCCGGGCAATCGCGTGATTCTGAGATCGGGATGATGCGATTCTGGGCAGAAGCTGAGGAGGAAGAGGAGGAGAGGCAAAAGTTGGGGAGCTGCAGGAGCTGGAGCAGGAAAATACAAGAATGAAGAAGTGAGCGTCATATGAATGACCCCACGTACCTTTATGGAAATATTGCTCTGGAAAGGGAAAAGAGGGGCGACAAGAGCTGGTCAGGGGATCTGATGCTGCCAGCTCAGTTGCTAGTGGGAAGCTAGAGACGTCATTTACAGTGAGGCTTGGGGGAATCTAGAGCCCTTTTGGATTGATTCAATTGTTTGGGAGATGCTGTGCTACATTTGTTAGTGTATGCATTGATCAATCACGAGGCCTGGTTTTGGTTTGCAGCAAAGTTTGCGGGCTGCACGTAGTTTATTCATCTTGCACAGGGGGAGAAATACACCACAGCTCGTGTAACTCCCGATTTTTTTTGATTGACCAATTGCTTGTTTTTATTCATTTTTTTTTTGGACTTTGTGATAGAAGGTATCAAACATCATTAGACCGATTGCCAAAACTCCAGCTCCTGTGACTAGGTATCCTTCTAATTGACCATTTGAAAATTAGAAAAGGAAACTTAGGAGAAAATAAAACCATCCATCAAAGAGAAAGAGGAGGGACACGATCCCCTCCCCCTTTACAAATGCGACCATCGAGAGTGGAGTTCAAAGCTTGTATCCCATTCCATGCCAGCGATTGCCGCATAAATAACGAACAAAATCTCCATTGCCCTGTCAGTAGGAGCATGGAAATGAGAAACGAAAACGAAAAAGAAAAAATAGGTATATAGAAATGAACTGAAAATATGCTTTCTAATAACGAAGCCTGTCATGACATGTCCAGTGAGAGAAGAGAACAAAGACTGCTGCTGCCACATCACAGGAATGAATAACGCTGGCATTGCTCCTTTTTCAGAACATAGAAACATGGAAAGCAGAAACAAATCCGGAATGTCATCACTTGTAACAAGGTCGTTATGCAAACCACACAAACGGCCTACAATTGTCACAAGTATATTTCTGGGCCGGATTGCAGGTACAGGTGGAGCATGTGGATAACGGAGTAGGCATCTGAGCGTGGTTGAGATTACTGAGCTCGGGGGGAGTAGATGATTCAGAGGATAACCTGTCGTCCTCGGGGGTGAGGCGTGTGAACTCGCGGAGGCCACTCAGTATCTCAGCTGAGGGGGTGTTGATGCCTGAATCCACGAATTGAGAACACAGATCAAAATCTTGCTGTGTCGGAGAAGCGTGTCTCAAATCAGGAACCTGTCCCATCTGCATCATAGGAGACTGGACTTGGGCCGGTGAAATCATTCCCATCCCAACAGGAGACTGCATCTGCATCTCGGGAGACTGTCCCATCCACGGAGTCTGTTGCATCCCATGCGTAGACATTCCAGAAAGAGGAATCTGCACTTGCATCCCGGAAATTTGTAGCATCTCGGGAGACTGTATCGGAGAAGTCTGCTGGGGTAGTGGCTGCAACGGAGCCTGTCGCTGATACCATTGAGAACCGATTGGTTGGGCTGCTGCTTGCTTGTAATTAGGAAAGTATTGCTCAAACGCCTGGTTGATATCGTTCCCCCGCCACCTTTCGAGAGATGAATCTATGAGGTGGCATACTTCTTTGCCCTGGCCGCCCTGCAAAGAGCCCGTTGGCAAGCGGAGGCTCCATTCTCTGAACCGCTCCAGCTCTGTATCCTCTTCTTCATACATAGCCTCATTGAGAACAATCTCACGGGTAATTCGGAGAGCTTTCCCTGTCCGCTTCTTGTGTATTTTACTGGCCTGTAGGGCAGATTTGATCCGTGCCTCTATATCTCGGTCACCGCGCCGTGAGGCAGCTATATACGCCCGCTCCGTGTTCTCATCATGAGTTCGCTCCGACTGTAAACATTTAGCATATTTGGCATACAGCTAAATCTATTGGTGGTGATAAGGCTTACCTGAGAAGTGGATTTGCGCCGCTCTGTCTGCTGTTTTTGTTTAGGCTTGCCATGTGTCTTCTTGGGAGAGTAATCGATGAGAACTCCGGTGTCCAATTGCTCGTCCATACTTCTTCCAATAATGACGTCAAAGGCTTCGATCGAATGAACTGCAGCTGAGATCCCCCGTGGGGGTTAGCAGTCTAACGGATTGACGACCGTTTATAGAGTTCTATGTCGAAATTGGAATATGTTGGTAACTGTGTGGACTGATGAGACGACAGTCTCCTTGGCGGTGTACTAGGTCTTCGTTGTAGTAGCAAGTGCTAGGGAGTTGTAGAGATGGAGGTGGGACAATGTAGCGTGTGCCGTAATTATTGACGATATGGGTACTTCGTAGTAGCGTATCAGTATCGAAATAAGTAGTGAAGACTAAGAAATATCCTTGGATATAACAGAGCTTCGGTGATACAGCAAAGAAGGGGGAGAAGGGTGGGCAGGCAAGCTTGGAGCTTTTATTCTTCCCCCTCAGACGATCCATCTCCCTCTGGTAGCTGCTCCAGCCAGAAGCCCACCGATTCGAAAATGCATGGTTGGGCTAGCGGCTTGCGCCTCGATCTGTAACTTTTGAACCCATCGGATTCTGGTCGGGAGATCGCGATCTCGATGCGGAGCAGTTAGGCCTGTGGCGCATGAGGAAGTACCGCTGAGGTACCTAGAGGCCGCACCTCTTACATGCCTCCAACAATGTAGACGTTAGTAATGCCGGCATGTGCTCAAGCCTCATTTGATTTTCCCCAATTAACCAGCAAAGTCTGGCCGAATGTATGAAGTGAACACGTAAACTCGTAAACTCGTATTCTAGTATCTTCTACTGCAGCATCGTTCAATTAAAAAAAAAATTAAAAAAAAAAAAAAAAAAATTGGACGTCTCGAAAGCAACGGCATTGACATCTCCCGCCTCTGCAGTCCCTTAGTCATCCTAAAGATACCTATGTATTAACACGCCTAAGCCCTCAATTGTCATTCACGCTGTTCATCACTCCTTATCCTACGAAACGGCTTCTGTCTAGGCAGGCAACGCCACATGATCCTGATTTCACATTGTCCAACGAACGATCGCGAGCAGGCAAAACAAAAGGCCGTCGCTGGTATTCCAACATTCAAAGCACAACGGAGCTTCTGCTCCGCCCCCGTCGGCGTGGAACCACAAGATGCCGGTACTTGAGAGTACAAGGACGTCTTAACAAGCCCGCCAATTGATCTGCACTCTGATACTGCAGGATTTGGCAAACCTCCCCCTGCCTGCTATCCGTGCGCTAGGCCTGGTTTGATGGCTCCGCATGACAGTCAACTTGCGTCAGACAGCCTCCAGACTCGAAAGCTGGATTATGTTTGCGAATCCTTCGTCCGGCTTTGTCGAGCTCCTTCCAGAAGCCACATCCCGAGGAGCCGGGTCGATATTATGTTCACGCGGCGAAGGAGGATGGCGTCTTTCGGAGCAGATGGTGCGCCGCCTGCTCTGTCGCTGTATAGACACATGGCAATTAGTGGATGGCAAATTACTGTAGATGGGCGGTTGACCACGTTTTGTTCGCCCATCGACGCTATTATACCAGGGCTTGAACCATGTTACAGCCTTCGTAAGCAAAGGATCGGCTACTACGGCGAGAGTTTCTTTGCCCGCATGTAGCAACATCTCATGTGCCTCTACTTGCCGACAGCTTCCTTCAGTTGCCCCAGCATACGGCGCGAAATAGGTACCAGATGTCTAACTGCAGTACCTGCATGTTAAACAGTTCCATATGCGTACGCTTCCAACGAAGTCGACCAATCAAAGCCGCGGGGGCGTTCATGGGGTAGATTGCTTTACAAAAGTCTGCTGCATGGGTTTCTAAGGAAGCTCATCAACAAAAGAGACGATTCACGGTTCTGCCAAAACGGTACAGTACAGATCCATGATCGGTTTTCATGACAGCTATGGGTAATCTATTTACCACCTCCTGTCAGCTAAAGACGGCTGAGCCGTAGATTTTAGTTGGAGCACCATGACATCAAATGGCAGGCAAATTACAGCGAGGCTGGCGGACAGAAGCATTGGCACCCTGACTCTCGACCAATCATCGCCGGCAGATCTGGTGTCTTTCCGAGGACCCTCTATTGCAGCCAGTTATGCAATTTCTCTATATACATGCCAAGGTAATACTAATTGCTGCAATCGAAATAGTATCTCTTTATCCAGGGATACGTGTATTTGAGTTACCTATGCTATTGAAACATCTTTCCCCTCAATCGTTACCGGAGGGACTCGACGCGCGTCTTCAGCGCAATCGTTCTCTCTGTCAGTGGCAAGGCCTAGCATATGCCACTTCTGCTGGCCTCGTCCGCTGCAACCCGTAGGTAGCCGTCTCGAAATAGCTTTCTTCGCCTTCAAGCCCATTTCGTACGACACCATCCGTGAATGGCGTCGAGTGGCATAGAGTCGAGGTTGAGCCACCTACCCTGTACCTTACAAATGCATTGTGCAAAGACAAAATGCCAACGGTAGCCACCACCATTTGTCTTCTGAACTCTATGCCTATGCTTAAAACAACATTCAGCATCATCTTTGAAGTGAACAATCGATTTTGATTGTGAGTACAGCTAACCATCAAGGACAGAAAGCAAATGCCTGCTATGAGAAGGTAAGTAGGTAGGTGCGGGTACCTATGGGGAGGGTCAGACAATGACGGCCAACATCACACCTCCGACAAAACTGGCAGTGAATCATCCCAACTCTCCCTCTGCCTTTCCTCCGAATACTCCATAATAGCCCTTGCATAACAGCTGCAAACAATCACCGCATATCAGTTCTGTTGCATCGTATCCATATGGCCTGTACTCCATACTTGTACATGTACATAGTAAGCCATAATACGCTGCCATGCACTAGACTAGTTGTTGGGATGCCTGCAAGAAAAAAGTTGAATGCCACCTCCTCGCCCCCAATTGCGCATGCACGCTTATCAGCCATCACGAAAAGCCGCCTGATTATTCACAGAAGCCGCCAGTGGCACGCATGTGGCCACTCGGGAGATGCACGGGGTCCAGCCCGCGGCCTGTTCTCTTGCGTGTTGCGCCTCTGCAGTGCTATCGCCAGCCAGAGCCTTGACCATGTGGGTTGATGATTGGCCCATCGCATCTTCCGCCTTGGCAGCACGCAGGGCCTACGAATTATTAGCTGGCAATCTCAGGTATCTAGCGAGCGGCCGGGGAGTGGCTGATTTGGAACAAGATTTGGCGGGCAATATAGGGATAAAGGGGAGAGAGAGAGAGAGAGAGGAGAAAGAGAGGTAGCCCGAGATCTTGGCCGCTTCGCCCTCCGCCCAGCACAACAAACTGACAGACCAGAGGGCACTTGAAGCTGTATACTGCACTGCATCGCCGTGTATCACATCGCATCTGCTGTATCCAATCCATCTCTAGATTTCTTCCACCGGCACTGAAGCGCATGCGGCTTGGCGGCGCTTTAGTGGTTGCCGCTGCGCTGGGAATCCCTGTCCCTGGCCCCAAGCCAGTAACTCGGCCCTCTGATTCCACTGTGGCCCCCTCTTGGTCCCTCTGAAACGCCACGCCAGCGGACGGCTCCAGACTTTTCTTTGCTGGGGCGTGGCATGCAAAAGTGATCCCCATTTCCACTTTCTCACCCTCACCTGCTTTGCACCAGGCCCGCGATTCCTGGCGGCAGAGGCATCGACTCTTCTTTATTGAGCCTCTCTGGACTCAACCGTTCCTCTCTTCACCGTTTGCAACCTCTGCGGCTTCTTGCTCTTACGTGGCAGCGGCGGCGCATATCGATTAGCCAGGCCCCTCTCCTTGCAGCGGCTCTTTGAAACCCACGCCTTGGCTGCTGTTTTACGCCTACCATGTCGTCATCACCGCCATCACCGCCAGCCGTTGCGACGCCCGACGAACCTCATAATGAGGGATCCAAGTTGCGCACCTTCTTGGGCATCTTGAGGAAGTAAGAGAGACCCTCTCCATCACTCTGCTTGATGCAATTTGCGCTGCAGTTGCTCTCTTCGTGCCGCCACAATGCTCTTACACCAAGAGGCGAAACCGGCGGTAAGGCGTAGTGGGGCATACGAGTTTCGAACGAGAGCGTCGCTTTCGATGGAATAACTCGACCAGCCGTGCAAATTGGTTCTTGTCGGATGCATGCAACAAACTTGATGTGGGAGACATGCTAATGGGCGATTTTGCGAGTGTAGATTCATCGGAGTCACCGACCTCGCCTCCGTGCGATTCTCCCTCCCCTCCCAACTCCTGGAGCCAACCCCAAATCTCGAGTACTGGACCTACCTCGATGCACCCAACGCGTTCGTCGCCATCGGCACATCCGATGAGCCCCTCGATCGAATGCTCGAAGTGATTCGCTTCTGGCTTACAAAGGATCTCAAATATGCAAAGGGAAAGCCTTGCAAGCCGTATAACTCGTGTCTCGGCGAGTTCTTCAGGGTGAGCCCCAGCACCGCCACCCAAAACTGGATAACAGTGTCGGACTTTTGACTATCGATAATGCGAGGGGGGAAGAATAACGCTGACATTTGGACTTGCTACAGTGCAACTGGGAGACAGAAGATAACGCCCCCAGGATAAACACCCTCGACCTCCAGACCCCGACTGCCCCAGGGTCGAGCTCAAGTTCCATCAAGGGAGCAGCTGCCAACCTGAAGGCGGCTGCTAGGAGCGAGAAGAACTCCTCTTCAGTGTCCTTGACGGTCCCTCAGCATGGCACGCCTTCGAATGAGGCTGGCCCGCTGCTCCGCATTTCATACCTCACTGAGCAAACATCACATCACCCCCCAGTCAGCGCCTTCCATGTCACCTGTCCCGAAAAGGGCATCACTGCTAGAGGTTTTGATCAGATCACCGCCAAGTTCACTGGCACATCTGTCAAAGTTCTACCTGGCGAGCACAACATGGGCATCTTCATCTCCCTGGAGAAGCGAAATAACGAGACCTACCAGCTGACGCATCCCGCTGCCCACCTCGGCGGTCTCTTCCGCGGAACCTTGAGTGTATCCGTGAGCGAGATGGCATACATCACATGCCCCGATACCAAGATCAAGGCCATCCTCCACTACGTTGAGGAAGGTTGGTTGGGCCGGACAACCAACAAGATCGATGGTGTCATTTTCAAGTATGACCCTGAGAACGATGACAAGACTCGAGTCCAGGATGTTCCAGATGAGGACGTCTTGGCCAGGCTGAGTGGCCCCTGGAAGGAGAGGGTTGTCTTCACGCTGGGCCCCAGACCTTTGGTATGTTTTGTTGCCTTGATATCCGTCTTGACTGACGTGGAGAATGCTGACCCTATGCGTCTTATAGAAAACTGTTCCCGTTGAAGAACAGCACGTCATCATTGACATTGTCCCGTTGAACGTTGCTCCCAAGCTTCTCCCCCCGAAGGAGCAGATGCTTCCCAATGAATCGCTCCGCCTGTGGTCAGGCGTCACCGACGCCATCCTCGCCAAGCAATTCTCCAAGGCAACCGAAGTCAAAGTGGCCCTGGAGGAAGCACAACGTGAAAAGGCTCGGAAGCGAGAGCAGAACAAGGAGACCTGGAAGCCCATCTTCTTCGAGCACGTCGTCGGCAACGGCGGCAAGCCGGACCTCACGGAGAAGGGAAAGCAAGTTCTGGAGCGGGCCCAGAAGAGCGAGTGGAGCCTCGACGGCATTGTATAGAGCGCAAGGGAAACAAAAGAGAGAGGCTAAGGGTTGGATAGGGCAAATACACATGTTTGGACGGATGAGGAATTTGGCTTGATGACATATACATATACCACGCGGGTTGAATTGGCCTATACGCATAGATTGTGTTCGCAGCACACCACAGATTTTACTTTATTTTGGCATAGAGTTTCCGTTTATTTCTACCTTCCCTTTATCATTGGGCTTGCGGTTACATAGCTGTTACTTACCTTATCAAACACATAGCTTCCTCGCTTAGGTGTAGATTGAGATTTAAAGCGCCATCTAGAGGCATCCATAATAGCAAGCAAATCACAAATTTTAACAAAGAGGCAATGATAGATTGGCATAAAGTACAGAGGCCCTGTCATTTATAATGTGCGGTGTGCGTGTTTCCGCCTTGATATCAATTCGTAGGGGGGGCAGCGTCGGCCGTTTATAATACATGAGTGAGGACATTTCCCAAAAAAAGCAGCTTTTTCTATAATCACAAAACAATCATTCCCTTCATTTCACCTTTTGACATGACCGTAACCCGACAACCCATATTAAATTCATACATTTTCATTTTTTTTCTTCCATCCTCCTTGACTTAAGCGTCAACAAAAGTTCGGACGTTCTTGAGCCATCGGAGGTACTCCTGCTGCTCCTTGGCATCGACGTAGTCGGGGACAAAGGCAGCCAGGGTCTCGTTGATGCCACGCTCCTCGAGGAAGCGCTCCATCAGCACCTGCAGGTCCTCGTCGAGGCTGCCGAAAGGAGGTCCGGGGTAGACATCGGCGCGCTTCTGGGCGGCCTCGGGGGAATCGATGCGAGCCACCTTGGCGTCCTCGTAGAAGAACATGTTGTCGACCTGGATTTCGCCATCGCGGGCGGTAGCATCGATGTTGAGGGCGCCGTTGGTCTTGCCGGGCTTCTCGATCAGGATGGAGAGATTGATGGGTGCGCCAGTCTCCTCATCGACGTCGCCCTCAAGGCTGTCGTCGGGGTTCTGCTGCTTGTCGGACTGGAGGGACTCCTCGGGGAGCTCGTCCTCCTCGAACATGTCCTCGGAGTAGGGGTCGAAGTTGGTGATGTCAGCAATGGAGAAGCTGATGGTGATCCTGAGAAGAGCGTTAGCCAATTTGCTAGGGAGAGGGTATATTGGTCGGCTCTAATTGGGGAACTCACTTCTCTTCGCCGTAGCTACGGGTCAGCTTGACGACTTCCTGGCCGGGAGTATCGATCAGCTCGAAAGGGCTGTTGTCGAGGAAGTCCTTGATGCTGGCAGGCTGCTGCTCATTGGCCTTGATGTCTTCCTCGATCTGGATCTCGCTCTCCAGCTTGGCAGAGAGAGCCTCATCAACCTCGATATCGTCCTCTTTGCTTCGGCGAACGGTGGTTGAGAAGGCGGCAGCTCGGGTGGGCAGCAGCTTGATGGCGGGGGTTCTGGCAAGGCTGGAGCGGGCAATGGCGGATGAGCGCAGGGAAGCACCGGCCGCACGGCTGATGGTTCGCGGGGCAGATCGCGCAACTGTTCTGAGGAAAAGCATTTTGGCTGTTTTTGCTTGGTAAAAGAGATTGAGGTCTGGATGTAAAGATGGTTGGTGAGGGATGATGCAGTGGGTAGCTACGAAGTAGTGCCAGTTTTTTTTCATGATTTTTTTCTACTCGGCGGGCATGGAGCTACCTGCCAGCTGCTGCGTTGCCCCACGTGACTAATTCACTGGAATGCAAGCACTATAAATCCATGAAGCTGAACATATGAGGCACGAAGAAAGATTGAGCGCAGTGAATGCATCAGATATGAGTATGTCATACCCGGTAATGGTCGTTGGTTTATTCTATTAAGACCAATTACAACAAAGTAGTGTAATCGATCCATCCGTTTCTATGAGCGCATACAGCTGCTGTGGGCGAGCCTACTAGCTAAATCCATCTCACCCTGCGAGTGAGAAAAACAAGGGTAGAAAGCAGCTGGTGGAATGGCTTTTCTGGTACAGTTAAGCTGTCCAACTTTGCGCCAGCTCTCGTAAGTATTGGGAAGTTTTTGGACAGATGTTGCGGCCTGCATGGGCGTCTCTGCATTCATAATGCCCTTTCCAACGCCAACCAGCTCCGACATCATGACCCATACTGCTCAAGTGACCACCAGATGACTAGGGCAGCTAAGAAATCTGGGGGTTTCAGGGGCTGTTGTTCGAATTAATGCCCTGATATGTAAATACCCACTCATGTACAGAGACTCCTGTGCCTTGGTACAAGTGGATTGAACATAGGCAACCGCTTGCTACCACCAGAGAGCATGTGTATAACACCGTATGTGAATCCCTGAATGCTTTATGTGAGAAGAGTTTAAGAGAGCAAACTCTTTCAGTTTATAGCTTTTGAGGGCAGCTCAGCTTTGCGAACGTTGCCGGTAGTCGTGACTTTGATCCAGGGGATAGTTGCAAGATACGCCCAGGAGCCCTCCCATGCATCCAAGAGCTTGACCGTCTCAGCCGACATAATATCGGGTACCACTGGAACATTGTAAGCTGAAGAAGTCCCCTGAACAGGAACTATGATTTCAAGAAACCTACAGAATCCTTTGGTGTACTCTTCCTCAAGCGCAGAGATCTTCATCTTCAAAAGATCTTCCTTGGTACTGGCGGGCCGTCCAGCACGGCGAGTCTTTTTCACAGCTTCGTACTCTTCATCGTACTGATGAACATATCTTTCCCATAGATCCACCATTAGCTTCTAATTCTTCTTACACAGAGACGAGGCAATCATTACGTACGTGTGAATAAGCGCCTGGATGGCAGACACTTCAAGCGGCTCAGCACCCTGCTCTCTCACTTTCTTTTGGAAAAATGTGATACGCTCCACTTTGTAACTGGTTAGGCATGAACAAGGGATTCATACATCTCATTCATAGGTTGCATACCGATGGGCTGTTCTCTCTTGTTCCTCGCCGCAGCAAGTTTCTCCAGCCTCTGGTCTCTTACTCCGGCTTTGTGTAGTCTCAGAGAGTCTCTGGACTTTTCATGCAGGGCGTTTACCTCTCCATTGCGTTTCTTGGAAATATGTTTGCGTGTCTTCTGAAGTGTGCTAGGCATTTCGAATGACTTGTTCTTTTTGATGAAATGGTTGGTTAATTACAGCCGAATGTGTGGTTGAGACGTCGCTGTAGCTCTAGTTTTTTCTTCAATTCTTTCGCTAGCGGTATCTGATGGCCAAAGTTCATTGAAGGTTTTTCTTTCGGTACTAAATGGACAGGGGTGTGATGGATGCTAAATTGGGTAAGAGATGTGGCGGCTATTGTTCGGATAAAGTCGGGTAGTAGCTCTGCAAGCAATCTAGATGGAATGCATGTCTTCTATTTACAGTACATATGGAAATGCAGGTTTAATTCTATGCGACTGCGCTCTAAGCATCTCCTTGTAGATAGTAGTCAAATTGCTTCAATCACAATTTTCAATCACATCATAAGCGCGTCTGAGTCAAAAGTACATGCACAATCTCCGTCATTTCTTTCCCGCCCCCGCGATCTAGGTGATGTTGCTTGGTACCTTGGTAAGGATACATGTACTCAACAATGATTTTTTCCCCAATGGTCCAATAAAAGTTGTAGTGGTTATACATGAAGAAATTCGAAATTAATTCTTGCTTATAATATACTCGATAAAATGCTTTTACTACACCATTTAATCCGCTATGCTGTAGAAATCATGCACTTGTACAAAGTAAATAGACCTTCTGCCGTGGGGTTGCAGCCTGGTTGCTAGGTCAATCTATCCCCGTCCAGGCATTTTTCCCACGCCAACAGCGCTATGACACGCGCTTCAGGTGCCGGCTGGCGTGGATCCGCCCATTAAAGCCCCCCCCCCCCCCCCGGCGCGTCTTGTCTCAGCGACTACAGAGCCATAAGCCCGTTAGCCGAGATGCAACTCGTACCTCAGGCGTGAATCTTGTCCGCTTCAATCGCATCAGTTGCTACACCGACAGACACTCATCCTCTCCCGAGCCTCCTCCCAAGCAGACCGCTGTCACGACGCGTGACCCTGCCTTCTTGTAGCTACACGACTCCTACCGCATCTCTCCTTACTGCGCGACGTGCCCTGTCTGTTTGGGCCTTGTGCTCAGCAGTCACCGCGTCCAGGGGCCAGCCAGTCGATATATGAGCACGCTGGCTGGTTTGTGCGGACCAAGGGAGCGGACCGGGGCCATTCGCGGCGGAAGCCCTTGAAGTTTTGCTGATTATTCTTTGGATTTGGTGATTTTTGTGTGGGGTATCAAAATGGGTGTATCAGGTATGGATATAACATGATGGGGCTGCGGATGGGTGACCAGGACTGCATATGTTGGGGAACTACGGTGATGCTAACTTTGAAAAGGGCTTCTGCCGCTTCTCAAATCTATCCAGAAGCCGACAGAGCTGAAAAAGTTCAATGGAGAGACTCTGGCCGTCGACGGCTACGGATGGCTTCACCGGGCTGCCTATTCGTGTGCCGTGGAGCTAGGCCAAGGAAAGCCTACCAAGAAGTGAGTCCAATTAGCTTAGCTCTATGATAATGCAGCTAACTAACCTCATCTCTCAAGGTTCATCAATGCCGCTTTGCATAGAGTCAGGATGCTGAAGCATTTTGGTGTCACTCCATACATGGTATTTGATGGCGACTTTCTCCCCAGCAAGGCTGCTACCGAGGCCTCTCGTGCTAAAAAGCGAGAGGATAAACTCAAGCTCGCCAACGAATACCTCAAGGCCGGGAAGCCCTCTCAGGCAGCCCAGGAGTTTCAGAAATGCATTGACATCACTCCCGAAATGGCGTCCGCCCTGATTCAGCAGCTGAAAAAGATGGATATTCCTTATGTCGTGGCCCCCTATGAGGCAGACGCTCAGCTCGTTTACCTTGAGCGTCACGGTTTCGTCGATGGCATTATTTCAGACGACTCAGATCTGCTCGTCTTTGGAGCAAAGCGGCTGCTAACCAAGTTGGATCAATATGGAAACTGCATTGAGATCAACCGACGTGATTTCTGTGCCTGCCGTGAGATTTCTCTGACTGGCTGGAGCGATGCTGAATTTCGACGAATGGCAATCATGAGTGGCTGTGATTATCTCAACGGCCTTCCAGGGGTAGGGCTCAAAACAGCGTACCGGATGCTGCGAAAGACAAAGTCCCCTGAGCGCATTGTCCGCTTGCTACAATTTGAGGGGAAGCGTATATCAGAGAACTACCTGACTCTGTTCTACCAGGCGGAGCTCACATTTTTGCATCAATGGGTATTCTGCCCTACTAAGAAAGAGCTCGTTCATCTTACAGAATTGGATGGGACGCATACAGCAGAGGAAATGCCCTTTATTGGATCTCACGTTGAGCCAGAGATGGCTCGTAAAATCGCAAGCGGCGATGTGAATCCCATTACGAAGCTGCCGATCACCCTGCCCGCTACGCCTTCCAAGCGGAGGCATTCTCAGAGTGCCGCGGCCGGTGATGCTTTGGCTCGTCCGCTTTCCAAGCCCATCAATTCGTATTTCAAGGGCAATGATCGGATACCTATGGGCGAGATGGACGCCAATTGCTTCTCCGTCGACCCTCAGCGACTTTCGCAAATTACTCAAGGAGGGGCCGTCTCACGAGTGTTTCCGTTGCCGAGACCTTACATACCTGAATCGCAGCAGTCGGGACAGTCGGCTGATGACACAGGTTCAAATCAGTTGACGCAAGCCGCTCCACGAACCTCGCCTCGCCTGTATCGACGACGAACTGAGCCAATTTCTAATCTGTTAGCCAGTGTGTCAAACAGCCGCCCACCCCAGGCAGACGCCTCAACCAGGCCTCCAAAGAAGGCACGCCTGTGTAACGACTTGTTTGATGATGACGCAGATGGCTCACCAAAGAAGAGCCGATTCTTCCCTGCCAAGAAAGCAATTAGGAAGAGCCCACGCAAGGCACAGAGCGACGTGTATCTGATGTTGTCAGACGACTCCCTGGATGAAGCACTCAAAAATTTACCTGACATTGAAGGCTGGGCGTCTGGACCATTAAAGAAAGGTGTTTCAATATTTTCTGACAAGCAAAAGGATCGTCCTCCTGGTCGGCCCGAAAGCATTAGTCAACAAGACTGTACTCAGACAGATGCTAGTCAGCCGGATCATAGTCAACAAGATGCCAGTCAACAAGATACTAGTCAACAAGATACTAGTCAGCAAGATACTAGTCAGCAAGATACTAGTCAACCGTCGAATACAAGCCAGGAAACAGGACTCACCTCTCTGGAGGCCACCCAGCAAGAAATCCCCAATGACAAGCCCGAGCCTTTGGTCGATGCTTCTATGCCTCTTCCAAAGCCGTCAGTCTCGACGCCTCAAATCACCCGCACGCCCCCTCGATCCAGGCTATCCCGCTTTTCATATTCCTCTACATCTTCGGCTACACCAGCGTCAACATCATCACAACACTCCTCAGTGTTCAGCGCTGCCTCTACAGCATCCACCGCACCCTCCACTGCCCGAGCAAGGCAAACCCCTCTTCAACGGATGAGAGCGTGGGCACTAAAAGCTCCGGCATCTCCAACACTGCCTATGCCGCGAAAAGACGCCGATGAGAGCCTGAGCGCCAAAAGGCCAGTCGACCCTGCGCTTGTCCCTCTCCCCAAGGTAGACTTGGATGAAATGGAGGCACTAAATAAGCCGTGCGGAAGCGAAGACCAAATCATACCCGATAGCGACGGGGATGAAGAGGAAGAGGAAGAAGAAGAGGTCAAGCTTCCTACCAAAAAGCTCAACCTCGCCCGCTTCGCCTATTCTTAGATTAGAGGCAGCGCATTGTACTGCCACTCGTCATTCCTTTTTACCCATCTTATCCACCCGCCTCATCAGACACATTTGGAACTCTGGGGGGGTTGTGGTTAAATGTTAATGTGTTAATGATGTTAGATACACGGGCGTTTGCTTCAGAAACTCATTTGTTTATTTTTTTTTTCGTTTTAAGGATTGGGATGTGGGAAAACCCTTTGGACGCGCGCGACAAATTGGTGTTTGTATTTTTCTCTGCGTGTTGGGGAACCCCAGGTTTGGTCGCTTTGTCAGAGTTCTTTTGAGAGCATTGTGTTTGGCCGGAATGAAACTTTCGAGTCCGTGGATGACACTGATCACTGGAAATAGTAGAGTACTAAAGGCATAGATAGTTTAGGTAGAATGAAAGAATTGAGTATCGAGTTTGAGTTCTTCATCAGTACCCCATCGTTAAGTCCGACAAATTCTTGCAGCGGAGAGGAGACACTGCGTGCAAGTCACAAGGTGAGTGTCGTTGCTACCTTTTAATATCTGCACAGCTTTGCTATATCAAAAACATTCTGTACATTAACGCCTCAAACTACCAAGATATAAAAGCGAAGTGGGGAAGAAAGGGGCATCAAGTTCCTATCGTCTAGTATTGCCTCCCAGGGATGCACTTTTTTAATGTATCGTGAATCCTCGTATTCTAAGCGAGTGCATGCTGCAGCCATATGCTGAACTAAACAAGGGGGTTCGTATGCATACAACACAGGAAAATCGACCGAAATGACAATGGTACAGGCTATGAGGAGATGAGGGGAAGGGGAAGAAAAGGAACAAAGAATAGCACCCAGCTAAGCAAAAACCGCAGAACCCGCCCGTCTCCCATATACCATGCCTAATTTCCCAAACGCCATAGTTGAGTCATGGAATATCGTTAAAAATAACACCGGTAGTCTATATTTGGGGGAGCGAAAAGCGAAAATCCCTGACGCTGGAACATGATCGCTCAATGAGTGGTGGTGATTCATCGCTGATAGAGGAGAGGAAATCTCCCGTGTTGCTCTATGAGCGCTTCACACAACGCTGTAAGTGCAGATGCACTATGCGCACCTGCTAAGTCTCTTGGCCGGTGAATAAAAGCGCCCCCATCGGCTAGGACTGTATCATTGCTTTTAACGCCTGTTAAGCAACACTGTAGATCCTGTCATGAGGTCCGCATTGAAATTCCATTTGGCTATACAATCATGGTTAGTAAAAGGAATCACGGATCGGGGTAGCAGGGCCTATCTTACAGTTTGCAAGATTCTCCGCAGTGTCTTCCAGCAAGATGATGCGCCTCTTGTTGCAGTACGAGGTCTTGTCCATGATATCGACCTTGAGCTTTGGGTCGGCTAGATCTTGAATAGGCTTCTCAAACATCTCGGACAAGTTCTCGACAGCCATCTCGAGATCCTTTTGATTGTCTTCAAAGATCTCCGTCAAGTTGTTCTTTGCTAGATAGAAAGCAAATGCATAGGTCCACTTGAGAGTCTGTCTGCATGTTTGAAGTGCCTGGGATGCTGAGTTGAGATACTGGACTTCGATCCAAGACATGCCTGATGTGGTCTGAAGCTGCACCATCTTCTTCTCAGTCTTCTGCGCAATGTCCTTGTCGAGCTTCGCAGACTGCTCGTGGTTGGCATATCTGTTGTAGTAATGCAAATAGCGCTCCAAAGATGTACGGGACCTGGTCTGGGCATCTCTAGCTTCGGCTCCGCTCTTTTCCTCGTATCTGTTACAGTTGTACCAACTCGTTCCGTGCTCAGACCAAAGTCCCATGCACATCCAGCAAAACTCATACTTGCACTTGCGGCAAGTCATGTGGTTACATCCGCCGTTCTTCTCAATCGTCGAGCTACACTTGGGGCACTCCTTTGTGTGAGCCGAAATCCAGTTCGCCGTCTCAGAGTCGTCTGCACATTTCTTCAGCCACCGCTTTACCAAGTCGCAGGGTGCTGGTTGGTGATCGGGATTCGGACATCCAAAGCAGAATCTGTAACCGCAGAGACACTCCACAGTAGGGACGATCTTCTCCAGATCCTTCTTCTTTACTCCGCACTCGATGGCGTTGGGACAGTCTGGGGCAGGACACCATTTGAAGGTATCCTTGTCCTCCACGTATGTACGGTTGAGCAGTTCGTGATAGCGATCAGTCAGCTCAGGCGTGACAAGGAGGTCAAGTGACCGAGAGTCTAGAATACGACCACATCCATCCGACGGGCACTGGATCCTAGCAGACTCGCCTTCGTCTTGGATTTTCTGGGTAAGATAGTGGCGGTAACAGTCAACGCAGTAGCGATGGCCGCACTTCATAGCAAAGGTCTGGAGACCCTCTTCATCCTCGCAACAAATGTCACAGACGAAGCCGGGAATGGCTTGTAGCTTTGGCTGGCTAGCAGAGTTACTGTTCAGTCCAGCGGCCTCTAGGACCTTTTCTGGCCGGTCCATGTAGTCCTCCAATAATCTTTCCTTGTTCCATCGGAAATGGCGTAACATTATGGCTGCGTCTTCCTTGCTCATATCAAGGATCATGTTGACGTCGTTCATCATGTCATCTTGTTGGCGCCTAATGTCGGATGGTTCGAATACTTTGAAGGATACCGCGTGGGCGGCTACCTTCTTCTTATCAAGATCTTTCGCCGAGAGGCCGAAATCCGGGTCAGGCTCGTCGAAGTCATCCTCGTCAAAGTCTAGAATAGAGAACCAACATGGATTAGTCAGGCTGACAGGCGATGCCCGAGAGGGCCGGTAAAGGGAGGGCAGAATGGCTTACCTTCAGCACCGGAGATTTCATCGCCGCTATCGTCCGGCATCATCTCATCGGAGCTGGACAGATACTCTTCCTCGGAGTCCATCTCGTGGGTGGTGACGGGTGTGGGAGGTGCGGCGGCGAGACTGGCTGAGGCGACGATCTTCTTCTGGGGAGCGTTGTCAGTGTCGGTGGATGTGATCGTCGCCTCAGCAGCCTTTCGTTTTCTGGTTATAGGAGGAATCGTGACGGTGGTGCCCGGAGATGCAGCGAGCGTGTCCAGTCGACGATGATGCGTCGGCAGAAAAATGGTGGTGCAGCACTAAGAGGGGCCTGATGACGGCGTTTGGTCGTCTCAGGTGCAGCACGCAAGGATGGGCTAGAACTGAGCGAACTGAGCGTAAAGGGAGGGCAGCACGTTGCTCATCCACGGCAAGTCAGGCTTGGGGAGGGCAAGGAAAGCACTGTGCGGCGAGGAGGGTGAATCAGGAAGAGGGAAGGATGCAAATCAGGACCAGACAAATGCTTGATATAAGTGCTTCAGGCCATGACAAGGCGACAGGACAGGATGAAGAAAGTCGAGTTGGGCAGGCGAGGCGTGAACTAAGGCACCGGGGTTTCTTCGGCAATGCTGAGTCAGGCAGGCAGCTGAGCAGGGAGCGGTTGCAGCGGGCCATTGTCAGGTGGCCAACGACGGGCCGTGGATTTGATTTGATGCAGTTGATGTTTGCGTGCATTGCCGGCGTTGAGTGGCGACATGTAGGTAGCCAGCACGCCAAATTGGCCCCGTCGGTACTTGGGATAGGTTCTGGGAGGCAAGGGAGGTTACTTAGTAATATTGGAAGTTTCTCATTCAGCCTTGTAATTTAGCAGTCCCGAGTGGTTTATAGAAATGAGGAATTCATAACGGAATTTCTATGTACATACATAGGCTATATATAGCCGCATAGCACCGAGCCTCGATTCTTAATCGCCCACTCTATATGCCCAATTCGGCAAAACCAAAATACAACCGATTCAATGAGTGATTACCACACCGCCTCTATACTCGTATGCTCATTTCGTAGTACTGAAAGACATATATTAGTAGCGATCATAATACTAGGTACGGAGTAGTCTTCTGGCAAATTTCAGATGCCATTACCCTGGATGCTGGAGCGCCATTCTCTTTCAAGGCTGGATGCCTGCCTTAGTGCCAAGGCTATGGAGCTTACAAGGTGAGGGTCCATTACCAGGCAGCATCGCTTCAAGAATTTAGCAGTCAGTGCGCAGCGGAAAGTAAATGGAATTGGACATTGGAAGCGTAGAATGGCGGACTATTGTCGTCGTAGTAGGTAGCTTGGCACTGCTGGCAGTGGATTGTAGGCAGCTCCAATGCTGATTCAGACAGAAAACAGCTTTCAAGACTTTACCATCACACAACTCGTACGTTCCTCAGCTGCTATAATAGCGTCTCGCTTTCTGCCCATCTTTAGTCATCAGGAACCGATTAGATTGCTCCAGGTCTCCGCTGCTATGGATGAGAAAATGCGACACTTTTAGTAGATTCCGATGTGCAGTAAGCACCATGTCCCTTGACCTCGCTAACACTGCACCTCGTCGCCTAATATGCCATGCATGTACTATAAAGCTGGCCTATTTTCTTCCACTCGATTCCCCTTTTAGTTGAGGACCTGCTCGGCCATTGACACTATAAACGAATAAGGAGTCAGACTCTTCCTTGACTTGACAATTCTTAAAAGAAGACGAAAACTCACCGGCAGTGCCAGTGCTGTCTGGCTCGACAAAGGTGGCGGTGACCTTGCCGTCCTCCACCTTCAAGGCATAGCGCTTGCTTCGGACGCCTCCAAAAATGGCAGCAGCCTCGTCAAATCCGAGATCAAGGGCCTTGGTAAATTCAGCAGTGGGATCGGCCACGAACCGAATCTGTATATGTTCATCAGTTGTTGTTTAGACGCGTGTCATGAATGGTAAAATAACGCACTCCAGTCTCTCCAGCGGGATCCAGCTGGTCTGCCCAAGCCTTCATACTGTAGCGTACAATCAGCATTGTCTCTCAGCTTCTCCACGCAACAGCAATTGCTTACACAAAGGGGTCATTGACAGCAACGACAAAGACCTGGCCGGCCTTCTTGAGGTTGGGGTGGTTGATGTACGACGGAATGTGAGTGCCGGAGCAAGTGCCGGTGAAGGCTCCGGGAACGCCAACAATGTATCCATTGCCCTTCTGGAACTCTTCGGCCAGGTTCACCTTGGTGCCAGCCGAGTTCTCGAACACTTCAAGGCTGGGGATCTCGTCACCCTTCTTGACGAGGGCGCGGGGCGTCGAGTGAAAGCCACGCGCAACGGAGGCGGGGCGGGCCAGGGCAATGCGACGGAGGGAGGAGCGGAACGCCATTGTTGCTGTTTAGACTTTGATATGTCAGACTGCGAAGTCGAATGCTGAGCAGCGAAGCAATTGGAGTGGCTACGGAACTGAGCTTGAGCGATGGAGTGGCGTCAACGAGTTCGGGCTTCTGGTACAGTCAGCCGGGCCCCTTCGGCTTAGCCAACCGGCCCCGCTCACATCATCCAGCGTTGGGTGCCAAGGTGCTTAGTCGATGCGTGAACCCGCCCTGTAAATCGGTTGGATGGTCAAGAGGAGACTCGGAAACAAGTGATAAGCATCTACGAGTCCATGAGCATCTAGACATGTGGTTTCGCTGCATCCAATCTCCGTGGCGGTGATTTGGTACACCGTCACCATCCATCAGTAAAAATTGGCTGTACTTACACTTGTACCTTGGCATGCTCCCTCCCTGTCTAAGACGCTCCGAGATTGATTGAACCAACTTTGGGTTTTAATAGACCTGGGTCCACCCGCCGGATTTGATAAACTTCACCAACAAGATTAAACACTCGTTCTCTACCCGCACAAACTTTTGCATCATCAATGCTACCTTGTGCGGGCATGCTGCAACAAAGCTTCGCGTAGCGAGTGACGAAAGAAGCAAATCTTACCTGTACTTTTGTGTGATACGAAGCTGCAAAGTCTAATCTTTAGCACCTTCGTACTACGCCTCTCCCCTGGCATCACGATACGGTCATCAGCCATCGACTAATACCCGTTTGTATTCTAGACTCGGTAGCATTGACCACCAGCCTTCATTGTACGTTTACCGAATAGCTAAAGTATGTATTTCGTACGTCTAACTCAATGCCCTGTCTACCTTATTGTGCTGCGGACAAAACTAGCGGCGCTGGCAAGCTGGGAGGGATTGGCGGCCAAAGAAGGCTCTCTGACGTAACATGGCGGCAAGACCTCACTCGGCAAACCAGCAGATCACAGGGGGAGCACGGGCAGTGCAGAGGGACGTGCTTCATGGTGGGATGTTGGGGGAGGTTTCCTGCCCTTCTGGGAATACCCTGAGATTGGAGGACTGCAAGGAGAGAGACGCATTCAACCACAAGAAGCGCATGAGATACAGTAATGCATCAATATCAGACGCCTCACCAGAGCTTGTTCGTTGGTTTGGTGTTGAAGATGGCCTGAGGAGGATGCATATGCCATTGGGCCGGCGGCCAGAAGGCGTGGGGGGGGATAGCCAAGACATTCGGCTCTTAATACTAGTAGTCGTAGCCGTAGTCGTAGTCGCAGCAACGGCACATACGAGTATAGCGTAGATAATTTGATCCTATCACTGCGCATTACATACAACACGGTGTGTTGTAAGTAGTACTGGTACGAGCATACGAGGAGAGGGCTTTTCCCAGGTCTAGATCTGATGCCATCGCGCGATTTCGTGCCATGACATTGATTCTCTCTCTGCTCCCTCGTTTCTCGGGAATTATATCGAGCTTGACACTCCGTATCCCGTACCTGGACCTATTCCGCATCTGGCGCTAGCCGCTAAACAAATCAATTTCATCTCACTTGGCCCGGTCATGGGACCCCTTGACGAGCGGATAGTTTTCAAGTGGGCACTTTACGCAAGGGAGGCAGTGGCTAGCAGTTCTGGCTGGCGCTCATCATTTTCAATAGACAGTTTTGCAAAAGCTTAGTACTTCCAAGGTTATCTAATAGCTTGTCCATGCACCTAGAAAAACTCACCTCCGGAACAGAGCGTCTCCATCTGCTGGAAAGGGGCTCCGCGCCGCCGGGCTTTCTGATGAGCCTGCATTCCGTACGCAGCAACTCTGCATGGTGATCCCCAACCGCGACGCCAAGGGGGCTGCATCGATACAGCTTTTGTGTTATCCTCCGCACAAAGCTCCGTTCGCAGCAGATAGGCAAAATCATCTGGGCCGGGCCCCACATGCCCCTGGCGCCTCACCCATGCTACTCCAGACAAGGTGACAGGCAAATGGTGCGTTTCAGAGCCGTCAGTGTGTGCTGATACATGACGGAGTACGAGTACAGGCGGGTGCTCGTCGCGTACCTGTACTGTAGTACTCGTAGGTGCCCTCCATCGAGGGAGGGCCAGTCTCGACTTGGAGTTAGTAGTTGTACAAGGAGCCGTACGAAGACGCTCGCTCACATTCCATGGCGCTCTCGGTTGCGATGCCAAGCACCTGTGCCCGTGCAAGTACGAGTATGAGCACTCGTGCTAGAAGAGAGCCAGACGTCATTCTCAAACCTCGTCGGGCTGCATTGAGTGCATAGAACCTGGAATTAGTGCGTGCCATCTGAGACGCGGCGTCGACGGTTTCAAGACGGGCATTGGCGTTGTGATGCAAGAGTAGAGATGCCATCACATGCAGCAAAGGTACATAGTAAAGCACTGTGCCGGCCAGTCTCCCTCGATTCTGACAATCGAGGAACCGAACCTCGTTTGCCTGCTTCCATGCTTGCTCGCTTATGGCCAGTACGCGCGAGTGCAACTTCATGGGGGCCATGCTGTCGCCGTTGGCTGTATTTTATCCGGTGGCCGGAGTTGGCTAAGGCCTTGAGGGTATCATCGCTCGAATGCTGGCAGGCACATGTACCTGATTGCCAGAACAGAGCCACGAGCCGGGTACTGCTACTTCGCAACGTGCAGGGTGCTGCGAGGCTCATGCAAACTCTTGTCCAACGCCCCGAGTAGCAGGTACATGCTCATGGCTCGGCGCTACACGCATCGCTACCCCGCCGCCCCTCTGGATTGCACATTGGATCAGCACCTTACTCGTGCTAATGCCCTTTGCTCTAGCGGCCTGTTGGAAGCAGGGCTAGGCGGAACTATCTTTCTCGTGTCTGGGACATGAGGGCACGGAAAGGGTCTAAAAAGGGCTTTTGTCGTGGATGATGCTTGGAGAGAGTTTGTGACGACAAAAGGGAGGAAAAAGGGCGAGAAAAAAAAAAAAAACTTCCTTCCATTGTATCCACAGAGAAACAAGGTTAGAAGACACTAGGACCGTAAGGCACTCTATGCTTTGCTTCGCAGCTACGGGACAGTAGCAGTACTTGTACGAGGATGTACATAGTACAGAGCCCAGCAGCCTCCAGTTGAACGGCGTCGTCGTCGCACACGATATGGGGATGGCGCCATGGATCGCCCATTCGCTGATGCCTGCATGCTGCTGCACGAGGCCTTGGCTCTTCAACACCGCTATTGTCTGCCAAAAGCCCAATGCGACTCTGTGATAGGGCGTGCTCCCGATGGATGGCTGCATGCAGGTGACGGCAGCAGAATCAGTCGTCGCCCAGCACTGGACAAAGAATCAATTGATAGCTCGCCGCTACGCTAGCACTGGTGGGCACACGCGCCACTGATACCCCTGGCCTGCCCTGACAAGTGCGCAGCGCTGCAGCCTTTTCCGATAGACGGGCGGGTACTCCGTCTGTCCCTGAGCAGGGCCTGGCAGCGCTACCCCAGACCACTGCAGGGCCGTGGGACGGCACTTTAGCGCCTGGCCGGGTCTGTACCTGTGCCCACTGCGCATCGTGGGTGGCGCGCCAGGTACTCGTACATACCCAGAAGTGGTGCTGCGTCAAACTCATTTCACATTTCAAGGCTTTGCACATGGCCGCAACCTGAAGGCAACCTGAGGGCAGTCTAGCCCGTTGGGGACCGCCCGTGCCTATTTTCATTTTTTCTGGGCTGCTGCCCTGATTGGGTTGCGGCCTGCAGCTGCTGGGTGGCCGCTCTGCTCTGCAACCCCTGGGCGACGTGCTTCCCCTCTCAAACTCTCCCAAACAAGGCGCGCTGCTCCAGTTTTATTCCTGCATCTTGTCAACTTGATACCCATCACAGCAGCCACAAACCTTTTTGCTGCCCTGCCTCGTGTCTTTCCGCAACTCTGCCGTCGTCGTCTGTCGCCCGCTCGCATTGGCTTATAGTTGCACCAAGTTGCACTCTGGGCGACCGCATTGCTCGCATCCGGCTTTCAACCTTTTGCCTCGCGCGTCTCTTTCGAACCGAAATTTGCAACTGTGTCGCTCGGCTAGCGACGCTGCCCTGACGCCTTCGCCAGCAACTCTTAACTCTTCTATCCCGCCTCTCCTGCGCGACTCTATCCCAGACGGAAGCCTTCTCTCGCCCTTTTTTTTTTTTTTTTTCTTTTTGAATTCGGCACGTGTGTTGTTGCTTGTGCTTTTTTTCTTCTTCTTGTCTTGGATGCGGCAGCGGCATAGTTTTCCCTCTTTGTTTTTTGCTTGACAGAGATAGAACGCTCCCCAGCGCTACGTTGGCCGGAAGCGGGTTTTGGCATCACCACCGTCCGCGCTTTTCCTTGGCCTGCACGGGATATCCTCGATCGAATCGTTACACCACCGTCAAATCGCTTGTGAAGCTCTCCCGAAGTCGACGCAAATTGTACCACGAGCGTGCCATCAGCGACTGCACCTTTTTTCTGCTTCTCCTTGTTTGGCGACACAGCATCTTCTTCTTCTCTTTCCCCCCTCCCTCGCTTCCACAATCTTGGCCGACGACGTGAGCCACATGAAATAAAGGCCAATCAACTTGGACAAACCCCGATTGGAATATCGCTTTGCCGAGTGATGAGCGTTATCGCTTAATAACGGCGATTCGTTTCTTTTATTGTCGACGAAATCCGAGGTTCTGGGGCGACAAGGCCCGACCCTCCCTTCTGTCGCACAGCGCCAAATACCCATAATGCCTGTCATGCTCCATACCCCCTCGAGAGCCTCCACTGCGTCAACCTCTTCCTTTCAACAATTGTCACGGCAAAACACCATGTCTACCTACGATGGCTCGCGCTCTGCGCGCCAGTCAAAGCGGTACTCCATGTCCGCGCTGTACATGTCCATGACAGCAAATGAAGGAGAGATGCAAATTGAGGACGATCTCGCTAAAGGTAATACATAATGCACTAAACCTGGCTTTTATCCTTTCCCCCTGGGAGCACACCACAGCTGACACCCAATTCTACAGCCCAGAAAGCCCTGCGAGATCTCAAATCCAAAATCTCCTCCCAGTCCAAGAAGAACTTTGTCCTCGAAAAGGACGTCCGCTATCTTGACTCCAGAATCGCGCTGCTCATCCAGAACCGCATGGCGCTGGAAGAAGTACGTATCAAAACGCGGTGTGATGCTTGTCTGATGAACGCTTCTGACGTCCTTACAGCAAAACGAAGTAGCCAGCCATCTTGATGATACCGAAATGGAAGAAGGCGTCTTCCCCAATGACGACAAGACGCAAAAATATGGAAATCTCATGTTTCTTCTGCAGTCCGAACCCAGACACATTGCGCATCTGTGCCGACTCGTTTCAATGTCGGAAATCGATTCACTCCTCCAGACAGTCATGTTCACCATTTACGGAAACCAGTACGAAAGCCGAGAAGAACACTTGCTCCTGACCATGTTTCAAGTATGTTGCTCCCAAGTCTGGCTGCGATGCCATGTCCCTTGTCTGACAATCCTCCTCCTCTCCTTTAGTCTGTTCTTACCTATCAATTCGACAACACCCCTGACTATTCCTCGCTGCTTCGAGCCAATACGCCCGTCTCCCGCATGATGACGACCTACACGCGACGAGGCCCCGGTCAAAGCTTCCTCAAGATTGCACTGGCCGATAGAATCAACAGCTTGATTGAGTTGCGAGACCTGGATCTGGAAATCAACCCCCTCAAAGTCTATGAACGCATGGTTGAGCAGATTGAAGAAGACACCGGCACGCTGCCGCCAAACCTGCCAAAGGGCATTACCGCCGAGCAAGCGGCGGAAAACCCCCAGGTCCAAGCCATCATCGAGCCGCGATTGACAATGCTCATCGAGATTGCCAACGGTTTCCTGTCCACCATCATCGATGGGCTGGAAGAGGCTCCTTACGGCATTCGCTGGATCTGCAAGCAGATCAGAAGCTTGACAAAGCGCAAGTATCCCGATGCTAACGACCAGATTATCTGCACTTTGATCGGTGGCTTCTTCTTCCTGCGCTTCATCAACCCGGCCATTGTCACCCCCAAGTCGTACATGCTCATTGACGGAACGCCTGCTGAGCGACCTCGCAGAACCCTCACTCTGATTGCCAAGATGCTCCAGAACTTGGCAAACAAGCCTTCGTACTCCAAGGAGCCTTACATGGCTAAGCTGCAGCCCTTTATCCAGCAGAACAAGGACAGGATCAACAAGTTCATGCTCGACCTGTGCGAGGTCGGCGACTTTTACGAAAGTCTGGAAATGGACAATTACGTTGCGCTTTCAAAGAAGGACCTTGAGCTTGAGATTACGCTCAACGAAATCTATGCAATGCATTCGCTGATTGAGAAGCATCGCACCGAATTGTGTAAAGATGAATCATCGCACTTGTCCATCATCGTGTCTGAGCTGGCTTCGGCCCCTCCCCAGGTGCCTCGCAAGGAGAATCGAGTCATCAACCTCCCCTTGTTTAGCAGATGGGAGACTGCGATTGACGACTTGACCGCGGCACTGGATATTACACAGGAGGAAGTGTACTTTATGGAAGCCAAGTCCATCTTTGTGCAGATCATGCGAACCATCCCTCAGAACAGTGCCGTCTCGAGGCGACCGCTGCGACTTGAGCGCGTTGCAGATGCAGCTGCCACGAGCCGCAATGACGCCGTCATGGTACGCAAGGGCATCCGGGCCATGGAGCTCTTGTCTCAGCTACAGGAGCTCGGTGTCATCGACAAGGCCGACCAATTTGATCTGCTGAGGGATGAAGTTGAGCAGGAGCTCCAACATTTGGGCTCGCTGAAGGATGGTGTGATTGCCGAGACCGAGAAACTCGAAGAAGTCTTCAAGACTATTCGTGATCACAACGCATACTTGGTTGGACAACTGGACACATATAAGAGCTACCTTCATAATGTACGATCGCAGAGCGAAGGCACCAAGCGAAAGCAGCAGAAACAGCAGGTTCTTGGACCATACAAGTTTACGCACCAACAGTTGGAGAAAGAAGGTGTCATTCAGAAGAGCAATGTCCCGGATAACAGGCGGGCCAATATCTACTTTAACTTTACCAGTCCGTTACCAGGCACCTTTGTTATTTCCTTGCACTACAAGGGTGAGTTTCTTCTTTTCCATTCTCTATCAATGTCTATCACGCGCTAACGAGTTGAAAAGGCCGTAACCGAGGACTGCTCGAACTCGATCTCAAGCTTGACGATCTGCTTGAGATGCAAAAGGATAACCAGGACGAACTGGACCTGGAATACGTTCAATTTAATGTTCCCAAGGTCCTTGCATTGCTCAACAAGAGGTTTGCTCGGAAGAAGGGATGGTGAGGTAGCTTTCGACGACGGCACAGCCACCATTTTATGTGCCGCCATGTCAAGTGCGTATTTCATCAGCACACCACGACTATATGCAAAGGGGAATGGAAGGGGAAAAAGAGGGCGTTATGGAGCATCACGGAAGCTTTGTTTCCCTTGTTTAAGTGTCGACTAGTAATGCGGCCTTTGTACGCTCCTAGGTTTGCCACGGTTTCTCTTTGAAGCGGGTGGATGGGCTGTAACGATGCTTATTTATATACCTTGGTAATGATGGGAAGGAGAGATGCGTTATATGTGTTTTCCCCCAACGGCTGGTCCTTGAATTGGGAGGAGTTTTTTTTGCAAAAATCTCATGCGAATGAAGTGTTCGTCTTTTCCTATTTCTGTTTCTGTTTCTTTTTTTCTTCTTTTCTTCTGGCTGTCGTTAATAATGACCACATTGGTAATGCAATAATTCATTGGATGAGTCTTGGCTATTCCTGTATTTTTATCATTTTGCTCTTATAGCTTTAGGGAATGAAACGATGCGCTGCGAGACATGATCATATCTGATTTCTTATTTCGCTACTGCTTTCTATGTGATGTTATCTATTGCTACTTATAAACTTCAAGTTGTGCTAGCCGAGATATATATACATGTAGAGCCGATACCTGTCTATTCCCTTCATTTACTGATATTTGAAAAATAGTGTAATTATATACGTTACACTCTCCCCAAGTCGATATCTTCTCCGCTAGCCGCCTTTCTCATCCAGGCCCAAGGCCGAAACCACGACAACATGACAGCACCACTGCCACTCCCGCCTCGCCTGCCAACAATGAGTCTCCTCCTTCGGGCTTTGGGTGACGAAGGCGTGGAGGTAACTCTGTTATCTTGGGAAGAGGGATCAGGTTCGCGGAATGGGAAGAAGAGACGAATGAGACGAGTAGGAAGGAGAGGCAGAGCGTGAGCGGTGCGGCGAAGCGCCCGGAGACACTGGACGAAGGGGCGGGTTTCGATGAGGTAGAGGAGGATCATGAAGGGGACGCTCACGAGCACCATGGTAAGGGGGAAGCGCCAGTCTGTCACCGGGATGGTGAATTCTGTGATACCGAAGACGGACTGATGGGGTTTTTTGTTAGCTTTTTTTGCTTTATTTATTTGGTTTTGGGGGGAGTATGGACAACTTACAGTGACGAATGTCAGGGGCAAGAAGAGCATGCTGATCATGGTCAGAATGCGAATATTGTCACCCTGATCAATGGCCCTCCTGCTCTCCTTGATGGAGCTCCCGCTGAACAGCTGGTCTCTCAGGTTCTCAATCTCCTTCCTCGTGCGCTCGTTGCGCTTGAGCACCTCGCCCAGATCGCTGACGACCTTGTCGAGCTCCCTGCGCAAGACGGCCATCTTGGCGGCGTACTCAATGGCGTCGGGGGACTGCGGCGGGGACGGGTGAGGCCAGAGGAGCGGGTGCGAGCCGGCCCAGAAGTCGTCGGTGAAGGTGTCGACGTAGGCGGCGATCATGGCCTTGATGCCCGTGTTGATGACGGCGAGGGTGTTGTAGGCCCAGAAGTAGCGGCGGATGTAGGTGAAGTGCTTGTCTTCGAAGAGGAGCTTGTCACGGAGGCGGTGGTCGAACATGAACTCTGTCTGGGGAAATGTTAGTAAGAAGAAGGAGACTTTATAGTTCTTTTCGTGAAAAACTTACAGGAGGTGTGATGAGCTTGGTGATTCGTTCATGTAAGATCTGGTTCCTCTTGCCGGCGTCGCGATATTCGGCGATGAGTAGTTCCAAGAAGGCATATGGCCCATTGCAGAAGCTCTTGAGCTGAAAGTCATCTCCCCTGACCGTATGCTCATCATCGGGGAAGCTCTGGATGCTGAGAAGGTGCCATGGACCAAACGTGTCAAACAGGAAGCCCTCTTTGGCTCGTTCCCTGCGCGGCCTCATCTTGAGCGTCTTGGTGGGCTCGCCGCCGAGAGAGAGCGCAAGGACGGAGCCGCACTCGGCAATGTCAATGTGGTCGCCGAGGCGCTTGTCCGTAGGGCGCTTTTCGTAGAGCTGCCATGGAGCGGGATCGAGGCCCTCGCCGAGGAGGGTGTAGTATTTGAAGACGAAAAAGAAGGACCGTTGGCGGAGGTATGAGAAAGAGACTGGTGGCGTCTCTTTGATGCCGTTGGAGGGATCTAGGGATGGTAGCGTTGGAGAGGATGGATATGCTGATGGGGTTCGTTCGTAGGCGCGGTGCATGAAGGCGTGAGTTCGGCCGCGGTTGTGGTCGTCGGAAAGGAGGTGATGGAGAAGCTCCGTCATGTCGAAGTGAGGTGACATGGTGAGGTGTAAGGCGGCGAGCATAAGAGGCGTTGGCTCTTGAACGATACTAGGAATGTAATTTCATCAGTATGTCATCATGAAATAATTGGAGAGGACGGTGATATAAGGGACGAGACATACGTGATACGACCGACGGCTTTGCCGCTGGGGTTGATATCCTTGATGGCTTCCCACACGATCGGGGCATCAACAATATTGTCAGCAGGTTCTAGAGAGGAGTCATCGCCGACGTATTTGACAAAGCCCTGCACCTCGACATCGACATTCGTCTTGACTGCTCGAGCATCCTCCCCAACCTCATACACCTCAAACGTCGAGCTTCCAAAGCGCTCCCTCTCAACAGCGGCAAACTCGCGGAACGACTGGGGCGAGTCAATGTCCCACGGCCGCAGGGGCTCGTCTTCATCATCCAGCAGGCCGGAGAACTCTTCGCAGAACTCCGAGTCTTGGAGGTGTCTGAGGAGCATGTCGTCTGAGAAGCTCATCGGGGTGATTATGTGGTGGACATGAGACGACGAAATGGTCGCTGCGTCGGCGGGTAGATGGCGAGACCCCTGGGTGGATGCCTGATCAAGCAGAGGGATAAAGGGAATCTCGTCATCGGGAATGATGTGGCCGCCGCTTGCTGGGAAGTTTGGGGTGAGTGGTAGGAACTTGGGCGTTGGATAGCATGATGGTGGTCGTTCGTGGGTGTCGGGAGTGTCGCGGCGAAGGCGAGGCAGCATTTGCAGGATGCTGTTGGCATCGCTGGTAAAGGTGAGGGCGCGCAGAGGCGGAGTTGCCAGTCCTTGAACGATGTTGTTGCGGTTATCGTCTTTCTTTTGGAGGTTGAGAACTTCGTGGAAGCTGTGGAGGCTGCGCAGGTACTGCTCGTGGTGATGCTCGACGGATCTGACGAGCTCCTCAAGGCTGATGTTGTTGCGCAGCTGCACAGCCATGGTTGGAGACGGCGACAGATCAATCGATATATGCAGAGTACGGCTATAGTAGTTTCCAACTGATTGATGTAGCGACCATAACAGACAGATGAACACTCTCTACGACACAAGAAGAAACACAAATACATTAAAACCATCCCAAAAAAGGGTCTCACAACAAGACGTTTATATACAGCATCATCGTCCGCACCTCGGCTGCCTCCCTCCACCGAATCCAAAGATGACGCACCCCGAAGAGCATCGGAGTCGCCCGACTCACATGGTTAAAACACCAGCAGCTTCACAGCCAAACGGCCAAAGCAGATCTTGGCATTGTAAAGGCTGCACCCGCACGGACAAAGATGGTGATGTGAGATCTGATGGCGTCGACGCTGCCCCACGTGCGGCTGTTCTCTGGAGGTCAAGCCAAGGCCGGGGAGGAGGGCCGACGCTTGCTTTTGTCCTTTTCCCTTTTTCTTGCGTTAGCTCGGTGTCTTGGTGCGGTTAAGAGTCGACGTTGTGTCAATGCAAAAAGTGAGGCGAGCAAAGTGAGGCTGAGCCTGACAGGGCGGGTTGGTGCGGCTGGAGGCGGGGGTCTCATGTCGAGGGAATGGCCAGCCAGCAGGTCGCCCACGCGCAGAGGTGCTTCGATCTTGTATGGAAGGCAAGTAATCTATCCCGCGCGGAGAGAAAGGGGCTCCGCCTCCGCACCGAATCATGCATGTCGAGCCTCTGTCATGATGGAAATCGGACACGGACATTCACAGCGACAAAAACGTCCGTCTGATAGGCCAGTGAGGACGGACCAGATCATACTCGTCGGCCAGAATCTCTATCCATTAACAACACCATGGCGGGTATCATCATGTCCGTCATATACTAGTATTTTTTCCTGCCATAGGAGAGCAAGGGTAAGTTATCACCAATTATACCGAGCCGCCTGTCCGCCTGCCCCTCCCACCAAACCGGTGCCATCCCATCCCATCCCATCGTGTCTTCGTAACTCTATCATCCCGCCTCAACGGTGCAGCACATGAGAGAAGTGCTCAGCGCCGGCGCACCTTGTGGAAACTTGGTTCATGTTGTGTCTTGGCATCGACTAAGACATCACTGTGACGGGCTTGTGGGCAGCTGAGGCGTCGTCGACCTCCATGGCATCGTCATCACCATCCGCCTCACCCTCGCCCTCGCCCTCTTCCTCTTCCTCTAGTTCGTCATCGCTCTCGCCCTCAATGTCCACGCTGCCATCCTCAGACATTTCCTCTTCCTCGTGGTCGTGATGTCCGTTCTGGTGCTCGCTCTCAACGCCCGCCATTTCCGAGTCCTCGCCCTTTTCTTTGGCAGCAGCTTCGGCGGCAGCCTCCTCGGCGGCCTCCTCCTCGGCCTCCTCGGCACCGTATTCGTCCTCGTCCGCAACAAGATCGGCCTCAGGCTGCTCAGGGGGGAACTCGGGGGGTGCAGAGGCCTCGGAGTCCCTAATGACGCACAATTAGAATCTGTCTCTGGGCGCGTGACGGGAAGGACATGTACTTACCATTTAATGGCGAAACGAGTCACACGAGGCTTCTCAGCAAGGACATTACGCCTCACTCTCTCGATGATTGGCTTGGTAGGGGGCTCTGCGTTGAGCTCCTCCGAGTCGTACTCATTGTTCACATAGTATCCAACTCGCACAAACTCGCGTCCATCGTAGGCACAAGTCAGGAGCACGACCGTAACACCCAGGATATCAGCGTCGGGGATGCGAGTGGTGTTGGGGGCCTCAGCCTCGAAAAGGAACTTGTTTACTCCGACGGGGATGGGGCCGACGAGGAGTGAGTCTAGCTCCTGGTCGTATTGGTCCCTGCAATGTGTTAGAATCAGGACTAGAAGCTGATGCCCAACGAGGGGGTTCGCCTTACGAGGTCGCAGATCCGACGTAGGTCAATTTCCACTCGAGATCTGTAGGCAATGAGTTAGGCTACCGTAATTGAACGAGTCTGGGCAGGCTGGATGATCATGACTCACCCTTCTCAAGCGGCTCGAGGCACTCGAATGTAATCTCGAACTCGTACTTGTCGGTGAACTTGGCGGGGTTGTTGACAACCTTGACCCCAAGAAGTGACACGACAGACATGGTGGCGGGTATTCACGAAAGACGACGCGAAAAAAAGGACCAGAGTAGAGATGCTTGCTGTGAGAGACCCCAATTGAAACACGCAGCGAGGAGAAAAACTGCGCGCGAGGTTCGGTCGAAGCGGTAGAAGGGAATAGAAAATCGAAATCGTCGGAGGGGCAACAGAGAAAGTCGGTAACGGCAAGGATGATGCGTCAGGCTAGCTGCGAGAGGCGATGCCGAGAGAGCGATGCAAATGCAAAGGAACGTGCAAATCGCTGGCTTTTTGTGTAGAGAAGAGACAAGACACGGCTGCACTTGAGGGAGAAAAGGCCGAGCTGGCAGATTGCGAGAGGAAGAAGTTGAAACAATTATAGCGGCTGGAGACGCGACCGTAGCGCTTCGCGTTAAGTGGTTTGTGTGGCGCTTGTGATTTGATTTTGGCAGCTGGTGCCACCAGCCAACGAGTGTGTACGGCGCTGTACCTTGATTACCTTGATTTACAGGTGGGATGTTCAGACTTCTGGTACCAAATATTTCCGGGTACCTTGGTGGCACTGCGCGGGGACCGTGATCGCTGCTGGCAACCCAGTCAATTGGTACGTACCTCCCTAGTCGCTATCTGGTAGCCACCCCGTACCTGTACTCGGACCTGTGCCCGTACCTGTACCTCCCTCTCTCTCACACGATAAGACCTCCAGCCTGGTCCGCAACCTTCCCCGATTGGGAGCTTGGGCGACTTTAATTTTCAGAGCTCAAAGTCTCACCTCGACACAGCATCATCTCGGCCAGACACGCTTCTGGTGCGCGCTCCCGAATCCTGATCGAGGCATCGCTGTTGCGCCCTGCTCAGCTGGACGGCGGCTTTATCGTGCTGCACCGACACCTACTTGACACCCTCCCGAGCAAGCGCTGCGGCCTCGACCTCGACGCTGACCAAGAGCGACGCGATTTGCCGGCCGGCAGCGACGCAAACGGTATTTATCCGTTAGACTGTTCATCGCATTGGCATTGCGGTATTGGGTATGGAACTTGCAATCATCTCCATCTACACAGGCTTTATTAACCAAGAGTTGGCAGCTTTCAAGGTCGATCGATCCGTAACCGCCGCGGCACCCTGGCATCACTGCCTAGCAGCGAGCCGACCAAGTTTCCCTTCCTCTTGCGTGGCCATTGACAATTCCCCCATCGTCGAAAGCACCCCCTAATTGGTCTCCACCGGTGTCTCTGTGGTGTTCCAAGTTGCATTATACAGAAGCCTCTCAAGATGGCTTCCGAAGGCACTTCGTGGGACAATGAAGGATTTGCGGCCGCGGAAGGCGATCATACTCAGCATAGCGACGAACAAGTTGATAACTTTGCTCAAGACTCTCATGTGTCAGGTGAATCAGCGGAAAATGGAACAGAGGATGGAGGGGATTATGATCCTGAATATGTCCCCGTTGAAACAGTTCTCCCAGACCCTCCAGTCCCTGAAAACGCCGCTCCCGCTGTCCTTTCGCAACGTCCAACACCCAAGCCAAAAATGTCCGGCGGCTTCTTAGTGGAAGCCTCTGACGATGAAGACGACGACCAAGGAGACAACGCAGGGCCTGCCGAGCCTTCGGCGTCGCAGAGCCAAGTTGGTCAGCCCACTGAGATCAAGATGGCCATTGCTCCAGTCCCTCCTCTTCCCACTAATGCTCCTTCCAACGTGACTGCAACACCTGTGGCTAGCCTTGATCCGGTAGCGTTATTCGAGGCTCGCATTAAAGAGGATCCTCGAGGCGACTTGGATGCTTGGGAGAATCTCATTGCCGACCATAGGCGCAACAGCAGATTGGACGAAGTTCGCAAGGTTTACAATCGGTTCCTAGAAGTATTCCCTCAGTCGGTAAGTACGCCATGCATCTGAATGGATGTCTAGCTTCTTCCTTTTCCCTCAGTTCTTCTTCATATGCATGCATGGCTGACATAATGATAGGCCGACGTGTGGGTGGAATGGATCAAGTTGGAGCTCGGCATGGACAACTTCGTCGATGCTGAACAGCTCTTTGGGCGATGCTTGATGACAGTCCCCAATGTCAACCTCTGGACCGTCTACCTCAACTATATCCGCCGCCGAAATGATCTCAACAATGACCCAACCGGTCAGGCTAGGAGAACCGTGACCCAATCGTATGAATTTGTAATCGATAATATTGGCGTTGACCGCGACTCGGGCAATATTTGGCAGGACTATGTCCAATTCATCAAGAGCGGCCCAGGTCAAATCGGAGGCACTGGCTGGCAGGATCAGCAAAAGATGGACCAGCTACGCAAAGCTTACCATCGTGCGATCACGGTCCCCATGTCAACAGTGAACAACCTATGGAAAGAGTATGATCAATTTGAGATGGGACTTAATAAAGTGACAGTACGTATCTGACCATTCACCGCATTGTGGTGCTTTTCTGCTAATCCTCCAACAGGGACGCAAGTTTATCCAAGAACGATCTCCTGGATACATGTCTGCCAAGAGCGGCAACATTGCCTTGGATAATATTACACGAGACTTGAAGCGCACAAACCTCCCCCGACTACCACCGGCACCGGGATTTGAAGGAGACCAGGAATTTCACAGCCAGGTCGCCCAGTGGAAGAAATGGATCGAATGGGAGAAGGAGGACCCCCTGGTGCTCAAGACGGACGAGCCGAAAGTATTCACGCAGCGGGTCTTGTACTGCTACAAGCAAGCCCTCATGGCCTTGCGCTTCTGGCCAGAGCTTTGGGTTGATGCTGCTGAGTGGTGCCTCCAGAACGATATTGGGGACGTTGATAAAGAGCTGGGAACCGAATTCTTGGTGCAAGGAATTGCTGCGAACCCTGAGAGCGTTTTGCTTGCTCTGAAGCATGCAGACCATATCGAGGCCACCTCCCCGCTAAGGGAGGGAGACAAGTCCGAATTCGCCAAGGCCGTACGGAAGCCTTACGACGATGTTCTGAATACGTTGTATGCGCTGGGAGACAAGGCGAAAGAGCGCGAGAAGCTGGAAATCTCCACCCTCAAGCAGGCGGCGGCACAGGAAGCTCCTGTGCAGCAGTCAATCGAGGATGATGACTACGAAGAAGGGACGCAGAAGAAGGCATCTGCCGAAGAGCGCATCTCTGCTATCCAGAAGGGCTACGCTGCTGAGACTAACCTCCTTTCCCGAACCATTTCATACGTGTGGATTGCCATGGCAAGGGCAATTCGCCGTATCCAAGGCAAAGGCAATCAGACTGATGGTGGGTTGCGCAAAGTGTTCACTGATGCTCGGCAAAAGGGGCGTCTTACGAGCGACGTGTATGTTGCCGTCGCTCTGTTGGAATCTGTAGTGTACAAGGATCCAGTCGGCGCCAAGATTTTTGAGCGTGGAGCCCGCCTCTTTCCGAATGACGAAGGCTTTGTCGTAGAGTACTTGAAGTTTTTGCATTCCAAGGACGATACAACGAGTGAGTTTTTATACGTCTTGGTATCCTTGGGAATCGCAAAGTCTAACCGTGATCTAGATGCTCGAGTGGTTTTTGAGACTTGCGTTAACCGCCTTGTCGCTAATCCAGAGACACTTCACAAGGCTAAACCGCTATACGCTTACTTCCACAAGTATGAATCTCAATACGGCGAACTTTCTCAAATCCACAAAATCGAGGCAAGGATGTTAGAGCTGTTCCCTGAAGACCCAAAGCTCACCACTTTTGCGGCTCGCTACTCATCCGACAAATTCGATCCCATCGTGGCCCCCGTCATCATTTCAAAAGCTGCGCAGATGCGGCCCAAGCTTGCCGCTCCCATCATCGAGCAACCTGCATCAGCGCGTAACAGCTTCCCGCCACAGAGAGAGCTGAGCCCCCGACCCCAGTACGTCAGAGCCACTGCGTCTCCGAAACGCCCCCTTGGACCGGATGACGAAGAGATCAACCCTCCAAAGAGACTCGCGCGAGGCACATCTCCGCTCAAAGGTGCGGCTGGTCGGCGGCTGGACCAGCAGCGCCGCAATCAGTCATCAGCTCTTCACCGAGATATCACGTTCCTCCTGGGCATTCTCCCTCCGGCCCATACCTATGACTCGCAACGGCTCAACGCACAGGGCATGGTTTCACTGCTCCGGGATACGCCGCTTCCAGACTATGGAACTTGGAAGGCTCAGACTGGAGGACAGTATCGTTTTACCGCCCCAGTTCATGGACGGCAAGCTTCGGGAGATTTCCCAAGGCCAATCAGTCCATATGGGCGAATTGCGCCTGCTTCTAATGTCTACCGACAGTCGCCTCTAAGGACAGAAACTGGAAATGCGTACCCGTCGCTCCCATACGGGGCTGCTGATGCAAGTGGAAGTACAAGCCAGTGGCCTCCAGCGCCTGCAGGATACAGCGCGCCAGCTCCCGGCCAGTACGGTGGCTATCGCTTTTAGTTGAAGAGGGTGGGGGGAATTGCAATGAAAGACTTCAACATATTTCGTAAACTGGACAACTGCCACTAGATAAGAAGGTGGGGGCTATGAAGATATGGTTTGATACTGAGGGAAAGTGGATGGCGGCAAATGCTTGTTCTTCTTGATGCATTCCGATGGCGTTTGGTAGGAAATAGGAAGTTGGACAGGTTGCCTATTTGCCCTAGATATCATAGGCAAGCACGTGTGTTTGCATCTTTTCGTAAGATTGCAAGATTTTAGGTAGTTGGTTTACAGGGTTAGCTGGCAATTAGCATATGGATATAACAAGCACATTTGTCTATCTCATAGCAGCAGAGGCCGTTGAAGTGCAGCTATATGGGGTTGGCGATTGCCTGGTTTTATTTGATCTAGGAAGCAAAAGCTGCTGGGCTCGTGTAAACCGTTACTGATCATGCTTTGTACTGATTATGTCTTGAGAGAGAGAACAATTATTTCGTTTGAGTAAACACGGTTCCTTGATTGACAACGAGCTTCTGCATCTACTAGATTTCTTGATATCTACCAGGTTTCTTGATATCTAGTAGTAGATGTATTGATATCTACTAGATGTATTCATATCTACCCACAACCTTGAGATTTATAAAGTAAAGCGGAACGACTGAGGATAAACACTTCCATTAGTGTGTAGAGCACAGAAAAAGAATGCAGGAAAGATAAGCACTCAAAATCCCTAAAGTGTACAGTCGAGATAACTGGAATGCGCGTCCAATGACTCCAGGCTTCTCGTAGCCAACGAAAGTCTCACGATTTAGAAGCAAAATGGTGATGCCTCACGCACGAGTGGTTGCAAAAAAGTCCGCGAAGATGAAGTCAGCTTCGTCCCCTTGCGACCCACTTGGTATTCCAGAACTTGTGCCTTGTAAAAAGGTAGGATTAGAATATCGGCGGACATAGACTCATTCATTCCAAGTCCTTTGAGTTTCGAATTAAATATTGTGAGGGCTTGTTAGAGCATCCAATTCAGGTGGACATGATTAACCAGTGAGGTTGCCATCTTGGTGGCTTGTGATCTCGAGAACTCTGCGAGAACATGATAACGGTTGGATGGATGAGATGAATTAATATTCCCCTTCACGTATCGGATAATTTCGGTGATACTCAAGGGCCGGTTGTCTTTGCTTCTGAGTCGACTTGGCTGCATGGTGTTGTAATCTTCCAAGAAGTCTTCGTAAAGTAACTTGATCCCCGTTTTGAACAGCGGTCTGGAGCCGTCATTTAGCTTCTCAGCACGATAAATTCTGCATATTTTTTGGCGAGAAGTCTTATGTGGTCTATTGTATGCCTCGTGGATATCAATCGAGATATCATTCATTGCGTATGTTGCCAAAAAAGTGATTCTCAGCTTGATCCTGGTCCTTTGAGAAGATAGTTGAATGCGTAAAAATCGGAGAGAAATCAGGCATCCCTTGTTGGGGCGCTCCTTTGGGTATTGGGATGTGTAGCCGCGATATTAATTGAATTGTCGTAAATAACAAGAAGTGTATGTGTAATGAAACTTGATGACAGCGCAAGAACAACTTTAGCAAATTGTCCGTGTTCCAACGTACCACCCATGACGAGTGGTTGAGCCATTAGAACGAATATTAAGTAGTGCTATTAGAAGAAGAAAACCACAGCACTGAAACTGGATTGCTGCTCCTTTCTGTGGCTTTATGGAATCGTATGCAAAACTCCTTCTAGTATAAAGTTCTGTTAGTTTCAGCAAGACGCAGGTATCTGGTGGGTTTTGGGCAAATGAAACTTGCCGAGAGGATCATTTTAATATTTTAGGGCCTGGGTATGTAGTCATAGGCCTCGTTGTGAAATTCGAGGAGAAATTTGGAAGAGAAGCAAGGCGAGAGAGGGTTAAAGAAGGAGGGAGATATCAGAAAGTGAGCCCAGAGCCCAGTGAATGAGGGCTTGGTATCTTATTCACTGGCTTCACATAGATTGAATGAGCGATGGAAAGGGATGGAAATAGTGAATAGACCAACTTCGTTCGAGAGAACCTCCGGCGAGGTTAATGGGTTTGCTCGGTGATCCCCTTCTTCCGATCCCGGGTTGCTGTGACTACACAATCGTGCTTCCCACTCATCCATCGGTGGATCCAAACCCATATCAAACTGCTATTAACCGCGTTCTTTATGTCTTTACTAACAATGTATTGTTGAAAATTTATAGATACCTACCTAGTAGTCATCTTCACATAATGTAGATAGCTTCATTCATGTCAGCCGTATATCGAACTCACAATGCACACCTGTTGAGGTCAGCACCCAAAGGAAAAATGACAAGACTCTGATCAAACAGAAAACCCAAGAATATGCACGCAGCTCCAGTATTTTTGGGATAAAGGATTGCTACTGAATTGTGTGAATCAACTCCCTGAGTTAGGCCATCGGAAGCACGAAGCCGTTTTGCAGATACAGCAAAGCATCCAAGCGCAGGTAACCGCAGTCATCTGCACTAAACAGCGGTGCCTTAGTCTGATAACAGTGCCATTTCAACATAATTCAGGTCTCTGATGGCTTTATTGTGTAACTCGTATGTGGGACAGATGGGGATTTGCAAAGTTGCCAAGCTACACATCCGGCGGCTTGCCTCTGACTGCTCAACGACGCCCCAGTGAATGCAGCTCTTCTATTGTAATCCTATTTCGCCTGTGTTTCCATCCAGTAAATTTTTGCACTGATTAATACCTAATAGGTACTTGCTGCATTGCCGTAACACTGTTGCTGCCTTGTTTGCAGCTGCCCGGCAGTTGAACTCACGTGCCTGCCATCACAGATCACTCCTCCTCTTGCCAGCTGCCCTGCAACTATAAGAAGACCTCTCTTCTCCCTCTCTCCTCTGCTTCTTTCTTTCCTCTCCACCACACTCTCAGCAGCTCTTTTTCGCCCCCGGTACGTCTACTCAACTCCACACGGGTTTCGTTCCTTTTCTCACTGACACATCTTTGTTTACAGTCTTCAAGATGTCTGAAAGAGGCCGCTCTCCCGCCGCCTCTGGGTCAGGCATGCAATCTCGCCAGCCATCCGCGTCGGGTGCTGCGAGAAGCCGCGGTGCTTCACCAGCACAAGCCTCAGCCTCTGGCAGTTCGAGGCCTGGTTGGGCGCCCAGCATGGGCTTTGACCCTGCCAAGACTGAAAGCAAGGATCGCAAGGGCAATACTCGCATGGAGCTTCCTCCAGACGCCTATGTCACCAACGAGGCCCAGAAAGACGTGTTTGCTGTCCGCGGCAACAAATTCAACACAGAGGGTCGGCCAGAGACTGTTGAGGTCAACCAATTCCGAATGACCAAGTTTGACTTCAGCAAGAAGATTTACCAATACGATGTGAGTCGCTCTTCATCTCAAAACTTGGGAAACTCATGGCTAATTGCGATTCTGATAGGTTGTCCTTTCGCCAGAACCGGACAAACGTGGACCGGTGTTGAAGAAGATTTGGGCTCACCCGAATCTCAAAAACGCACTCGCTGCCTACAACTACCAAATGTGGATTCTAGACGGCTCTAGACTGGCATGGTCTCCTTCTTTGGTAGACCGCGGCGAGATTCGCGTCACAGTGGACTTGGATGATGGCAGGCCTCCTGCGCGCTCTGGCCGTTCCAACAAGTTTTATCTCATCCTGCGCAAGACGACTGAGATCCAGATGGCTGTTCTCCGGGGTTACTTGGAGAGACGTATTCAATTCAACAACAGCGTCCAAGAAGCTCTCAACTTCATGGATCATCTCATTCGCCAGTGGCCATCTGAGCATTTGCTGGCCATCAAGCGCAACTTTTACAAGCGGAATGAGAGCGGAATCCCTCTCATGGCGGGTGGCGTTATCGAAGTCCACAAAGGGACTTACGCCTCCCTGAGGCTATCCAACAATCTTGCGAAGGGAGGCATCGGCCTTGCTCTCAACACAGATGTTACCAACACCTGCTTTTGGACTGGTCGACAGACTCTGGATCAGGTCATGGCGAACTTTCTCGGCACTCTTGACAGGCGCTACAAGGGAATAAACATTGCCACCACCACAATCTTTCGGCCTGTGCAGAACGAAAGAGGCGAGTGGCAGTCTTCTGATGCTTTCAAGCAACTCCGAAAGATGCGCAAGCTCAAGTTTACCATCAGACACAACAATCGGGACCCCAAGCTTGCCGAAAAAGTCTACACTGTGATGGACTTTGCATTTGATCAGAAGTACGGAGCGGAGGGTGCCAATGCCAGAACCGTCAAGTTTGACTACAATGGGCGAGATATCTCGGTTGCCGACTACTATCGAGAGAAGTACAAGGCTCATTTGCGAAATGCCCACTTGCCACTCATCTCCACGGGAAAGAATGGACATATCCCCATGGAGTTTGCCTTTGTTGAACCGATGCAGCGGTACGCTTTCAAGCTGAATCCTGAACAAACTGCGGCAATGATCAAAATCGCCGTTACGCGCCCAAATGTTCGCAGGGGCGACATCATGAAGAACGTCCGGGACCTCCAATTGCCCCAAGATCCCTATCTCAGGCACTATGGAGTCCAGCTGGAGACATCATTTGCCAAGACAGAGGCAAGGATCTTGGCCCCCCCTGTTGTGAACTTTAGCCAAGGTACAGCTGATCCTAAATACTCTGGCCGTTGGGATCTGCGCGGCAAGAAGTTTTGGAAGCAGAACCAGGCGCCCCTGATGAACTGGGGCTTCTTGGTCATGGATGACTGTGTCCAACTTCCTCAACTCCAGCAGTTTGCTCGCACCTTCAAGTCAACTTTTATGGGTCACGGAGGTGCCTGCAGAACTGATCCTGTCCTCGTCAATGTGCCAGGCAATATCAAGAACAATATTGCTCAGGCGCTTGCGCATGCCCACAATCAGATCACACGTGAGCGAGGATACACTCAGCTCATTTTTGTCGTCGTTCAGCACAAGAACAGCCCTCACTACGAACGTCTGAAGAAGTCCGCCGATTGCCGTTTCGGTATCCTAACTCAGGTTGTGAACGGAGCCTCCGTTGCGTCGAACAACGGACAGTACCACTCCAACGTGTGCATGAAAGTCAATGCAAAGCTCGGTGGATCTACATCTCGCACCAATCCCCCTTGGCGAATGACCCAAGGAACCTATTTCCCGAAGGATAGACCTACCATGATGGTTGGCGTTGACATCTCTCATGCTGCTCCTGGCGGACCATCTCCCTCGGTGGCGGCCATGACCATGTCTGTCGACAGAGATGCCACCAAATATGCCGCTATGGTGGAAACCAACGGGTATAGAGTTGAGATGCTCACTTCTGCCAACGTGAACTTTATGTTTGGCCATTTGTGCAAAGTCTGGATGGCAGGACACGATCGACAATTCCCCAAGCATATTATGTATTTCCGCGACGGCGTCGCAGAGGGACAGTTCGCTCACGTCATCGAGCAAGAGATCAAGGAGATCAAAGCTTACTTCAAGCAAGCGGCTCCCAACCAGCCGCTACCCAAGTTTACCGTGATTGTGGCCACCAAGCGCCACCATATCCGATTTTTCCCAGAAAAGGGAGATCGAAATGGAAATGCTCTTCCAGGAACTTTGGTGGAGAAGGAAGTAACCCATCCTTTCATGTTTGACTTCTATCTCTGCTCGCATGTTGCCATCCAAGGCACCGCTCGACCAGTCCACTATCATGTGCTCATTGATGAAATGGACATTCCCGTCAATGACTTGCAGAAGATGATTTATCATCAGTGTTATTCTTATGCCAGATCGACGACACCTGTGTCGCTCCACCCGGCTGTATACTACGCACATCTCGCTGGCAGTCGAGCCCGCGCCCATGAAAACATTGCGACCAGCGAGGGCTTCCGTGCTGGCGCCAAAGGCCATGAGATGATCCGCGACAAAGTTGCCAAGGGCGAGTCACTGAGTGTCCCACAACGGGGCAGTGATGCTCCGTCTCTTCTTCAGCTTGGCGGAAAACCGGAGAATAATGCTCCCATTGACGGAGAGGTGAGACAGAGAGATTTCTTCCGAAGCACCATGTGGTACATCTAAACGGCCACGGTGTCGAGAAGAATGGAAGTGGGATGGAGTCGAAAATTTGCTTTTACCGGAATGGGTTTTGAGGAAGCTAGTAAGTGGTTACAGTATCGCGCAGTGAGGAGAGAATCTTTTTTTGGACGACTATCATACAGACATGAGATACACTCAAGTATCAAACATGAATAAAAGGGGCGACCGGATTGGCGGGAGATGGCGGTGGAGGTTATTTGCTATCATAATCAGCTCATATAGTCTAGACAATGGACACATATTGACCTAAAACCGTAAAGCTTTCAGAGGCTGTGCACATGAAAAGTACACCAGAGAATACTTGAGGATTTTTTTTATCTTGATGGTCGCTCTACTATAGATGAATTAGTATAGAGCAAGAGGCATACTGCAAAGGGCCTCGATCAGATCAACTGGAGTATTAATAATAAATATTCTATAGTTTGGTTCCTTAGAGTATAGTAAGATATATGTTGTAGGTAAGAGTAAATGTTACTGCGCGGATAAACAGAGACTGTTGAGCGGCAGGTGTATGACCTGATACGACAATATTATGGAGTAATAGGGTAAGCTGTATGTTGGAGCTAAGGAAGGCTGTGTTTTCCATGGGCCTGGCTTGGCATTGGAACAATTGGCGGTATTTGAGGAATAATGAGGATACAAGAGATGACGGGCTGTCAAAGTTGAGGATTGGCGCGCTCCAGCGCCTTGACGCCCGCTAAACGATCAGAGCTCCGGCCTTACCCCGCTACGGGTCGGCGGGTCTTAGTGAGTCGAGCTCTTGTGGCAGTGGCGCGTCAAAGGGCGAAGAATGCCGAAAGCTCTCCCTTCCAACCTCTCGCAAACACTCAGCTGCGGCGCGCCATGGCTGGCTTTCTGCGAGGCAAGCAGTCAGGCATCCAGAATGACCTGTCTGCCAGCATCCGACCCGAGCTGTTTACTCCCGATGACCACGCGCGATATGGCCTCAACTCGCAGATAAGGTGAGTGAAGCAGCGATTAGCTATGACGCAACCACGGCCCCGCCACCAAAGAGGCAAAAGAACAAAGGGTTGGAGATGGAGAGTGTAAATGGTCGCAGCAACAACAAGACCAGCGGTAGTAACGAGAGATACAATGAGGGGAAGAGAGTTGGAGAGAGATTGTGCGATGGCTTCTTCTAACATTTGGCGAATACTCTAGTTGCTTTGCCTACGATCCCGTGCAGTCTCTGCTCGCCATCGGAACCGCCGAGAGCAAGTTTGGCCCCGGAAAGATCTACGTCTTTGGCCAGCAGCGCGTGCAGAAGACGTTTGATCCGCCGCGACGAACCTCGTTCCAGTCGGTCCAATTCAGCGCGAACCGTCTCGTCAGCCTCGATAGGAATAATGAGCTTGGTCTTTGGGATCTCGATACCGGAGAGCGCCTGGCCGCTCAGGTGATTGGCGGCCCTGTGACCTCCATGGTGACGGATCCGATGCTTGACTGGGCCTTTATTGGAATGCAGAATGGAGATATCATGGCCTATGACCTTGACCGACATGGCCTCGCGCGCTCCTTTCGACTGCCCAACTTCTGGAAAGCAAAGGATCCGATGCAGCACACAGTCACTCTGGTCACCATGTCGATGCATCCCCGAGATGCCGGCAAGCTCCTGATTGGATACAGCCACGGCGCTGTCATTTATACATTCAAGCAGAACCAGCCACAGCAATTTCTAGAGTACGTGCTTCCACCCGGGGCGCCGGGAGGAAACAGCGTCGGCATGGATGCGGTGCGTCGGCCTCGCTTGACCCATGCCCTGTGGCACCCTTCGGGCACGTTTATTCTCACTGCGCATGACGACGGAAGTTTGGTGTTCTGGGATCCTAAAGAAGCAAAGGTTGTCATGGCGAGAACCCTTACAGAATTTGGCATTCAGCAAGCCACCCCGAGCGCACCAACCCCGGCGTACTCCGAGCCATATGTCAAGATCGCTTGGTGCTGCAAGCAAAACTGCGACGATACCGGATTGTTGATTGCAGGTGGCCAAGCTCCCGATGCGTCACCCAAGAGCTTGACCTTCATTGAGCTTGGCTTAACGCCAATGTACGCCACGTCCACATGGCAGGCCTTGGAAAACCATTTCCGCGGCAAACGGCATATACCGCTAGCCCTGCCGCCTGGGGCTCAAGCACTTGACTTCTTGATTATTCCAAGAGATTCGCCTCATTTTGGTGGTGCACAGGATCCTATTGCTGTCATTGTGCTATTATCTTCGGGGGAGCTGATTACGCTCAGCTTTCCTTCGGGATATCCAATCAGTCCCACCAACCAGCTCCATCCATCAGCTTTCTTTGTACATCCCTTTGTCACGAAATTCAATGTGTCCAGCGTCGACAGGCCTAGGTGGCTGTCTATGGTGGAGAAGAGAGACCAAGGAGAACCTCTCTTAAAAGGCGGAGCAGCTGGAGCGAGACCAAGAAAGAGATTTGAAGATCGCACAATTATCCAGACAGCGCATGCCGATAGCATCATTAGACTCTGGGACTCTGGACACGCTGACCAAATTGAAAATGAAGTCCAGTTACAGGTTGACATGGCCCGGGCCCTGGACCGTTTCGAGGACGTGGAAGTGACTGCAATGAGCATGGCTAGCACCACTGGCGAGTTTGTCGCTGGCACGAAAACTGGGGAGGCTGTGGTATTCCGTTGGGGTGTGAACCAGTATTATGGGAAAAACCAGCCAAAGCAGCTGGATCCGAATCCGATGGGGCTCTCTGACATCAGCTCTAGGGCAGAGCCAAACCTAAAGGAAGGGCTGCAACCGTTTGTTCTATACGAGATGATGCAGGGCCCAATCACCGCCGTTCAAATATCAAACGTGGGCTTCGTGGCGATTGGGTCTGAGCTGGGATTCTTGACAATAATCGACCTTCGCGGTCCTAAGATTATCTTCCAGGCTCCAATGACAGACTTTGCGAAACCCGAGAACAGAAAGACGTTCCTCAAGGGCCATTCCAAATCCAGCTCATTACCCCCGAAAGAGTGGCCGACGGTAATGGAGTTTGGCGTGATGACTTTGGATGACGACAAATACTCATCGATATGCTGCTTCGTCGGAACCAACCTGGGTAAAGTTATTACCATGAAGCTTTTACCCGCAGGTGGTGGTTACACAGCCGAAGTGGCGGGAATGGTGGCATTCGATGGAAAGGTCGTGGCCCTGAATCCGATTCAAGCTGACACTGGCAAACCTGCGCTAGCCACGGGCCCGATCGTGGCTGGGCTGCGAGAGGGGCGCCAAGTGAATGGTGCTCTCGTTGCAGGCAAGTATTTCCTTCTTTTCTTTTTCCCTTGTCTTTGTGTGTTCGAAGGCCCATTTCCAAATGAGTTATTAGCTAACCAGAGGTATAGTCACTGAGAAAGAAATAAGGATCCTCAGGCCTGCCCATTCGAAGGGCGCTTCTAAAGAGTTTGACGACATACTATGTGACTCGGCCTGTGTAGCAGAACTTGAGCTGCAAGGCTACGCCATTGTTGCTTCCTTCCGGGATGGATCAGCCAGGGCGTATAGTATCCCAGGCATGCGGGATCTTGGCAGCGCGAAACTCCCGATGGTGGACCGTACCCGCAGCACAGCAACCATTGTAACTCAAACCGGTGATATCTTTGCATGGGCGGGCCCTGCAGAAATGGCCGTCGTCCACGTGTGGGGTACAGGAAAAGCGCTTCAACAATCTCCAGATCGTTTGATCAACCCCGAGATTGCCATTCCATCCCGTCCAACTATTTCCAACCTCCAGTGGATTAGCGGAACACAGCATGTATCGCCGTTGGACCTCGACATTTTGATAGGAGGACCCAATAGACCACCTAGCAAGAGGATGATGGAGGCTGCTGCAGCAGAGCAGCGAGCTGCTAGGAGCAATCCTTCTGGCGGCGCATCCTCATCTCAGGAAGGCTGGGGCGATTACTTGACGCGCCAGCTGAACGAAAGAACCGAGAAACTAAATCTCATGGGAGATACGATGAACACGCTGCAGGAACAATCAGAAGGGTGGGCAGACGATGTAAACAAATTCATAGGGAGGCAGAAGCGGAACATGATTGTCGGGGGTTTGACGTCCAAATTCTTCTAAAGAACCTGGTTATGGAGAGGAACTTGTCGCGGTATTACATCAGATTTGACGCGTTTATCCATGCTATTACATGAGACCAAGAACACATAAAAAAAAGAACATCTATCAGAAAACAGGACGTGCTTTTGATCCGTGGGCAACCATTATTTTCTGCACCCATCCTACTACTCCTATCCAACCACAAGCTTCAGATAGTAATCAAGAACACGAGCTCAGGGGAATCTACGCTGCATGGTTTAAAGTTTCTTACTGGTACAAGGCCTCTCCTCCAATATCCACCCTTCAAGCCTCTCAATGCTGGTTGTCTTTCATTCGGGCTAACACCACGTCATCGGGTTTAACCCGTTGATAATATTGGTTCGATTGGTAATTCGGCGGCGGCACTCCAACAGCCGTCTGTATTTCACCCCGATCTGCTAGCGATGTAAGCGACTAGGCCCATGCAATTGTCATTCGGGTCGGCGACACTTGAATTTCCGTCTAGTTAGCTAGGGAGTATTAATAGAAATATGCATACCCCAACTAAGACGCCCGTCTCCATAGCATGCAGTAAGTTGAGCCGTTAACCGTGGTGGATCGGTGGATCGCCCATGGTCAAGGTATTGAAACGAAACATTGTTTCTCGATTCTATGCATTAGTAGGGAGTTCTTCTGGTCTATGTCCGATAGTTGTAAGCCGGAAAAGTCGGTAAAGTAGTCTGAAAGTATATAAAAGATTCCGTCTTCGCACTTGAGGTGTGTGTTGTTCCATCATAACGAAGCACCTTTTCAAGACCTTGAGGCATTCTCGATTCAATTCAACACGACCATGATCTTCGCACCTGCATTCCTTTTGAGCAGCCTTGTCGGCGCTGTCTCTGCGGCCTCGTCTCTTCAAGTTGTTACAGTAGGAAAGGATGGAGCACTAGCATACTCGCCTGATACGCTCACAGCCGCCGTCGGCTCCCAGGTCGAGTTCCAATTCTTCGGCCCTACGCACTCAGTTGTCCAAGCATCGTTTGACCAGCCATGCATTGCATTCAATGATGGAACCGGCTTCTTCGCTGGCTTCACTACCAATGGTAATGGCCCGAATGTAGGTTTCCGGTTTGTCCATGTTGGGAGAGCTCGCGGCTGACAGGATAATCTAAGCCGACTTCCTTCACCATTACCATCAACGACACGAAGCCAATCTGGTTCTACTGCGGTTTCCCGGGCCATTGCGAGGCGGGAATGGTTGGAGTGATCAACCCATCGTAAGTTACTATACATATTATCATCAGTTTATGTGTGGTGGTGGTTTCGCTGACAGATGTGTGTGTGTGTTGTAGCTCGAACAAGTCGGAGACGCTCGACATCTTCAAGTCCAATGCCGCCAACGTCGGAAAGAGCACAACACCCAAGCAGCAGCAGGGAGGCAAGTTCGGTGCTTTCGTAACCCCCTCCAGCGGTCCCTCCAGCGGCCCCTCCAGCTCTTCTTCCGGCGCTTCGTCGACGGCGGGCTCTGCTGCCTCGCAGACGAGCTCCAGCCCGACACACTCGGCGACTGGCAATGAGGCGGGTCGGATGAGAGGTGAATATGCTCTTCTTGGAGGCTTGGCTGTTGCTGCCGCTGCGATGCTTGTCTAATGGAGGTCTGGGTGTGAATATGTCGGAGCCGAGTGAACTGTTGGGATGGTGTGGTGTAAATCAAGTGTCGAATAACGGGAGAGTGGGATTACACGGAATTTCTTTCTCTGTTCATACCTAGTAATACATAGTGATAATGAAACAACCACGTAATGCGCGTGGCATTGGATTGATTTCTTTGTTGCCTCGTGGTCTAGATTCAGGTGAAGGAGCTAGTCCGCTTGTCGGGGTGCAAAATGGAAAAAGAAAAGAAGAAGCGGGAAAAGGGGCCAAGACAACACGATGCACGAATTCGGCAAGACTTGCGCAGAGAATAAGGTTTAATACAAACCTATACTTACCCAAGTAAGTGTTTCTTCCGAAAAGACATGAGAGCCTGGCATCCGTACTCATAAACGGGGTATACCATCGCGCGCCACGGCGGTTTCTGGTCATTGCCGATGCCCTTGTAACTTGGAACTTGGGCGCGTTATAAGGCATCACTAATCATTTTTGGCCTCTAAGATCGTGATAAAGTAAGTAAAAGGCTTTTGAGACCACTACCGAGAAAAATTACCATTACCAGAAACCCCCGTGGCGCGCGTAGGTAGTCAGAAGAGACATAGAAACCATGGTTTTGGGCGCTTGTCGGATTACCAGAGTCTGTATTGCATGTGTAGCTTGAACGATACTCCCACTCATGCGGCGTGGATCAAAATTTGTCGATGACGGCAAAAGATTGCATGACTGGTCTGATGCTCTGGCCTTTGCTTTGACGTGAACGCGGTCCAGCATGTGGGTGGTGAAATTGCCTGCAGCACATGCATCATGTCTCGGTGAATTTGGGCCATTTCATCGCTTAGGATACCAGAGGCGTGGCCAAGACCGAAAAGCTAGAGCCACCCCATGTTGCCATCATGATAAATGAGCTCTTAACTAGAATGAGATCCGCAAGGCAAACTAAAGACATGATTCGATACAGAGCAAGACAACGCATACAGTAGTGCCACTTGCAGCTTTGGCGGAACGCTTTCCGGTTAAGTTGACTGATCACGATGACGAGGTTACTTCCCCTTCCGTCTCGCGAACCCCTGCGAAACAGGCAAGCAAGCGATGGATGTGCACTAGCGGAGCGTGCGAGTGGACTTTTAGGACGGTCTGTTAATGCGAAATAGAGTTACTATAAAGACCGAGAGAATAGGGAACCGCGCCCAGTTTCGAAGCCTTTCACAATCACCGTTATCTCCCAACTCTCGTTGTCTCATACCTTGGAAATCTACAACCCTCTAGACAGTCAAAATGTCTGGATTTGCTACTCACCAATCTATTGAGGATAATGTGGCTTGCTTTGTGGCCCATGGCCTCGTTCAGGATTACCCAACCCACACTGCAGCTGTTATTCATTCTGTGAAGGGAGCAGTTGATATTTGTACGGGGGGAACAGTTACTGTTCCTTCTACACCAGAAGCAGCTCCTATATCTTCTGCTCAAGAAGCGGCCACTGTCTCTTCTACTCAAGAAGCGGCCACTGTCTGTACTACGCAGGAAGCGGCCACTGTCTCTTCCACACAGGAAGCAGCTACCGTCTCTACTACGCAGGAAGTAGAGGCTGTTAGTTCTATTCACTGAGCTAATAGCACCGATCGTATCATTTGTGCTCTAATACATGGCAGGTTAGTATACTCTATCCCTCTAGGATCCATCCAGGACCTCGTCAGCTGATACATCCCTAGGCTCAGATCGCGTCACTGCGCATGCGGAAGCTCTTCAAATACATCAGGAAATGCAACTATTGCCTATACGGACTCCATTTGGGGAGTCTAGATAGCTCGCTAGCTACCTTAGCTCTTTCTGGAAATACCTGAAGTCGTTGCTCCCTTTCACTCTACGCAGCCGACCACGATATAAACGATACTACCGCCATTATTGATGCTGTTCACCCGCACACGATAGTTCTGCATCAAACAGAGATGAAAATGTGGCTTAAGGAAAAAGAAAAAGAATTTTGGTACAAAGACTGGGGATGGGTTTGCACCACCCCCAATGTCTCGTTTGGAAGAAGCTGCCTTCAGCATCATCAGCGTTACACATCATTTTGGCGATAGAATGTTTTACGCCACTACAGCACTATAGCCAGTTATCTTTATAATTTCTATGATTATACCTCATATCGAATGAACCCAATCTTTTCTGTATAATTATTCCAGCGATCTCTTTTCCTTCAGTTGCTGAAGCAGAAAGCCTGATTGAATTGAACATGATGGATTAGATTTAGGGACTCGTTATTCAGCACTAAGTTTGTCTATCCAGCATCCCGTGTCTCCAAATTTCGAAGTATCTACTTATTTAGCAGGTAGTAATTATAACAGATACAGGAGGAATATTAAAAAAGACAGGTACTAGAAGGAAGTAGCGATAGTAGTAGATACTACCGACAGTAGCAGATATTACCGACAGTAGCAGATACAAATTGCGTTTTCTTTACGCCTTGTTACAGCGATTGACGTAGCCTCTGGAGTATTGGATAGCCTACTTGCGGTGCTGAATAGCAATAGCGCCTCCCTAGGTTTATATTTCATCAGTCTGTCCACAATTAGTGGCCATACGAGGAGATACTGGTGTATAACCTTTGTAAATCCGTTGGATTTATCTTCCATCTCTTCTCAGCGATTCATTTCCAGCGCACTGCGTTCTAGGTGAAAGCCCGTTGGTAGATTAGTCCGATGGCCCCGTAACGTGATACCTCTGTCTTCCGCAAGAGATATAACGGAACGCGAACGTAAGCCTCCTTGTAGAACCTTGTTCGACCGCCAATAGTTTCTGGGGCGGGGGCTGTATTCGTTCGCATTGTATGCTCTGGTCTGGAGAATTCGATCGCGCCTTCTGCCCTCGAACCTTTTCCTTTGTTTAAGAAAAGAGAGTGTAAAGGAATTCGTAAACCTTGTTGGTTGTGTCAATAGCCTAGAAGCAAGCGTATTGAATTTGACGTATGGGATCAAAGTCTAGAGTTATGATGTGGCAGCATAAGTTATTTGAATAGCATATACATAGGAGGATGCTTACCCAGCTATCGCTTCCATCAACGGGACCCCGATTCCATGGCTTCTCTTTAGTCAAGAATATTGCATCGTCGACGACACGCTTATCTCTGTCACCTCACTGCGTCCGATTTGCTCATATTTCTAACTCGGCGTCAGAGAATCTAGCGAATCGGGGGAATTTGAGAGTGTTTAGATCTTCCGGAACTTTAATACATGTAGAATCGCTGGTATCCTGCGTTGAACGCGATGATATCGCAATATTTTGGATTCGTGGGCCACGCGTGCCGGGTGGTAGATGAGCGCTAAACGCTAGGGCCCTTTCAGAAAGAGTTCGTGTCGCCATCTTGGAGGAGGGCCCTAAAGATATAGTTATATAGTGCGAGAATCTGTGTTGAGAGTCTCTACTACCACTTCGGTCTCTACTCCTGTGTGAAAGGCTTTGCGAGCAGGAGGTGAGTGCCTTATCCTGGAAGTGACATGCCGAAGACGGAGGAGAAGGGAGTGGTATGTAAACGCGTGTGGAGTTGTAAGGGAATGATCTGGAATTCAGGATCGCAAAGGCTGCCAAATTTGTGCGGAGGGAGCAAAACACAAAAGGGGCCGCCAAAGGAGACCGACAGAAGGTACGTGTAGGCTGATCGCAAAACGAAGCAAAAAAGAAAGTATGCCAAGTTGGAATTTTCCTATTGAAGAAGTCGCTGAGCTCCCATTCTAAATCAATGGATATGTTCTGCAAGTCTTGTTCAGATACAAGCATCGGAAGCAGTGTGTCTCCCTCGTACGGTATGGTTTCATCCTTTGTTTCCACGGGTTTCCACGGGTCTTCCTCTCAATGTGTTGAAGCCTTGTCAGTAGTCAAGTGGTGTGTGTCTCATCGCTTATAAGCAAAGTGTGTTTTTACAGGATGACCAACAACGCATTACCATCCCTGAGGGTCAAGAACGCCTCACCGGAGTACCAGGGCAGGCATAGTTTGTGAGAGTACGATTATTACCGTGAGCCGGCATATGTAGCCCAGCGACATGGTTGTGGTGGGTGGCATCTGGTGGGGAAAATGAATGAAAGGGACAAGCTCGCCAGGAGGATGGTAACACCTTGAAGCGCCAAGAAGGCATTGCCTTACTATTACGAACGTTGATTGGCAGAACTTAAATTGGAGATCCGCACCATTACTAAGATTGTCACTGCTTCGCGTCTATTGTTTTGACTTGGCCGCGATAGCGGCCGCTTCAGCAATACCAGAGTGTAGCACAACGAACTAGGCGCTGTATTGAGCCGGATTGATTTGCTAGGCCCGTAGGATTGATTGCCTGCATCTCTTCCGTAATGTTTTTTCTAATTGTTTGGGCGCAGCTATAAAATCCAAAGCTGTACCGCGCAGTTCCGGCGACGACTGAAGGCACTTATAAGCGCCTGAATCCAGCCTTTCTGGGACGCCCGCCGCTGTATTTTGCTTTACAAGAGTACTGGGTAAATTGACACGCATTCAGTCTTGACCAAGTGAATAAATCGTGGCGCAATTGATTCACGTGTATTTAGCCTACGAGGCTTTCTGGCATATGCTCGACTCCATCGACGACAAAACCCTGGCGAGGCTGACATTATTGTGATCATGTGGACTAGCAAGGCAACCGAAAAGGGGCCTTATAGAAGTGCAGATGTACGCGCACTGCCCAAGTCCTCTCCTGTCTCATTTTCCTCCAACCCTAGCAGCAGCTACAGGTATTCCTATTCTCTAGAGGGACCGAAAAAAAAGAGCATTAGCTATTCTTTGCGCTCTACTTAACTCAAGCAAACGAGCGGACAGAACATCAGTTGAACTTCTGGGGAAATTGTGATGGTAGAAGATACAGGAGGGTTTTCTTTTCTATCTTCAGGTGCCTCTCTTATTAATCCTCTCACCGGGATAAGCAGTCTCCCACAGCTTGTTGTTATTACTGCATTCTCGCCGCTCGTAAGGGCGAGCGCGAGCCTTCATGCATTTGTTTCGCACCCCCCAAGGCTGCAATTAAGTAAGTACCAAGTGGATCGAAGGATTCAGGTTGCACAGGGCCATGCATTAGCGGTGCCGGTTCCCATCTTGGTTATTTACCTGTAGGATAGGGACCGCAAAGGGAGAATTGGATCAGTGCTTTTTACATAGCCCAACTGCCTGTTAAATTCACGGTATTTTCTTATATGGACGGAGTAGTAGCCACCCCTAGATCCGACGTGTGGTAGCCATCCGTCTCCAAGCGTGCCGTTTCGTCCTTGCTTGTCTAGCCGCACAAGGCCTGCCACAGCTACATGCATATATATTCCCAAGTATCATATATTCTTTTAGTATGTTGTTGTTTCTTGGTATTCTCTAAACAGGCAATCACTCTTATACGTCATCGCGTCTCAATAGATTCATTCTGCAGCAGGCACGGACATATTGTGCACGGCAGCTCCGCGAGGCCAATCGCCATTCGAGCCCTAGTAAGCTGTAAGGGCAGTCATGGCAGGATAAATGCCCCAAGTAACTATCACTATGCTACCACCTGCAACCTTTATGAGGAGTATGAAGTCTAAACAGGAAGTCATGATTAAGATGACAGACATGCATGTATGTGGCGTTTGAAATCCTTAAGTTGGACTTATTTCGATGTAATGTATGGCTATCGCTATAACGCGGACGCAGTGTTAAATAAGTCGACTAGACAGAAGGCTGTAGCTGTAGCTGTCTGCCAACGCATACATGCATCTACATAACGCACAGAAAGAGGACCTCGTGACCGGCGAATAAAGCCTTGCAGCTTTATCTACGCAAGTTAAGCATGGGCTAGGCGTGTTTATTCTGGGTAAGATGTTAGAAAATTTTGAATGATGCGTTGAGTAGGGCATCTCTGTCGCGCTACTCACAACATCTCTCCCTTTGGCTGGGCGCTAAAGTGTGACCTGGATCGTTGGGTTAGCGTTGGACTGTCAAAAGAAAAAAGGGATCAGGAGAGATATGATAAAAGAGATGGAGATACTCGTACAATGGCGGCTGTGATGATGCCTGTTCTTCTGAGACAGGTCAAGCTACAATACCAAAGTCGGCTTTTACGAGCGGGCAAAGCACCCGAAACTTGCCAAGGCTATGTTGGAGCCTGTCTGCAGGTATGACATTTTATGAGATGTGATACTCGATCCCTACCATTGAATCTTGCTTCTCTGTTGTCACGATTCGTCTCTTAGTGCGGTGGATAGACGGCATGGCGGCTTGAATGGCCAGCGGATTTGATCATCGGAGCATGGAAAACCGATTGAGATAATCTCGCTACAGGCTGCACAAGTAAAAACAGCATAAGTCAACCGCTTCCGACATATTTTGGTGCATGTTAATTTTCAGATTAGCCCTCTCTTTATTGTTAGTGTCTTTTCTTGTCTTTGCCTTCTTTTTCTTCTTGCTTCTCTCGTTCTCCCCCTCTCTTCATCTCCCCGCCAAAACTCGTTGACTTAGCTCCAGCCTCTCCGAATGTCAGACAACGCAAATCTTTACCAGAGAGACGACCTCTTGGTAGCCCTTATTGTTTTAATACTCATATATCAAGAAGAGATGAACCAGTTTGTGAATCTATTCCAGTAATACTGTACCGTTCTTCAGTACTGACAGTGGGGAACATCACCTAGACTTTCACGAGACTTCCTACAATGTCTCGATGAGATAGCTCAACTAACGCATACGAGCCACGAACGGACGAGCATTGACATAGAAGACATGAACGGTGATCCCATGGAACTCGATTGAACGACCGAGAGGCATCTATCTTCGTCGTTGCGCGCGGCATCGCGGCCTTTCTCAACAAACTTAGACAAAACTGACCTTGGATTCGGTTATCTTCTGCCGGCACATACCTGGGTGGGAGGGAGACAAAAGGAAAAAAGGAACAAAACATAATATAGACGCAAAAAGCATGGGCCATGCGTGGCCCGCAAATCCCCTTCAATGTTTGTCGTTTTGTAACGGAGTGCTCGAAAGATCACCGCTATACATAGATGGTCTATTTTCAACGCAATAGTATTTTTATTTTCTGTTGGATATCCTCCTATTGTTAAAATACTAGAAAAATACTCCAGATCAGCACTGAGTTTACGATGGATAGCAATTTTGCGGTATTGTAATCTCCCGGATGACAAGAGAGGCTCGGCAGCTCGCATTAAGCCCTGATCCCTAGACACGCACCATTACAGGTAGGCCTTAGATTAACTTCCGGAGAATGAGAATCCAGAAGTGGATATCCAATGCCGATCCAATGGTAATGCAATTGCGACTGAGTATGTACCGATGCCCCTGTAGTTTGGTAATTCTCAACTTGCCAGGGTCCCGGCCACTTTCATCGCCCAGGACGAAATCCATTCGTACTTGGTACGCTCCTAGTCGAGAAAACAAGACTATTGGACACTGACATGTCTAAATATTACTCAATACGGTCACAAGCCCGAGCTGTAAGGGTCGTTAGATAGACCAGCTGGAAGCCAGGGGCTCACCTGCTGCCTAAGTAGCACGACTTCAGGGCTCCTCCGTGGCGTGTCTGGTAGGACGGGCCTAAATAGCGAACGAATTCGCTGGCTAAGGGCCCGACCCGTCCGGCATCTCAAGCTAACACTGAAAATCAGTTTATGCGGCTAGAAGAGCAGAAGGGTGGCTCTCTGATGAACCCTAGACGTATGCTAGTGGGCGGTATGCGAGTCGCTCTCAGCCGCAAGTTAGCCAGTATGTACTTCGCAGATCAATACTACCTCCAGTTGGACAGGGGATTCGTATACATTCTATGCCTTCAAGCTGCCGAGGCTCTCCATCTTGCTATATAGTCAGTACCTGTAAGCTGTGCTTCTGGAATATCCGCGGCTGAAAAACCATCAGGGGAGCTGGACAATTTGCTACATAGGGTTACACAGCGTCAGTCTTGAGCTGCAAGCCAATGGTTCAGCCGCCTCCTGCTAAGCTCGCCAATCCTAGTGTCACAAAGTGGCTGTAACTTAGCTTGATTTGGTGTTTACCTAGGTACCTCATTCGCCCGTCTACGAGATGCAGTGCAGATACGCACCTGTTGGTGCGCCTACGCACCTCTTTGTCATAGCTTCAATTGTACTATTAGCGGTTAACTACCCAGCAAGGGGGTCTACACTTCCTGTCCGTCTACGTGCCCCGTATGTGTTCATGCTCTCTCATTAATCACATCCAGTACGAAGGACTACATGGGCTCATATCGGTCTTCACCGCTACATAGTGCAATCTCCTACACGTCCGCTATTCAGCTGGTTTCATTAAACGAAATGGCAGACAGCAATCGAAGCAGCTGATATGACAGGTTGGCTGCCGTCTGATCATATACCCACCATCATGCATGCGGCTTCCATGGACGAAGAAGCAGCCCCTTGGTGCGCCACCAAGTTGGTACTTCGTCCCAGTATTGGACAGAAGGGGTGTATCTAACAGTATATTGGGCAATTACGGCCATTAGCATATGTGATAAGTTTATAAAGTGATAGGTCAGGGATAAATAAACAATAGGGGGGCGGATCTTGATCGGTTCAGATTGTAGGCCGCCCAATGTAAACAAAGCCATATACGGACTTAAAACACATGCGTTTAGTATGGACATACCAAGTCCGAACTGTAGGTACAGTCCAGAAATCAGCCACGTGGTGCAATTCGGTGAGTCATCATATGGCCCTCTAGCCACTTTAGTCCCATGCCTTTGCAGCGCATCTTTTCATGAACACGCCTCAATGTCCAGGTAATTGTCTGTCCTCGGGGTTTTAGCCTCTTGTACGGAGTACATATACGCGGTGGCGGCGTGGAAACAAGAGACAGCGGCACATGCCAGAGTAAGCTTTGAGCGGTCAGGGGTGACGGAGATTGCACCACGTTGCCCCGGAATGGGGTTAAGGAATCATAGTGCAAGTACCAAGCATCCGTAGGGATTGAATAGTCCGTTTCCCCATCTTAATCTTGTCATGTTCGGAGGTAATTTGGCTGGATACGCGGGCGGCACCGTACCCGTTGTGCGCGTTCGTCTTCTCAAGACTGAACAGATACATACGCAAGCAAGGCTGGGACAACTTCCTAGGCATATGTGTAAGTCAAATCATGTGTTTACTCGACAACCGACTGAAGTAAAGCACCTTATGGTCCGTAGTGTAGGTATGTGACTATATCCAACGCGCGCTTCTGAAGAAAGACACGACGTGGGGCAATACGGGCGAGCTACACCAGCATTTTGCGACTAGTGCCTTAGGACATGGCCGCTTCTTCCTCTCAAAAGTAGCCATCGGGAGTAGAAGCCGGCCGAAGCGACAAATCGAAGGGGCCGCAATCATGGAGGGACATTGATGGCCAGCCTGGCTTGGCGTGTTATGAGTGGAGTATAATGGAGCGGTCGGCTGCCCATGAGCGCCTGAGGCGATTGGATCCCCCCAGTTCAAGGGTGTGAGTCGTGGCCAGAACCTTTGTGACGGTGGCGAAGCGACCATGATTCCCGCTGGCCAAGGACATTCAAACAGTCAGGCTAGATCCAGAGAAGCAGAAGCAGATGGAAATGAAAAGTGTCTCTCAGAGGGTGGCCAAGATCCACTCGGTGAGGCAGCACAGAGTAAGCACACACATGCAATCCTCAAAATACGTATGGCTTAGAACCAGGAGGTGATGGATAACAGATAGTTGAGAGCATAGTAGCCGCAAAGCAGTTCATATTCAGTGCTGCATGCCAAGCCTCAAAACCATACGTGGCCTGGCGGGCGGATCGCAGCTGGCGGTGAGAACAGCACGCCTCTTTTATTACTTTAATTTTTATTTAGTGGAAGCTCTTTGTTTGGCATTCCCTCAGTCTTCCGTGAGGCTCTTGCTGGAGGCTAATAAGGAACAGCCAAAGAGACGCGATGAAGAAATAAACCCAGCCCCTTCGGTACAAGGGTGGAACCCCCTGGCTGCCGTTGGATTTGCTCTTGGGGTTTCTGGTCGGATGTGACTCCGTATTCCCCGCCATAGATTCAGGACGTGTACCCACAGATATCTCAGCACAGACTGGCTGTCTCCAGACCGCAACACCAAATGATTCGCTGCAATGGCCCTTCTCCAGATACTACTGCTGCAGGTGGATCATTAGAGCTCCACAGGGCAAATGGACAAAAAATTGGAGAGGCACTGCGGCAGGCTTTTTTTTTTTTTTTTTTGTTCGGCCACCTCCAGGTTCGCAGGCCAGGTCAGCGTCGATCATCCGTGATTACCCAACCTTGTCAACGAGAAAAGAACACTAAAGGACATGATCCGACCTCAGTGGCCTATCCGGTGACTCGATATGTCACGGTCACAGGAAGTACAGGCGGTGAAAAGGGCTTCCTTGGGTCTGATGACAAGAGTTTTGCAATGAATTGGGCTCCGTCTGCAGGCCGCTGTCATCCGCAGAGGAGGGAAGAAAGAAGAGGTCAAGGTAAATGTGAGGCGAAGATGAGAATGAAGAAGCGGTGGGTCGGTCGTATAGGCTGCACATGCAAGGGAGGGATACGCGCATGCGTTGTGATTGGCAAGGCGTGCCAACTTGTAAGCATCGCTGAGGAAGCGAGAAGGCGAAAACAAAGAAAAGCACATACGATCATCGATACATCAGCCTGATGACAGACAATCCCTGACAACTCGAAGCCCTGTCTTTTGACCGACCAAGGCCAAATTCTGCTTCCGCGCACAGTGACGTGTCCTGGCAGCATTCAAGTTGTAAGATTATCACACACCTAAGCAGGTAGCAGAAACGATCTCAACCATTCCAAACACCCCAGGGCTTCGTTGTTCCTTCTTTCGCCGTTGCTATTTTCTCTTCGCATATCCGCATGACTGCTTGAGCATACATCGCGCGGCTCTCTCAGCCCCAGTTGCCAGACTGTCCGGGGCAGCTGTGCAAACATGTAACTCTATCACTCTGATAGGCGGCGGTGTTCGAAGAGTAAACGGCACATTCGTTCGTTATTATATAAAGTGTCGATCCTCAGGACGTTCGATTCGAGATATCCAAGAGCTTGGAAACCAAAAGTCGGCATCCAGCAAAGTTGTCAGCAGTCGCAGCTATACACCTGTTAATAACCGAGCAAAAGCTTCAGCTGAAGATAAGCGAGCTTAAGCTGTAGGCTTGACATTAACACTTCAAAATGCCGCGCAACGCCCGTTATGCTACCGGCAGCATTCGCTATTTCTTGGACCGCATCTATAGAAAGTTGAATTTTCTCTGTTTGTTCGTGGAAGCGTTTCAAATTTGCCTTGCTGGCGATACTGACTGATGCATTTCAGGGTGTGTCAACAAATTGAACGACATGTTGCTCGTATCGCCAATCAGACGGATGAAGAGCGTGAACGCGGAATACGCCACGAGCCGAATCATGAGGACCTTGAAATGGGCGGTTTGGGCCCCAATTGACTGGTGCAACCAGCACTTGAGGCGCAACCACCGTCCGTTAGGTACTCTGGTGGTGGTTAATATGCTAGAGCTGAGCGGCACTGTTGTTGTTGATTGAGAGGAGTCAAGGGGGCATCTCTTGGTCAAAAAGGATAGGACGGAGGAAAAAGCATAGGACGATTGAAAAGAAAGGGGTTCAGAGAGGGGAGACTGGTGTTAGTTTTCTACAAACAGGTATCTACTAATGTTTTACCGCGATTGCTTGCACTGTCACTACCTCCCAAGGGGCATGTGCCTAGCTGAGATCCCAACAACCGGGTTCCTCCCCAACTGTTTACCTTATGTGTGGCGTGTAATTTCCGTTGCATGTACCGGGTACAAAGCACTCGAGCCTTGCTTCATGCGACACCCAGCGAAATGTCACCTTTCATCCGCCGACACTTCTGCCTACGTATACGTGGTTTTATTTTTGACATCTTAACTCGGGAAACATGGATGCTAGTAGCTGAACGCAATGACTTTCAGTCACTCTTATCTTGAAAAAATTCCGGGCCTGTGTTGGCCTGGTTCACTCCGCTGGGTGCACAGCGGTTTGAGACATGGCATTCATTGTTCAAGGTGCTTGTGCATGCAGGTACAGGTAGGCGCCTCGACGCCGAATCGGCTCTAAGGGATGTTATCGCCGTCCTACCTATTGCAAGCGCTAATGTCCGGACACCAGGTATTTCTCAATAAAGGCCTTGTTCGGCCTCAGTATCCGAGAATTTGCTGACGTGTGGCGGTTCTATTGTTGTTGGTTGCCTGCCCGTTGCCGAAACTTGAAACAGGTGGCTACAGAGTGGGCCCAAGCTGTTCTCCTGCTTTGGCATCTTTAACACTTGCAAGAATCTTTTATCGTTTTTCTCCATTGCTGTTTGACGCGGAATGCAGTTGTGTGCGCTTCGTACCGTGCCAGGCACAAGAGCGTTCTCGATATGAGCCCGAAATGCAGCTTTTCAAAGTGCCGGAATCAGACTGCGATGTTAATCAAACAAACGCCAATGGGGCTTAGCGGCTCGCGGTGATTCGTCGATGGAGCCCTCAGTGGCTTTTCAGTATACTCGTACACATACACGTACACGCACCTTCACCACTGCGACGCGCCTCATCCGCGTCTTTGATCATCCGTATCATAATACTGCTTTTATTCCATAGTCTTACAATTTGGCCTCGACTCTCTCTCTGATATTTTTATACGTCTATTTATTGATGGCAAGGCGAAAATCTGCGCCATTGGATTCGAGCGCTTGTCTGTTGGCGCGGATTACCTGATTCTAAGCGCTATGACTTCGTACAGTGCATAGAAATTCAATGCGAGGGGGCTTCATTGCTGCACAGTGTCAAAGTATCTCGCAATCCTTCTCTCACATTCCCATAACTTGCTTGATCTGATGCTTACTTATACGCGCTCAGGATACCTTTGGCATAACGGTGCCTCCTTTACCCTTCTTGATCGGTCGAGGCACGCGTGTCTTCAACGGAGCACGGCTATGCACGACAGTGGCCTTTGAGACAAGTCATACATATCCGAAGCTAGCTGCGAAGCGCATAATCTCGTCACAAATGGCATTGTGACTGATACCAGGATCCGTTGGCTCTTGCTTGACACGAATCTTGCTTCTTGATCGCCAACTGGGCCGCTCTGTGGGCTGCTGTATAAGCTTCTACTGGCCACAAGATATGTACCGTGCTATCGTTTACGGTCCACGGCACTTTTTGGGCTAGATTCGCGATGACAAGCATCTCAACGGCGACCCTACCAGCGCCGTGGATCAAGTGGGCTGGGCATGCTAGCATCGACGGCATCTAGCTGCGGCTAGATTACGCGCAGTTGGCGCAGGAACCCTAATTTGACCTCGTTGGGCCCCAGGGGAGTGAGGAGTGAGCTTTTTGCCACGATGCGATGCGATACCGAGGTTGAGCGGTGAGGGCGTCAGGGGTTCGGCCATGTGGTGTCCTTGTCTTGGACAGTCCGGTTGGACATGCATGGAACGGAGATATTTCGTGCTTGTTGGTGCTTGGCCATTGAACCTGATCAAGTACAGACTCAATATCCGAGAGCCGGCGATTTCCGGAGCACTCTGAGGAGCTCGTCTAGGGGTTAAAACGATTCCCTATTCCTCATGTGATTACTGAGGAAATCGCTATATATATATATATTGGTTGGATATTGCCTTCCATTAGAATCGCTGTCACATCTTTTTGATCGAGGCCTACCTACAGGTACCTAGGTTAGGCACTTGATTAATGAAACCTGTATAACTTATACCAACTAGGTATGCAAGTGCCTGCAACTGTGAGCATGAGGGTTTGTATATGTGGCATATGGAATTAAGTTCTACCGCTATCCGAAATGACAGCTCACATCTTTCCCGCCAGCAGAGAGCGGAATAGTGGTTTACACATCTGTGTAAACAGCCATCGTAGAGCGAGACTTTGTATTAATTTTACCCCTCCACACTTAGCCGTAGATAAACGGTGAGAGTGACACATTATTGTAATCCACTTTGCAAAGATTCTCCCTTGATAGCACGCTCCAGATGGAGATAACGGCAGAAGAGGAAACGGGCACTGGAGACGAACATAATAGGAGCGTACCTAGGTACATACATGTAAGCACAGGGTTCTTGACTAGGCGCTTAGTCAGTATAAGGTATTATGGGTTAATGCCTGCCTAGGTACATGTACCTGACCTGCGAGTACATGCACGCTGGCACCCGTAGGTTTTTGAAGGCACACAGGAGACAAGTATACATGTACCTAGGTAGGTATCAAGGGTTCATAAATGAGGTGATCTAGATGATACACAGTGAATAGATGACCCTCACTGATTGTCAGCATATTTTCGAGTCTGTATTTTCTGCGTAACTCGGAAGTGCTCGGCGTGCTTGGTGTGTACCTATTCTGTCCTCCTTCTCGCGAAGTTCGCGCCCCCTGAGAGACTGCATGTTGCTTTGACATGGATGGTGTACGTGAGCGCGGCGATGCTTGGATCACTCATATTACCATCTAGCTCAAATACAGTCAACCCAGAATTGATGGAATTGGGAGTATATTGGCGCTGGCCAATGTTAGGCCAGTGTTCGGCCAAGGCGATGCATTAGCGCACACATTTAGCGCAAGCTTCAATCGTTCGTAACAGCGACTTTGCATAAGCAATAAGCTAAAGCCTTCAATGGTAACAATTACGCCGTTGTCTGACATGCAAGTCATTGCTTTACGGATTACATGTATGGTCGAAATGTTATAAAGAGCGATAGAAGGGAGGTTATCCGATGGCATCAACAGACAGGCCACAGGCCAACTCGTTACACTCTTTATAACAACGCTCTTTTCAGCTATTGCTGCTTTATAGTCTATAGCCCTTCCTTTCCTTAAGCCTTCAAAATGTCAGCATCCATTACTCTCTATTTGACTGGAAACGATGTAGCTTGCCTTTTTGCCCAGGGGTCTGTTACTTTATTCTCGCGTCGTTGGGGAGCTGTTGGCATACGCTTGCCCCCGAGTGTTGTTACTATCTGTTCCAATAATCAAAGGGCCCAGGCTATTAGTACCTGTTTGGTTCAGGGAGATGAAACTACCACCTGGGCTCTGATCCAGCAAATGTTCGTAGACTTTGTCCCAATAGGATCCATCCAGCCTCTCTTTCGCTAATATCTGCCTAGACCCGGACCACGTCCCTAAGCATAACTCCTTAGAACACAACGGAAAATGCGACTTCAGTCCAGGTGAATCTGATGAATGAAGTCCAGGTAACTAGCCGGTTAGTTTGTGTAGAAAAAACGGGTGCGGTAACATATAGAAAGGGGGTAAAAATCACATTAAGAAAAGTGTGAGATTATTAGAGAACTCCATTTAAGCGCGGGTGGGTGAGAAATAATGCGAATACGTCGGGAAAAGCAGTATATTTTAGGGGAGACGCCAACGCTATCGCGTACCTTGTATAACAAATGGGTCTGGTGTTAAACCTTTTGATCCGATTGCTTGCACATATGTCAGGTTGTACTAAAACTCTGGATTACTAGATCCATTTAGCGTTAAGAAGTAAGCAAGGGACGGTCTCTGGCATTTATATACTTGCGAACCTTCAAAGATTTCATGTTTAATGTCATGGGCTCCGTTCTTCAATACTTATGCTGTTTCAGAGTACTAGCAGGGCCACTTTACGGGAATCAACCAACAAGAAGCAGCAGTAAGGCGGCAGTCTCATTGCTTCAATGTTTACTGCCAATTACAGCTTGGCGAAGATCAAGGACTAAGGACCACGAAAGGACAACTGGAAACCCGACGCTGCAAAGCACAGCGTTACCTACAGGTACCATGTATGTAGTGGAATGGCGGGGTATTGGCGGGGTATTGGCGGGGTAGAGGTACGTAGACAGGATTGAGAGAAGAGAGCGCAGTTAACACCTCAGGCCCGTGGGACCACCTGTTATACGTTGCTTCTCTTGCGGTCGCATATACAATAGGTGCGTGTGACTAAAAGCAATATAACAAGCTAGGGGCCTCTCGGTCTTATTCTTTTGTTAAACCCAACATTTCCGGTACCTTTTTTTGCTAATTATGTCATGCTACTCGTTTCCAGTAACAAGTGGGCAACTTTGACGTACGACTATGGTCCTTTGCGTGTCATACGTGTGTGTTGACTGAAATTGAACATGGGCAGTAGAAGCTAGCGGAAGGGCAGATGGCGAGTCTCCACCGACTTTTGTCAACCCATTCCATGGCAATAGGAGGGTTTAGAAGAACACGAGGGGGGCAGAGAGAAGGTCATGGAATCGAAAAGTCTCCAGAAGAAACTGGCAAACCAACAACCAGCAGAATTCCACCAATGGGAATCTATTCCGTACCTGCTCCAGGTTCAACACGAGCACGCATGGATTCGCGTTGTTATGTTATGTGGTACTCCGTAGAGGAGCAATGTTGATGGAGAGCATGTACTGAACTAAGGAATTAAGTTTATGCATGGACTAGCGCGAAAACACCGCCCATGCTTCACCGGGCAGCTGCATGGCATTGTTTTTTCAGATGTTCTCCGGCTTGTTGGACTTATAGTGACAAACCATGAAAACGCCGTAACAAGCGATCTCCTACCATAAAGAGGAATTCGAGGCTTATTCTACCTGGAGCTGTTTCTGTACATGTACTCACGCCGCTCAAGGGAACCAATCTCGTCATCACTGCTAGACCCCCGCCGTCTGCTAGTACAAGGACGCTAATGAAGGGTCGAGCCTACTGCAAGGGATTTGCCCTCCTGACGTTCAAGATATAACAAAACTCCAAACAGTTATGAACTTTCTAACGCGTGATTTCTAAAGTAACAGCTTGGTTATCTGCTCTTCACTCTTAAGTAATGCGGTATAAGCTCGCCCGGCTATAGGCCTATATAAAGACTAGAACGGTCCATCGAAAGATGAAGATATCCAGCAATTCCAAGATAAGTATTACTACCTAGTAACTATCAATTTTAGGTCATACTTTGAAACAATCACACATCTTCTCTTCAACTTTTTTTAAACAACCTTCCAAAAAAAAAAAATGTCTTTTCCGGGAGGAACAATTACCTTTGCTAAAGCTGAGGTCAAAATTTCCTTTCGAAACCTTATAATTCATGACCCCCTTGGGGAAGCATATAGATACTTTCCCAACTATGAGGAAATACATGTATTCAATCTGGATGAGTAAGTAGCTTGACATAATCTTTGAGTTTATATGGGATACTTTCTTTAACATATTACAAGATCCGAGGTGCACTACATAGAGCTTCTAGACTCTATGCATTGGATATTGAATATTACTCAACTCATGTGGGCACATTTGGAAAGCCAAGCAGCAGAACAGTATGCTGCAGAGATTTTTAACGACTTTGATTAGCCCCCGCAGGTCAGATGGATGTATTTATCTATGGCTTTGCCGCATATTAATGTTGCTTTTTTATGTATTGATATGTATAATTTGCTGGTCAAAAGAGGATAAAGAGTCGGGGTGCTGTTTTTTGGAACCTAGATTGCGCGATTCCTGCTCCAAAGCGCTGAGTTGGCTGACGCACCGAATTCTCGCTTAAACCGGCTAGATAAATATATAACACTCCCATCTTTTCTTTTGTTATCTGAGAATGGCGTGGATATCGCCAGCGATCCCTTACATTAGTGTCTGATTTAACTAGATGTAGGATGCCGGAGGTATATACTCGAGGTAATATATGTTAGATTTCCCAAGGCAACAAGCAAAGTTGTAATCCGAATGGTGGGGAGGTAGAGTACAGACCCTGCAGCTTCGCCAGCTGCTTTCTCTCTACACACTTGACGTATAATGTACTGTCGCATGTGAAATGCTCATGGATATGGTGTGTGTGGATAGATGCGAAGATGCATTAGCAGAGTTGCGAGAGATTTAGGATTTGTACAGAGCACTCATTGAACGCAAAGGTTCAATTTCAGCATCCTGCAAAAGGGAGCGAAATTTTGGAGGGTGGGGGAGGCTGGAAACCTTGGAAAAAAGTACCTGTAAACTGATCTGTAGGGCCAGTCGGTGTTATGTCAAGGGAGAAGAAAAAACGCCCAGTTCGAGTCAGCTGCAATGATTGATAGTGGTATTCCTGACAAGGAGTCCCAAAAAAATTATGTCATTCTGGCCCCCCCGCTGCTTGCTTGCTTCTGCGGCTCCTAATCTCATGTGACATGGGCTAAGAGGTATGTGTTATCCCTCACGAAATAAGGTGAACTTACACGACCAACAGCATAATACTAGGGCCGGACGCCTCAGCGGAAAAGCCGTAGGAAGAAGCAAGCCTTTGCAAGTCAGCACTTGTAGGTTATAACAAGAGAGGCTGAGATAGGTGGTGATATCGAAAGTGGAGAAAGAAACATAAAATATTGTAGCACAATGGAAACGCCGAGAACGTGTTTCTTTTGCAACATGGCTGCTATTGCCACTGCTTCTCAGCACATTTGGGTTCACTAGGTCATTTTGACTGGCCGCCCGATGCTCAATAATAAATGTGTCATAACGAAGCAGGCGATGAATCGAGCTAAATTTGATTCGTTAAGATTAAAAGGGTGGCAAACATCTGCCCTCCAATGTTTTCCCATTTCTCTAGGCAGCTCTCCAACCCAAAGGGTTACGCAGCAATTTCCCGTATCCTAGTGAAGCACTTGTTTGCATTTATTTAACATTTTTGGGGTTCCTAATTACGTATTGTATATTGAAGCATTAACAGAAGATCGGATAGATAGACATGCATGGTATCTTGGTCAAGTGAATGAATCGTGGCGCAATTGATCTATATGTACTCCGCCCACGGGGCACTGGCATACACCCGATGCCGTCAATAACCAAGAGCCGACGAGGCAGATAAGTAAGGCAGCAACAAAACAGGCATTCATGGTACAAAACAGAGGCAGCAAAAAGCGCATCATGTCAGCGCTACCACGCTTCAATTTTTCCAACCTGAGTAGTGCCTACACAATCAAGAACATGGGCAGTGCAAGTGCGAGAGCAGATAGCGACTGTCGGACTTTTACTTATTTGTATTTTTCTGTCTAGCTCAGCATTATTGAGTAAACAATTATCCTCCGGTCTATAGTTAATGGATCCACCGGCATACGAGACATGCTGTCATTGTTATACCTCTCATCTCCGATCAGGGCGGCCGCAGCCCCTTCGTGCATATACTTGACACTCCCCAGTTCAACAACATTAGCCAGCACACTGTCAAATGGATTGAAGAATTCGAGATAAAATCATGGTGTTATCCCCCCTAGTCATCTTCTCTAAGATTCATTTAGGTAGGTTGTGGGCAAAATTGGAACGGTGCTTCTACAGAGTATAACACCTTTCAGCATAAACGGCCATTGACAAACAGACGCTATCATTTCCACCACATCTTTCATAGCAAGCGCCACAAAATGTTCGTATTCGGATTATTTCCCGTATCACAGAGTCTGCCTTAATTCTTTGCTGGTGGTCCGCGGACTTCCCTCCGCACCTAGTACCCCTTCCTTATCCTTCTTGTCTGATGACACACACTCCCCACTTCCGTATGCTATGCTCCCAGTTGTTATTCCCTTATTTTTATTGAGATCCTGTAAACAGAGAATCACTCTCCTCAGTCACAGCGTCCCATTATGTCTGTTTCGATAGCAGGCGCGAATTAATTCTATCCTGGTAGGGACGTGGCATGGCTTCATGAGGGCATTAAGGAATGCCGAGCAGTGTGCAGAGCAGCATTTTTTGCCGTAACACGGATACAGAGTATTTGCAGTATTTCTTCCTTCGACTGTGCGTCAGGGGCCCCTTGATTAAGATAAGCTCATTTTGCGGCTGAAAAGAAAGCATAATCAAGGGGGTCGGAGTTAAAATCGCGGCCCCGGGAATGGCTGCCGGTTTGCATATGGCGACAGAGATGGCCATATCTACAACGCGGGACTCGCTTGTTACAAGCAGTCGAGGCATTGGTGACCAGCCCAAATCGGACCGGGGCCTATATGCAAAAAATGACCGTTCTAAAAAATGACAGGAGATGCCCTCATCACCATCGGGATTTTCCATAATCAAATATCCGATCTCCGGATAAGTACGTACATGTAGCATTTACTAGGCCAACCCTCATGCAGTGCTTCGCCCGCGGTACCAGGTAGTCTCTATCATCATTATATGTTGATAATTGAAAGGTATCAATCACACCCGTATCCATTCCCAACTTGGACTAAAACACCGCCTTCGGCCCCTCCGCCCCCAGTCCCGAATAGGAGTGCTCGGTTGAGACAACAAAGCTAATGCGCATCGTTTGTACGAATTACTGTACAAATGCTTCTTCGAAAAAGATGACTAGGACTGCTAGTTCAACGGGAGGAAAGGGTTCTGGCGGGCAATCTACTGTAGTTGCCGCTTCCCCAACGAACGGGGCGAGTTGAGAAGGGTGGAGTTCAAGCCTTGTGTTACTTCTTTAGTTCGCGACCCGTAAGCGACGCCTGACAATGCTTCGATAGTCTGCGGAGATCCACAATCTAGCCCCCCTTGCTGCTGCGAGGCTCACTCGATTAGCGGAGCCTCGCTAGTAGAATCGGGATTTGTTTGGTATTCTGCTAGGATATCATCCATCTTAAGGTGCTTAGAGGCGTAGCGCCGATTCAAGCTGGTACAGGTACACACACGAGCGAGTAGCAAACCCATACTCCGTAGATAGACGCTCAGGAGTAACTGCTACCAGAATGTGAAACGCCAAGTCCTCCAAAGTACGGATACCCCTGCATGTGCTCTGTAAGGAAAGATCCTTAACGTACCAAGCGGCGTTGTTACAAGCGCCCCGACCAGCCTATTTCGGTACCGTCAGAGCCAAAAGTCAGTATCAGCTCGTCTTGGTTTCCGCAACTGGCTGTATATGGTCCAGCCCGCTGTACATCAGCTACTCATATGATTTGATCAAATTCAGGATAGCCCGTGTCATCTGACAACTGCGCATCCATAAACAGGGCAACATTGCATCTCCCATTCAGAGTGATCCACCTCGTCTAGGCTGTACATGTACTCGTGATTGAGTGGCTAGGAGGATAATCAAGCTAAGAAGCGGTAAGAATTGGACGGAGATTAAGCACCAAAGCCGCCGAAGGATCTCAATGGCTTACTCGGTAGTCAACTACCCATACCTGTGTTATTTCCTGGTACTCGTACCTGCAGGCCTCCCTGCTCAGCCTGAATTTTAAGTCCAAAGCCTGGCCACGTGGCAATAGTCGGGGATGCTTGCTGGCCCACTGACGACCGAAACTTGGGCCGGCACGTCACCTGTAGAGCAGCCACCATGCCGTTGACCATTTATAGATGCACGCTATTCATTTGTAAGTAACTATTGTCTTGGGTGCTGCGCAACGTTGTGAAAACAAAAAGGTAATTGCACATGCTTAACTGGGAAAATGGTAGGCTGGTATATCCTAATCTTGATTTAGTCTAATACTTCTAGGACAGTCCGACGGCAAACGGGGCATATTAATGATACTTTTGAGAAAGTATTTTTGTAGATGTACGCGCAAACATGCCTGAGATAAACACCTATCTACAGGTCTAAGCGAGGCTTTTTCGACAATCCACTGAAGTAACGGAGTCCGCCCTCTGTAGCGTTTGCAATTATAACCCTGATCCAACATTAATAGGCGACATGCGTGTATTGTCTTTGGATACCACGATACACTCAACTGCCACACGCTTTAGTATTGGGAGACGTGTCGCGTGGCGCAATAAGAACGAATCATACAAATAATCCTCAGCTGCTGGGAGGCGCTCGTAGGTATCCCTCGTATGCTAGGGGGTGAACGCGTAATCTCTTCTGCCTCTCTCATGCCGCGTCTGTTACATTGTTTAGGGGAGCCCAGTAATGCGGGCTACGTGGCTTGGGTAAGAACGCCAACAAGTTTCCATAAATTGACAGGGCTGCCGGTTCGGTGTGAGTGGGTGTATGCGGGAACCGGCAGTCTCTTCTTAAAGGGGGTATTATAGGAACTTTCCGAAGCAGAGAGCCTTACGAAGGCCGACGAGCCCGGCGAAGCGAGTCGGCTGCAAATTTGAAAAGTCGACTGATGAACTCGTGACACTTTGGTGCCACACCAAATGAGTTTCCCCTGGGCGGTATCCCATGACTGTCTGAGGTGAATTGGCCCCCTTATTGAGGGTATGAATGGCACCCTGCTCCTTTTTTATGGCGAACCTGGATCCTTTTCCCCTATTCTTTGGCATTGAAATTGTTATGTTGAATTCTCAGAGAAACGGCTAGGAGCCAGTGGCTTCCCGTATGGTCTGGATGCCGAGTCGGTTGCCTAGACCCGCGTGTTCCGGACCGTATTTGTGCTAGGGCTCATGTTTAAGGGAGAAGGGCAAACGATGGCTGACTGAGATATCCACAAAACCCGCAATCCTGATGATCGAGACAAGGGAATCTAGAGTCTCTCGATAAAGCTGATCGTAGATTGCTTTCAAGATGACATTCCGCGCGGTTCCAATTGGACATCCACGGCAGTCACTTAGCCGGCCAAGGCTGATTTGGTCAGAATTCAGTGTGAGGCGACCAAGGTCGCCAAATCGGCCTGGTGGAGCCTAGGGTGAAAAAAAAATATATGCGGTTTTTCTTTCTCTTGTTCATTTTGTTTTGTTTTCTTCCTTTTGAGAGCCTCCTTGGCCCAAGAAATTAACATAAATCATTACGTGGGGCCATCATCACCGGCTTCAATCGTAGCCTCATCCCAATCATCAGCAAGTCGATCAACTGTGAAATCTACTCCGTACCAAGGATTGGAAAATGCTATGCGGACGCAGAAAAGCGGAGCTCCCAGCCCCTGTTTTCGGACAAGGGTTCCTGGTGCCTTGCTAGGATTATTCTCCCGGCTTGTGGATTCCGGTGCGGCCAAACTGAGCGGGTATGGATCCTCAAATGTTGTTTTGAACGATTTGCTAATGACTCTACACACATGTGCGTGAATATATACTCCATAATGTACCACGTGCACGAGGCTAGCTAAACTAATGCAAGGCTGGATTAAGTACCAAGATTACATGTATCATGTCAGTTGTCTTACCAACAACGTCCAAAGACTTTATGTCCGACTATAGCAGCTACATGTACGGAGTAGGGACAGGTAACTCGCTTCGCGGCATTAGCCCTTATAAGATTAGTAGATACCTACTAGTGCCTGTATTAGGCATAGATAAGTTAAATCATAAGGAGAAAAGAAAGCTAAGAGGCTCTATCCGACATCAGGAAACTACCCGGCGTCTTGATACTGCACAATCACATAGGGATTATACGGTGAAGGGCTTACATCCCCTTCCTGTTACTGAGGAAGCTACACAACTTTTCAGGTTCTTCGACGTTTATCCCCTCAAAGAACGAATAACAGCACACTGAGGCAATGTGAGGCGGCGACGACCCAGTTGGCAAACTGGGCGGAGAGAAGCAATGCAATGCAGGGATGTATGCATTCATGCTCGGTGATTGGGTGAATCGCTAGATACCTAGTAGTACGCATTAGTGACAGTGAAGATCCGACGAAGAGGATGTACAGACACGGAATTCAGTGCAGTACCGCGATTGACGGGGATTGATGTGGACAGCTGAAAAGAAAGAAAGAAAGAAAAAAGTATAAGAGCGCGAGCAAGGAAGATATCCGGAGGCATCAACAAACTGATCACTGGCGTACAACATGTCATACATCACTCTCCATTTGAATGAGAGCGATACGACTCGTCTTTTCACTCATGGCTCCATAACGATAACCTTGCCCTTGGATGCGCCGATTATTTGCCCCGCCCAGGGAGAAGTTGCTGTTTGTTCGATACAGCTAACAGAAACTCGCGATAATATAGTCTGTCTTTTGAACCAAAACCTGTCAGTAGTCTCTGTCTCAATGAGATCCATCCAAGACCACTTTCACTGATATATATCATTTAGTAGGTCTAGACCGCGCGCCCAAACCTGCGAAAGCCCTCCAAACACGACCGAGAATACAGCCTCAGTGCACATCGTTCCTATGGATTGGGCTCGCACAACTGGTCAATCAATTGACCACTTTCTCCAGCAACACCTGGATTCGTTGCTCTCATCTACTCAAAAAGATTAAAGAGTATGCAGCCGGCCTACAACATATAAGATACTACCACTAGATTGACAGCTTCTCCCTTATGCAGACTGGTTCATCATAAGCAGACGAGTAAAGATACATGGCCAGGATCAGATAAAAAAAACAAGCACAAGATATATGGAAAATCATGGGCATAGAGACTGGAGAATGATATGAACGCCTCGCCCCTAATGTATCATATAGGGGAAAAAAATTCAGAATTACGCCCACCATCCATTACTTGGCTGGAATGTCCTTATGCCGCTATAACACTATACCCAGTTACCTTAATATTAATGTTCATAGCCATGATCAATAATAAATAAACTCAATTTTGCCCATGTATTTACGGCGGGCTATTTATTATTATTATTATTATTATTATTATTATTATTATTATTATTATTATTATTACCGAAGAAAGATTTCATATGAACCAATTTCGATAAAAGACTCGACTATTATTTCGTAATACTGTCCACAAAATGTCTGCCTCCAAATAAATTTACGAATAAAACGTATGAGAGGGCAACATGAAGCAGTCGGAAGAAACTGAGAGAGATAGTGGCGTCTCTCAAATTACTTCCTATGTGCGAAACTGGGGCTTCGTATTCATTGTGAGTCCGTATCTTCTCCAATTTGTACCTCTATTTTCTTTCATGGATCGTATCGAAGGCTTGGCCGTAACTCCGAGTTAGATTGACCAGGGGGAGGGGGGGCTAGAGAACCGGCCATCGTCCATTCAGACACAGGCGCGTCAGTGATGGGAACTGGCACACTTTTTTTTTTTTTTTTTTCGGAGGAAGGGAACACCGCTAGAGATACCCTGCGACGATGAACTTCAGCGAAAGGCAGAATTATTATATTGATGTCGTTGCAGCTAATAGATGATATTGGTAGAGGTAGTAAGCGATATGCGATCTGGAGAGCGGCGGTAAGAAAGATTCGAAACTGTAATGCACACATCGACGCACATGTACGTTGGTGGGAATCTCAACATGCTAGAGACCAATTTCATGCATGATGTTTCGGCAAGATATATAACCACAACGTTCGAGGCGGAGAGCTAAAACGTGGCTGCCCAACGCCTGAGAAGAATTTTTCTTGGTCGAACAGTGAAAAACGTCCCGTTTAAGACCGTATGGCTGGAAGCATCCTTCTAACACAGCTTTGGCGGTCGAGTGTATCAGTTTAATTGCACGTGTTTGCAGCCATAAGTCTGGGGTGGTTCGTACCTTTTGAGCATTTGCGATTTCGAGATGGCACGTTGAAGGCGACCGAGACTTCCGCAATGGCACAGTCACCGGCGCGGCACTTCAGTCGAATGGAGGCAGAAGCTGGAGACATAATATCATTGAATAAGTCTTCTGAAAAGCCCATGTTTCGGAGAGCGTCCATCCAGTTATTGCCGTCACCTTCGGCATCTTGTGTTTGCGCTTTCACGCAAGTTGATCAATTGTTATGTTCAAGCCATGCTCATCACGCTATATTAAGCAATGTGATTCTTTCGTACGGCTCTCCCCCTTAACTGCACGATTTCTGCGCTCAGCATGCCATAGCCCTGTTATCAGCCCAAGTCTCAGGTGGACGTATGTCATCTCTCACAACCAAGGTGAAATTTTTATGACCAACAGCCCACCATCTCTGGTTTGGAAAACGCCTTGGCGGAGAAGCCGTGGGAGGAAATATTCTGTCGAGGCTGCAGAGGGTGACATCGTAAGTGGGGAATGACCAGAGACCTGCAGTATCATGTTGGAAGTCAGAGAGAATCTTTTCTTGTACTCCAAATACGGGCCTTGATTGGCAGGTATTGAAATGACAGGACCAAGCGTGCATATATTGCTGCTGCTTCTAAACAAATGTAGGTGTACTAGGCCATTTACAGCCCCCTCAAGGCTCAATATTGGAGCGTGCCGTATCGGGGCGGGCGCTGTATTGAGTTTTTCTGAATTTGTTGGGGTCAAAAGATTATGTCCCGCTTCGAGTTGTCTCCCGTTTCTGCCTGGGCACTGCACAGCCCAGTGTGCCAGGATTGCACGATGTCAGTAGATGGATATTGCGAAAGCTCGGATGTGTTTTGTATATCGTGAGAAACTGGAAAGAAGTGCCATTTTCGCGGCGCAATTATGTACGTCCCTATACATGTCTTCAGCCTAAGTATACATATATGCCATTGACGCCATCGAGTCTATCGAAGCAGACGATAAATCAGCAAAAGTGCTGCTAAAACGAGATGTTGCGGAATCGAACGTGCTGCGAAAAGATTTCACGAAAAATGTCACAATCTTACTCTCACCGAGCCCAAAAGCCCCAAATTCCTGAGTTGCAATGCTTCGATATTTTACGGGCCTTATGGGCGAGGCCCATAAATCCCGTAAAATTTCCCAGCTCATCCAACTTTATGTCTTCTCACATCACTAATGCATCAAATATGTAGCTGCTAATATCTGGCTTGCGACGATGATGCCGCCGTTTACGAGCAGCCAAAGCATTCGGAGACTAGACTGGACCCGTTTGCAAGAATGGAAAATACGAAAAGTGGCAGAAGATCTTCCCGCTGTCAAATTCTTCCTTTTTTACTTCCTCCCCCTTTTTCTGTGTCCGGTATCTCCCAGTGCGCCTGATAGACAGCATGGCACTATTGTGCAATCCTTGATTTTAATGTTCACTAATAGTGAATAGTAGTCTGTGCCCGTAGAGCGAGATTATGCTTGCATAAATTAAAATTATATAAAACAATCCCTCTCGACATCTCTTGCTAGTAATTTCCTGCATTTGCCGTCTCTTCACAGCTCTACTCTTGTCCTTCTTTCGCTAAGTCCCGTTCATACGTTTTGCGGAAGCTTGTCTACTTGGCCTTAGTCCCTCGGAATGCTAGACAACGCAAATTGTCATCAAGTGGACCACCTTTTAGTCGCCTTGATTGATGAAATACTATGTTATCTGGAAGAAATGACTCGGTTTGTGGACCCATTCAGTGTTACTCTACCCCTCCGACGTACTAGGTAATATTAACAAACATACATCCAGACTGTTACAGGAACTTCTACAACGCGTTGCTGATACATCCCACCCGACACATATAAGGCACGGGCGATGGGATTCTGATGAGGGAGACGTGAAAGGTGATCCTATGGAGCTTGATTGCACAACACCAAGGCGAAGCTGAACTTGCTTCGGCGACGAGATATCGAAGCTCAAGTTTCCGTTTATATCGCACAATCTTCTAATATTCCCCTTCCAGCGCAGTACTTGCAAGATAACTGCTGTACACTGATAGTCTATTTTAATTACAATGGGTATCTTCTTCCTCCAACCAAGCATTTGTTTATTTGTGGAGTCGTAATAAACACACTCTGGATCAATAGTGCCTTCTCGGACCACTAATCTCTGCCGTAGCATGGTAACTCCCGAATACCAAGGCAATGTCCAGGATCACAATGCCGGTCTCCATATAAGCATCTGTAGGGTCCGTACCCAGATCAACTCCCCAAAAAGCTCACCCATTAGTTTATATTGCCGTTCATGTAATTATCATTGCGTATCTGCGCCTCCGCTCGTTCATAATCAGCTTAAATGAGGATAAAGTACCTACTACGCATGTAGAACGAATTCCCAACTACATTGATTTAGGACGGGCAGCTACCGCTCCTATTGAAGATATCAAAATGAAAATGCGCTCATATGCGCCAAGTAAATACACTTCTATGATGAGGGCTGGCTCGAGTAGTTCGAGTAGGCCTGCTCAGCGTGCGGCCCAGTGGTGCTCGAAACGGCAAGCCTAGCAATTTGGTTTCCACGGTGACAGTCTTTATCAACCCTGAAATCATGCTTGTATTCCGCACTCCACGTTCAGAAGACGGACTTGGGCAACGCAGCGTTTCTGGCCACATGCAGGCCAACGGCAGAGAGTGGCCTCAAACCTCAGAATGGAGGGGGGCGTGTGTTTATTGTTGGGGACGATCCCAGCGTTGCGCGCTTTACTGAATCAGTATCTGTAGCTGGACGCCTTCCTTGAATTGGTTCGCGGCTCATAGCCTACTTCGCAGAGCCTCATATCCTAACACTCCTAGTATTACATAAGTCCGATGGATGAGTTGAGCTGGGATTAATTTGACATTAAGGGATGCTTACGAAATGGTGTGCTGACTACGATGTGCATGCGAATTACATGAGTCTGGAGTAATGGCCTAGGATTAGCACCAGAATATGAAACGCCAACTTTCTGAGACACTCCACACAATGGGATTCTGAAGACCAAATTGTCAATATCATTGCGTTCAGCTCATCGTGGCCTTCGCCGCTAGATGGTACCCTTTTCAGCTGGTTTGATTCAGCGGTGATTTTTGGTAGCAAGCTGACGGCAACCGTAGCATCGAAGATTGTTTAGAGCGAGTGTATTCTGGCCATTCACACGAGTTGGGTATATTGCATGTCTAAAGAAGAAATACAGGAACCAAACTGTTAAATGATTGTCTCATCTGCCTTGTTCATGTACTCGTTCGAGTATGGAATAGTCTTGAGACTGGAGGTGGAGAACCAAGCGCCAAAGCCTCGTTTGGGTCTGAGCGGTTCCTTTCCGTCTTCTTGTACTCCGTAGGCCTCTCGGCATCCAAAGTCAGCCCAGCGATTGGGCACGTGGATACATTTAGGGGCTGGGTCTGAGCAGCCCGCATATGACCAATCCATGTATGCCCCATCGCTGAATGAAATCATGCCATTCCTTTTTTATCATAGATACGGCCGGTTCATCCACTGTCAGAAGTTTCGGCTTATCAGTCTTGAGCTCGTATGGGGCTGGGAGGAAAGATTGACTAGCCCGAGAATGTAATATACCTGTAGTTTGGCACGGTTGCGGAGTGCCTGGCAGGGTGCGATAGCCAATATACTAATATTAATTAAGTAGTATCTGGGGCAGTCCGACGGCATACGCGATCGCGACGGCACGCGCCGTGTTTGTTATCTTTCCCGGAAGTTTAGTAGGCATACGCGCAATTACGACCAGCATAACAGGTATCTGTTCGCAAGGCCAACCGTCTATTATACAATTGATGTCCAGAGTATTAGATCTAATTATCTTTAGCGTTCGAGATAATAATGTAGATTTGATGGTGACGGGCACAACAAACACATTGGCCTTGGATGCCAGTATACAGATAGCTCCACGCGCTTTGGTATAGAAGACATGTGGCGTGGTGCCATACAAACGAACCATACGAGTAGCTCTCAACGGTTACTGGTATGTCTCCTCAGTATTCTAAAGTTATGAAAGGGGCAAACGCGTAATCTCTGCTGCCTTCCTCATACCGCGTCTGTGATCTTAGGTGAGTTACACGTTCCACGGTTTTGTTGACAAGACTGCCAATCAAGTGTGTGTGGGCTTTTTTTTTTTTTTTTTTTTTTTTTTCGAAGGCGGAATTGGGGCCATGTTCCGCAGGGGGAAATATTGCGGAACAGCTGTGAGTTTTCTAACAGAGGGTGCCGCAAGCCTTGAGCCAGGAGGAGCAGCTTCTTGTGTGGTAGGTGTGGAGAATAACATACGTCGTCAGTGACCCCAGTGTGGAATAACTTGGTCCCTGTTCAACGGTGCGAAGGGGGACCAGCTCCGTTGTTGAAACCATGCTCCCTTCTTCCCCCTTTTCTTTTGGCCGGGCTAGGACATTCAAACAGTTGAGCTGAAGCACAGAGAAATTACAGCTTCATCCCCGCTATGACTGAAGTGGTGGCCTGGACCCATGTAGCAGCAAATGCCTGACAGCTGAGTTCCAAATTATTAGGTAGCATCCAGTTCAGGAAAACGGGAGAACAACGAATGACTGGGCGGCCCAGAAAAATCCGCAAATACAGGCATCAAAAGCAGGCGAAACTCGAGACTAAATCAGCCCTTTCTATTAGGACCGTAATAGATTGGGTTCAATAAGGCGCTCAGCATAAGTTCTATTGGACATTCACGCCGTACAGTAGGGTGATCCAAGGCAGATTTGAGACTGACCGATTTGGGAAACCGGGAAACCAGACATTACCTCTCAATGCGGCCTCCAAGGCCTCAAAGATGGCCTGGTGGATCCCAGTGGGGGTAGGAAGAGCACGCTTTCTTCTCCCTTCCTCTCCTTTATTTTATTTTTATTTTATTTTTCTTCCTTCCTCTTTTTATTCTTTTTCGCCTTTTAATCATCCAGTTCGTGCAATGCCGTCACGGGAAGTCCGTCCCGGCCCTCTACCGGCCCCCTCGGAGCCGAGTGCCCACTTACTGTAAAGAGAAAGGGTGTTGTAAAAGCGGAAACCACTGGCAGTCTGTTGCTAGGATCATGGGGTGACGTGTTGGCTGAGTGTCGCTGGGGACGGAGGGCTTCTGATGAAGGTGGCCTTTGCTGCGCTGCATTCATCGTTTGATTCTTCCTCGAGTGACATGTATGAGAATGTATCAGGTACGTGCAAGGGTATAAAAGTTAGCGCAGGTGAATGTCGTGCTGACCAACAGTCGCCAATGTCCGCATTCTACCCTCCTTCTAATGTCCCAAAGATGGTGTACGTGCTGCCGGAACGTTTTGCTGCATCCACCCCCCTGCTTTCTGAAAGTATTAGGTACATGCACTAAGTCCCGCGTCTCTTGACCTGATTAAGCAAATAGCCATCTCTCAAAGCTGATTCGCGTGCAGTGCGGCATCCGCAATGGCCTATCTTTGCCAAAGAGAATCTGATGTCATGGAGTTGCGCAGCGCGTCAGAGGTCACGGTCACATGAGTGACAGGCGGTGTACGTTGAGATATCCGCGCATCTCTTTGAGAGGAGCTCTTTTGCTTAAAATGAGCCGGAATCCGTCGGCGTGCACCTCATGCCACCAAAAGAGTGAAGAAGGGCTCGAGACGGTCCGAGGCGGCAACTATGAGCAAAGGGGCGGTGGGGAGAATCAATGGGAAGCCATCTAATGCACAAAGGTATGCACATATGCCATTAATGGATATGATTGGTAGAGGTTGTCATCTAGCAAGCTTATATGATTGGTAGAGGCTCCCAACTAGCAAGCTTCATTGAGAAAGAAAGAGTTGAAAAGAGGAGAGAATGGAAGCCAAAACGGCGTCGATGGCATCAACGTGGGGACAGCACTTCGGGCATTCAAGCCCCTATCTTTTGATGGACTACATGTAGTATGGTCGGAATTTCCCTCTTGGTTGTTTCCCGTCAACTCGGCTCCCGTGCCAAATTGCATATCCTACGAGCGTTGTGGGATTGATGCACGCCACTAGGTGATATCAGAAATGATCATTTCAATGATCGAAGACGCTTTGTGCCCCTCTATTCTCTTCGAAAACTCCCTTCTCATACCCGGGCAGTCGGTTAAACATCCGTCGTCCGGGCCTCCCCAACCCTGGTTGCCAGGCTGGATGGGGCTGGCGTGCAAGCCTGGGGCTCTGTCCTCGCAACATGGGCCAGCACGCGGGGAGAATAGGCGAGGTTTCTATTATATAAAAGCTCTAATCCTGGATACATTCGATTCAGTGTGTCTAAGATCTTGAAGAACAAATGCTTGCAATCACCTGAGCCCTCCGACTTATACCTCCTTTTTATCTTAGTAATATTTTCATCTGAAGATAAGCAGGCCTGAGTTGCGATCTGGGCAGCAATACTTCAAAATGACGGGCAACGCCAACTACAGCCATGAAATCTACTATTTTGCGATCTATGTACATAGAATTCTGGCTGTTCTATGCTGGTTCGTGGAAACGTTCTGCCTTCAACCGGGTGCTGTTGGTATTGACTTGTGCATTCTAGGCTGTGCCAACAGCTTCAACAACTCACTGCTCACGTCATCCAACGGATGGATGAAGAGCGCGAACGCGGAAACCGAGGTGAAGCGGATATGAAGATTGATCGAGACGACAATGATTTGGACGACGTTGACATGGATGACATTGAAATGGACGACGCCTTTTTTGACTGACTATTGCAAATCCTTGAGTCACGTTTACCAACTACACGATACTCTTACGGCGGATGATCATGTGCAATTGGGTACCAGTTTTGTTGACTTAGAGGAGTAAAGGGGCGTAACTTGGTCAAAGAGGAAAAGAGGGATGAATAAAATAAAGGATACAGAATGATTGGGAAAAAATAAAACCCTGGAGGAGGGAGTCTCATGTTTATTTTTGTCATAGTATTTCGCTGCGTTTATCTTTTGCCGTCACTGTTGAATCTATACAATACCTACCTACCTATCTACCTACCTGTAGTCACATACACCTAGTCAAGAGATATCCAACATCCCAGCGACTACATCAAGTATCGTAATAAACGTAGAGGAAGTCCTTTTTATTTAATGCCACCTTACTTAAGTAAGGACGCAATTCTTTAAGTATTTTCTACCGTCGCTATTTTCTTCTACAATCGCTACTTTCTTCTACAATCGCTACTTTCTTCTACAATCGCTACTTTCTTCTACAATCGCTACTTTCTTCTACAATCGCTACTTTCTTCCACAATCGCTGCTTTCTTCTACTATCGTTACCTACCTAATAGGTAAGTAGATGGTAGATACCTTAAAATTTGGAAACGTACCTATGATGCTAAATAGCCACTCCCTTAGTTAAGATCTCAACAGTCCTTTGCCCTCCCCAACCATTGCGTATGTAATTTCGGTTACATGTACTAGCTACAGAGTACTTCGTTCAGATAGTCAACAGAAGGTGGCCTTTGCCGGGCAAACGAAGCTATGCCGCGGTCGGCTTGCATGATTTTGTCATCTCAGCTCTGAGAACAAGGATGCAATCTGAATTCAATGACTCTCACTCACTTGGCAGGGTGGCTGAAATCATCAAATGACATGTCCATCTCGGTACCCCTACTAGTACGGACAGAGGTTCCAATGCCGAAGCGGGCTCGATTATCGCCGTACGACACCTCTCAGGATGGATGGCCGCATTGTCCACCGTTTTGAGATGGATAATGAACGGCACGCTTTGTTATACACACCCTCGAGAGATAAAGGGGTGTCCATATACAGACATACACGTAGTGACATGCTGCTGCCCAATCCTCTATTATTTTCACCCCCTCGAAATGCAAGGTTCTAGACGCTATTGCTGGGCCCGGTTTTGCGTCCGAACATTGCGGTGAGCAATCAATAAGTCTTCCAGTCCGGCTTTTCTCTCAACCCCTGCCGCTGTCTCTGGCAACAAAACGGTCATTTGAGCCCAAGCTTTCACCGAAAATGAAACGCCAAGTGGCCAGTGAATACGAGCCGCCCTCTTGTTGCCGTTAGCGATGATGAGTTTGGCTTTTCTTCTTGAGAAAACGCGGCTGCACCGGCATCTCCCAAACATAAGCAAGGCTACGGCCCACATGGGATCTGAATCCCGGTTTCAAAGGGCCAGGCCATGGCATGGTACGATGCCAAAACAAAAATAGATGCTACAATTCCATCTCATGAATGCCGAACGGGTGCACAGTCAGCCTGATCTGCTCGTTGCGAGGCCTTGAGTCAGTCACAGGGCCTGAGGCATCAAATCTGGTTCAACCTCGACTGCACTCAGCACATTGCCTTGCCTAGAAGCACATACGCCACGGGCCTTGTCCGCCTTTTTTTATTTTCAGACTTTCATACACGTAAACAATCGAGTCAAAATGCTGTCACAGGTGCTTTTGACGCGTTCACTTTCGTTAACATGGCGAGAACTAGCCTGCTTCCTTGGCTTTGCGCGTTTGCCGCGTTGGCGCTTGTTGACCTCGAGCTACCTACACGCCTACATGCCCACCTACCTATCCAGGCACCGAGTGCTTAGAAATGCAATGCAAGCAGTTTCAATACACGGTGTCGAGTACTGTATTCTCATACTTCTTGTGTCACTTTGCTATTAGGATTCATGCTTATTTGTGCGCGCTCAGGACAGTTTTGGCCAAACGGTGCCTCGTTTGTTCTCCTTGATCGGTCGCAGCCCGCGAATTTTCGACGGAGCAGGTTCCTGACGTTTATGTACGACAGCGACCACATGTACTAAGACCCCAGCTTGGTTCGGAAAGCCGTTACGAAGTGCATAATCTTGTCACAAAAAGACGCTGTGACTGATCCCAGGATCGATCGATTCTCAATTGCACTGTGGTCGCTCTGCTGTAAGCTTATGCTGCCAACGAGACACAACCCTGCCATTCGCGCTTTTAGGCGAGACGTTCCTTTTCCCCGAGCAGATCGCCAACTCCATTCGCGATAATCGCAAAAGATCCAAAACATCGACGCCTCGGGGTGTTGTGGGGATTGAAACACGGGTCTCTTTGCTAGCTTCGGCGAATTGTCAAGCGTCTTTTGGTCCTTGGGCTTGCTAGCGAGCATTGACGGCAGCTAGATGACTCGCAGTAAAGTCTATTTCGACTTCATTTCTGTCAGGGGAGCAGTGCTTTTGCAGCGATGAGATCAAGGCGGTGAAAGCCACGTCACGGGTCGAATCATGTGCTGCCCGTCATGGTTGGGACTTTGCCATGGTTTCTTGTCACAGGTACCTATTTAGGCAGTGCAATTCCAAGCATTATTACTGGGTAAACACGATTGGGGATATATCTTTTTATTTCGGTGACGAATTAGACACAAGTATGTTCATACTCCATACAGGCTCAATCTCCGAGAGTCGGCGACTTGACGAGTGGGCTCTCCAGTCTCACAGGTGTATCAAGAGCTATCCAAAGTTGGCTTACTTGACGACTAAAAGTTTTCATCTCTGCTCATGTGACTTAGGGTAGCCTTTTCGCTGAAATAACCGTCACAAGGTATTGACTCAAACATGCCTGGGGACCGGTGGAAATATAAAACCTCCATGAGTACATATACATGGTGCGTGTAGGTATTCTGCATCGATGGATATGATGTGTACATGTACGGAGTACTTGTCAGTACAATCATCACGACGTGTTATGGAATTAAGTTCTACCGCTGTCCGAAACGACAGGGACTCATCTTTCCAGCCCTGTTCATCCAATGCTCTAGTATCTAGGCTACATACATGTACCCCGCTCACTCGGGATTGAATGCTGACCTGGGAGAGAGAGTCGGCTTCAGCCTTGGTTGTCCTCACTAGATTCTCGTTATTTTGTCATTATATTGTGCAGAACACTCTTATAATTACCCTGTCAGTTGTCTCTTGTTAATCTTTTCAATGATAGTAACTGTGACATTATGAGCTCTGCCCGCGCTATCGAGTCCAACAACATAGGCAATGATGCCCGAATTCACCAAGGAGATGTAATCCACAATTATGCCAATGCCCCTCGCGAACCTTGTGTCCTGATCCCTTTTTTCCGCAATGAGGGCCTTATCCTTCGTCAGGACATTATTAGTGAGCTGGATAGAATCCTGCCGCTATCCGACGACTACTCTACCGCCGCCCTCTATGGACTTGGCGGCTCAGGGTAAGGGATCTAGGGGCTTTTATGTCTATGTAATACGTTCAACTTTGCTAATACCTAGCGACAACCCAGCAAAACTCAGATTGCCCTTGATTTTGCCTATCGCCGGTGCCAAGTCCCCTCCTGCTCCGTGTACTGGGTCCATGCCGACAACGAGACGACTTTCACCCAAGACTTCAAGTCAATCGCAAAGAGGTTGGGTGTCTCAGGCAATCTCGTTGGCGAGGATCTCTTGATGGCCGTGCGTTATCGCATTGAGATGAACCCTCCCTGGGCGCTTATTCTAGATAACGCGGATGACTTAAGGCTCTTTGGGGTCAGCAATACTACACAAGATGCTTTAAATCTAGAAGAACGGGTATTGAGCCTAGACAAATTCATTCCACGAGGTCCAAGGGGCCAAGTTCTTTGGACAAGCCGCGACGAGCGCATCGATGGAGGTCTCGTTGCTGCCGGAAGAGCAATTAAAGTCTCAAAAATGACTCCGACTGAGGCGAGAGCGCTGTTCAACAGTTTGAGAAATAATCGCGTGGATGGAAATGAGGCGAAAGATATTGCAGAACTTCTTGCCGAACTTGACTGGCTACCACTCGCTATATCGCAAGCTGCAGCATATATGAAGAGGACCTTGATAACTGTTGAGGAATACATGTCGAAATTGAAAGATGGGAAAAAAAGGTGGAGGATTCTAAAGCAATCACAAACCGACCGTCATCGGCGACGAGAGGTGTCAAACAGTATTTTAGAGACCTGGAACATTTCAATGCAACTTCTTCGGATTGAAAACAAAAGAGCACATCAGGTTTTGCACATACACGCCTTTTTAGACAACCAAAACATCCCTGTTGAGTTGATCAGGCAGGCAGCACTGTACACCGTCAATAGAAATAAGGTGGATCGTGCTCACGAAGAACAGGATGATGATTCGTCATCAGACTGTGATAGTGATGGCGATAAAACTAATGAGGCCATCGCCCGTCTCCGCGACTTTTCATTTTTAAGCACGCAAGCTGCTGGAGATGGAAATCGCTCTTACAAGATGCACAAGTTGGTGCAAGAAGCGATGCGGTATGGGCTGGGGAGAAAAGAACGAAAGGAGGAAGAAAAGTATTTCTCGGCTGCTGCGCTTGAGATTACTTCCAGTCTCTTCCCGTCTAGTAGACCAGAGACATGGAACGAATGCGAGAAGTACATCACACACGCACAGCAGGCATGTGAGTGGGCTACACTCTGTGGAAGAGAGTTGGAAGCCTCAAATTTATTATTCAGGCTAGGGAGGTATCTACACCAGCGCGGAAGATGGAGAGAGTGTGAGATTCCGGTACGAAGAGCATATGAATTCGAAAGACGATCCTCGGTGACAAGCATCTTCATACTATTACCAGTATGGAAGCCCTTGCAAAAGCTTATCATTCCCTCAAGAAGAATAAAGAGGCAGAAGAAATGGAAGTCAATGCACTTAGACTTCGAGAAGAGATCCAAGGCAAAACACATCATGCTACGATCAGTTCTAAGGCAGAACTTGCCATTACAAATTTTGCAATGAGCAAGTCTGAAGAGGCCGGGAAAACAATGGAAGAAGTATTAGCAATACAGCGGGAGGCTTTTGGCAATAAGGATCCCAAAACAATGCTAAGCATGACACGTCTTGCACTAATATATTTCGCACAAAGCAGATATAAGGAAGCAGAAGGAATAATAGTGGAGGCACTAACATTACAGCATGAGATTCTCGGACATAAGCATCCTGATACAATTCTAAGTAATGAATATCTTGGACATATATATAGTGCACTTAACCGGCATAAAGAGGCAGAGGAACTACTGGTAAAAGCGTTAGCACTACGGCAGGAAGTTCTTGGCGACAATCATCCTTATACAATTTTGGCTATGTCAAATCTTGGAGATAAATATCATCAAACTGGCAAATACAAAGAAGCAGAGGGGATGAAGGCAAAAGCACTGGCACTACGGCGGGAGATTTTTGGCAGTAATGATCCTGATACAATTGCGCTTATAGCAAGTCTTAACCGAACTCGCCGCGCAATAGAGATGGAAGGACATACAGAGAGAGTAACGTAGATTCAAGGGCAAGGCACGCTAGATGCGCCATTTAGCTCTGAAGATTAAAAAAAAGACCGGTTGTCCAGCATCAGGACCTAAACGTTCGTATGCCATCACAAGCAAGCTATTATCAAGATTACGGATCTGAGTTCTATCATGATCTGAAATTAAAAGATTTTATGACGAAAGCATTAATTCATGATTTATGGCTCTTTTTCTCTTTGAGAGTTTGGAATCTCGTAATTTTTAGGAGAAACCAATAGAGCACAAGCTTGGGCGAAGAAAGCTACCCAGGCTATTGTGAAAAAAGGATCCGGAGCAAAAAAAATTCGGAGCTGCAAATCAGAATATATTCAAGAGATTTCCGTACAGCCCTGAACAATTCATTCTTGTTTGATGAGAGCAGACCTCATCGTAGTATTGGGACCTGAAAGCGAGATTATGCTCCTGAGGGCATGACATCGGCACAGATCAAGGGGTTTCTGGCAAGCGTGTTCATATTCTTCCTGCATATCACCGAAATTGGGTGATTAATATTGAGGTACGAATACGCTGAGTACGCAGATTGATAGACAGTAAAGAAGAAAGGAAACTGATTAGAAAAGCAAGTAAAACATGGCAAGGCTTAAATCACATGTGCGCTCTTCTCACAATAAAATACATTTGACAGAAGAATCTTTCATTTTGTTGTTCATATTTATACATAGAAACTTTTTCTTCCGTCTAAAATACGAAATGAAAGAGAATCTCATAAACTGTAAATTATCCCGTCATCTTCTTCAGCATTGATCTCCCATGTGTACCCAGGTTGAATCAAGGTAGTTGCAGCCCAAAACACGTAATTTCACTTTTCTCAGGGTCTCTAATTAACGAAAGAAGCCAAAAATAACGCTATTCTAGAACAAAGCAACGCCATATTTTCTGTATCTCATAATCCAGAGTATCCGTGAAACCACCTATCACTCTTCAAGGCCTGGCGGTTTGACCTGGCCCGGCCCCCACACTCTATTCCAGATACTGCTGTTGGCATATTTTGAGAATTGTGCAAACTTGCCTACCTCATGAGCCATATCAGGTTTGTTGCTATTTTCTGAATCTTCAACCGGCATGGGCATAGACTCCGTTATTTGATGCATCAAGGTATCTGAGGGGGCGCTGGCAGCAGATTGATCCCCCAAATTAGATGATCCCACAGAAGAGGATAGCATATAGGCTCTGTCTGTGTTCTCATCGGCACTCAGTGGTAAAATGGGTAGTCTGCCAGCTAAAATATCGTTCGGTGATGTCCCAGGTGGTATATTTATACCTGTAGGCACGTTTATGCCAACACCGCTGTCGATCGAAGCAGGGGATTCGTGTGAATCATTGCCTCCAGGAATAGTAAAACTAAAGTCATAGCTATCCCAAAATTCGTCGAGTTTAGGCATATATTCTTCTCTTCGATTAGGGAATACTTGGCTTTGCGCAAGGTCCACTCTTTGCCGCTTCCTCCTGCGTGTATCACCTGTTGTCGGTGGTCTCAAAAACTGGTCGTAGATGCGGTTGAGGATTCTGTACGACTGTTTTGCTACCGGCGCGTGCTGCTCTAGAGTTCTCATCACGCAAAGCGAACCATCAATTGCTCTCAAGGCTAGTTCGCGCATTGGCATACTTGAATCGATATCGTGCACCACAGCAGAGCACAGGAGAACCGCCACGTCGAAAATGAAGAGCAGTACGGTGAAGTATGTTGTATCCTTGGGGAAAGCAATCCGTAGAAACTGGAATAATCTGTTCAAGTGTCTGAGAGCCCATAATGTGCCATCTCGTTGAAGCCGCAGATCCTCGGCTGGAGAATCCATTGACAACGGTTTAGTAAGATGTGATCGTAAGGGAGATAATAGTGAGAATGTTCCCATCATAGTAAGTTTGAATCGCTGGAATCTAAGCCACGGGTAATCATCATCCAGACGTGTGTCGGGATTCCGCAGAGACAGGTGTGGCGGCAGTCGCGCAGCCCAGTTTTCCACAATGCTATTATGTTGTACAATATCTTTCATTTCTTCTAGAAGACCAGGCTTTTCAAACGCCGATGACAGCGCGCCGCCGAGTTCGCATTGTAGCCACATGAACAAGCCAGGAGAGGGGTCAAGTTCTGCTAGCTCTTCGTCCAATAGGGGTTCGGGCGGTTTGAGGTTACAAAAATCGGGCTGTGAAATGAGAGGGCGTGAAATAATACTTCCAAGTTGCCTAAAGAGTTACAGAGTTAGACGGTGTATCTGCATCTCAGAGTTCAGCAGAGCAACTGACCAGTCCCACGCCCGTATGGTTACCCAAGCTCGCCTCCCCATTTCCAAATTATAATCAGAAAGAGTATCAGTAATTTCTTCAGTAATTTCTTCACGATTTATATCTAAATAAAACGTTAGAACACCGAGTGTGCCATCTGTAAAGACCAGCTTACCCAATTCACTGGCCACTTGGATAGCAGCCCTCAAATCACGCCAGAATTCAGGGTAACGAGCTTTCGTCCTGAACCATAGGGACGAATGCAGATAAGTCTGAAGGATATTTATATCATATCTTCCCATAGGAATTGTCATTAACAGCTTATGACTTGCTGCGTGATACTTCTCGGATAATCGGTGGATCGATTGGCCCTGGTCCGCCTCAAGTACACGGCGAAGTGAGTCGCTGGAATACTGAGTTGAGCAAGCGCAGGCCATTAAGAGGAGAGCAGTCCACTGAAGCTCAACATGGTTATTATTGTAAGCACGGTGACACCAATTTTGGTACTCTCGTCTAAACATTGCGGGATGAACAATGTAGTAGTGAAAGTTGACAGTGTCTAAGAAGTTATCCACAAGGGCGTCTACATCCAATCTCAATTTAGCAAATGTGGGAAATGGCTGCGTGATTTTTGAGATGCATGAACAAGGAGGGAGGGAAGTGAGTGCAAAAAGAAAGACTCACCAAGGCATGGCTTAGACGGGAGAGCCTGGATAGCCTTGTCCAAATGAGGAGAGTGGCCAGGTTTTGCAGAATCTGGCGTGGTATGTGTCCGCTTCTGGGTAGTTGTGTTAGTAAAAAGACTGAAACATGAAGGCTGTTACTGATGCCGTACCTTGCGAGGGCCGCTGTAGCTTGAAGCAACGTGAGAACCGGAGTAGCCTAGTCCCTCGAGATCGACATCGCTGCCGTCACTATCGCCGTCCAATGGGTCGAGCAGCTCATGGGAATAGTAGCATGATTCCTTCATCTGTGTCACCGACTGCTTGAGCTGGGCCCGGCGCTCCTCAGGAGATTTCACGTCGAGAATGGTCGGGAAAACGCACTGGCCCCCGAGACGCCTATTGTCGCAATGGAAACATGGCCAATACCGAGAACACTAATGGACATATTAGTTAAGTGTAGAGTTAAGGAGCGTTGCAGATATGAATATTGAGATTTGGAGGATAAATCCAGGCTTGTACGAAAAGAGGAGATAAGTTCAATCTGCCCGCATCTCTTCAATGAGGCATGCGTACATACACATGAAGACAGCGTAACAATGTCACAACAGGGGCTTCAAATTGTGTTACAATTAGGCCCGAATCATACCAATATTTTGGTAGTATGTGAGGTGATTTGAAGAGTTCTTGAGTCGTTCCAAGACATACCTTTTGTTTCCGGCGTTGACACTCTGTGCAGGCCGAGCGGAAGATGGCTTTGGCCTCGAGGCTCTGTCGCTCTATCACAGTGTTCGGCGCCTTAATGCCGGGCTGTTCTCCGGAGTGCACTTCCCTATTGTCCATGTTGACATCGGACTTTCTGAAAAAGGGAGACTGGTGAATATCTTCCGGTAAAGGGGAGAAGAGAAAATGGGCCAGTTGGGAGCTAGAGCTGCCCCCCGAGCCAACGGCGGAGACCAAAGATCGATAACGGCGCTCCGGCAAATGACCCGAACAGCGGTGGAGCTGATGGTGTAAGCGGCAACGGCTAGGGCAAGCTGGAGTACGAGTAGCAAGCGGGCCAGTCCGTGCTGCATACAGTAGGGAAGGGCAGAAGCCAGGGCCAAGTGAAATGAACGGGCGGAGATAGTTGAGGGTCCGTCCAAATGGTAGAGGCAAAAGCATCAGGTTTCCACGAACTGTGGTGGAGAGGGCGGGCAGCCACCTCGCTATAAATACATGTATTAAAGAAACCCGGACTCGACCTCAACGTTGATTCAGACAAGGTACACGTATCAATCAGCAAACGGACGAAGGGAAAAAAAATAATTCAAGAAGCTGAACCATCTGGTGTTTGCCCGGTTTCCTGTTGCCGTCCCCTGCGTCAAGCCATGTCTCGGCGCTGCTCAGGCGTCTGGCCCTTTTGACAGTCCTGATTCGCTGCCGATGCATTTTTCATGCAGCCCATGTTGTAGCTTTCAAGCCTCATGAATTGTTTGCCCAAACGGCCCCCATTCTGGGCGCACTTTGCATGCCCGGTCTCATCCCTGCATGTGGCAGCCTCGTTGTCTCTGCCGCAATTCGTGTCAGCGGCAGCCGTTGTATGCAACGGCCAATAGCTGGCGAATTGCTGTTCTACACGTTCCAGTTGACGCAGCAATTGGCGTCCTAACGTTGCTCTTCTTGCTGCCTCTTGGCTCCCTGCCGTATTTTTTTTTTTTTCCCCGCGTGTTTAAGCCAGGAACCCGGTCTGGGCCGGATCGGTATCACATCAAATGTCAGCGCCCAGTGCCTGAGAAATCGACGCCTGTGCTCTGCAGCACAACACCAGCATGTTGCAGCCCTGGAGAAGTACTACCTCAACATTGATGTTATCTCAACGTTGTGTAAGGTGCGTGTGCATATGCCCGACGAATCAAGCTCTCTACTAGAAGATTCCTCTCCAGCAGACCTGTCACAAAGAGGTGTACGGCAACGTATTGTACGTACTAATTGTAAGTGGGTGTGTGTACTCCGTAGCGATAGCAAAAGATTGGAACAAGGGAGAGCTGGGATACCTCAAGCGGCTTCTCGCCTAGGACGTCATCAGTCCCAGTCCTCCGCCCATCAGCATCCTCCTATCATATCTCGCATCAACCTGGCCAAGTCTCACTGCAAGCGCCTCTTGGCGGCTTCTCCTTGGCAAACTGTTGATCTTTCTGCCACACTCTTACAGAGACAGGGAATTGTGCCTGAATGGGGTATGGAGCGCGTAGCACGGAGCGGTTGAGCACAAGTACGACAAGATCTCGGGGGATTTCATCTCCGTATCGGAATCCAGAGAAATACGGTAATGTCCCTGATCCATCCACTGCTGCACAAGCCAGGGCGGTCAAAGTCACAGAGATGGAGGAGACGTAATCTCGCATATTAGCACGCATGGATGCTTGCACGTCGAGACCAAGGAACACAAAGACGTGTAACGGTCTTGAGCTACCTATGCACGTACTAAGGACTGGATTCACTAATAAAGCCATCTGCAGGCGCTTGGTACGAACAAGTGTAAGTGAGTCCGCGTGTATGCAAGCTGCATGTCTTTCTAGACAGATATGGAAGGCTGCATAAACCATCTAATGCGGATGTGTCTACGAGTATATCCAATAGAATCTCATAACTGCACATTGCTGCATCAAGAATACAGCACATCGTGCACCAGAAGATGCATCCATCCAGAATCTCGGCCGCCTTTTTGCTCTCCAGCTATTGTCCATACTAAAATCCTCCATGTCCACTTCTAGCTGCCGGATCCCCGCTAATAAACGGCGTTGCGCCTGGGCCATTCCACTAAGTAAACCCCCTGTAAATCCACTACAAGTCCCTGCAGCAGCATCTGCAGCCAGAGATCAATCACTTCACCCAATCCAATCCCCACCTCCATGGATCTCGCAAGTGGGGTTCTATCTTGGCGTCTTCTCTCCTCCATCTCATGGGTGTTCGCCTTGATTTAGGGAGTCACTACTACTATCGTATTCAGCACCCCACAATCGCTATTCAGCATCCCATTCTTGCATTTCAAGCGGTCTGAGTAGTAACGAGAGTAGCAGATACTACCTACATAGCGATAGTAGCAGATACCAGCGATAGTAGCAGATACTCCAGGAACTGTAACATCTATTCAAGTAATGGTGATAAGCATCCATCTTATTATACATTGTTACGCCATTCGCAACTCCTCTTCTTAGTCACTGGGACGCTGGATAGCCCTTCCCTTGATTTAGCTCGAACTTGGCCTCAACAGCCCGTCAAACCAGACCTGCAGCCGTCTCCAGCCATCTTCCGCCTGCAGTGCCGTCACCAGACCAATATAACCGTCGGGACGCACCGCTACAATGGCCCCCCTTTCTGGGTCAACGCCATAGTGCTCGTGTGCACTGCCTTGGCTATCCGCAAATACCTTGTCATAGTCCCATCCCAGCTTCTTGTCGAACGGGTGGAAGACGTCGTGAAGATCCTGCAGCATCTCAATCTTGTCACGCGGCGCCGAGTGCACCAGCAGCACGTCGACAATGGACGGGTCCTCGTCCGTCATCCACTGCGAGGATCCTGATCCTCCGCGCGGATCTGGGCCCGGAGCGAGGCTGATGCGCGGCGACTTTGCTGGCGACAGCACATTGGCCTGGAGCCAGCCCCCAAGCTTGTTGACGGTGGCCAGCTGCGTGGCTTGCGAGATGTCCCCGCCGAATACGACGACGCGGAAACGGCCGTCTGAAGGCAGATGCAGCTGCAGCTCCCATGGCCGGGCGTCTGCCTGTGACAGCACTATTTGCGATGCAAAGCGTCTACCAGGCTGGCAATGCGCGGCAGACTCGGCGACGCTTATGACCTGGCCTTGAGACGCTGTCTCAGTGTCCTGCAGGCCTCCTTTCAAATCACTTTCTGATGTGAGAATGCTGGGCTGGTAGCGGATGCCGACACCCGTGATGAACTGCGGTTCAATTAGCAAAGAGCAACATTAAGACTTTCGGCAAATAGCGGCCTCCATCTGTTGCCCGATCTGGAGAACAGGAAGGCATTGTCTGAATCGGCGGAGTGGACCCTCTCACACGGCCTCAATTTCCGATGAAAGCTGGGCACCCACTCACCACGACTCAGTGCAAGGGACATCCTAGCCATCTACCGGGCACTGGGAGTATTGGGAATACACTTACCAGTTGTGCTTCTCGGAACGCCTGTTGAAACTCACTCATGGAAGACCCCGCCTCGTCCGAGGCATCCTTGGCCGGCCTCCCTGAGAAGAGCCTGGAGAACTTGTGATCAAAGGCAATGAGCTGCTGAGCAATCTGCTTCCGCTCCAACTCATACGTGTCAAGCACTTGTGGTCGCAGCAGCTTCTTGCAGACGAGGCCGAGTTTCCACCCAAGATTGTACGTGTCTCCCATGGAAACGTTCATACCCTGGCCGGCCTTGGGTGAGTGTGTGTGCACCGCATCTGCCCTGCGTTAGCAAATCTAGCGCCTCTCCAGTTCTAACCCGTCCGTTCACACTATTACAAGACTTGCTCACCTCCTGTAAGGAAAACACGGTTGTGTTTGCTAAAACGATCGCCGACTCGTTGTCCAATTTGGTATGCGGTCCACCTGCGAATGTGTTACTCAGCATGCAATGCTCCGTACTTCCCTCTAATAGCTTGTTCCGGTCGGTGCAGCACAACGCGCCGTTGATGAGACTTACCAATCAATGTAGTGGTAGTCAAGGGTGTAGGGACTTAGAATCTTTCTTGCCGTCTCCAAGATAAAATCCGGAGTGATCTGTGATCTATCAACGCGGCCTGTGCCTGTGGATACTTTCTTGAGCTGTGTGTAAACTCGAACGAGCTTATTTTCTCTAGGAATGATCATCATGGCTCCGTACTCGGCGCTGTGTATCATGCATCTGCTTCTAATATCCGCTGTCATGTCGTGTTAGTCTCGGGTTGGCGGGACATTTAGGGACTCTGCAAGATCTCACGGAAGTCTGTGATAGGGATAATGTCCAGCACTCCCCTGTTTGAAAAGCTATTAGCGCCCCAGTTGCTGCAAACTCTACTCATGAAGGGAGACTTACCAAATGGCATCAGTTGATTCACCCTTCATCTGATATTCTTCGCCGAGAGTCTTTCTCACCCATGAATGCGCCCCATCGCATCCAACTACATACTTGGCTCGCACTTTCTCCTCTCTCCCAACCCCATTCGTATTCGCAAGCAGCCTCTCTGTGTCATCCTCCGCCAGGTTGCTTCTGTACAGCCCGTCTTGTAAATTACTTAGTCTTTGCGTTGGGGTTGCTTCTTCTTCAGTCAGGTGGCGTAGAGTCACTTCTACGGGGTAAGCATCTTCGTCGTCAACACAACTTTCGTCAATAGTCAGCGCCGTTGGCATGACGCTCCGCTCAATCTCGATCAATGGGTGCTTATCAGAGGCAGACGCTCGGATCGTATCGATGAGGATGCTCTCGACGCGGCCTTGGTGCAGCACGGACTCGGTGAACCGTGAAAGATTCGGCTGCGTATTGGGGCCACGGTGATGGCGACGAATCTTGCCATCTTGATCTGGATTCCAAAAACTAACTTCTGTCGCCGCACAAGTAGATTGTTTCTTCTGTTTAGCTCCCACATCTTTTCTACATGTCGCAACATGGGTAATGCAACTCACCTAGCATGTGGTTTGCTTCATGCCATACTTTGTGTCCAATCCCAAAACTGTCGAAAATCTCCAGGGTACGACATTGAAACCTGTTTCGAGCAGCACCACATTAGACCTGTATACTCTATATAAAAACACAATTGGCCCATCCTTGAGCCTCAGGTGATGATTTACCCATCCGCTTGACCGGAGACAATTTTGCCTGTTCGCTTGTCCACGACTCTTGTCTTGACCCCCAACTTGGCCAGCCAGAGCGAGAGCATGAGGCCTGCGGGGCCGGCTCCGACGATGAGCACATCGACCTTTGATTCTGCGGCCGATTCCATGGTTAGATTTGCTAATATTGACTTAGCGTTTTGTAAATTAAATATGCATTAGAAAGAAAAAACTGATCTTGCCGAAATAGTAGCGAGCTTACGTTCTGCATCCAGAGCTCTTATATGGTCAAACAAGGGGTATACGGTCTACATGCACTACCTGTTTACGAAGACATGACAAAGTTTACTTGCTCCACGATTTTGGGCCTAAGTAATCATGGGTCATACCTGACCAACGCTCCCCTCATCCGACACAGTATCAACAAAACGTATAAACCCCAGGCTAAACTAATGTTTGAATCATCCCTTTTTATGAAAGACCCTCCCTATTCAATCCCTATTTGTCGGCTTCCCGCGCTTATTTTACTCCCCGCTAATATCCGCGGTCCACATATTATTATGTTTGGCTGACGATTTTCTTCGAAATATCTTTGCCTCAGTCACCGCCGACGTTGCGGCCCAAGTCTCTCCGCACTCTCCACACGCGCGAGCCGACTGGCCGCTTTTGGCTGCCGCGGAGCACCTCGACCCAGGGGAGGGCGGAAGAGGAGCCGGCATTTGGGTCTGAAGGAGCCTCAGATTCAGCTGAGGCTTCCTCTTCGTCCACATCTTCGGTCATGTCTTCATCCTCATTTGGATCTTCGCTCGCTATTTCAAGAGGCTTGTCCGCGTTCACGTCTTCCTGACGGGAGCGCTCATACAGGTCTTCTGTGTATGCCCATGTCGGCGCATCGAATTTTCCATGAACGAGCACGATATGTCGGCCTTGGGAGCGTATCTGCTCTATTGTCTGTAGCGGGATAGGCGTAAGAATTTGAAGTGTTTGGGTAGTAGTATCGATACCTCGGATGAGAACGAGGCCAATGGTGCGAGAGAAGCACGGGTCGAGAGTGATGTCGTTGGCATTTGGGATATACGGCAAGCCTTCCGCCGTCCTTGAAATAAAGCCTTCAGAATACCTGCCATTGTCGGCGCTATCCACTGGCAGCTGTGTAGTGTTGGCAAGATTGCGGAATGCTCTGGGATCCTCCACATCCACCGCAGCAAGGATCATTCCATTGATTGCCTCCGAGAGCAGTTCAGATGGAGACTGGTAGTCGTAAAGTAGAATGCCGAGAATTCCCCGCTGCTTGCCAGAGTACCGGACCTGTAAGGGGGGAATAGACGACAGTGGAGATGGGTTCCAGCTTGGCCTCAATCCTGAGCTCGTTTGTTTCTGTTCTTGCAAGTGGAAGTAAGACATGGCCTGCATGGCCCTCAAGTGAGCAGCGGTGCGGGATGCAAACTCAGATGGCTGAGAGGGAAGTGTGGTAAAAGTTCTCTTTGTTGCGCCGCGTAAAACTTCGACGACGTCTGCAGGACCGTCTTCAGACATGTAAATCACTTCCGGAGGGTTGACTCGAGAGATGATGTCAACGAGCAGATCCTGTCCAGTGCCCAGAATCCAACCTGGAGTGTTGATGAGAAGATGGCAATTGCGCAGCAGTCTTCGATAATAGTCGAGAAGATCCAGCACGCACTCCAAGTAGTGTTCCGGGGCTGCAGCTGGTGTCATGGACGCCAAAGCATGACACCGAATGACTTTGTAGCATTCATCGTCAAGATTTGGATGCGTAAAGGCGGCGCTCAGGTTGGGTCGTGTGACATGAACAAGAGATATTGTCCCACAAGGTGCATACTCGGGCTGGCCTGGATCCAGATCAAGAACGGCGACACCATGAGTGCCTGTCCGAGTTGCCTCGCTCGTCAAGAGGCGGTTTGCGAGCATCTTGGAGAAGGTTGACTTGCCGGCAGACTTGGGGCCGCATACAAGCGTCGTGAAAGGACCGCCCTTGGCTACGGACACGAGATCGGCCAGCTTCTTGTTCCATGCTGGAGGAGATGAGAGTTCTTGTATGACGCACTTCTTAGGGGCATCATCAGAACTGCATACCTGGCACTTGTTAGCCGTAAGCTGCGTAAGTAGAGTCAAATTGGGGACACACAATCTGGAAAGTTCGCCCCTTTCCTAGGCTGTTCTCCGTAGAGTCATCCTTTGATTCACCCCATATGCCTCTGAAAAGAGGGGATAGACGACTTAACCGCCGCAAACCGTCCGCATTTGGGTCGTTGTGAAGTTCCAGGCTGGCCTTCTCGGAAGTTCTGATGACGGGAATAGCATGACAGTGAGGGGCGTGAATCCAGTGTATGTTATCCGATGGCTGAAGAGTGGCTCCAAAGACAGTCACCTCGCCAGCGATGACTTTAATTCCAAAGCTTCCTATGACAAGAAATCGCTACACATGACTCCATTAGTCACTTATAAACCCCAACCCCTAATAGATGCTAAAAACATACCTCACTGTCTTTGAGCTTCAAAGCGACGGTGCCCTTTGGTGTTGTGCGGCAGTTGTTTTTACTCAGCAAGAAGGACGAGTACATGATTCGAGAACCCGAGAGATTTGCTTCTGGGGTAGATGGATCGCTTTGATATTGAAAACATTTTGTAAGTCCAATTCTGCAGCATTAGAAGATTTAGCCTGCCCACCTGATCTTACCACCCTGCGAGGTGGAAGCTCTTATTTCACCACGATTGAGCGCCCCCCTTGACCCGTTCTTCTTGGGAGACTTTGGAGGTTCATTTTGGCGCTTCAATGTTTGTAGGACACTAAAGGAGTTGGTTCTGGCTGACGCTGTGTCTTCAGGTTCAGGAGATGAGCTGGGCTCTTTAGCCGGTGTGTTGGCCACCAAGCGCCGACGAGCTGCAAGTGCACTTAATGCGCTTACTGCTGCTACAAATTGGGTTAGATACGTTAGAATATTCCAAAATTATTCATAGAAGGGTTCAAATGGTGAAATCCGGCTGGCTTACATGAAGGAGCAGCTTGGGTGTCGAGTTTACGACGCTTGTTGGAGGACATGTCTGGGTGATGCTGGGTAATAAACGATGAAAACCGGAGTGGAAATGAATCAGATACAGTGTTCAAATGAGGAAATATTCATAAAAGAAATATCTGTCTCTCATGTATAACAAGTATCTCCAAGCTTAGCATAACAAGAACAGCATCGAAAAGGTCAAAGTTCAGAGAGACATAAGCCTGGCATACTGGTGAATGATAAGGCACTTGGCGCTACAGCTTCTGAAAATGCGCTTATCGATAAGATATAGCGCACCAAAAGTTTTCGAACTGCGCCAAACACGTCCCGCCAAATCGCGCGCTTTCCCCAATACGGGCGCGTCAAGGTGGGGCTCTGAGCGAGCATCTTCAAAATTTCCATCCAGGCCTCGAAAAAAGTTCAGAGCAGCTCATCCTCTCCAAAACCGCCCACCTCATTGAGCATCCAACCAGGCTCATTGCACCTCATCAACCTGCCAAAATGGCGCCCAAGGAGCCTTTCAAGGTGCACTCGCTTAGCAAGCACGTCGAAGATACCAAGAAGGGCCTCAGCGCCTCAGCACAGTACAATCGGCGGCCTGTCTCCAAGCCGGCTGCAGCAGTCGTCAAGAATGAGCCTGGCGTCGCCCTTTTCGGAAACAACAATGACAGCGACGAGTCTAGCGACAGCAGCGACAGCGAAAGTGACAGCGATGAGGATAATGGCGCCGACTTCCTGAAGAAGCTCGGTGCCAATGGCGCAAAGCCTTCGACAACTCCCAAGCGGCGCAGCAGGGACGAGGAGATCGCCGATAGCGACGTCGAGCGCAACGCTTCTGCCAAACGTAACGCTGCTGCTAAGAAAGAGCAACTTGTGAAGAAGGAATCGTCTTCTTCTGAATCCTCCAGCGAATCCTCCAGCGAATCCGAGTCGGAGAAAACCGAGCCCAAGGCGAAGACAAACGGAGCTGGCGCCAAACAAGCTGCGGCCGTTCAGGAATCGTCAAGCAGCAGCTCCGAGGAAGAAAGCGAGGAGGAAGAAGAGGAAGAGGAAGAAGAGTCTAGCGAAGAGGAGGAGGAAGCCCCCAAGCCTACCCCCAAGCCTATATCAAAGACACCTGCCGCACCTGCCGCTGCAAATGGCACCCCCAAGACACCCGCCGCCGCACCTGCCAAGGCTTCTGAATCGAGCAGTTCTAGCGAAGAAGAATCAAGCGAAGAAGAATCAAGCGAGGAGGAGGACGAAGAAGAAAAAGAAGAAGAGCCTGCAAAACCCGAGGTTTCAAAGAAGGCTGCCGAGGAATCTTCTTCCGACTCGGAGGATAGTGAGGCTGAAGTTGACGAGTCTATGCATATTTCAGATCGCGAGATGGGCGCCCAGGTCGGAACGCCGAATTTCATCGCTCCCGATTTCGCACTCCGCAAGGGAAACGACGGAGCCAACGGCCAGGATGTGGCTCGGATCTGCAACGAAGCAAATTTGCAGGGCAAGCAGTTCTGGTACTTTACGGTTCCTTCCAACGTCCCCATCTCTGTTATTGAGAACATAGAGATCCCCATGGACCGATCGCAGGTTGGAAGCCGGGTCTTTTCACATGATGGCCAGGACTATGGCGTCTCCTTTGACACGATTGCGACCAAGAGCTCGATCCAGATTTTGATTCCCTCCGCCAGTGATTCAAAATATCAACCAGGTCAGTTATTCTCCTGAGCTATCCGCTGCGTATCTACTGAGAACTAACCAAGGTTATATCTAGCCCGCAAGCAAATTGATCAGACAATGCACATCAAGAGAATTGCCAACCTCGGAGGTACCGCCGCTTCTTCTGTCGGCCCCGCGCCTCGTCGTGCCCCTCGACCGCAACCAAAGGGCCTCAAGGCTAGGTACCAGCCATTTGGCGTGAATACCCCGATGGGTAACATCGGAGCAGATACAGCTGGAGATGAGGATGTTGAAATGGCAGAAGCACCTGCGGCAGTAGCCACTCCTAAGTCTACCAAGAAGGAGAAGAAGGGCAAGAAGGAAGATGCTAAAAAGAAGGACACTGATGTTGCTACCCCTGGCAATGCTGTGGATGCAAAGTCTTCCAAAACCGATCGCAAGGGCAAGAGAAAGCACACCGCCTCAGAAGACGATGCCGTCACTGCTGAGGAGCAACTCAGAGAAGAAATTCAATCTGCAGAGACGAAGAGCAAGAAACAGAAGACGGCCAGGGCTAGCAGTCCTGATCTCGGAGCAGAGCTGCCTTCAGCCGCCAGAAAGGAGACTCCCATTGCACCACCGTCTATTCCATCATCGGCATTTTCATCATCGGCTACGGCTATTGCCACTCCCTCCAAGGTTGTAGCTGCTACTCCTAGCGCGGCCAAGAAGTCGACCAAAAAGACGAAGCCCGAGACTCCTGTGCCCACGCCGCGACAAACAGCAGTTCCGCTGCCCAACATTCCCTTGACTTCCCGACCAAAGGAATCGCCAGTGCCTCTCCCGTCTGCACTCTTCACCACACCGGTGCAGTCTAAAAGTAAGAAGAGCAAGAAGAGCAAAGATGAGGTCAACCCCACTGGGTCCTCGCAACAGAGCCCACCACCAAGCGCTCAAGGGGGAGACAAGAAAAAATCCACGATCAAAGCCAAGGGATCGAGTTAGGGCCCTAGATCTCCGTACAAGTGGCTTTGAAGTGGAGTTGAGCGTGGCTACCGAAGCACATCTGTGAGCATGTATATGTAGGTAGCTATAATGACCATGCTGAAGGTGATGAGGATGAGCAGTATGGGATGTGGTAATTGTTGGGGTTTTACACTCCACAGGGGCTGTAGAGTCTACGGGACTTTGACTACCTGCTTTCGATTGTTACCTGCTCTGGACTGTTCGTCAAGCAGAGCTATTCTCGCGACTGGGAGACTTTGGCGTTTAGGAAGAAGCAGTTTTTATGTCTACAAAAAAATCAGGGGAGAGGTTACACTTGCATTTCAAGGGGTGGAAGAGATATGACGTCCAGCTTTCGGGGAGGAGAGACGATTTGCCGATATGTGGCAGGCAATTCATTGTATTTTTTTCATGTACATCTCACATTTCGCGGACATGTTACCGACGCGGCGGACTATTCACTGGGAAGAGTCTCTGAATGATCATACGTAGGGTAGGGATTCGTCTCACATACGCATGAAACTAATAGACTACAGTTCAAGACAAACCTACTTGCGGCCAGGAGGCTCATTTTTGACAATGTAGAAGACGTCGACATGTGAAAATGTTACGTAGATATTCGAGATGCATATAGTGGTATCTCGTGGACGATACCGAAAATAGGCAGAGATAGGAAAGGAATGCTCTGTCCCACATTCGCCAATTGTTAGGTGATAGATACTACGAATTACCTGTGCACGATAGAAGCATATGGCCGTTGATATCAGATCCGGGTACACACCCTGGTCGACTGGAACCTGTGACTTGGCGGTCGATTGACTGGATCGATTCGCGGAGTGGATACGGACAACGGATAGGAGGCGCACGAGCGATCGGTCTATCCATCGGTGAGGGAAGAGCGAAGCGAGCGAGAACGAGGCTTAGAGAGGCGGTGATCGATTTGGCGGCGGGACTGTGCATGCATGCATTGCAGGTACCAGTACCAGTACGGAGGGCTTACGGGTACTTGAGCCAGCCAGCCAAATCACCTACGAGTACAGTACAGTACCAGGCGGCCCCCCATGCAAGCAAACCTCGAGGTTGGAAATGAGGCTGTCGTACAGGGAAGACGAAGCATGCATACGTGGACGGAGCGGCAGCGGCAATGCAGGGGCATCGGGCGTCGGCAGGGCGAAAGACACGATTTGATTGATTTGGGGCCGAGCAGCTTGTACTCCGTAACAAGACGATGATACTTGGATGGACGCGGCTGGGTGGCTGGTTGGCGGAGATGCGATCCATCCTTCTTGGCTGAGCTGGCGGCGTTTTGTTGGGCTGACCCTGCGCCTTGCTGTACGCGTACCGTACCCATCACGATAGTACCTCGTCCGCAGAGTACGGAGAACTGGTACATGTATGCCTGCGTGAAATTGAAAGCGAGGAAAGCGAAAAAAGGGCTTCGTCATCTGGGGAGGATTTGCGTGGCTCGTTTCGTGGTGGTGAGACAGAGCTATTTGGTGACTTTAATTTTAAGCTGTGATCCGTGGGGTGTGATGTACAATCGCATTCGCACTTTGTTGGCCGTTTCCCCCCGTATGGAGCATCGCAATTTACCGCGCGTATCATGTAACTGTACCACGATCGGTTGATGACAGCTTGTTGCTGGATTGAGCTTTTTGCTTGCTTGACTAAGCGCTGGCCTAGAAGCATTGCGTTGCAAGGGGAGCTGCTAACGGGATACGATACGATACGGGATTCGCGCTGATACGGAGCCCATCAGCACTTGTGGTCCCGCGAAACTGACTCGGAAAAGGACCTGGAATACTGTATCCCTAACCTGGCGACAGACACACAAGGGGGGAGGGTTTTCTGATGGCAGGGGTCTTTGGCGCTGGCGAGGGTTCAGATCGCCGCGAGTTTTGGGTACCTTCCCTTGCCAAGAAATTCAGGAAGTCGAGTTTTGTCGCACACGGTGGGAGAAAAAAGGGAGGGGGATGCTTTTATTAGATCAAACAAGGTCAAAAGTTAAGCCTAGAGCAAAAAGGCATAGATCGCGGGTTGTGTTGTTGGTGGTGCCCTTGCATGGAGACGAGACGCAAGGCGAGGGAACAAAGAACGCCTTGGAGGCGTCGGGCCGTTGAAGGCACTACTGCGAACATGAACAAGCGAAGAGAAGAAAAAAAAGAAGCATTACTCGTACTTCATGGCCGAGGCATTGTCTCCATCAGAGGCTTTAGACGAGGTCTGCGTTCTTTTTTTCTTTGCTTTTTTTTGCCAAAGGGTTTTTTAGCCTATCGGATTAAGCGGACCTGGTTCGTTCAGCTTTTGGCGAGTGGTGTGATTAATTTATGCAGGCGAGGGATGACCAGGTGAAAGAAAAAATCATCTCTTTGCGATGCAACAAAGAAGCATTGCATAACCAAACACCTCACATACCCTTTCGGGCGTTTCTTTCGATGACAACTGGTGTTGCAGAGCCAACATCGATAGGCTCGATTAGGCAGAACTAGCAACAACACAAGGACGCAATTGGGAAGGCTGGGCGAGACGAGGCGCAGTAGAGTTTGGCTGGCTCAAGCGCAACAGAGGCCCGATCCTGCTGAGCTGAGCTGACGTGATCTGGATAGGACTAGCCGCGAGTGTCGTCACTGTTTTTTTTTCTTTCACCAGTTACATGTACTATCGAATAGTTCCATGTCCGCATGGGGTTCTTTGATGCAGGCTGCGGAGCCCATGCCCAAGGGAAATGCGTCGCTAAAAAGAACCTTGAAAATGTGCGGCAAAGTCGCCGAAAAATGCTCGCTTTCGCCAGCACGCTTCAATTTCCCATTTTGCGGAGGGGAAATACAGAATCGGCAAACAAGCACATGTCAGAGCACGCGCCAGTGCACAGAATCGCACCGTCACAAATGACAATTCGACCAAGGCACAAGACCAAAAGGGTACATGCGCACAGGTACCTGCGGCCGAAGTACTGGTACAGCGAACGTTTAGATGTCTCCATAGGAGAGGCGCTAAAAAAGTAGAGCGAGGAAAAAGCCCGCCTCCGCGGAATCTGGTTCGTCGCCCAGCGCCTTGGGGCTAGAAGAGACCAAAGAAAAAAAAAGACGTAGAGGAAAAAAAAAGCTGGCCGGAATAGTCCAGATTGGAGCTGGGCTGCTCAATGTCGTCATATTACCTGTTTCTCTTCCTAGCTCGCATTGCAGTAGCAGCTAACACTCTCACCATTGCCTTTCGGGCTTGGCACCTGCGGAAGAAAGACAGCAGCCGGTCTAGGTTGATGTTGGGAGCTGCATGCCGCCCGAGATTCCCGCCCTCAGCAGGGGTCACGAGAGAGATTCGTCCGTGGACATGTGGTTATGGCCGATCCGTCTCTGGGGATGTGATGTGCTTCTCTTGAACTTCTCATTCACTGTTCCGTAGATAGCTTCAGCGAGTCAAGCGAGCTGATACACGTATTGATCTAGCGGAGGAAAAGGCCACGCGACCACTCTCCTGGTTGCAGCTGGCCACTTGGCGGAGACCTCCAAGCGCATTGCCTGATAAGACGGCTGCCGTTTTGAAGAGGGACATAGATAGTAGCATACGGATCTGGGTTTTGTGGTCTCTGTTCTATAATTACTTCTCACGCCTGGGTTGATTCATCATCCCATGTCTGTGAGAAACAGGCATAAAAAGTAGCTTGATATGAAACAGCGTCACGATCAAGCGGCGCTTACGCGTACTCATACCCCATTCAACGGTATCATCAATACAGTACGAGACAACGAGTGTCATTTGTCTGAGATGAGATTGCTGAGTGACAGTGACATGAAAAGAGAGTCGAGACCGTCTAGTGCGGCCGAGAAGACTTGTTGCTCAACATCGTTGAGCGTTTTGCGGAGTACAGAAAAGCGATTACTCGTCTTGGCAAGTCGGCAATGTCGCTACAGCAAGCAGCGAGGTTTAGTTTTGTCATCCGACTTTTCCTGTGACCTGCCTCTCTCCACCGCTATCAAGCAGTTCGTCCATGCCTGCATGATAACTCGCCATGTGCCCGAGAGGGTTGCACTCCCGGCACATCTGGACTCCACAGAAGGTTACCAAGTGACGGCTACGATTGCAGCCAACGCCCGTCGCTTAGGATGGCTGAGAAAATGGTACGAGTAAAGAGGCAGAAAGAATCCATTTGCGCGCGCGCGGTTATTCTTGACTCCAAGTACGGAGTAGCGGTAATTGATAACAATCTGCGGACTCCGGAACAGTACATGGAAGAGTGCTGCCGGAGAGCCGTGGGATGAGGGGCTAGAGTTTTTCGGCCCCGTTTGAAACGGCGGTCTTTTCTTATTCTTCGGGCGCCAGGAAAAGCCTTGCTCCATGCAGCTAGGGGGCGATGTGAACCATTCTCGTTCTCGGGGCCCAATCCATCGATCCCTATTTCGCGGACTTGGGACAAAGAGCGAGAGGTACCTGTAAGCGCCTGAAATGGTCAGAGCCAAGAAGCCCAGGGTTGAGGATTCCCAGCATGTAGCGCCTTAATTCTATTACCTGGCATGTTGCAGGCAGTAAGATGACCCTATCCTGGGAGCTTCTCATGACTCCAATTTCCAATTCTCACCTCTTGTTTTAGTCGACATGTTTTAGTCTCTGGCGGCGACGGAACACCTGGGAAGACCGCCACTCTACCGAGGTGCTCTTTGCTCACCGCACGGAACAGACGACATGCAGAGAAGAGAAAAAAAGTGTGACTGTCGTGCGCTAGTCGTCCTTGGCGCATTAGCTGGATTGAAGCCACGATCCAACCACGAGCTTCGTTTGGGTGCTCTGTCGTCGTCCACTGGCTTCCATCGCGTGACCCGGCCACGATTCTGCTACTTGCCTCGATTGAACCCTGTTTGCACGTTTTATCGTGCCTCTCTTGCAGTTCTTCCTATTTTGGAGGGGTCTCGGCTCTTCTCTTTGTCGCAACGGCGCCATCCACGCGCCACAGCCGGCATTTTGGAGTGCCTCTTCTTTGCATGTGCTCAACCTCCGTCTCCCCCCTCTGCCGAGTCGGCCTCACAACGGGAACGAGGAAGGCTCGGTCAAGCTGGAGAAGAGATCCGGCACCGAAACGTCCGTTTTTTTTTCTTTCTCTTTTCTCGCGCTGCCAAAGATGCCCGCAATGGAGAATCCACAGGCCACTCTGGATAGCACTTAATTAACTCTGTCGGCATTTGCTAACCTCCGGCAGCCCGACTTATCAAGGACCACTGTCCAGCGCACGGGCTAATTGCTACATCTACATGGCAAATAGCAAATACCTACTCGGGCATCATGCTTGCTTGCGGTTTACAGTAATACTGCTACTATACTGCTATAATTAATTAGGTGCTTAGTAGAAACTTCGTAGGCTGGGCCAATTCATTCCATTGAAAGAAGCTTTGCAGTGGAAAGATTCGTCAGTCCGTCATCTGTCGAGTTGGCCCGATTCCACACTCTCTTTTAGCCTCGTCGAGGGGCTGTCCCTCCTTGTACAGATACTCGTCCCCAGAAGCGGAATTGAAGGTAAGAGGTAAGAGTACTGTACGCGTATTTGGAGGATTGTAATTGATCCATTTCACGTCTTACTGTACGGTAATTGCCGTGATACTGTAAGATGAGGGCGAATTGATCGACTGAAGCTTGACTGAACGGAAGCAGCGCGGCTCCGTCACCGAGCACAATTTCCTTGTCCCTCCCACGGCACGCATTAATTGTGCGCATCGCCATGCATCCCGGCATTCTCGGCCAGCAGTTGTGTGCGTCCCCCACCAGCAGCAGCCGCAGCCACTCACAGCGCCGGCCGACCCTGTGCAATTTCACCATCAGGCGCCCAGGGCCAAGCCGCCAAGAGCTCCAGGGATTGCCTGCCTGTAGCGGCTGGCAGCCTCGATGCGAGTACCGGTACTTGCGCGCGCGGTGGCTGGCCAACGGAGCTCTCGAATCTGCACGCTACGACCGCCGCATCCAAGGCACTTGCAGCCCATGGCAGAGCGCTAGCACAGCACCCAGAGCGAATCGAGGGTACGGCGCTGGGAGGTACCGGTACCCATGGGCCGCAGCTTCCGGGGCTGTCCCCAAATTAGCCCGGGCCCTGTCTAATCACAGCGCCTGAAGTCGACCCATCAATCGCTTTTTGCGCCGCAACAGCGCAAAGCCCCGGGTGTCCGTCCCCACGCGCGCTAAGGGGAAAAGCCGTTAGACGAAGGGAAAAAAAAAAAAAAAAAGAAGACATTTGTACCCTCCGTACATGTACCGCCGCCAAGGGTACCCGTCCTGCCCTGCACTGCTGCACTGCAGTGTTGCTCTCGCCCACGCAACAACGCACAGCGCCGTCGTCCGCACTAATTCCGTCGCCATGCCTGGGCAAGGTTCTTGCGCCACACGACACTCTTCCTTTGTACTCGTACTTGCACGCCTCGGAGGTACCCAGCGCCTCGTACCGCCCTCCTGCACCTTGTCATCATTCCCTGTCTTACCTCACCTACTGCTGCCACTTACGACCAGACCCTCTGCGTTTTGCTCAACCTTTACATACTAGACTTGTCCCCTCCTCCTCCGTTTGGCTTCATTCTCCTTTGTCCTCTCTATCCGATCTCTCCTCTTCCCTCGCCTTCCTCTTTGGCGCTCCCGGCCTTCCACCCTCTCAGTCCCTTGGAAGAACACCATCCACAGCGGCCTTTTGCCCGTCTCGCACGCAAAAGCCCTGCAGAGCCCACGACGCCTGTCCTCTCGGCCTGTGGAACCTGCTCTCGTCGTCCCTTCGCCTCCCGTCGTCGACCATTTTTCCCACTGCACGGCACTGCACTGCACTGCACGTGCTTCGACACGCCTCGGCTTGCGACAAGTGCGCGCAATTTGCTGCTTCTTTGGCTTCGTCCTTGGGTATTATGAGGTAGTGTTTGGGGTAATCCGCTGTATTCATACTTGTTGGACGATCATCGCCGCCGACTCCTTTTCTGCCCCAATTCTCCACCACGGCTGCTTTTTTGCTGCAAAGATTCGCGACAATTCTCCGCCCTTGCACGACCAGGCGGCCTTTGGTTCTTTTTTGAACACTTATTTTTTGGGCAAGCAACTCCAGCAACAATGATGGACATTGGATCGGGAAAGCCCAAGTTGCCGGCGCTGCTGACGGAGCACGTCAACTTGGCTTTCCTCAACCGCCTTCCCGCTCGCTACGTTCGCCGGCGCCCCCGGGCAAAGTCCAACACGACGCATCGCGGCGAGGACATCACGAGCCTGCAGACCTCGTTCAGCTTCTGGGACGGCCTGCGAGACCTGCAGAAGCACCAATGGCGTCTCGCCGACCTGCAATACCTCGTTCTGGCCGGCCTGACTCTCTTCTCGCTCTACATGGCTCCTCCGGCTCCGGCCCTCAAGCTGTTTGCCCTCATGGGCGCCACATGGGTTCTCCTCATGCCGGCCACCCGCCAGTTCTTCCTCCCGTCGCTTCCCATCTGGGTCTGGCTGCTTTACTTTTTCACTAGTCGGTGAGTTGGCCCTTTTGGTCAATTGGCTGCCGAGTGCTGTGTCGCTAATTCTGCCTTGTCTCGTATAGATTTATCCCTACCGAGTATCGTCCTCATATCTGGGTTCGAATCTTGCCCGCCCTGGAAAACGTTCTCTATGGCGCCAACCTTTCCAACATTCTCTCGGCCCACAAGCACCCCATTCTGGATATTCTAGCTTGGCTTCCCTACGGCATCATGCACTTTGGAGCGCCTGCAGTGTGCTCTTTAATCATATTCATCTTCTCCGCTCCTGGTACTACCCCCGTCTTCGCCCGTGCTTTTGGCTGGATGAGCATCCTTGGTGTCACCATTCAGCTCATCTTCCCCTGCACGCCACCATGGTATGAGAATGAACATGGACTTGTCCCTGCCGCCTACGGAATGCCCGGATCTCCTGCTGGATTGGCTCGTGTCGACGCGATTTTCGGCATTGATCTGTACACGACCAACTTCACCAATGCGCCGCTTCCGTTCGGCGCTTTCCCCTCTCTCCACGCTGCGAATGCTGTCCTTGAAGCCTTGTTCATGAGCCACTGCTTCCCCCAGTTCAAGTTCTTCTTTGCTGCGTACGCTGGCTGGGTTTGGTGGGCGACCATGTATCTGAGCCACCACTATGCCATCGACCTGGTGACTGGTGGTCTCATTGCTGCTGCCTTTTACTATTCTTCTCGTGCTAGGTGGCTCCCCCAACGCCAGGCCGATAAGCTGACCCGATGGGAATACGAGTATGTCGAGACCGGCGACCACCACAAGATTGTAGACGAAGAGTCTGGCCAATACTTTAGCTTGGGCTTCATCGACCACCGTCGTGCCAACTCCAGCGACGGATGGACTGTCGCCAGCAGCTCTAGCTGTAGCTCCAGCAGTGGTACCCTCAGCCCCACTGCTTCAGAAGCCTCAATCCCCGGAATGCTGGTCATGGACTTGACCAGCGATGGCCAAGCCTGGGATGGCCAGATCCCACCGAGGGACGTTGATTTGAGCGAAGTTGTTGTATCACGGTAATGGCATCTTGGAGTCCGACGATGCTGTCGGGCATCTCTTGCTCGACGATACAAATTTTTCTACCATCTCCTATATCACTCAAACTCATCACCCTTACGACGGGTGATTGAGCGTTACGAACCCGCTTATGATTCGATTCAAAATTCGTAATTAATATTTGGCGAAGGCCTTATTTTTCCAAACATCTTTGGCATTCATCGGCACAGCGAAATGGCGCAATGTGGTGTTGATTTTTTTTCTTATTGGTGAGGGGGAATCATGTCCGGCTTCTGTATGGCCAAGCCGGATACCGAATATTTAATACTGGGGAGGGGAGTCTGGATCGGGGAATCATGGGAAAGAAAAGGATATTATTTTTCCATTCGAACCTTTCACAATGATTCGACTGCATATATTCGACACGGGAGGGTACTACTTCAAATGATAGAGTACGTAATGTATACATACCAAGGGGATAATCCGTGCATGGGAGATGGATGGGATGAGTACATGCACTGAACGCTCGCTAAGTGAGCCACGAGTTGGGGCACTGATGAAGAATGAACCCGGAGGGGAATTCGGGTTGGAGGAACGAGCACATTCGGATGCTGGATAGGGGCGTCCAAGAGAGGGCGTTGTTGGAGAGTTAACTAGGCCACTGGCTCAAAATACCAAAGATGCCGCTCGCTCAACCTTTTGAACAAAAGGCACAAATGAAGAAAAAAAATTGATGAAAAACCTACCTACTTTGGGCTCTACATGATGGTTTAACGCTGAATGAATGAATGAATGAATGAAGTGTCTTGTTTACGAACTTCCTACCTGTGATTGCACCAGTCTAGATGAATAATTAAAAATGAAGTGACATATTCCGTGTAAACCAGTCTTATTGTATTCAAAGAAAAAATAGTAATCAGTTCTTCATTCGTTACGTGATATTAAACGCCATTTTTCACTTGCTATGTAGCCAGCCATATACACATGTCTTATGATATCTCTCAACTCTCATGACATCTGCCTTTTCTACCACTTCCCATTCCAGGCACAGCGTTAAATAAAAAACCCTCGAATATTTCCCATGGCTTGAACAGATGGATAAACGGAAAAGAGAAACGGAAAATGAAAAATAAACAAAAAAGGACATTTTAATGAGGGTCTTCTCCTGAAATTGTGAGACTCGATCTTTTTTTTTTCGGTTTGTTTTTTTGAGGAGGGAAAATGGGTGATGGGGGTAGGGGAGGACTTGATTTTCTCTTGCAGTTGAAACTTAGGGGACTCTATCTGAGAAACATGCTGATTGTCAATGGCTGCCAGCGCCAGTGTGCACATGCATGTCTCTCTCGGATAGGAGTTGTCATCCCCCCTCCTAATCACCACTTGTGGCGTGATTCATCATATCGTGTACACTGCTACCTCGCGGCTTCAGGGTTCCAGAGGCCTTTGCTTGTTTGTACGATGCGGTTAGCCAAGTTGCCCGGCTGCAGCAACGCAGGCACATCGGAGCTGGGTGTTGTGTTGCCCATGACTACATCATCGGGTTGTCTGTCCACGTTGGCGTCGCCGTCGTTGCCCTGGCTGGAACCCATGGATATGGCGCTGTCGTCCTTACGGACACCGCTGACGGGCGGAACAGCAGCGTTGGGACCACCGCGGGCGCGTGCGGGCTCTTGGGAGCGGGCACCGTCCATGAGATTCTGGGCCTCGCGGAGCTTGTTGATGGCACGGACGGTGTCGATGGCGGCGTGGAGCGTGCGCCGGGCGTTGAAGTTCTTCTTGATCGTCGGCAGCAAGTTCTCGCCGGCGCCGTCCGAGGGCGCGAGGCCGGCGACGAAAGGGTGCTGGAGGGCTTCGTGAGCGGTAATGCGCTTGTCTTGGTCGATGGTGAGGCAGCGGCGGATGAAGTCCTTGGCATACGATGAGACGCCGCGCCAGTACTCGACCGGGGTAAAGCTGTAGTCGGCGCTGAGGATGGCCTGCATCTCTTCAAAGTCGGAGTCCCGGTCGAAGGGGGTGTAGCCGCAGAGGAGGAAGTAGGTGATGACACCAATGGCCCACAGGTCGACAGGCTTGCCATGGCCTGTCTTCTTGAAGATCTCGGGAGCCATGTAGCCGGGAGTGCCGCAGGTCGTTGTCAAGACATGGAACTGCTCCTCGTCCATGATGCGAGAGAGACCAAAGTCGGCGATGAGCAAGTCTGCGTTGTCCTCGGGTGTGCGGAAGAGCAGGTTCTCGGGCTTCAAGTCGCGGTGAACAATACCGTGGTCGTGGAGGTATGCGACGGCAGACAGCGTCGCGCGGATGAGATCGGCCGCGTCGGATTCATAGTATGAGCCCTTGCGGCAGATGCGATCAAACAGTTCACCTCCGAGAGCCAGGTCCGTAACAAGGTAGAGGTTATTCATTGTCTCGAAGTAGTCAACCAGCGTCAGGATGTTCTGGTGCCCCATGGACACCTTTTTCAGGACGGCGATTTCATTTCGGACCTGTCATCTCCCCCCATCCGATCAGCATGTATTCTTACATCCTTAACAAAAGAAGAAGAGAAAAAGGCGACCAATGTTGCCTAGTTGAGGTGCAGAAAGAGGTTCGCGTACCATGTGCTCTCGCCCCGCCATGAGTCGCTTGTTGATGACCTTGGCTGCATAGTAGCGGCCGGTATCAATATGAACGCATTCCTTGACGACGGAATACGAGCCAGCTCCCAGCGTCTTTCCGACCTTGTATCTACAGGGCTGGACCTGAGGCTGCTGCTGGGGCTGCTGGCGGCTCATCGTGGTCGAGCCGCGATGCCGGAGAGGAGAGACTGGGGAGAAGAAAAGTGGAGGTGCTCGGGACGGGAGAGGCGTTCAGTTGCCGGCTGCGAAAAGAAGAATGGCGGCAGACTCGAGGCGAGGTTCGTTTGGCGTGTGAGAACGAGTTTCGCGAGAAGATGGATTCTTGCGACCTTGGACTGAGAAAAAGGATCTGGGGGGACGGGATTGATTTAGTTGCTACGGCTAAGGGGAGTTTATGGCGGTCTTCAAACCAGGTGGGGGAGGGGCCTAGGGGCAGCCTAGAATGGATGGCTCGAGTCGGCGGCCTATCAAGCAGCGATTTCAAAGCTGATGACCTGAGCAGAGGCTGCCAGTATGACTTATGACTGAGGCTGATTAAACGAGGCGGGCAAAGCAGGGAAAAGGCGAGAAAGAAGCGGCCACTTAGAGTCTAGCCTAAGGATTCTAACAAGCACATCGCAAACATTAGTACATGCACGTAATACGCTGTGCACGGCATAGGGTTTTGCACAAGGGAGTATGTCATGCAATGTGAAGAGGCATTCATTTAAAAGGCGTTGAGATGGGATGAGGGGAGCTGTCTAGCTGTCAAGAGATAAACCCTAGCTGCTTCATGTGCCACTTGTAAACTAAATCGAGGTGGCGACAGGTGGCAGGAGATGTGATTTATTTTTAGCTACCAGCTCTAAAAGTCGATCCAAAATACGAAGCTTGAGTTGAGATGGCAGCGCCAAATACCTAAAGCAGTGGATGTGAGAGTAACACAGGTTAGTGGTACTATAGGTAGGAGTTGGTAGGTATGTGCTATGCGACATTGGAGAATGAGGAATCAGCCGCATGGGGTGCCCGCGATTTCAGTTTGGGGTGCAGCTGAATTCCTCCTCCGACCCCAAATCTGCATGCACTTAGCCGCACCGTGATCGGTGGTGCATTTCCCTTGTAGCGGATGTGTATCGTGGATTAAAGCCGGGCATCTGCTCGTTTTATTTTGAGGCATATGGCGTCTTGTGTCTGCCACTTATACAGCGCCTGCGTATTAGTGGTGGTTAGGAATCTTAGCAGTTGGCTCATGACGAAGCCGGGCCCTCTAAGCAATATCCTCAGTCGCTATTCCGATGGCCCTTTTCGCGACTGCTTTTTGGCACTGTTAAATTTCTTGTCTTGGACTCGTGTCTCGTGAAACCGCTTCTCACTGTCTTTGCTTTAGTTACTCTCTATCTTTCATTGCTCAATCACGGGGAAGCGCGCATACATCTCCTGGTGCTTCTTCTTCTTCTCAGAGCTCGTCTCAGCGGGCGTCATTTCACGATAGATGCTCATGACCTCGTCTATGAGCTTTCGCTTGTTCTCGTCGAGGTTGGCGGATTTGGACCGATGAGTTTGCGCCGAAAACGTGAGAGAGTCATTGCCGGCAGTGTAATACTTGGAAGAGCGCACCGCGGAATGAAGATATTTCGGGAGAACGGCGAGCAGGTCTTTCACGGGATATACCGTGACTGCCTTGGTTTCGGTTCTTCAGATGGCTGCAGTTAGTTGTCATGACCCGATCCAAGCACTGAAGAGAGAATAGACCTCGTCCTCGGGTGATTTCATACTTGTTGACGTGCTGCCCCCCAGGCCCACTCGACCTGGCATATGTCGTACTGCCCTTGGGCAGCTGAGACGCATCAAAGGAATTGTACCACAGCCGTGCCTCGGCCAAGGCGTCCTGGTCTAGCTGAGCATCATACGCCTCGTAGCGTTTAAATCTCACGGGCTGAGATAAGGGCAAGGACAGCCTCGGCTGCCGCGACACGATTGCTGGCTGCACCCTTCTCGTTGATAAATGCCACAGTAACATGATGACGCCGGCTAGGGTTTCTCGCATCCCATAGCAAGACGCTTTGATTGTGGCCCACCCTACTCCGTAGGTATCTACAGTAATGCCGCAGCTCTCCCTCGCTCATCCGGTGAGGCCAGCGCTAGTCTTATCCCTCCGGCCGCATGTATCAGTTGCAAATGATGCAGCAATAAAGTAATAGATAAGCCCATTCCAATCAGACGGACGGGAATAATCCCAACTGGTTGCCTTGCCGAGTTTTCGCTCGCGCCCCGCATTGCCTTGTGCCATTGCTGGCCCAAACAGGGCTAGCCAGATGGCAGAATTTGAGGCGGCTTCTGCCATAAGCCTCCCGGCTGTTCTGCCAAATCTGCTTCCTCTCCTCCAACCAACTCCCGTCAAGTCAACCCTCGAAATCTCTTCAACGTAGCCTCACCACGTCTGGGCGCGTCCCGTCACGGATCGCCTCCCGTCTCTGTTGCCCGTTCCATCGCACCGAGGCCGTTTCTCCGAATCCCGTACTCGAAGCCGCCTCTCGTAGCCCGGCCAGCGTTTTGTGTCGCAAGCTGCAATCGTTGTCCTGCTCTTCATCAAAGAATCCTTGCGCGCCCGCCGCACAATCAGCCCCACATCGAACCATCGTCGACAAGCAGGTTATAATAATCCCTCTCTCAACCGTCGGCAAAAGGTACTCCATAATAGCCTCTCTGCGCGGATGCAACTGCCCAGCCTCTCTCCCCCTTAGACCTCTTCTAGCCAGCGCGAGCCCAGCTTCATGCCAGAGCCTGAGCCCGAAGCAGCTCTGCAGGCCACAGCCAACCTCTCTCCCGTCTCTCCCTCGCCTGTCCACACAGCCGCGCCTCTTGTGGTGCCAGCACTCCAGCACACGGTCGATACCATCGACGCCATGGTCGCTGCTGCTGCCTCGCTTCCTAATGGGACGGCCGACGCCCCCATCGTCGACCCTTCCCTCGCGCCCTCTGGTGAAACCGACGATGTCGTAGATGATGACAGCTTCAGCGATGCCTACGGCGAAGAGACAGAGGACGTGGCAGTAGAGCCTCCGCGGCAGGAGCTCGTCGACAACAATGACGACTACGCCAAGACGTTTGATTCTCCTATCGGTCCCGAGGAAGGGGAAGACCAAGATGTATCATCAGAACAACGAGAATCCAACGAGAATTCATCATCATTTTTATCCGATCATTTGACTAGTCGCCCATCAGACGTCTCTCATATCGCTGCTGATTCATCCGCGTCTGCCCCAGCTGCTCAGAACCCATCTCTCTCTACCGCCCAGCCCGATGCTGGTCCTGAGCCCGCCATGCCGCAAGTTAGCGATGCACGCGCTGCTTCCATCCCGTTTGTGGCTCAACCCACGCCGCCCGGAGCTGGCCCTGCCAGGCAAGACTCCGAGAACTCTTCATCTCTTGACATCCAACAGCTCGTGGCTGACCTCACTGCCCATCCCGCTGAGTCTAGCCCCGGGAACCCTGACCCAACGGCTGATGTCCCGGTGGCCTCTAACCCCTTTCCCCCAACTGCTACCTCAACCACCACCACCCTCCCTACTGCTCTGCCATCATCTTCCTCTCTCCCACCGCGCCCTCCATTGCCGCAGGTCGCCCCCCAATCGTATGCTTCTCAGCACCATCCTCCCGGAACCAATCCCAATGTCCCAGGAAGCGTCGGGGTCTCGCCCACGCCGGGACAGCCCTCCACTTTTGCTATTGCTGGTGCCCCCGGAACCTCAACTGAAGCTTTGGGGAATCTCCCACCTCCTCCTGCCACGGCCATGAACCCTTCAGCTGCTGCAGCATCCATAAACCCTTCTCCATATCCTTCCAACCCGCCTGGATATCCTGCTGATCGAGCCCAAGATGCCGACTATCAGCGACAGTGGGACCAGTTCATGGCCGATGAGCGACAGTACATGTCGGAGGCCAAGTGGGATCGTTTCCCTGAAGGGTCGCGTATTTTCATCGGTTAGTGACTCCGTCTCGGGCTCATGTTCCCACTCTCCAAGATATACACGCCTACATGTGCTAATGTGACCTTTTTTTTTTCTTGTAGGAAATCTCTCCAGCGACAAGGTTTCCAAACGTGACGTGTTTGATATATTTCACAGATATGGCAGGCTGGCCCAGATTTCTCTCAAGTCAGCGTATGGATTCGTGCAGTATCACACCGTCGAGGAAGGCCGTAGTGCCCTAGAAAACCTTCAGGGCATGGAAGTCAAAGGACGCCGTATCCGTAAGTGATTATCTAGTTCTCTATCGATCTAGACCTCCTTTTTTTTTTCTTTCTCTTTCATTCAATAGCATGTTACTGACCATGATGTAGATTTGGAAATTTCTCGGCTCCAAGATAAATCCAAGAAAGAGAGGAACCGTAGTCCTGAGCGGGCCCGCGGACGTGAGGGCGGCCGTAGAGGAGAAAAATACCGTGATGATAATCGATCAGCGCGCAATCAGTCGCCTCGTCGTAATGAGTATTATGGCAGGGCCGACAGAGCTGACAGAGCCGACCGGACTGACAGAACCGAGAGCTATGGCCGGGATCGAGGATACTATGACTTGGGCAGAGGCCGTGGCCGCTCCCGATCTCCCAACGGATATACCAGGAACGAAAAAGATTCCTACCGTAGGAGATCACCCAGTCCCTACAACAGATCGCGGCATGAGGCAGAGCTTGATCTACCGCGTCGATATGGCGCAGACGTTCCAGACGTGCAAATCATTATGCAGCCAGATGTCAATCGGGACTTTGGCACTTGGGTCGAGGGCGCCTTTAAAGCCAAAGGCCTGAGAACCAACGTCATGTATCTCCACCCGCGATTTCCGAAGGACCAAGTCATCCAACGACAGGCGGCCGAGGGCGTACATGGAGTTGTAGACTTGGACCTCCGCGCCCAAGGTATGGCGAGGATTCCCGTCCACTCATTCGACCGGTCCGGCGGCATCCACAATGTCCGTTTCGAGCAGTATGTCGACCTGGAACCAAGCACTGCGGCAGAAGTCATCATGCGAGCCAAAACTTCTGCTTCGGGCGCTGCCAACTATGGCCAACCCTATGGAGGCGCCGGTGGATATCCTGCACAGTATGGTGCACAGGCCCCGCAACCTCCTCACGTAGCTGCGTATCCTGGTATGCAGCAGCCCGGTTCGTACCCACCGCAACCTGCACCATCTGCCGCCGACCTCGCGAGTCTCATCGGCCAGGTAGACAACAACACGCTGCAACGGCTCTTGTCCACCATTCAGGCAGGGCCTGCGGGAGTGGTGCCTGGCGGACTCGCACACGGCGGCGCCAAACCCGCGGCGCCAGCAACCAATGCACCCGTCGATATCCAAGCAATCTTGGGGTCTCTCAATGGAGGAGCAGCACCACCGCAGCCACTCCACGCAGGCCATCCTCAGATGCAATACAGCGCGCCATACAATGGCCAGGCGTCCGTGGGCGTCGCGCAGCAGGCGGCGGGCACCGGCGACGCGGCGGCTCAGGTGCAGAATATCATGGCTCAGTTGGCTCGTTATCGACAGTGATGCAGCTTGTGGTTTTCCTCATTTTCTTTTCTAATAACTTGCTTTTGCTGCCGCCTCCTTCCTCTTACTTTCCGGAAGCCGAGGTTACATGAATGATTCTTGACGATGGTGCATTTCAGATTCTGATACCATATGGAGGCCTGGCATGATTGCTTTTTTCACTTGATACGATGGCATTGTGGAGTTTGGCAAGTACGTCCAAGGGAGGATAGATAGACACCGCTGGAGAATGGGCTTGGCATGCCTCATTGGATTTGCTAGCACTTTCATCTGTCGAATTGGTTCTGCGGTTGTGCAAGACCGAAGCACGAACCCTGCAGAGGGTTAATGACCAACCTGTAAAGGGGTATGAAGCCTAGAATAAAACTTTTTGAAGTATCATATTTCGTGCCTCTGAAATGAATGTTGGAACAATAATAAACCTTTATAACCTTGGATGCATCTAATGATTAGGTACCCTTCTCTCTCTCTCTATGTATAAGTATATGCTTCGTCTCTCATCAAGGCATCACCATCCGAAGCTCTCATTGTGCCACCATACTTCACGGCCTTTGAGGACCCACGGCCCTATCCGTTGTCGTACCTCCCTTGACATTTCTTCTGGGCCGCAGACTAGAATGGCGACCCTTTCCTCTACGCCGTGGCGAAACATGTCATCTACGATCTTCTGGATGTTGGGCCGTCTGCTGTTATTGCTCGCGGCAGAGCGCTGTGAGCGAGATCCTCGCGTCATGTTCTGGAGCTCGATGGAGGCATCGCGGGTGCCGTCATTTGCGTTACTGGAGAAGCCGATGTTCTCTGTTAGATAAAGATGGACATTGTCGTCGTCAAGGAGAGGTTTGTCGGAGCCGTTGTCGGCCATGGCCCAGGTGGCGTCGGCGGCGGAGTGGATTGCCCAGACGAATTGGGCGTGGACGGAGGGGAGTTCGCGCTGGAGGGCGTGGTAGAGCGGGAGGGTGAAGGTTGCTCCCACGCCGCCGGCGACGAGGAGGATGCGGGAGGCGCCCCAGGTTAGGAGGTGCTGGAAGTGCTTGCCTATGGCGCCGTGTGGTCCCTCGATGGCGAGGGTGATCTTGTTGTCGTCTGGAGAGGAGGAGGAAGAGGTCGGGGCAGCGAATTGGGAGAGAATGTTGGTCATGGGGCCTGTTCTCCTTCTTGCAACAAGGGTGATGCTCTGGTTGTCCTGGCTGGCGGAAGCAACGGTAAAGGGGTTGAAGAGGAGGTCGAAGGTGAATGATTTGGATGCTGGATATTTGCTGGTTCGGCCTTGAGGGGAAAGACTGAGGTAGATGTGAGAACCCGGCCGAGAGCGGAACTCTTCAATCTTTTTAGAGGACATGGGAGCTGAGATTTTAATGAGGTTTGTGCCGGGGACAGTCTCAAATGTCGAGGCCGTGTGCGTGGTGCCGATTCTGCGATAAGCAATGTCCACGAGGAACACGACGATGCTCTCGGCGGCGTAGAAGCGAGCGGAATGAGCGTGGAAGAAGAGCAGCACCGGGGCAAGCAAGGCAACGGCCAAGTGTGTGACGAAGAATAGGCGGTACGAGTACTGCCTCACGCGGACCAGAGCGGTGGCGATGAGGCCGTCGAAGCCGAGGGCGGCGAGGACGCCGCAGAAGACGACGGGGGCGAAGAAGCGCTTGAGCCAGATGCCGGAGAGGATGAAGAAGACATTGTAGAAGATAATGTGGGTGATGATGAGGGCGTAGATGACGCGGCCGAGGGTGCGGTGGTAGCGGTTGATGTGCTCGTGGGAGGAGCTGAAGGCATAGGCGTAAGGGTTGAGGGCTTTGAGGGCAAGGAGGTATTGGATGGGGAGCTGGGAGATGGCGATGGTGCCGAAGCGTTTTGTGAGGTGGAGGTAGTCTGTTGTTTGAGTTAGTCATGAGTTGGAGTATATATGATGGGTGATGAATGTGAATTGGGTCGAGATGCTGAGATCTCATATGAGATCCGTGGATATTACAAATTCAGCAAACCAGAGAAACAAGACATCACTTTTAAAGACATGAGCTCAGCTTACCTTCTCCCGTTTCCAATACACACAAAAGCAATAGCCAGCCCGTCCAAACAAGCCCCAGCACCCACTCATCTCTCTGCCCCCAACTCACGCCTCCCAGGACAACATCGTCTCCTAGCCACCAAACCACTGCTCTCCATCTCGCCGCCAATGCGCCAATTGCACTGCTGCGCTGAGCTTTGACGGAGGGCGATCCGGGGATGTGAGAGTAGCGGCCTCGATCGCCCCCATCTCGGCCGAGGCGAAGAAGCAGCCTAGCAGCGCGAAGCACGAGGCGGACGAGGATGGCGATTACCGCCGGGGCGAAGGCTGAGAGGTGGGCGATGTGGGCATAGTGGTCGATTGTGTGGCGGCGGACGAGGACGTCTTCCTTGGACAGGGTCAGGAAGTGGTACGGCCAGCTCATAATTTTTTTTATTTTTCTTGTTTTTTTCTTATTTTTTCTTTTTTTAAAGTGAGATTTATGGGGGTTGGATGGGTTGGTAATGACCACTAATACGGAGGATACATGTTATCTTGATGCTATCTTGAGCTATAGCGCTTGCGTGGCGTGGGGGATGCGCCACGGAGAGAAGAGAGATGTGGCTGCTTGGGGGGGATTTGAGCCACACTTGGGTACACTTGCATGCGCAAGCGATTTTTGGGGAGGGGCATCAGTCATCAAGGTACCTACTAAGGTACCATCGCGTGCCACCCCGATTTCTGGTGACGATGTATTCCCTTGTAAGACGGTGTGAAAAGCTTTCGTCTCCTTAATAAGCCTTTTAGAGGCCTGAAAAGCCTTACCAGAGCAGTGACCAGAGGAAATTCCTTTTGGAAATCGTCACCAGAAAACAGCTTGGCGCGCGAATAGGTAGTTTTTGTATACATACCTTAGTAGGTACCCAGTGAGGCAGGCAAACATGTGCGTGGGATGATGAGATGCAGCGTGGCTGTAGATACTTTGCAACAACCCAATTCAATCATATTTAGTCATATGTATCTATGCAAATCCTCCATCCTAGCAGCCCGTCTCAGGATGCATGCAAGTGCAGCATCCCGTCCATCTTACTCAGATGCTACACAGCACACTACCAGGTACCCAGGTACATTCCTAACGTATAACCTTGAAGGTTAACGTGCAAGTACCTTCAATTTCGGTGACTTGCTGACATTGAGCCCTGAGCCAATTCGACCCCTTTGTCACTGCTTCCGAATCTGGCAAGCAGTCTGACAGCAGCAGCAGGCTGACAGCAGCAGTAGGCCAGCCAGAATCTCTGGCATTTGATTTGAGCAATTAATTCCCCAGGGCTTGCCCCCTTGGCGTAATCGGCAGCAGCTGTGCCAATGGCAGGCAAACCAGCGACAAATGACTCTTAGTTGACGGTTTTTGCTGCAACTGGAGACACATGGGAATGACACCAGCTTTAGGTGGCGCCGCATGCTTTGGGCTCCAAGTGCCAGACGCCACGCCAGAAACAGTGCTCGGCCGGTGAATATGCAGGCGATCTTGGTGCCTGGCCTCTTTTTTCAGGGGAGACGTTATCCAGCACCCCAAAATCATTATCCAGCACCCCAACTTTTGGTGGGAAATACCAGAAGATACTTATACGTTAAAGGAAGTTTTAAAGGTTTACGCATAAAAAAAACAGCCCCAGAATTTTTATTTTAAGAATTCAATAGTATAAATATTAAAGAATATCTGCTTCTTTTTTTTTTAAGGAAAAAAACGAAATTTAAAGTAAATTATGATATTTTTAATTTATGAGGAAGTACCTTTGCGTAAGAGATCCTATTGATGTTTTGCTGAGTCATCCGCCCGACAGTACTTTATTCTTCTATGGGCCTGCCATAGTGCGCGCAAGTACCCAGGGTGCTGGATAATGATTTTGGGGTGCTGGATAACGTCTCCCTTTTTCAGCAGTTTTCAGCGCCTTTCAGCGCCCCTCTCAGCACTACAACCTCTATCATAGACGCTAGAATGCGCACCAGCTTCACTAATTCTCACCGCCCTATGCCCCACTGATTCTCCCCGCTATCCGATCTCGCCCGTATACGTCCTCTTGTAGCTTTTTTTTCTCGGGCATTTTTGAAAGTGCTTCGTCCTGGGCGCCACGGAAAATTTAGTCGGCGCATTTTTCCCTCTTGTCATCCTTTTTCTTCTTCTCTTCACCATCTTCCATATCTTTGGCCCTTTCCTCCTCTTCCTTCTCCCCAAAGGCTCTCATCCCTTGGTCAATTGCCCTCTTCATTCATCACACTCTTCGACTCTCATCCCACTATCCACATCCACAATGTCTACCTACGCTCTGTCGACGTCTCACAAGGAGGTTCGTTGGGTGCCTTTTGCCCATTGGGCTCGCCTGCTTGGCTTGATGAAGCTGCTGTACTGACTCGATCCTGCTTTGTAGATGCTTGAGAAGTCTCTTCTCGAGTCTGACCCTGAGGTCGCTGCCATCATGGTACGTTGCCATCATTTACCCCTCCATCGTCTTATCAATTGCCTGGTCCCCTCATCCAGCATCTTCACATGACTCATTCAGCTAATGGAGCTTGCAGAAAGATGAGGTTCAGCGTCAGCGCGAGTCCATTGTTCTCATTGCCTCCGAGAACATCACCTCCCGCGCCGTCTTCGATGCCCTGGGTTCTCCCATGTCCAACAAGTACTCTGAGGGCTACCCCGGCGCTCGTTACTATGGTGGCAACCAGCACATTGACCAGATCGAGCTGCTGTGCCAGCGCCGTGCTCTCGAGGCCTTCCACCTCGACTCTGAGAAGTGGGGTGTCAATGTCCAGTGCCTCAGCGGCAGCCCTGCCAACCTCCAGGTCTACCAGGCTATCATGCCTCCCCACGGCCGTCTCATGGGTCTCGACCTCCCCCACGGTGGCCACTTGAGCCACGGTTACCAGACTCCCCAGCGAAAGTAAGCTATAGAACGAGCAATGGAACCGTCTTGGAAGAAAGCTTTTGACTAACAGTGAATTGCAGGATCTCCGCTGTCTCTACCTACTTTGAGACCATGCCCTACCGTGTCAACCTCGAGACTGGCATCATCGACTATGACCAGCTCCAGCAGAACGCCATCCTGTACCGCCCCAAGGTCCTTGTTGCCGGTACTTCCGCCTACTGCCGTCTGATTGACTACGAGCGCATGCGCAAGATTGCCGACTCTGTCGGTGCTTACCTCGTTGTCGATATGGCCCACATCTCCGGTCTCATTGCCGCTGAGGCCATCCCCTCCCCCTTCAAGTGGGCTGACATTGTCACCACCACCACCCACAAGTCCCTCCGTGGCCCTCGTGGTGCCATGATCTTCTTCCGCAAGGGTGTCCGCTCCGTCGACGCCAAGACCGGCAAGGAGACCCTCTACAACCTGGAGGACCCCATCAACTTCTCCGTCTTCCCCGGTCACCAGGGTGGCCCCCACAACCACACCATCACCGCTTTGGCTGTTGCCCTCAAGCAGGCTCAGACCCCCGAGTTCAAGGCCTACCAGGAGAAGGTTGTCTCCAACGCCAAGACTCTCGAGGTCAAGTTCAAGGAGCTCGGCCACAAGCTCGTTGCTGATGGAACTGACAGCCACATGGTCCTCCTCGACCTTCGTCAGTTCCACCTTGACGGTGCCCGTGTTGAGGCTGTTCTCGAGCAGATCAACATTGCTTGCAACAAGAACGCTATCCCCGGAGACAAGAGCGCCTTGACCCCTTGCGGTATCCGCATTGGTACTCCTGCCATGACCAGCCGTGGTTTCGGAGAGAAGGACTTTGAGCGTGTTGCCCTCTACATCGACCAGGCCATCAAGCTCTGCGTCGAGACTCAGGCTTCCCTGCCCAAGGCCGCCAACAAGCTCAAGGACTTCAAGGCCGAGGTTGCCTCTGGCAAGATCGAGAAGATCAACGAGCTCCAGAAGGAGATTGCTGCTTGGGCCAGCAGCTTCCCTCTTCCCGTTGAGGGCTGGCGCCTGGATGCTGGCATCTAAGTGCAAGATGCTGCAGAAAACAAAAATATTTTCTTTTATTCATATACCAAAATAGTTTAAAAACCGTGGAGAATCAAAAAAAGATGAAAGTCCACCGAGGGGGCATTTAACATAGGATGGGACAAGAGCCACAAAATGGGCGAAAGGTTCAACAACTTTGCAATTTTAGTTTTTTTCATGAGGTCTGGCGCATGCGATTCTTTTCCATTTCAACCGGAAGTGAGTGGGAGGAGTTTTGACTGGGTATATTTTGGGGGATTGAGGCATACAACCTTTTTTGTCATTGGGTGTGTCCGTCCTGTCCTGCTTCAACAAGTAGGCGAGCTTAGTAAGAGAAAATCATTATTCTCCGAACCAATTTGTATGCCTAGTGATGTTTTATGTGTTCCACGATGGTGATGTTTATGTAGTTCACGGTATATTTGCCCATGGATGGCACTACACATTCACTTGCTACCCATATGTTTACTGGCGAGTTTCATGCCAAACAAGCTCATTAAAGGCTGTGTATTGCCTATCACCTAGCATTCTTCCCTAGCTCGTTTTCCCGCGCCCGCCACCCAACCCCATCCGCCTTATTTGTCCTTGCATTCAAACCATCCGTTCGTCGTCCATTGCCTTCAACCGAAGAATCAGGTATAGCACGAACCATAAAAACGGGACAAGAAGAGGGAAGAAAAAAAGAAAACAATGTGAAAGAAAGAAAAAGAAGAAAAAAGGCAAGCAAACAAATCAATTGACCAAGGCTCTTCATCTAAGCCACCAAGATCAACCATGGCCACGCAGCCGAAATCTCATAATAGAATTCGATAATCTAGAAATCGGGTACCAGAAAGGACAGTTTAACCACAAACCGACAAGCAAAAAGAAAAAAAGTAAGAGGAAAATAGGTTAGAAAAGGAAAGAAGGAGAAAAAGAAGAGCACACCCGCCCCAGTGGGAAAACCAATCTTTGCCGCCTCATTGCATCAAATCATCCACACGTCTCTCCTGTTCTTAATTGTTTTTGTGGCTGGTTTTTTCATGACCATGGCAGATGGCCGCCTCTTTTTTTTTTTTTTTTGGTTGGAACTCAATGCACAAACTGAAAATGTAGCGAGTCTTTTTTTGGGTGGGAGATTTAGTCCGATTTCGGGGTTTTCATTCTTTTCGTCTTGCTGCAAATAAACCACCAAATTGTTCGCAATCTTCGTAATAGCCCTCTACTTCGTTGAGAGCAAGGGCATTTTGTTTCCATAATCATATCCTATAAAACGCCGCACAAAAGTTCCAAGGTCGGCCAATTCGGAGGAAAAGACATGTCAAGAGCTGAAAGGGGTAATAGAACGAACAATAAAGAAAAGGCCGGTCCGGTCCCTGCCCCAGGTCCGAAAAGGGGTATAGTGGGGGTGAGGGTAGAAATCATTAGAAGTCGAGAAGCATTAGAGCATCAGATATACATTTAGTAGCGAAAAGAGGTGGCTGGCCGGAATGCTGGTGGATGCAGGCATAGTGGCTGGGCCGATATAGATGGGGTTTTGTGTTTTGCACCGAATTCGCTATTAGGTGCATCGTATATGTACAGTATTGATAAGAGGAAGCTGAGAGGTTATACGTTCCGAGTTGCCGAAAACCCAAATGTTTGCCGTTGTTACTGAGCGTTGCTATTGAGCAATGCTCTCTGGACTCATCATGCCAGTTGTGTCGTCCTTGTCAGTTTGGCTCATGCCCCCCTGACTCTGCATGCTGTCCGTCCGCTCCATGCTTGGTGCTAGTGCTAAGAGCGCAGGATTGGGAACAGCACCATTCGGTAGAGGCGTGGTCATTTTCTTCGCAGCCGCTGCGTTTGCTGCTCCCGCCTTCTGGGGGGATGCATTCAATCGAGCCTCAGCCGCAGCGGCCTCCAGCTTCTTCTTCTTCTTAGCGAGTGCCAACTGCTCCTTGGGTGGACGTTTCTGGGCGGAAATGATTTTACCGCTGGCACCAAGACGAGGGCGCGGTTTGCGTTGCTTGGTCGGCAAGTCTTCATCCTCAACCAGTGGTGAATCGCCATTAGCGTGAAGTTTGGCAAGGAAGAAGTTCTTAACCAGGCCAACCTGGTGCTGGATGTTCTCCTTGGTGACAGGCTCGGAGATGGAAAGCGGCTCGAATATTTCACTGCTCGACCCGCCAGAGTTTTGTGTTTGCATCTGGTACTGGCTGCGCACTCTGCTCTGTAGCAAATGGAAGGGCACGGAAACAAAGTCAAGACCCATTTCCTTGTCCAGTCCGAGAGCCCGGAAGCCGAAGAAATCTTCTCCAAGATCCTCAGCGAAATCTCCGCTGGTGAACTGATCACTGCCATCGTTGAAGGCGCCAGCTCCGTCTTCGCCAGCTTCTGCCGAGAGAGCGGGGCGAAGCAGGTCTGCCAGATGAGACTTCATTCTGTCGTGCAGAGCACCTAATCTGCTGCTCAATCTATCCACGTCATCTTTGACGTAGCTTTCCAAAGTTGCAATGTCATGACCGTTCTCCTCCAGCGTATGGAGGATCACCTCTTCTGGTGTAAAGCGCGCCTGCAGCATCGTTTCGCCACCAACCTGGACTGTTTTCTTTTCAGCCTCACGATAGATGTTGAACGTTCTGATTAGCTTCTGAAAATAGTCTGATGCGATCCCTGTAAAGGTATCTATAGCGGATGGCTGTAGCTCCTCGAACCCCGTGGTGTAGAGAATCTTCGCAATGGAGCGCTTTAAAGCATTCTGGCACGTCTCAGCTGCCATTACCGGGCCATCATCTGCAATGAAATGCGGCTCAATATCCAGCTCCCTGAAGGGTTCCGAGTTTGACTTTGGAAATTGATTCGTATAGACCTTTAATGAACTGTAAGCTTGTAATCACCCTAAAAAGAAGAAATTCTACGAGCGGAGCTCTTCTTACCTGGGATTGGACCTGCATCTGCTTGATGACAGAAATCTTCATAGCCAGCTTTCTTGTTTCTTGTATCTGGTGGATATTTTCGTCCATCTTCTTGGTCAATTTACTTTGTGATGCAACAAATGAGCCGGGTGACACAAGCCGAAGAAATTCTTCATGCTGGTTGATAACTTGGCCATCGCCATCTTCGACCCATTGCAGCTTTGATGGGATATCTGGAATATTACTCAGAGGGGTATAATAGTCAGGAATTACTTGCTCCTTTTCCTCTTCGATGCCCTCAGCCAACGTCTCAGGTGCTTTGCTTCCCGCGGCCTTGGCAGTAGTTGCGGAAGTATCGAATTCGGCGCTGTTGGTCAGCTCGGCCTCTTTTTGGCGAGCCAGGAATCTTCGTATTCCTGCCTTGCTTCTGAGTAAGGCGGGAGCGTCTGTGCTAAGCTTGTTGTCCTTGAAAAGCAGAAACCGTTCCTTGGCAGTCAGAGCTCGGTCTTTCTTTGTGCTTTGCTTCCATATCTTATACTCCTCATCTTCGTAAGCCTGCTCAGCAGCTTGGCCAAAGGCCTGGTTCAGACTCATTCCATTGATGCTAGGACCGTCAATATCCATGGCATCAGCGTTGCTTGTAATTCCAGACGGGCCATTGGCAGCACCAGGTGTAATGGAACCACCAATCGGAGGTGTGGCAAAGCCATTGCTTCCATCCATTTCTGAGCCTTCGCGGCCAAGCTTGCCAAGCAATCCGTTTACTTGTAAGATTGGCTTCTGGTCAACCACGGGAGTATCTTCCTTTGGATCGTTAGGGGCCTTCCTGGACTTATTGGCTCCCTTGGTAGTGGCCTTGCGACCACGAGAAGACATGATGGGCTCATCATCAGAGTCCTCACCACCGTCATCTTCGCCGCCGTTTTGCTTCCTTCGTTCTTCAGCTTCAACTTCGGCACGCGATCGGATGGTGAGATCCGGAATAAGGGGTATCAATTTCTCGGCTTCCTTCCGCATGCCATTTGCCATTCGGCGGAGGGGATGATTCATGTCTTGATTATACTTGAGGCAGTTGTCCCAAATAAGATTAAGATCGACCACAAATTCCGTCTTGGATTTGTACGTCAGCGACTTTAACTTTTTGGTCATTGTGCCCAGATCCATCGGGTTTTTGATAACTAAAGCAAGATTAGTAAAGACACACGCCCGAGGGCGAAATTTGGAGTCTGCCCATACAATTATAATAATCAGGAGCGTCTCTCTTGTTGACACGGGTGAGAAACGGCGTTGAATACTCCGTATGCGCCTTCAGCTCTGTCAAAACCTTTTCTAGGGCTTCGTAAAGCTCTTCCTGGTTGACATTTTCTTCGCTTGCCCACTTGCTGCGGTTTTTCCGCACTTCGTTCATCAAGAGCCTAAGCTCGGCATCGGAAGCTTTTACCTGATCTCTCTTCATATCTATCCTTGCAATGAGATGTTTGAGGGTGAGACTGGACGCGCCAAGATTCGCGCTGCTAAGAGAGCCTTGATTCGCAGCTTGTGACCCAGTCGCGCCTGTGCTGTGATTATTCTCCATTTCTGCCTGGAGCTGCTTCTCGGAATCCTCTAGTTGCTGCTGCTCAAGCATTGCTGTTCGGTCGTTCTCTAGTGTATATATAATCGTATGGAAGCTTCGCCGAGCGGCGGCTTCTGTTGCCATCCTCACATCTTCAAGCTGCTTGATGGCATCATCTTCAGGCTTCCCCTTGGTCTGCGACCCATCCTGGGATCTCGCTTTATCTGCTATTCTGCTGGGAGAAGTGACCGACTGAACCGGAGAACTGCCGGATTTGGACGGCGATAATAGCGAGTTGGAAGCAACAGCCGCACCCTGAGGTTTGGCCGTGGCAGACGGGATATCCTCGTCGTCTTCGTCCTCATCATCATCGTCATAATCATCTTCGTCTATTGTACGTTTCGCCTTCTTTAGTGGCGGCTCTTTAATGGGCTCGTGGTCGGTGGTTGGGGGGAGGGTAACGGCAGGGGTGGGGGGATAGCGTCGGAGAGCCTCGATCGCGTCCAAGTTATAGGATCCATCGTCGGCAAAGAGCAGAGCGATCTTTTCCTCTGATTTTTGAAACAAGTCTGCGAAATGGGCGCGTCGCCTCTCGTCTTCGATATCAAGGGTTGCCTCAGGCATCAACACCAGCGAAGTGTCGACTGGGGTCGCGATACGCGCCAACCCATCGTCAACAATCTGCAAACTTCTGCTGCTGTTGGAGTGATGCAATCCTGGCGGCGGCCAGGCTGCCTGACCATTTGGAAGTGTCATATTGGGCCCCGGGCGATGGAAGCGACAGCAGGGCCCCTTTCGCCATGCGCCAACAAATGCGCTCGCGTGCGGCCGGACCGGGAGCGAATGAGGAACTCAAGACGACATGGGACAAAGGAGCGGCATCGACAGAGATGGCAGCCAGAAAATCGCGACAAACGGAGATGACTTGGCCGAGTTTCGATGGATCGCGATCGCCTGGTTTGTCTGCGGATCGAGAGGTGAGGTTGAGGATTTGGGAGGCTTGTACGTATGGGGAACCCTTCCCCAAAGCGGAGACTTTGCACTGGGTCACTGTTCGGCGGCAGCTGGGCCGGTACCAGCTCGCTATGGGGCGCTTTACCGGCGTCTTGGAGCAGGGCGACGCAGGAGGAGATGCTGCATGGAAATATCGATAAGGCCTGCTTTGCTTTGACAGGCTCTATGCATGCGGCTGCAGTGATTTCTCGCTGGTAATTGGGCCTACGTTGTGCGTGTACATGTCACGGATAGAGGCATTAGCATGACAAAGTACTTGTACTCGTACTGTGCCTTGTGTGCATTATGTCCTTGCCTTAGTAAGGCGCTGCAGAAAGGGACTGGCCTTTTTTTTTTTTTTTTCTGAGATCAGCTTCAATTACACGTGAGACTACACGTGATATTTACCTGCTCACGTTGACAGATTAACCCGACAGAATGATAGAATGTAGAGACCACGCCGAAGAGGCCAGGCAGTAGAAAACACAGGTTGTTGGTAGATTTACTTTGAATATTCCCTTTGTGCGCTTGAAGAGAGATTGATGCATTAGCTATGCTAGACATAGCAAATTCGTACCCGAGGGTGAACCGTGCCCACTCAGGTGTTCCATTTGTTTAGGTGGTCGTCCAGCTACTGTAAGCTGGCACCACTTGCGACTGAGTCGGCACGTATTCGGCTGCGCCACAGCTTCTCCAGCTCAAGACAAGCTTCGTTGCATCGCACGCCGCTTGCATGCAAATTCTGGGTATTGCATCTGGTCGTTTCGTCTAGAGAGCTTTGCTGCTCTCCAGGCCTTCATACAGCTCAAGCCTTTGCACATTTAGAGCCGCCTACTCGACTTCCCCGACCTAGCCATGCGGATAAGATTGCCCTTTGCAGGTGCGTACGTCATTAGCCCAGGCCGCACAACATCACCGAAACCCCGTCCCTTGCATCCTGCGAATAGCATGCGCGCCGGCCTTGTGAATCGACTGGAAGATGCTAATGTTGGTTTCAAGGTGCTTTCCTGTTCCTGCTGCTACTAGCGGGCTACGCCGGACTATCGTCTATACAGCTCGGCGCTTATGTCAACGACAAAGTCCTTCACTTCGTAACGTTCTTCCTCCTGACGGTCGTATTCTACTGGGTCGTTGATACCAATCGCCGACGAACCTTGCATATGACCCTGGTTGTCTGTACTCTCATCCTTGGCGTCGGATCCGAATTCCTACAGAGTTTCCTTCCCAACAATCGAGATTTCGACATCTACGATATAGTAGCAAACATCGTTGGTAGTTTACTTGGACTTGGCATCTGCGCATGGTATCACAGGCGTATGCTTGAAAGGAAACGCCAGCGCAAGCATTATGACGCTGTCCCGGGTGAGGACACTGAAGATGTAGAGTTGGGGCAAGGGCAGGAGTCCGGAATCACAGACTCCTCGAGTCGAGGCAGGACTCTCGAAGAGGAAGTCGATAACTGGGATGAAAACGCCGAAGACAACTGGGACGAAGATAACGCATCGATTCCCGACATGCCATCACCTGCAATCGCCAAAGAAACAGATGTAGCTGATGCTCGGGAAGCTAAGAAACGAACAGACTAAAATGTTTTGGCTTAGTATCTGGAGTTTAGGATCGATCTAGGGGATTTCCATGTCTCTACGCGAGTATGATCACGGGATAGGACTGCGGGCGTTTCATGTCAAAATTGTGTCATCTGGGCACGACGGTATGAATAGGAGGGTAGACGATGTATATGTGCTCATGCCGCTTAGTTATATGTCTTTTGAACTTGGGGGGATAAAACGCCATCTTCAGCTTCATATGTTTTCACAAGAATACAGAATAAAAAGTTTGTTTACCGATCAAGCACATTCTGCGTATGAAAAGAGTAATAGCAAAGCTCATTAGCAGGTTTTCCCCTACAGAACAACAATGACCCAGCATTTTGAGAAATAGGATTCACGCTATGTAGGTATGAACCGAAGACTCCTTGACAATTTATTGCACACACTAGATAGGAGCCAATGATCAAGTCACAAATATGTTCTAGTTCTATAAAAATCCATTCTGATTAATTCATCATCCCCGACAAGACAGCATAACGACCCCTTTGTAAAACATCTTGGTTATGGGCTGGCATATGAACGCTTACCCTGTACTCAGAACCTGCCTAAAGTATCCGTGGTATTATTCTTGTAAAGGAACCCCTCCATTTGCCCCTCACCTCACCGAAGGTGAGGTACCCACTATTATTCCTGCGAATTGTCTCCAGACGGCATGACCTCTGGAGTCCTGTCCAAAATCTCCAATTCTATGCGCTGAGAGACGCACTGCAGCAAAGATGGCGAGCTCAGAAAAACAGCCAGTCGTAAGGCAAGTGCAGCGGCGGGAAAATACTGGTTTTGATCTGCGAAGCGTGCTAACAAAGCTGGGTGCAGTGGTAAAGATGATACTCCGACCAATCCAAGGGGCATTCCGTACGCTCCCTTCGTCGACAAGGTCGAGGACTACGTTTCAACTCGGGACGATGTCGAACCGACGCTTCGAAAGTTTCAAGAAATGATCTCGTGAGCCGCGACAAATTGGACCGTTGCCATGGCAAAAGGGCTAATGAGCCCGTGGTAGGAAGTATCAGTTCATGGAGCTGAACCTGCAGCGTCGTATGACGGGGCTGAGGGAGAAGATTCCTGATATCCAAAAGACATTGGACACAGTGCAGTTTCTGAAGCTGCGGAAGGTTCGACTGTACAAACCGATTTCGAAAAATGCACCCTGTTCACGCCTGAATTTAGGAGGAGACCGATCCCATCGAGACCACCTTTGAGCTTAACGATACTTTATACGCCAGAGCAAACATCCCTCCTACTGAGGAAGTGTACATTTGGCTAGGGGTATGATGGGAGTGCTGGGAAAATAGGAATGAGGGCTGTCGAGCTGACAGTACTACAGGCCAATGTCATGTTGTCTTACCCAGTCGATGAAGCAGAGACGTTATTAACCTCCAAATTGTCAGCGGCTAAAACAAGTCTGTCAAACTGCGAGGAAGACTTGGACTTCCTCCGCGAGCAGATTACCGTGAGTACCCTCCTGGCCTTTGAGAAGCTGGTCTGCTGGCTGGGTTGCTGACAATGAATCTAGACCATGGAGGTTGCGACTGCAAGGGTTTACAACTGGGAGGTGGTGCAAAAGAGGAAAGAAAAGGTAGAGGAAGAAGCAGAGAAGAAGAAGCTGAAGGACAGCGATGCGTAATAGACACTTTGGAAAGGTTTCAACTTTTCTTTTTGGCTGGCCACGAAGAGCTCTATTCCAACATGTGACTTTTATATACTGCAAAAACGTACTTCGGCGTTTTTTCTATTTTATATGACGATTTCTTGAGATTACATGAAATTGGATCATTTTCCAGGGATAAAAGAATCGAGTGCAAGTCACCTCATGAGGCATGATGGATGTTTACCTGCATTGACTTGGTCAGACGAGGTACTGGCAGGCGCTAATACGGGCAATGGCGCTGAAACAGGTGTTCCGTTGTAGTATTAGAAGTGACCCGCTTTTGGGCACGCCCCGATTGTTGCATGGCATGCCGAATTTGAACTTTTGGAGACTCGCGACAACACTTGAGCTATTCTTCCAACCGCCCAATTTTCACGACAAAGGCCTCTTCAACGGACCCTTGCTGGCCGTGTTGGAGACATGAGGAGGAATGCTCAGAAATGCAACACGGGAGTTGGAGCAAAGGCGGCGGGTGCCGCGCCAACTGTTCCATCCATCTTTGGTAGGTACCCTTGGATTTCAACGAGCTGGACTTTGGCATCTCATATTCGCCTTTTTGCAGATGGTCCATGGATCGCCGTCGGAACTCTATAGCCGCCGGGCATTCGCATCGCAAGCCGCCATTGCTATTGGGCGCGAGACTGCAAAGATTTCCAGGTTTGATCAAGACGACCGTATTTTCGAAGCGCAATCCGCTCGACAAGTCCCACGAGCCACGGCACCGACGGGCTTTTACAGACACATACCTCAATCCCTCACACACAAATACGAAAACCATCCAACTATCCGATATGAGTTTCCTACAGATGGTTCCACACGACATGGGCGTCATAGAGACGCCCATGCCCACCCCACCGATCCTGACGCAGCTCAAGGCTCTCTAGATGTATCGAAGCGGCCCTCTCCTTCACGCCGCCGTCGCAGAGTTGGGCATTCTTCTGTGCCATCCACATCATGGCGTTATAAATCTCCCAGTTTCTTACTGCAGCGGGTACTGGGAGCCAATGAACATGACCAGGATTGGAGGATACAAGCTGCAGCGAGTCGCAGCGCTCGTCTTCCAGTAGTCCTGCTGCAGATGATGATTCGCAAAGTTGCTTCTCAAGATCCCCGTCAGAACGAGCTTCTAGATCTACTTCCATCCTCTCAGGAATGGGAAAAGGCAATGGATATCGCGCGGCGAAATGGCCATTCATATACGGATTTGGCCTATTATCTGTATATTCTCGAAGGCAAGACAGATGACGTACGCTGTGAAAGGTTCCTCGAGCGCGATTCGCATAAGCCGCCATTTATTTTACACTTCCTTCTGAGGCCGTCATCCAAGTTCACCAGTCTCGAAACACTCAATCGTCTCATCGCCTATTGCCGCTCTTCATATTTGGCGGCGATGAGAAATGAACCGGATAAATCAAGTGACCAGGTCAAGAGACGACAGCGGGCGTATGGTTCCGCGAGCTTCAATTTCGTCATGTCCCTTCTTGCGCACCATTGCATTCGGCTTGACGCCAGACACACGGTTAAACTCGGAGAACTGGCAGTCGAATATATCGAGACAATGGCGGAATCATCCCTGCCTCAGGAAGAAATTTATCAAGCTCAATGCTCAGTGTTTAACCACGGCCTTCGGCTTTTCGGTTCAGACTATCGCATGCATTCGATTCAGCACTCATCGCCAAATTCATTCTTTTGGGAAGCACAGAGAATTCTTCTTGCTGTATCTTCTCGATTGAAGCGGCAACTGCTTGTAGAGGTTGAAGGTTTTCGAGCAATCAGACAGGTTTTGGCAGGCATGTCCAAGAATCAAGTCGAGATACACAGTTCTGTTAGACACGCGCCTACATGGCCCCCATATTTACAACCTGGGGACGGCATGGACGAAGAGATGGACCCCGAAGACAGCTGGAGCCGGTCGGTACGAGCGGGAGTGTTGATGCAGGAGGCCGGTTTCGCAAAAAATGAGCACGACGATGCTGTCGATATTCTGCAGGGTATGTCTCCAGATGGAACACCCACCATCCAGCAACGAGTGTCGCTAGTGCGGCATCGAAAGGTAGGGCTATGGGAGGCTTCCATTAGAGCTACGCGCAATGCACAGGAGGCTTGGGAGAGGTTCCAGAACCCACCAAAAGCAGGGCTTGAACTCGGCTTAGCCGAGTATACCGCGATGTTTGAAAAGTTGACGATGAGAGAGGCCGACGAACACACCAGAGCCCTCCCTGGTGACAGAGCCTTGAATTTCCCTACTCCACAGGAGCCCAATCTCAGCGAATTTGAAAAGGCTCGCATTCGCCCGCCAAGTATCTCCCAGCTCTATGAGAGGATGCGGCTGGATGGTATCCGCCCAAGTGGCAGCTGCCTTGCAATCCTGGTCGCCAACACTGAATCAATGGAAATGGCGCGGAAATATCTACACGACTTTGACGAAACTGGTGCTCTGTATCGTCTCATGTCCCAAGAGATGGATGTGCAAGCTCTAAAGAAGGTGCCCATAAGCCTCATCTCAGCCTATGTTCAAGTGATGACACGACAAGAGGGTAAACGAGCCAGAAAATACATGATACGGGCTATTGAACTGGCGGAGCAGCGGTTGGGATCTGACCAGACTCAGTGGTCTAATTTCATCTGGGGCACAATTCTAAAAAACCTGTCACAGCACCACCACGGCCTAAGGATAGTTGTTTATCAGCAACTCAAGCTATCTCTACATGTCATGCAGAAACTCGACTGGCCTTGTGGACCTACACTCCCCGCATTTATCCAGTTCAGTAAGACTCTGCGAAAGATTGCAAAGCGCGAACTTGGGCAGCTTTTCACCGAATTGGAATCGGATTCGTCGACAGCCGAAAACCACGCGCTGTGGGCCTTGTACGACGAGAAATCTAGGCACAGGGACGCTATGCAATGGGATACTTTCGATAATAGACCGGGAGCGCTGGGTGTGTTTCGCCTCTTCCGATCTTCCGCTTTGCGGATGAATGAGCTGTTTGACAAACTTGTTTCACATGAAAGAGAGAGCCGGCGACTACTGGGTACAACGAAAGTGGCGCCATTGGACGAGATGATGTGGCGAAGAGACCCTGCTCGAAGCGAGCATGCCTACGATTATATGATATCCTTGGCATACTTGGGCGAGTTTCAGCAGATGGCCAACTTGCTGAAGTGGTTAATCAACATGTGGGGGCAGCCTGACGTGGTCCACGCATTGTCGGAGCTGGACGAGCCGCCGCCGTTTGCCGACTTTTTGAAGACTCTCTGCGCATTTCGACTCTTGGCCGAGCCGATGCTCGAGCCACAAGTGGTGGATTCTTTACGGGAAGCAATTGGCGCGGCTGGACTGAACTGGACATGGCCTGACGAAGAGACTGTGGAGGCATACGTCCATATGCAAGAGGATGAATCTATTCATATTTTGGCGCGCGTGCTAGAGCGGGTGCGCCTGTCGTGGACGGATATGAGTAGGGATGCCGTGGTGGAGCGTGAGAGTGAATGGAGAAACGACATATAAGCCGGACCCGGGAATCTACATGTAAGCAATTTTTGAAACAGGGAGCATGGTATTGGGGCGTTTTCAAGGAGGAATCAGCTTTGACGACTGTATATGAAGCTAGCACTCTATGATTTGTATATATTCCTGCTTAGATAGGTGGGAACCAGGGCAGCCGGGGCCTGTGAAGAACCTGGTGAATAGAAGGTAGAATTCACACTACTCACATATGAGGCTAGATATTGTATCGTACCTTGGTGATGCATGCGGGAACCCTAAAGTGGATGTATTAATAAACTCGTGTACTACAAGAGTTGACCGCTTGGTGCTACCAGGTACTACCAGGTACTACCAGGTAGGTAATTTCTGGTGCTTCTATTCTGAGGTTGCGCAGGGCCGAGCGGCTATCGCAGTCTCATCTTAAAATCTAGAGTGCAGGGATCGAATGGGCTTCCGATTGGCGCACATCTCCCGACGGACTAAGAGCACAGGGCTGGAACCTGGGTGGTACAAATGACCTTGTTTAGATGTAATACAAGGAAATGCACAAACAAGAGAGAGGAGAAGAGACGAAATTTGTGTAGAGGCTTGATCTGATTGGAGAGAATTGAAATGGGTTGTTAGTCTGAGGCTTGATTGTTCTGAGCAGGCAAACAGCACGTGTTCTCTGTAGGCCTTTGACATGGACGCCTTAAAGCCACGCCTTGAAGTCACGCCATCATCACGGAATGGACATCCGAGCAGAATCAAAGACACGCCAAAAAGAGCAAATGAGAAATGAAGACGGAAACCAGGCTGCGAATCAACTGTCCTCACCACCAACACAACACGAAACAAGCCAAAACAAGCCCAGACAAGCCCAAACAAGCCCGCTACTAGACAGAAAAGGAATCCAATGCCAGTTGAGGCAAAGACCCAAGGCCAGCCCAGCGACTGGCGCTTAATCCACAGCCGTTGCAGCCTCCCCTGGTGCTGAGCCACAGGTGGCAGCGGTGGGGCGGCGCTGATAGGCCAGCACGCCTCGGCGCCTCAGACAGCGGCTGCACAGCAACTCGAGCAGTTGCATCCAATATTTGCCTGGCCGGCCTGCGGTGACCAACCGCGCGGATGCGGCCGGACGCTCTCAGACGAGCAAACGGTGCGGTGCGTTTGGGGCGAGGCGGGAGGCTGCAGCGGAGGATCCTGGTTCAGCAGGTTTTTTTTACGAGGGTTTTGGTGCTGGGACTGGGATTTGGGAGAGCAAAGGCCGTCGAATCATGCGCGTCTATCGTTTGAGGCGGAAACGCCTCGATGGGGTCTCTTTGTCTCTTTTCTTTGTTTGCGGCGGATACATAATGCTCAGGACGATCCTTACCCAATGCTTCTTCTTCTTGGTTCCCGATCTGATGATTAACGTTGCATGTTGTGTCTCTTGTGTGTGTTTCTGGTGCTCTGGTTGACCTGGGTTCCTTTTTCCCCCACCACTTCCCTCATTCTCTGACTGTCGTCTCTTTTCTTCATTCTTTTCCTTTCTCCATTCTTTTCCTCTTTTTGAGTTCCCCCCATTTCCTTTTTTTTTTGTCTGTTGATCACGTTCACTTGCGGTTGTACACTGCTTTGCTCGAGTTACCACACTCCTTCTCCGCGTCTGTTCATTCACTGCTACTGGGGTTTTCGGTCTGCGTCTCTCTAATAACCTTTCCCTTTACATCATCTCCCTCTCTCTATTTTTTCCCCTTTCTTTTTATAATCTTCGTCTGTTGAACCATCTTATTCGTTCTCTGTCGGGTTCATTGTGTGACAAACTGTGCACAGCAATTTCTTTGTGTGTTGAACACGCATAATTGCTATCAAACCTCGTTCACTACCAGTTGCTCAGTTCTTGGTATAACAAAAAGCATCGATTGCTGATCTTTACTATATCTGAATATTCCCCTTGTTGTCTTTTCTGCATTTCGTCACTGTGTGATCACCCTCCAAAAGATTTTCATAATGCGTTACGATATTCTCTTCAGGGCCTCGCTGGGCATGTTCCTGGCAGCTCAGCCTGCAGAGGCTGGTCCATTGCCACGCTTGAGCGCCAGAATGTAAGTCTTTTCTGTGTCATATGTCTCGACATTTATATCTTGCTAACACTCTTCTTTGTTGTGCAGGCCCAAAGTTGAGCGAGCCGAAACAACCGCCGTGTTTCAAACGTCTGCACTTCCTAATGCCCCTGTGTAAGTCACTCTGAACTGACAAGATCCGGAAAGAAAAGGCAAGGAGACACATGTCTAACATACTTCATCACAGGACTTCTGCCGAACCCGCCGCCTCATCAGCCGAAACTCCTCGTCCCATCTTCCAAACCTTGACGGGCTCGACGGTGGATATTCCCGACTCTCTCATTTCTAGTACCCCTTCTCAGGTTCAGAGCCAAGCTCCAGTCACCTCCTCGGCTGCAGGAATCACGCTCATCCCAATCGTGGACTCGTCAACTACTGTAAACGTTGGATCGAGTGCCCCAGCTGAGAGCAGCATCGCAACTTCGGCTCCGGTGGCCGCACCAACTACGTCAAGCAGTGCTGTTGAGACTTCTATCAAGACTTCCGTTCCAACTACAGCCAGCACTGCCGTTGACACCTTTATTACGAGTGCTCTTCCTACTACTTCCACTGGCCTTGCCATTCCAAGTACCACTAGCCATGCGGCAGACGAGTCCACGACGATTGCGTTGCCAGATGATAGGTCAACCACTACTGTCATTCCAGTCGGATCTAGCACAGTCGCTGGCACTTCTACCACGATTGCTACCTCAGTCACGACTCACAGCACCTCTGTGGGAGGAACAACAACATCTGTGGGAGAAGCAACAACATCTGTGGGAGAAACAACAACTTCCGTGGGAGGAACAACAACCTCTGTGGGCGAAACAACCACCTCTATTGGAGGTACTACAACCTCTACTGGAGGTACTACAACCTCTACTGGAGGTACTACAACCTCTACTGGAGGTACTACAACCTCTACTGGAGGTACTACAACCTCTTTGGGAACGCATTCGTCGTCAGAGGCAGTTTTTCAGACAACATCCATCAGTGCTTCAACCACTGGAGCTGGCGCTTCAAGCTCCTCTACAGTAAATACACAGTCCCAGACGGTGACAACCGGGGCCAAAGACTCTACAACTGCACCTCTGACAACAAATACTGCAGCTTCTTCAGGTAGTACTGAGACTTCGGCCAACACAAACACTGCGCCTGCTACTGAGCCTTCAAAAACGGCACCTCAGACTCAGACGACCGCCACTGGCTCCGAGACTAAGGCTCCAACCACACAGACGAGTGTTACCAGTCAAACAGAGCTGAGCTCAAGTGTTGGCAGCACGACGGCGCCATCTGACTCTTCTACTACAGAAGCCACTTCGGCGTCACAGACCCGGGCCCCAAGCACCATTGCTACCGAGTTTACTACAAGCTCAATCCCTTCGAGCTCAGTAGTGGTCTCTACAAGTCTGATTCAGCCTCACTCTACCACCAGTGCCGTCCCTACGTCCACTGGAGGAAGTAGCCTGACTTCAAGTGCTACCAACCCTGGAACTACCCTCACGGCGTCTGAGGCCACATCATCTGAGACCACATCTTCTTCTGGGTCGCCAACAAGCACAGCTTCAACCACAGAAGTTGGCACAACTCATGATGTAGCGTCCAGTTCCACGTCAATCCCGTCTTCCGCTGCCACCACTGCTACCAGCGAAGCACTATTCTTGACTTCGACAGTCCCAGCCGAAGCCACGGCGCCCCCAACCTCTGCAACCTCCACAGCCTTGCAACCTTCGAGCTCAACGACGTCTGAGGCTAGCACTTCAAGCCAGGCTGCCACTGAACCAAGTTCGGCGCCGGAGAGCACACAGTTGTCCACCCTGACAAAGCCTGTGTTCCTCCCCACCCCTGAGCTCCCTGCTTCCACCTCCTCAACGAGCCCTGAAGCATCAACTGTTGCAGCCTCCCCGTCATCGTCAGCGTTGCCCCCACCTCCAGCAACCACGACTACAGCTCTCACGACGAGGCTCACTGCCACCGTCACCGTTCAACCCACAGGGACGCCTGAAGTTGCTGTCCCAACGGCATTCACCACCTTCCCCACTGGCACCTCGACCGTCCCGGCCGATGCCCTTGCAAGCAATCTCGCCCAGGCCCAGCAATTCAACAACGTCTTCAAGACTCTGACCCCTAACGCTGCTTGCATGGGTACTCAAGTGGCTTGTATCGACGGCCAATTCGCTCAATGCAGCAACGGCGCGTTTGTGCTCTCCGCGTGCCCTACCCCGGGAACGAAGTGCTATGCTCTGCCAATGACAGTTACAGGGGGCGTCGTGGTTGGATGCCATGACACTGATGATGCAGAGAGCATCCTCGGCACCACCACGGGCGCACCTGAGAACAGCTCGCCGGCCCCTACGCCGGCCCCTACATCGGCTGTCCCGACGAGCGACTCTCCGAGCGACTCTCCGAGCGGCCCTCCGGCTATTACTCTCACCACTATTATTACCATTAGTGACCAGCCGCCTCTGCCGCCTGCACCTACATCGGCCTCTTCGCCAGTCGCGGTCGCGCCTCAGGAGCCTTCATCGACGCCTGTTCCTCAGCCTCAGCCTCAACAGCCGAGTCCAGACCCCGTCATCCCTCCACCAGCTCCCACCACTTCTTCTGCCGCTCCTCCTCCTCCTCCGCCAGCACCCACCACCTTCCAAACCGTTAGGACCAGCAGCCAACCCGTCCCCGTAATCACACCCCCCTCAGCCCCCGCCTTCACGCCTCTCCCCCCTCCTAACCCGACGAGCCTCGTCCTCATCCCCATCCCCAACGATCCTTCTCCGTCAGAGCTTGCCATCCCTAGCCCTGATGGAAATCCTCGTACTACCGCGGTCGTCAACGGGACTCCTACCGTGTCCGTCTTCTTCACTGTTACTGTCACTCAACAGGAGAAGGAGACCGTCACCGTCACCGTCAGCGCTTAAAGGGGGAGGTTGAGCGATTGGGGTACTAGAAATTTCTTGCTTT